TAGGAGTTATGGTTGGGCAATATAGAGAAAAGTGAAAGCTTGCTTTTTGTGTGTGTATGAGAAAGTTCAAGGATCCGTCAGGAGTACAAATATTACAGTCACCCCAGGTATAACTCTTTGCTTCGGCATGTTATCAAAAATGCTTGTTTTGTTTTTCAGTGCCTTGAGGGCAATCTTCACGTTGGAAATTTTCTCAATGGCTGAAGTAGTTGTGAGGAATTAGCGATATTTAATACTTCATTGTAGAGTTAATCCTCAGTTTCCTCATATGCGCTCACGTCCGCAGGTTGTTGACGTGGAGACTGGGGAAGCTCTCGGCCCAGGACAAGACGGCGAGATTTGTGTTAAAGGACCTACAGTCATGAAAGGTATAAATCCAGCAGTTATTCAAGACAACGTCCTCCCCCATAACGATCAGTTTCCCCCGCTTTTCAACTCAAACAAACCATGCAGCTTGAAGTGCAAGCAATTTGTCCTCCACTATTTAATGTGTCATTCCACTTGTATCAGACCAATTTCGATAAATAAAAAATTCATACTTGGCTCCGAGGCTTGGGGGAATGAAACAAAAGAAATCATCTTGAGGCCCAGCCCCGGGGGCCCAGCGATGAACAATATGTTTCTTTTATTTTATTACCCCAAGCCTCACACAACTCATCATTGTTTATCACGCTACGTCCTAATATGTACAGCATGTAGAGTTCCTTATTTTTCATTCTCTTCAGGCTATCTAAATAACCCAGAAGCAACAGCTCAGACGATTGACAGTGATGGCTGGCTACACACAGGGGATATTGCACATTATGACGAAGATGAACATTTCTTCATCGTCGACAGAGTCAAAGAACTAATAAAATACAAGGGGTATCAGGTACCTTCCATATTAATTTATTTCACGCAAACCGTAGTACATATGCTTACCTAAAAGAAGATAGCAAGCGAGAAACTGTTTTGACAATGCGTAGTGTCTGAAGATATCTCGTAAACATAATCACGGATTCAGGTACTGCCCTTTGTTGGAGAACATACTGTGTGCGATGAGATTCGCTTTTCGGGCTTTATGTACGGTGTTTATGCCGTTTAGAAATTTTGACAATTATTTCGTGTCGTAGGTCCCACCGGCTGAACTGGAAGCTCTCCTTATTTCTCATCCGGACATCGAAGACGCAGCAGTCATTGGGGTCCCGGATATCGAGAGTGGTGAATTGCCAAGGGCTTTTGTGGTACGCAAGGCAAACGCAACGCTCACAGAAGACGACGTTGAGACATTTGTGGAGGAAAATGTCGCTCCTTATAAGAAATTACGAGGTGGTGTCGAGTTTATCGACGAAATCCCCAAGTCCTTGAGTGGCAAAATACTACGGCGAGAATTGAGGGACAAAGTGAAGGAATTGGCTAAAGTAGAAAAACCCATGAATACAAATCGGAGCTTCCGAAGAAGAAGTCAAAAGCAACAAGGAACTACGAATGCAAACGGAGCGGCGATGCCCCGGAATGTAGCAGCAAAATCCACTTGCTGTGTTATTATTTAGTTACCGTAAGGCGCGTTATTATTACTTCATCAAAGTCCTCCTGTCCGTTTTTTAGCTTTTGCGCATAAGAATTTTTGGTTCTTTTGGGGAGACCCTGTTTGGTCACAAATAAAATTCGACAATGTTGGATTCTACCGCAATTGGCCGAAATATTAATGTTATTAATGTTTTGAAATAGAGTATTTTTGTAGAAGTTTACAATTTAGGCTTTTTAAAAGACGGGTAGCAATAACAATTTGCAAGGGTTAAGGTACGAAAAAACGGGCAACAAAAAACGTGCCTATCTTTCAAGTTGCCGAAGGGTACTTCACTCGGCATGTGATAACTGTTTATCGTTGTACTGCACGAGACATCTCTATCACGCCTGAATCGCCCCCAGTCGTCTCTCATTATTAGTATTTGGCAATTAATGAGTAGAGACAACTTGGAGACGCACTGGGGACGAGTCAGTTATAACACTGAAATAAATGACTGAATATCAAATAATTGTGAAATATTCATATTATAAACTCATGAGCAATATTTTCCTGATGGCCGTTGGTTGTCTTACTGTATCCAGAGAATTTAATTTGCTCTGTTTTAATTTATTCTTAAAACTTATTTTATGATTCGAGGCTCCAAAAAGTGCTACCAGAAACTTTTAAACTTTATAACTGAGGTGTACATCCTGAAAACCGACACCTTTTTCACCTCGTGTCCCAAGCGTTCAAATCGTGGCGAGCGGAGAGAAATGGAGAACGGAAAGGGGAAAACGTACCTATAAAAAAAGTGCTTTATTCGCTAAGAGAACTTTCTATTTGGTTTAGACGATTTGTTAGTCACTACAAACTTGACAACGGCGCACTAAAACACAAATAAATAATAATAACGATAATAATAATAATAATAATAATAATAATAATAAAATTTTACCTTGACTTTTGGTGTACTTCGATAGATCAGATGCAACTACCAATTACAGCACACGTAGGAATCAATGCATTCAGCGTAAAAGAAAGTAGGTCATGAAGTGATCCAGTCAAAAATAGATTGAACCTATCTATGGCAAAAACGTTGCTATTGATATTGCTCTTTTGAACCCGAAATGCGCGCATTATTACAGTCGACTCACTCTTCTTCGAAGTACTAGTAGTAAGTGTACTCCAATGCTGTTGAGTTACTCTGATTTTAAAGAAAATCCTTAAATAACAATGACCGAGACCAGGTTTTATGAGCCCGCGAAACTGCCCTAACCAAACCCTTGTTTTCACTAAAACCGCTGGACGCCAACCAGGTTGAGGTCATTGTTATCTAAGGTTTTCCTGTTTTTAAACCTACGTAAGCAAGAAATAAGTAAAAGATTTAAAAGACCAGCCACCGTAATGATACAAAAGCTTCCAGGAAATGAAAAAATATATTTTCCCAGATTCCTGCAAAAAAAAAAATGGCAGGGGACTCGCCCATCACAGAAAACTTTTTGCAATTCACAATCTGTAAAGTAAAGTCGGTTTGGGAAAAAATACCAAAACTGGCAACCCAAATCAATCTTAGGACAAGAATTTCACATAATTTCCCTTCATAAAGGGTTTTCCATGCCCCCAAAATTTCCCTTCAGTGGGATTTGTATGTCCCAATAATAACCCTTTGATGGATTTTTCTTGTCTCAATAACTCCCCTATATTGGGATTTGCACGTCCCAATAATTTCCCTATATTGGGATTTACACGTCCCAATAATTCCCCTATATTGGGATTCACATGTCCCAATAATTCCCCTATATAGGGAATAACTTGGGAAATGTTCCCGTATTGTTCCCAACTTTGGGAATAACTTGGGGAAAAATTCACAGCCTATTCCCAAAATTGGGATGTAAAAGAAAAGTAGACATTTTTCCCTAATAAAACCCCACAATCTCCCCAAAAAGGGAATATCTTGTCCCAAATATTCTCCATGAATGGGAAAAATTCAATGGGTATCTCGAAAAGTTGCCTGTGCATTCCCGTCCCCAGAGCCACTCGACCACGTAACCAAAAAAGAAAACGACAGGTTCTGGGGACGAGAATTGCCGAAGTTTGAAATGAATGTCACACGGGTTAGGGAGTTAGAGACGTAAATTGCCGGCGCCATAAAAATAGTTCGTTCTCAGGCCTTTATAAAACGTTAGTTAGTTTGCTTTTCCGTTTATTTTTTCCTCTTGTTTTTAAATGTTTCATTCTTTTCCTTCTTTGTTTTACATCTTTAGAACAGGACGTTACTATCGGTCCCGCCCCCCCGGGCCTAATCCCGGACTTCCCATTCCGTGACACATAGTTGCGTGACCTTTAAACTTATCTGACTCGTGATCACCATGATTTAAGCACGATGGTCGATATTTCGCAAGTGAACAGTATTACAGTACGTATTGTAGGAAAACGTATAGTTTCTTGTATGTGACTGGGAGATGGAGCTCAGAAGCAAGTACCCAGACTTCCATATTCCTGATAATGTATCCTGGCCTCAAATTGTCTATCAGGATTTTGATAAATATGGCGAGAAGACCGCAATTGTGAGTACAGTAGAAGCTTAATCTCTTAGCTCTTATATTTGATATACAGTATATTGATCAGACACGATGGTAAGTTCTAGTCGAGAAAACAAAAACAAGTTTTACTACGACGAACTATACTAGTTTGTTCTCACCCGTCCTTTGAAACTTGTGTCTCTTAAGTGCTCCAATAAAAGTATTACTCCCAAAATTACTCCCCAGACCTTTGGAGAAGTTGCCCTCAGCAATGTAAAATATATCTGATATATGTCCAGACAAGCGTTTTTTGAGTATCCCTTTGAGGATACTGAAATTGTCGTAATATTATGACATTTAGTAATGACACCAACTCTCTCCAAGCTTCATTGTGAAACCTAATAATGTTGTTTACTTTTAATATCAGAATTAAAAGGTATATTTCAGTCGAAATTTCAAGTTTTAGCACTTGCTGCTTAGTCATAGTCATGCAGAGTCAATGCAGATGTGTCAGTCTCGCAATACTAGCCCTCATTCGATATACAGTTGAACCTCCATTAAGCGGCCGGCCATGCACCACCTATTATGTGGCCACTCTCTATTAAACAGCCACAAATCAAAGTCTCGAAATAATTATAGGAAAGAATTGGAAATTAAATCTTTATTAAGGGGCCATGGCTACCTATTGGCCATCCCAAAACAGTTCTACCATTGTTGTAATACCACCTCTATTAAGCGGCCATCAAGCCCTTGGTACACTTCGTTTGGCTTCATTGTAATAATATGATGAAGGAAAATACAGTTCAAGATACAAGGTGATGACTGATTGTGAACCAGTAATGATCAGTAATGCCTCTCCTGTTGCACATTTGTTTCAAAATCTAGTGATGTTTCTGCTACAGACAATGCAAATGATGAACGTCTATTGATCAGCCAACCGCCATTAAACGGCCACTATCGGGTACCCCGAGAGACGCCGCTTTATAGAGGGTCAACTGTATTAAAATTCTAACATGACTCCGAGTGCTGCTTTCTGGTCATTTTCATTATTTGGTTTGGTTTTCTTTCTAGGAATCATGAGACAAAAGGGCCATGAAAAATGTGTAATTTTGTCCCTAAATCCTAGCAGTCATGTTAGAATTTCAATATATCAAATGTGGGCTGTTAACCCCCCACGTCATCAAATATTGAGAATTGATAGGGGAGAGATGATAGATGGCATCATATTGCGTGACAAAAGACGTCAATTGTGCCAAAAATGCTCGCTGATTCCGATCGACGTATATAGCACATAAACAGTTCATATTTAGCATATTATCGCTTAAATTACAGTGGCATACCAGAATTTATGGGGAAAATTTATGGTCGGAAAGTCGAGTCTACAAGAAATAGCAACTTTGGCAATTATCCGGGAGATATCAGACTCTAATCTGGAGACGGGGAGATACAGTCCAAAATGTGGAGTCTCCCGGATTAGCCGGGAGAGTTGACAGCACTGCTGTTGTGATAAGACGTTAGGGCAAATATATCCTTTTTTTCAAGAAAAGAAATATCAATCGAACATTTGTTTAAGTTTTTTTGGCCAGCAGGAGATAGATTAGCCTGTGAACCGCAGACGTATTTCCGGTCACTGCTTCTCTGAGGGAGAGAAGCCATGACTGGAAATACGTCTGCGGTTCACAGGCTAGAGATAGATGAGTACAATAATATCATGGTGGATCTTCCAGTTACTCACCCTTTATAACTCCTTATTGAATTTTACACTATGTATGCAGTTAACAACAATATATTACTTGTAAATCAGTAAAACAAAGCTTAATTTCTCCTACATGTGTAGTATTTAAGTTACCAAAGGAGAAGTAGTCTTTAAAAAACTGTTTGGCTGAGTCATTCATTTACTGTATTCTGAGGGTTAGTGAGGGGATACAAACAAATTATAATGTTATTGTTCTCTCCCATTAACCATTTTCTTCCCCCAGGAAACCTAATTAATTTTCAACAAATTTAAAAACAATGCACACTCAAAACCTGGATGTAACTTTGGCTACATTTACTCTATTTTCAAAGTTCATGTTTACTAGAGACTTATGAACATGACCAAGGAGTTGAACCTGAACATACATGTATAGCTACCTAGAACAAATCCAACCAGCTGTCGGAGTGGGACTGAAACTGGGATCCTTCTCATTACCTACATCTATCACAGTCATCACTGGGTGTAGCTGCTTCCTATGTGAAACCTGGATAACATCTTTTATTGGAAAACGGAAGGTTTATGAAAGTGATCCCTTATTTAAAAAATATAATTAAAGGTATATAGAAAGGTAATTGGAAGGAGGCTTGTGACATAAAAATGTGTTGAGGACCTCCCTGGCCACCAAGAATTGGAATCTATTTAAATTTGGCCCTTTCAAACCTTCATTGGGATTTACTCTATTACTGTCTATACTCTGTAATCGTGTATGTTTCACTTAGTTTAATATTCTAGTTCTATGTGGCTGAATTTGCCTAAACTTTGTCGACAATATTCCTTATTTTGTAGTCCTTCAGTTGTAAGCTATCTAACTTATACAGTCATGTTGATATGACTTTTATCAGCAAGCAGTGTAGCAGAGCTTTTGCAACCCTGTGGGTTGCAAAAGTTAGTTTCAGCCCTCTCTCCTGGCTGGATTGTTGTTGGTGGCCTCAATCCAGAGACATATCCAGTAACGGGGGGATGGGGTTGGGGTGACCATGACTTACCCCTGCCCCCCTTCTAAATTGTAAGAGGCATTCCTTAACCTTTTTTCAGCAAAAACGCTAGCACATTGATAAACCAAAGTTTACACTTGGTCATGCTTCTAAGTAGCCAAGTCGTTTACCGCCCGCCAGTTTGTATTGTTACTTGTTATCTTTATAAGAATTGTTTCTTTTTTAACCCTGATTACCCATAACTGTGTAACACCTACAAAGTCCATGGAAAAAACGTCTTTTTTTTCAATATCCAGGTAGAGGCTATTTCTGGTCGCTCCTATAGTTACCACCAGCTTAAAATTCTAACGCAGAGGTTTAGCTCCGCCCTGGTCAGACGAGGCTTCAAGAAAGGCGATGTCTTGGCCATGTACCTTCCAAACGTTTTAGAATACCCTATAATATTCTACGGTGTTGCCTTCATTGGCGGCATGGCCACCACGATCAACCCATTGTACACGTCTGAGGAACTCTCACACCAGCTGCGCAAGTCGGCGGCAAAATACCTCGTTACCATTCCCCCGCTCGTGGAAAACGCAAAAAATGCAGCAGCAACCGAAGGAATTCGCTCAGTGTTCGTACTAGGAGAGGCGCCGCCAGGCTGCGAGTCTCTGTCAGCTCTTTTCTCAGACGACGGATCCGCCTTTCCTGAACATGTGGACATTAATCCCGAGGAAGATGTGGTAAAGTTACCTTAATTAATTAGTAGAGTAGAAAATAAACAACAACAAAAAAAGTCAGGCTTGCAAGGGTTTCGAAGCCATTTCGCTACTATACCAGTTCAATACTCTAACTTAAGTAACCATCTCACAACTGCTTAATTCAGTCGTCTATGAAGCTGTAAGGATCCGGCTTTTTTCTGTTGAAGTCTTATTCTCACACCATTCTTTCATGCAGTAAACAATCGTGTTAATTCTTTTCAAGGTTGCGTTGCCTTTCTCAAGTGGAACTACCGGTGTGTCCAAAGGAGTCATGCTTACACACTACAACCTCATATCCGCATTGACTGTGGTTTTGAACGATGACGTCTTTCCCGATCGAGAAAAAACGATTTTTTTAACCCTCATGCCCTTCTACCACATCTACGCACTGATGGTCATGTTGGGGGCGGCTCTGAGAATTGGAAGCAAACAAGTGCTTCTCTCTCGTTTCGAACCGAACCCGTTCCTAAAAGCTATACAGGATTACAAGGTTTGATTATCGTTATTGTGTCTGCAATCGCTTTGGATTTTCTTCGTCCAAAATACTTTTAGTTAATCAATTACCAAGGTACGATAACCTTGAGGCCCTTTAATAACTTGCGCGAATTGTAACTTTTGCGGTTTTATCAACGATCCAGTCTGCGAGCAATTTTGCGCGCGATCGCGATCTTTGTGTTTAAAAACGAAAAGGAAGATAGTGGAGGGTGAAAAGTGCGTTCAGGAGGGTGTGAATAAGGCGAAAGTACTTCTCCACCTCTTTCCATGTCATATATCCTAAAAACTTCCAGTTGCTTCGTACCTAGTGTCAAGTTGATTGTACGGTAGAACTCTGTTGGTGCCCCCCTATAGTGGCTTATAGGTGGAGGCCCCGCCCGAAAGGGTCAGCTTTTTCAGGCTTGAGGTATAAACTAATAAGTGTAGGGATTTTATCAATATTGAGGTATATGAAAGGGTCTGTTGATTCTGATGCTCAGCCTGCTTCTGTTACAGATCACCGATGTTCCTATTGTACCACCTCTGGTATTATTCCTGGCCAAGCATCCCCTTGTGGACAAGTTCGATTTGTCGAGCATGGTACGGGTAAGCTCGGGGGCTGCTCCACTTGGAAAGGAGCTGGAAATTGCAATGTTAAAACGCCTTCCAAAAGTGCAGAGATTACAGCAAGGTACTTGACCCTCAAAAACGTTGTCGTGATATAGTAACGATTATTGTATCAACAATAATCTTATTGTATTTGCGATAATCGATTATTGTATTAACAATAAACAAGGATGGCTCAGTTGGGTAATGCGCGGCCGATGCGGTGGGCGAGATCCCGAGTTCGATCCCCGGTGACGTCACATGACATCACGGTAACGTCACATAACATCCTTGTTTCAATTCAGCTCCTTTCTGTGATGCTTTAACCTGCTTAAACTACCATTAAAACGGAGTATTGATAGAGATAGGGGGTTTGGGAAGAGGGGGCGGGCTTGAAATTAGCGCACTTTCGACCTAGAAAGTTTATCAGTTGATTTACTGTCACAGTTATCGATTTAAATTTTGGTTGCTTTGCCATTTAACCATTATCACGGTACTCTTAACCAACACGACGTTACTCCCTGCATTACGCTGTTCATGGTCCCTGTTATCTCTCTTAACCCACATGTTTCAGTGAGTACCGGTGACATGCTATTGGGAGTACGCGTCATGCTTAAAAACCGTGTTAGGGCTCCTTGTGATTCAAGACAATAGTCGAACCGGTCTGCTACAGCAGTTGGAATGAGCTTTTGCACGCCCTAACTCGGTTATGTTTATGTTTGAACATAAAAAGAACTGGTTAAAATCACTTTTCTTTTTCCATTCACACCAAAGCGGTCTTCTCCATTCTAAGTCTGGCAAACAATTCCTCTATCCTTTTACGCTTTTCAACGGTAGGAGTAAAACGTAAGTCACAAAACAAAGAAAAGAGTGTGACTAAACCTGACAATCATACGGTCAATCATGAAATCATGAGTGAAACATTGATTTAAGGTAATCGCCTTGTTTCGTATTGCGCATCACTAAGTGTATATAACATGGTGACTTCAACGCACGGTGGCAGCGATTTTCAATGGTCGCCAAAAAAGAGGTAACTAAGGCCCCTATTGTAGTCCCAATGCTTTTAATAGCGATTTTGATGACTAACCGGCTAAAGGGGTGTTTGTCTTGAAAATCGCCCCTGTCCCCTCGTGCAAATCTATCATTTGAAGCCAAAATTGTCCCTTTGTTGTCGTTTTGCGATGAAACGGGAACGGTGACCCCCCATTTTAATTTGTGGTTTTTACTCGTCATAGCTACACAAAAAATATATATTAAGGAGAAAAAATCTGGATGGTAGAAGTTGTACTTTTTTAAAATATGAATAACGTGAAATTTCGCATTTAGAGCCACAGCGAATTGTGAGGTAACGTTAAAACTGCATCTGTGGATGAAATCGTATGGTGTTGCCATTCAATTGAAACCTCTTGAGCAGACATTTTGCGTCAGTAGTAATATTTATATTTTAGGATGAGGAAAGTAAAATTTACTATTGAAAAGTTAACTTTGGCCGGCGAGTGGCAGTGTGTCAAAAGCGATTTCTGGTGCTTAGCATCTCTATCGTTCCACTTACATCCTCCGCTTTTGACTTCATATATTCAGGTTATGGCATGACGGAGATTGCAGGCGCGTCTCATGTCACGCCTTCCCCCAGTAAGGGAAAAACTAAATTCGGATCCGTTGGTCTGCTTTTGCCAAACATGAGATGCAAGGTAAGTCTTGTTCGGTTTTATTATTATTAATTTTTCTTTCGTCTCCTATGGTACACATGATCACCTATGGCATTGCTGATACAAATTTTCAAATTCATGCGATCTGTTTACTGCGTAGTAAGTCTATCTTGTTACTCATTTTCGTAAATTAGGGGCATCCAACGACGGTTTCCTCCTAAAGGCATTGAAAACACTTTTTAGGCTATCCAGAGTACTTTTAGATCTCTAGAAATGCATTCTAAGCGGCGCTATAAATTTTGCACTTGTTCGGTCATCCTAGGACAACTTGAGTCTTTTCGAAATTACAAGGGCTTCAGTATTATTTCCCGAGATTTTTAGATGCAATTCAACGTATTACCAAAGTGAAAATTTTTCTGATTCCCGTCTCCACAACATTTTTGAATCCGAAAGTTTTAGGTATCCTTTTTTGTACGAAAAATAGCTTAACTTGGGCGGTGAAGTGTAAAAAAAATTAAACTTCAGAAAATCGTAGGGAATTTATTAAGCTTCGAAAATTGTATATGAATGGAGTAGTCATTTAGAAACTGTTTAGATGTCCTCAAGTTATAGAAAATTCTGCGCAATATTTGCTTCCCGAACAGATATGAGCAGACATTTTGCGTCAGTAGTAATATTTATATTTTAGGAGGAGGAAAGTAAATTTACTATTGAAAAGTTAACTTTTACGGGCGAGTGGCAGTGTGTCAAAAGCTTCGAAAATTGTATATGAATGGAGTAGTCATTTAGAAACTGTTTAGATGTCCTCAAGTTATAGAAAATTCTGCGCTATATTTGCTTCCCCGAACAGATATGAGCAGACATTTTGCGTCAGTAGTAATATTTATATTTTAGGAGGAGGAAAGTAAATTTACTATTGAAAAGTTAACTTTTACGGGCGAGTGGCAGTGTGTCAAAAGCTTCGAAAATTGTATATGAATGGAGTAGTCATTTAGAAACTGTTTAGATGTCCTCAAGTTATAGAAAATTCTGCGCTATATTTGCTTCCCCGAACAGATATGAGCAGACATTTTGCGTCAGTAGTAATATTTATATTTTAGGAGGAGGAAAGTAAATTTACTATTGAAAAGTTAACTTTTACGGGCGAGTGGCAGTGTGTCAAAAGCTTCGAAAATTGTATATGAATGGAGTAGTCATTTAGAAACTGTTTAGATGTCCTCAAGTTATAGAAAATTCTGCGCAATATTTGCCTTCCCGAACAGATATGAGCAGACATTTTGCGTCAGTAGTAATATTTATATTTTAGGAGGAGGAAAGTAAATATTTGCTTCCCCGAACAGATATTTTACCGAAAACGGTCGTTGCGTGCCCCCGGTAAATGCACCAGCAATATAGCAGAGTGTGCAGGCAACTCCTCTATTTATCTGTCAAGCGTCCTCGGAAGATAAGTAATTGTAATCGTTATCGTTATAATTATCGTTATTTTTTTATTGCTATTGTTATTGTTTTATTGTTATTATCATCATCATCGTTATTATTCAGTCCGTATCCAGGGGCGGATCCAGGATTTTTTTTAGGAGGGGGTGCCCTCGTCTCTTGCTCTACTTCAACACCAATAAACCACATAGTTTTTTTTTGCAGAATAGCAGTTGTATTAGAAAACCGCAGGTCATCTCAGGGGGGGTGCGCACCCCTGCTGCCCCCCCTAGATCCGCCCCTGGTACCTATTCTCTTAGGTCCGGTGTTATGCGACCTCCTTGCATCAAAGGAAGCCCAGACGAGAACACTGCTTTCTTGTCATTTCTATCCTACGTAGCTGGTGGTTTTGTCCGAGCACACTAAAAGATTCACCGGTTCGTCGCTCGTTTTGACGAGTCCTTAACCTTACTGCAACAAAATGTCAGTTATGCAGGCTGTCGTTCTTCTCAATATGTTCTGCAGACCCCATTACTACAGCCACTTTATGCAGGATTTCGTTTTATGGGTATTAAAAGCGTTAAATGTGTATTGAAATAGGTTTGAAAACCGTCTTTTAAAGGAAGACAGCCGTTAAGCGACTTTAAGTATCGATAGTACTAAATCGCTTTTGGCACTATTTGTTTGGACCTATAGTGTTATTTAATGATAAAAGTTTGTGATTAATGTTAAATAGGTTATTAACCCCGACACTGGTGAAATACTTGGTCCAAACCGGGACGGGGAAATCTGCATAAAAGGACCAACTGTTATGAAAGGTAAGTTAAGCACGATATACCTACTCATCATCATCATCATCATCCTCATCATCATCATATAATGCCCGAGATACCCGGCTCTCATACGGTAGTTCCTTTGAAAAGGGCCTTGGTTATCCCCAAGTTTTCTCTCTGATTCCAATGCAGTCCTGCTAATATTATTCCCATTGTCTTAGGCAACTCGTAAATAGTGCCTTTGTTTTTATTTATTTTCCGAGTAGGCCTTCAATTCTTATCATACATGTTTTTGTGAGGGTTTCCTCTGTTGACTCTCTAAGATCAATGCTTTTGTTGCGCTCTGTAGGATACTTGGGCAACCCAGAAGCCACAGCGCAAACAATTGATAACGACGGCTGGTTACACACAGGAGATATCGGACATTATGATGAAGATGAATATTTCTTTATTGTGGATCGACTCAAAGAACTCATCAAGTACAAGGGATTCCAGGTATTACATTACTTATAAATTATCTTTTTTACCCCGTCACCGCGTGGCCTGAATGGCTTGTGCCACCCTTCATTTTCTAAAATAAACGCCCCAAATTTGAAACCTCTTTGGAATGCAAACCTATTCCCCCAGCCATCATCATTTTAATTGTATTCTTACAGTTGCTATGGAACCTCTACCCAATGCCCATTATCGAAAGGCCTTTTCATGTTTCTGTACAGGAACTGAGAAAATTACAAGCACTCTTCGTTCAAAGGATATGTTGTGGTTCAATTTATCCTTGGTTTAAATTTTATTTTATTATATTTCTCTTTGTTTTAAACTCATTATCATACATTACCATACCCTAAAACAAAAAGAAATAGAATTTAAACCAAGGTTAAAATTGAAACACAACAGATATATTCGAAATAAATATGTTTTTTCTTGAGTCTTTTTGTTTTCCTTCTATCTTCTAGGTCCCACCCGCAGAACTCGAAGCGTTATTGATTTCTCACCCGAAAATAGACGATGTTGCAGTAATCGGAGTTCCCGATCTTGAAGCTGGAGAGCTGCCGAAAGCGTTCGTAGTCCGCCGTGGAAACGTGACTTCAGAAGAAATTATGGAGTTTGTAGCCAAGAAAGCCTTACCGCATAAAAAGCTCAGGGGAGGGGTGGAGTTTGTTGACCAGATACCAAAATCTGCGAGTGGGAAGATACTACGACGGTTGCTTAGAAATCATGAAAAACAAAAACACACCAAGGCGAGCTTGTGAAAAGGACACATGGACTTTAATATGTTAGAGCAATTTTCAATTGAGTGTTGAAAGTAATCCAAGATTGAATTGGTTTTGCTTTACTGTGCTGTTTGATTGGTTTAGAAAACTCGCGCCACCCTCTCAGCCAATCAGATGTAAACTAAAACCAATCGCTCCTTGGTCACTCGCGTTTTCCCGCGCTACAGGCCGGTTACACGCGTTTACTTCGAGTTGCCATTGGCTCCCTCTGATAATTTCCTTTACTCTGATTGGCTGTTGTGATTACTTTGGTTTTGGTTTTCGACACTCAATTGAAAAGCGCTCTAACCGACCAAAGACATGATTTACCCACCTATCCAAGACCGAAAGAATTATTATTATTATATTTTTCCTTGATGAACTAGTAGCTTAGTTTTAGTTATCATTACACACGCTGAAGATTATTTGATGTCACCTATACCTGTCAATAAAGCTTTCTTTATAGTTTGAATTGAAGACTCGGGCTATGGACTCCTTAGTAGTTATTAGGCTATCAAGCTCGGTCTTCATTTCCTACCAAATTTAGTTAACAGCTCGAATTTTCGACATTTGCTTCCCATGGGAGATTAAGCTACAAATCGATTAACTTTAAACGCGCAGATGTAGGTTTTCTATCCTCTTGGCATTCAAGCGAAATCTTTTGAACTTCTAATTTGATTCGAATTAATTTTACAAGGGGAAGTGCCATATGAAGAAGACGAGGAGGTCATGGGAAAGTTAGAATGAGACCATTCTGGGTGTGGCCCAGGTTTTATTTCAACCCTAAGTGAAACCGACAAACAAAACAGTATAATGAGACGATGAATATTAGGACTGCTATAATAATAGAATGAATAATAGGACTGCCATATATGGGCTATATCTATGGTATGTGCCACTATAGACTACAAATACAGTAAAAACCCGCGTGTAAGAACCTAGAAAATTAAGAACCTCCTGGCAGAAATTTGCTACTTTAATTTAATACCCCAAAATATAAGAACCTGTTTAGCCAAAAAAATTCCAACAGGTTCTTATATGCGGGGTTAAACTATTTTATTTATAATATTTTACCAAAAAGGTTGTCTTTAGAGATCAAAAAATTGCACAGTGAAACTAAAAATGCACAATGTAACCTCAACTCAATTTGTTTCTGTTACAGAACTGCAGTTTTTCTATATTGACAGTTCTATAGCTGGGAACATATGTTGTGGTTCAATGTTCAAATCAGTTTGATTTTTTGAAACTGCTTTATTTTTTTGAAACTGGTTTTATTTTTTTGAAACTGGTTTGTTCTTGATTATGAGCATTTATTCTATAAAATACTGTAACAGTTTATAATGAAGAACAAACCATATATTATACTACAGTATTTTCTACTCCGTAAAAATTAAGAACCTAATTAAGAACCTACTTAGCCTGAAATGCCAGTAAGTACCCCAAAATATAAGAACCTGTTTTGCCAAACTCTAAAAAAGTAGGTTCTTACACGCGGGTTTTTACTGTAGTCTCTCTTTTTCGTGATCCTCGACGCTCCCGCGCGTGCACTGCCCTCACTAAATCTGAAGAAAAAGAGAGGCTGCTCGCAGTATAGTGCCGCTGTGAAGGGTATGGTTTTCAAGCAGTTTACTCTGGGGTAGGGTATATAAATCAGAGAGTTTGGGTCTAGGATAGGGTATCATTTTCCTGGAAACTGATCAATTGGTTGAACATATTAGCCTAGACAAGGGAAACCGGGAATTGCCACTCAAAATACAAAGAAAGCAAATCGGTTTTGTTTTGGCTAGACTTTGCTAGTGACCTCAGTAGTTTCTGGACAACAGGTACTCTAGGATGGGGGTGGGGGGGATTTTGGGAGTTTAGTCTAGTATAGGGTAGCAAAATTCTGCTGAGCTAGCTCCGATATAAGCTAAGGATTCCAGGGTCCCAGCCTCACATCCCTACCCAAAAATTCCTAAAGTAGCCCCCCGGATTCCCGCATTCGTAGTTTTGATGAGCTCCCCCGTTGGAGAAGGAAGCGGCTGATAGAGGGTCTGTTGCTCCTAAGTCCCGGAAATTAGGGAACTTAAGCACCATAGGCGTACGGGCCGGGGGGGGGAGGGGGGCTGCAGCCCCCCCAAATTTTGGGCAACTCAGATTTTTTGGGCAGCGAGAGAAAATTTGGGCAAAGCCAGTTTTTAAAGACGTCTCCATGTTTATTTAATCAGTTTAAAGACCTGAATATTATCTTGAAGTCGGCGTAATAATCCAGTTACATTACAGTGGTTGCCTAGCATGTGATGAGTAATTTACATATTTGCAGTTTTTTTTGTTGGGCACTATACTGCACTGCACTAGCTGGAATGGGCTATTTCCAGTCGTGAATTGATTAAAATAAACTTTCGCATAACTTTCTAGAATCATCTCTACTCGAAGAACAGAGTATGGCAGATAGCATTTAGCAATGGGTATGAAAATGAAGAAGTGGTTGACTAATTCTCAGTTTGAATTACGAGAAGGTTTACGGTTTAAAATTATTCGCTAATTTGTTGAAGTAGACCGAAATGTTTACAAAACCGCTAACAAGAGTGTCTCGATACATACTAATCCAATCCCTCTTTCGATTCCAGCAATCAAGCAGAGCTATCTCCACGATCTTTCACACATGTTTCTAAAAAGATTAAAACTACTATGAGGTGAAATTGCAGGTCAAAAGCGCTTCGTTTTCTACAGATAAAGGCCAAAAGTCAAGATTTTCCTGTTCTTACCGTATTTCTAATAATAAAACCTTCATTCCAAAATATCTCGATAACGCTCTTAAGGTTTTGCTTAAACTTCACGAACATCGAGGCGACCGTATTGGAGAAAAAAGCTCCTGTGAACGATTTTGTAAGGTTCCCGTGCCGGGAATCATTGCTGAAGTAAAATCGGTAATGGGCGAGGGGAGTCATTTCATTGCTATGACAAATCCGATGTCATTGCAACCCTGATGATGACAAATTTTCATGTTAAAACAACTGTGGTCGCAATTTTTCCAAATGTTTGTTTATGGCGACGTAGTTTATGCTCAGACTTGGTATTGACCCTGAAAAACCGTATCGAGCCACCTTCATATGCCAGGACGGCCTATGTTGTTGCAATATGGCCCTCATTTCTTTTCGACTCTTTCGTAAAAATTTGGGCAACTTGTGAAATTTTTTTGGGCAAATGGTTTACCGCCCCCCCTGGCAAAAAATTTCCCGTACGCCTATGTTAAGCACCAGACGTTCTTGGTACCACGGACGCCAACCAGAAGTATTTTTGCAGCATTTCAGCCACTGCGCATGTCGAGACGTTCTTGGGCTGCAGTCACGGACTTCAAAACGCGAGTTCTCAGGTTGAAACCAGAGGTTCAGATACGTGAGTATGAACACAGTTAAAATTGCTAACATTTGATGTCCAATATAACAGTTTCCAATCCTTGCATATTCTTTTGTTATGTTAGAACTTTAACAGCGTAGTAGAATCTTTGAAAGACATTTTCAACTGAATTATTCTGTCCGCGTTCGTGATGGTTTCACGTCGGTTTGCTTAATGATTTGCATTTTCTGCGTAAATCGCGTCCCCGATCCAGTTCTGCGCTGCCAGCTATGCACGTCTGGTGCTTAAGTTCCCTATTATTTCTTAAATACTGTAAAACTGACCTGTGTTCAGCATTCATCCTTTGTTAAGCGGTCGCTGTCACCTTGTCGGAGGGTCCCAAGAGTTATGTTTTATTAGGGATATTTAGAGTCACGTTTACGGTAGCCTTTTCCAGGCTCCGAGATAGTCGGGTCCGTGGGGATCGAGAAAGCGCGGCTACGTTTACGGAAAACGTCATATTCATGTTGATAAATTCTCAAAATAGAAAATGAGCCGATAAAAAAATCAAAAAAAGCTCAAAACTATTCTTATGAATGAAAACTGGGGTAAATCTACTGATTTCCGTGTATTTGTAATGAACAGTAAACGATAAGTTAAGTGAAAACTTGGTCACGTGGTATAAATTCACGTTTGCTGTTTACCTTATTAAGGTGGCTCGATACAGTTTTTCAGGATCAATACCTCCCAAGTTTGAGGCAGTAAACAGTAACAATTATTCGCTAATTTGTTTAAGTAGAAAAAAATGTTTACAAAACTGCTAACAAGAGCGCCTCGATACATACTAATCAAATCCTTCTTTCTAGCAATCGGCTGGAGTTACCTCCATGATCTTTCACACATTGATAGATCGTTTACACTGTCACCCATCAAAAAAATAAATTGGAAACCGTCCAGTGGAAGAAGCCAAGAAAATGAAATGTTATAAAAGACTAATATACAAACAATTTATTCAAGTCTCAGGTCTTTGTGGTCCACAGTTTCTGAGTTATTTGCAGAAACGTTTCAGGCACCTTTGTAGAACCGTTTTGGTCCACCAATATGGCCGCCGGAGATCGACAAAAACATCTGGAGTTCACTTTTTTATGAAAGCTCTTTCTTTTCACTCGAGAACTAGCTTATGTGCGCATAAACAGATCTTCTAATACTAGAAATGGTTATACTGCTGAAAATCAAGAGGAGAGACTTTTTTTTCAACGAGACAGCATTCCTATTTTGGTGTCACGCACTGTGAAAAGTTCAAATTGCTGTATTTTCGAAATGAAACATGCTACGGGAATGGAAACTTTCACAAAGATTTATTTTTTGTTTATCTTCAACCAAGTGTAAATAAGAATTCGTAAAACCTCGCTAGTTTTACTTTACAATTTGATGACGTCACTGAAAACCATCTATTGTTTTAAAAAAGATTGAAACTACCATGAGGTAAAATTGCTTGTCAAAAGCGCCTCGTTTTCTACAGATAACAGTCGAACATCAAGATTGTCCATTTTTTACCGTATTTCTAACCATAAAAACTTTATCCCAAAATATCTCGATAACACTCTTACAGATTTCGCTTAAACCTCACGAACATCGAGGCGGCTATTGGAGGAAAAAGCTCCCGTGAACGATTTTGGAAGAACAGTTCCCAGTGCCGAGAAATACTGCTGCAAGTAAAATAGGAAATGGCGTCATTTCGTTGCTATGACAACTGAGATGTCATTGCAACCCTGATCATAACAAATTTTCATCTTTGAGTAATACAACTGTGGTAGCAATTTTTCCAAATCTTTGTTTATAGCGACGTAGTTTATGCTTACACTTGAGAGGTGTTGACCTTGAAAAACTGTATCGAGCCACCTTACAACGTCAGTCTAATGGTTATTTCGCTTTTGTCACCATCTTTATTTTCTTGATCCATAAATACTTAGGTTTGCCTGGGTTTGCCAAACCGGGGTCAAACCGTTGTTTTTAAAAATGGTCAACATATGGTTGGCTGTTCCCCAGATTGCGTTACGTTTGTGAAAGCACCGGCCGGCGAAACATGCTCAGCGGTCGTACTCGTACCCGGAAGCTATTTACATGTAAGAGAAGATCCGGCAATAATATGTACGAAATATTTCGTGGATTAAAAGAGTATGACTTTGATGCTCGCCTAAGCTGTCTTTTTACAGAAGAAGTCGATCGTTCATCCTGTAAAGATGGCGATAGTGCGGAGCAAATGGCCCGATATTAACATTCCCGAGAATTTAACACTGACAGAGTTCGTTTACCAGAACTTTGACGAATATGGAGACAGGACGGCGATTGTAAGTGTTTTTTTCCTTCTTCCTCTTCGTGTTCTTCTTCTTCTTCTTCTTTCATAATGAGATTAGGCCCGTTTTAAACGTCGTGCTACTGCCGTGCCGAACTCAATTGATCGAATTAAATTCGACTTTAGGACGGCAGTAGCGCGACGTTTGAAACCAAGTCGTGCTTGCCGTGCTACACGACAGTAGCTCAACTTGGTTTCAAACGTCGTGCTACCGCCGTGCCGAACTCAATTCATGAATTATATGTACATTAGAATATATTAAAAGTTTGCTAAACCGTTTCTTTATTTTTGTGTTTTGTTTTTGGCAACAGCTGTTCCATTCGACTGTCATTGTGTGAATTAAATTCGACTTCTGAAACCAAGTCGTGCTAATGTCGTGCTACAGTCGAGCTACAGTCAAGCCAGCTTAGCACGCCAGTAGCACGACGTTTGAAACAGGCCTTACTTTCTGCACATTCACATTACTTGGAATCATAGGAAAGTGTAGTTTTAGTTCAGAGTGATAGTGCTTGGCAAAGGCCTTACGAAAGGAACTTTGAACTACACTAATGACGGTGTCAGTACTCGGTTACTGGAAGAGCAGGATCGGAGATCTAGAATCAAGGATTAAGGATGGAGGATTAGGGGGTTGATTATTGTACTAGAAAAAGAAAGCAAACCTTTAACCTTTTTGTGCAATTCTATTTATTACAACCATAGAATATTGGTTATTACATACATTTCAGAACTTAGCAAATTAAACTGAGGCACCTTTCATAATTGTCTACATAGTAAATGAAAGCTTTCCAGTAACTCAGTGTGCTACGAAGATTTCTAACGTGAACTTCATTAGGTCATTTTCGATTCTTTAACGCGCTTTAATCTGTAGAAATAACCGTTAAAATATTGGGAGGCCGGGGGTATAGTGGTATAGTATCTCCCCTTCTGCGACCCATACTTCACAACACGAGTGAGTAGGTATAGTAAGTGTGTGGGAGAATCTCAAAACAATCATGGATATAGAAAGCTAAAAAGCCTTCAAAATGTAAGAGTAAACTTGTGTGTTTATCATCAGCTTTAACTGCTCTACAATCCCAAGTAGAAATTAGAATTTAGTAACTATGCGAACATTTTTTTCCAGCTACGTGAAAGCCTTCTGTTAAAATTGTGGGGTTTTTCTTCAAGCTATTCAAGAATACAAGGTAAGTTTTATTGAGGGATGGGAGACTGGGAAAGGGTAAAATTCCGTCAGGGAGGGGTGGCAACGTCGCACATGGTGAACTTCGCAGAAAGTGTAGCCTAAATGAGTGAGAATCGACAATTGTATCTTATGGAAAGTCTCTTTCGCAAAATCTTTCACCGTCACGATTAATACAATCCACCATGTTGAGCTGCAAAAAGGATCGCATTCATTCAGTTCAATTGTCTTCTCCTTAGATCAAACTTTCGTCCCTAAACTCTCCCAATCCTCCTCTGCGGTTAAAATCAAAGAGAGTGATTACGCACAGGGAGTACTGAGTGCTCTCTGGAACTGAAAATATCTCTACACTGCGGATTTTAGTTAGTAAGCTTGAAAAAACAAGTTTATATTTTTAGTTTCAAAGGTGTTTCTGATTCACGCAAATGTTTGACATACTTTCCGGTAATGTGTAAAATAACTGACCTTAGTTTACCGGCAGTATGCAAGTACATACTTCACAACCACCGTACTTATACTAACCGATGGGATTATTTCTTAAAAGGTGACACTTGCTCCCCTTGTCCCTCCCCTGGTATCATTCCTGGCCAAGCATCCCTTGGTAGACAAGTTCGACCTGTCAAGCCTCAAGGCAATCTCCTCGGGTGCGGCTCCCTTATCGCGTGATCTGGAGGTAAAAGTTGCCGAGAGGATACCTAACTTAGAGAGGGTTGCACAAGGTAAAAAATTAAGTGACCAGAAGTTTTGTTTGCTACCAGTTTTGTATGTAAAATACCAAACTTAGCCTAGTTTCTGTATGTCGTTTGTCCTAGGCCTTCACGGTCGCGCATTTTCGCGACGACAAGATCCGAAATGAAATAAAGAGGCCTAGGCTCAGGAGTCCATAATCCAGAAAGAGTAACACCAACGATAGGCCTCTGTTGCAGAGTTTTCAAGGACCAGTTTATTTTTAATTACATTTAAGAGCACTTTTCCTCCCGAGAATGGAAGCTCCTCTCCGTGAAAACAACGTGACACTGGGACATGGAAGTTGCTCGCTCCGGGTTATGGGCTCCTGGCAGGTAAAACTGAGAAATATACGGCAGCCGCGCCTGCCTGTTTGGCAAACGAAACGGAAGAAAACATCGAGCGTGCTGTTTGTGTTCTCGCCTGACCCCCTTTCCCTAGCTTTGGGTTTTCGTGTGCCTGAATTTCTTCTTTTCCCCATTTGTGTTCTCACACCACTCGATTTTTTCCGTTCCCGGCTTCGAATTCTCGCGCGCCCTAATTTCTCCTTTTCCCTTCGTGTTTTCGCGCCACCCGATTTCCCCCTCTTCCTCTATCCCCTTGGAGTTCCCGTACGCCCGAAATTTCCCCTTTCCCCTTGGAGTTCCTGCATGCCCGACTTTTCCCCTTTCCCCTTGGTGTTCTCGCGCGCCCGATTGTCCCTTTTTTTCTTTGTGTTCCCGCTCGCCCGAACTTTCCCCTTTCCCCTTGGTGTTCTCTGGCACCCGATTTTCCTTTTTTACCCTTGATGTTCCTGCACGCCCGATTTCCCCTATCCCCCTGGTTTTCCCGAGCGCCGAATTCAACGAATTCAATGCAAGTGTTTTATTATTCATTCAAAATATTTCTAACTTCTTAACATCCTTACCTTCACGTATACTTTCTTCAAAACATTTGCCGTTTAAACATAGGAAGGTTGAGCATGATTTTAGGAAACTTACCTATATATCTATTCTATACGATTTCCCTCCTTTTAGATTTTTCAAGTGACATTCGTTATTAAAAATTGAATCAAATTATTCACATCTTTAAAATGATGACCTCCTTCTACGCGCTCGGTTATCATGAAGAAGGCCCCCGAAACTCAGGCATTATCATCGAAAGACGTTGCCCATCAAAAGTTTTTCCGAATACACTTATGATCGAGACCTCAAACGGCTTAAATAAATTTTCTCTTGGTTCATCTCCTAGGATTTGGAATGACGGAAACTAGTGGAACGACCCATTTCAGGTCTCCAGATAAGGAAACAGTTCCTGGTTCTGTGGGTGTTCTGTTGTCCAACTTGGAATGCAAGGTAGGCACTGTATAACGAGTGAACGTCGATGAACTTGTAAAGGGATTTAGGGTCACGTTTGCGGCTAACGGCAAACGTCAATTTGTAAAATAATGTGACCAAGTTTCCGCTATACTTGTCGTTTTGTGTTGATTATTTGTGCATATACTAAACATTAGAAGTTTCATGCCAGGCTCATCAATAGGAATCAGTTTGGATAGCTTTTACCTTCTCATTTCCACATTTGAGAACTGAAGATTGTCAATTTGAATCTAACGTTTGCCGTAAACGTCACTCTAAATCTCTACAATGCGACAAACGGGATGGGATCATTATACGTTTCAGGGAAACTGCTCACCTACTCCTCCCCTAAGCCAACAATAACACTTAATTCTCACTTGGGGCAAAATGTTGGCTTAGGGGAGGGGTAGGTGGGCAGTTTCCCAGAAACAGATAATGACAAACTACTAAGCTTCGCTCCTAATGAGACATGAGGCTGCCCTTAAGTCCTCCATTTTTCACGATCTTTTTCTGCTTTAACCCACGTAACTTAATATTTACATAATTAAGGCACGCGTTGTGTTCCATCTGTTGTTCTTGAAAATGAGAATGAAACTCCACCGAGCAGAATTTAAGTGTACATTATTTATTACGTTTTACAATTGACATATTTTTTTGCGCCATATTCATTATACCGTGCAAGAGGGTCCTAACCTTTAGAGTCTTCATGGCCAATCAGGTGACAGCGATTGCACAGTACTGTCCTGTGGTACTCTCCATTATGCTGAATTCACATTTACAGTCGAACCTCTCAAAAACATTCAGCGCCCCCTATTTTTTATTTTGCTCCGCCGCTGCTGACGAACCGCTATTGAGCGGCCACTTTGCCGGTATCCCGAAGGTGATCGCTTAACTTGAAGGTTCAATTGTATTGTTCCCAGATTATTGATCCCGATACTGGTGACATTCTTGGACCAAACCAGGACGGAGAAATGTGCTTCAGAGGACCAACTGTAATGAAAGGTGCATAGACAAACATCTAGTGCTTGATCAGTCTTTTTTACCATCATATTACGAGGCGAGCAGTTAATCTAAGTTAACTACTGTGTATAAGCCCAGGTTAATTTTCTTCGTCCGTTAATTAATTTTTTTGCATCTTCGCACGATGTTCAATGTATCGACGCCAGTCATATTTTTGATTTTATAGTGAACTGTACAATGGTTAGGGAGATAGAAAAACTAACAGACTATAGCTATTTGTCTTTTCCTTCGAGACCATTTTTGTTCCAACAATTGGTGATTTTGTGTTATGTTGATCCTCTTAAGGTTACTTGGACAACCCAGAAGCCACTGCACAAGCAATTGATAGCGACGGCTGGCTTCACACAGGAGACATCGCACATTATGACGAAGATGAATTTTTCTTCATTGTTGATCGAATTAAAGAACTTATCAAGTACAAAGGCTTCCAAGTAGGTTTAACGAGTACAGCTCATATATTATATCCAGTGCATTTTCCCTTTAATAGTTTGCCACTCAATACTGTTTGTCACTTATAACTTAACGCAACATGGTGATTGGTAAAGCTAGAAAAATTAATAATTTCTGGTCGTCGTATTCAAAGAATACGTGCGTTCACTACAATAATCATTTTCACCATTATTATTACTGTCATTGGCTAGGGTCATTGTCATTATCATTGGTCACTGTATGTCATTGTCGTTTTCATTGCACATGGTCTCTGCTATTGTTACTAAGGAGCTTAAGCAACGACGACGGCGACGGCAACAAGAACGGCAAAAAAGCAATGGGTTTAAATTGGCAAAACAACAACTATGCACGTGCATCACGCTTTTTAGTACATTTCTTAGCCGTCGTTGCTCGACTACAATCTGAAAGTGCCTCATTTCGCGTTTTTAGAACTCAACTCCAGAAAAAATTGCCAACATTTGACGAACTGAACGAGATGGAATAAGCGCGATAAAGTTCGAAGCAGCGCGACTTCACTTTTTAAGTGACGTCTTCGTAGCCGTCGCCGTCGTGGTTGCTTAAGCTCCCTACTACTGTCACTAGTACCGCCGCGGTTATCGCCATCGTCGTTGTCATCGTTATCGACATGGTTATTGTCATTTTCACGGCGATCGTTCTTCGTTATCGTCATCATCATCGTTTTCATTTCTGCTGTCATCATGGACGTCTTCATTTACATTGCCATCGTCATTGTCAATGTAATCAATCATTGTTATTGTCATTTTCATCGGCATTGTCATTGTGCTGTCGTCATAGTCATTTTATTCTGGCAACAGTAACTTGATTAGGTCTACTGCTTTCTGGACTGTTCATAGTCCAGCGTAAAAATCTACCAAATTGGAAAGGACCTCAATTTTCCACAAAGATACATGTATTTGCTATTATCATTTTATGATCATGTGGCGTTTTATCACCTTATCTAACAGGTCCCTCCGGCTGAAGTTGAAAAGGTGTTAACTGCTCACCCAAACATCGATGATGCTGCAGTGATCGGAGTTCCCGATCCTGAAGCGGGCGAAGTGCCGAAAGCCTTTGTTGTCCGTCGTGGCGAGGTGACTGCAGACGAAATCATGGAATTCTTGTCTTCTCGAGTTGCTCCACATAAAAAGCTCAGGGGAGGGGTGGAGTTTGTCGACCAGATACCAAAATCTGCCAGTGGGAAGATATTACGAAGGGTTCTTAGAAATAAACAAAACGAAAACGCTGTGTAGTAGATCACAGCTGAGAAGCGAGTGGACAGCTTCTGTAAGCGCCACCTGCTTACAAAAGGATTGCTCAGAGTTGGTTGGTATTGGTTGCTGTCATTTTTCCCCGGGGAGGGGGGCACTTCCTATAATTGCCTATGCGGGGGGCTCCGCCCGAAAGAAGCACTATTTTTAGGCTCCATTTATATCAAAGGTAGGGAATTCACAAATTGAAGTTAATGAAAGGGTAGGAAAATCCATCATTTTTAATAAGTACTTCAAAGGGGTATTGATTAAAATGTTTAGAAAAGACGCCCTTTAAAGACATGCTTTTAAGGTTTTTAGTTTTGTTTTATTGCACGTCACACGAAAATGATAAGAAGACTTTCTGTTGTAGCGGTTTATTCTTATTAAGTAGGTATATTATCTCCCTTGGGAAACCTGCCAACGATGCAGTATCTCCGGTCCTTTACGGGTGGAGAGAAGCAGATACAGTATGTCTGCTTTCTCAGGGTACCCCTTGGGCGTTCGTCTATGATTTTTTTTTTACTCTCTACAAGGCGGACATAGCAGTGCCTGTTCCCATGGTATCCTAGTTCTTACAGAGAATTTAGTACTTGCCTGAAAGAAAAGTCACCTTAAGCTGCATCCTTTAGTCATCTTTTTACCGGTTGAGGATGGGGCAAGGGGTACTGGCCACAGTCAGTCAATGAGAGTGTCTAGTATTCTTGCTGACCTATAAATCGGTGCCGTATATTACTTATGCCATCGACGAAATGGCTGATTGTATAAGTACCACAACCCATTTGCCGTTGTCTTACGAATACTGTCTACTCAGAACTTCTATAGGTACTTTAAAGTGTGCGCCTATTAAACCATTACAGAAAAGCGAATTATTCTTTAACCATCCTTGAATAATTACTTACGTTTTACGTACGTATAATTTCAATAAAATGCCTTTAACATTGTCGAATCTACCTCACTCAGAGTACAAAGGTTGAAGTTTCCCATGTACAAAATGTAAATGACCTCTGTATAGTACCAATGATTTTACAGTTAACTGGTACACAAGTACAGGCACTCCTTGCAAGTATTTCTCGATTGGGTTCAGGCGAGAAAATATTCAATGATTTGACGTTTTCTAATCCCGGAGTCTAATTTATTGGTGCCATATCTAAACGTTAGTTGTTTAAGGTTTTGCTATTTAAATCAGCATTTGCGCGCGCAGAAAGATACCAGCTTATTTAAAATGTTTTGCAGACCAACAGTTATTTCTTAGGAGAAAATATTCAATGATTTGACGTTTTCTAATCCCGGAGTCTAATTTATTGGTGCCATATCTAAACGTTAGTTGTTGAAGGTTTTGCTATTTAAATCAGCATTTGCGCGCGCAGAAAGATACCAGCTTATTTAAAATGTTTTGCAGACCAACAGTTATTTCTTAGGAATCACCTCAATAGCATCGCTGAGCCATTTTTCCACCACACTTTGGCATCACTGTTCCACTTTTCATCAGTTCTATCACACTACATGATCAATGTGCCATCCACTATTCCACCACACCTTAGTACCACTATGCCACTGTTCCAGTCAGTTCCACCACACTTTACTGTCACTATGCCACTGTTCCACCACATTTTACTATCACTGTGACTCTGTGCTACTGTTTCACTGTTCCACCATACTTAACTGTTACGTGACACTGTCACACTTTTCCACTGTTGTACCACACTTTACTGTCACCGTGACTCCGTGCCATTGTTCCGCCACTCTGTACTATCACTGTGACACTAGTGCCACTTTTCCACCGAACTTTACTATCACTGTGACACTGTTACATCACACTTTACTATTACTGTGAGACCGGCTCTGCCACTGTTCCACTGTTGTACCACTCTTTACTGTCACTGCGACACTATGCCACTCAGTTCCACCACACTTTTCTATCACTATACCACTGTTTCACCACATTTTACTATCACTGTGACTCTGTGCCACTTGACAAGGCACTGTGATTGGCTTAAGCCCAATCCTGGGCCGCCCATTGCTAATTTTTCACTGTCCCGATGCTTTAGCCTGCGCCGCAGACGTAATTTAACCTACGATGCGTAAGCGTCACGCGTGTCTGGACGGGTTTTGTGACATAAAAACATGGACTGAGGACACTACGCGTGTCTAGACGCAAGTGTTTGGTTAAGTCTAGACGGAATATGAACTGGGGACTATGGACTTCGGATTGGTTATAAACCGGGGACTAGAATTACGAAGCTACGGACTTCGTAGCACGGATTAGGTATACATTTTAAAACGCGGACCACAGACTTATTGTTATAAAAAACGGCTTTGATATAAACAGATTGCGGACGGGCATAAGACAGTCCTAGCCTCCCATCCTGGGTGAGTAATGAAAACTTTAGGTGGTTTCAAAATGTACACACGTAGTATTTACAGGTCTGCTTAAATCCTCGATTTTGTTCTTTCCAGCTGATACAAAATCTTGAAAGGCGTGACCAGACTTAGGATTGCGTTACGTTAAAAGAACAGATAAAACATGCGCAATGGTTGCAGACATTTAGGCTCGTCACACAACCTCTGCAAAGAGGAACTCTTGACGAAGCCTTGAGACCGTCTAGTCTGCGTGGGAAGCCGTAAGAACATAAAACTGTAAAACGAACACCCTGCGCAAGTTAAGAAAACTTTAGATGGTTTCAACATGTATACACGGAGTATTTACAGGAGGGTCTGAATGGGGGGGGGGTCCATTTGTCGGTTGTCGGTTAAAATTCAGTTACTTTGTCGGTAGTCGGTTAAAATTTTCGATCTTTGTCGGTAGTCGGTTAAACTTCTTGATTATTGTTGGTTATCCGAAAATCTCAGTTAGTAAGTAAAAACGCTTGTTAATTATTAATATTTTTTATGTATTTCACCAAGTTTCAAGACTTTGATCCCAAGGGAAAGAGTAAAACTTGTAAGAATGCATCATTTGATTGCCACTTAAACTTCATTAACTCTTGTTTGTTTATGCAACATGATCGTCAGGAGCCGATCGGCTCCTGTGGTCGTTTATTTCACCATTGTTTGCCAAATGAATATCATGCGTACTGATAAGATCACCAAACGTTTTACTGTAAATGCGAACTTGGTTTCCCTGTCGATTACACGGCACAGTAAAAAGTAATTAATTAATTAATGGACACCAGCCTTTTGGATACTTAAATTATCAGCTTAGTGGAAAAATGCAAGGGGTGACGGGCTGCACATCTATCCTTTGCCATAAGTTTCCTTCCTCAAAGAAATAACACTTTAACCCTCGGACATACAAGGGATGGAGGGTGGATGCCACCCCCTTTAGGTTTTCTGGGATTTTTCCAAGAGGATAAAACATCAGCACCTGAGGTTTTCAGTAGATGTTCGTTTATCCCTCGCACGCATTTTGAGAAAAGTTCAGTGATGATCAGTTTCTATGGTTACGAGGTATGACGTAATAAGTAGCAGGTTGTCAAGCCATTTTCAGTGAAAATATATGTTTTTTCCAACTTTTTTCAACAATAAAAGAAAAATCTTGTAGCTAAAATCATGCAAAGTGCTTATTTATGTGTTATTATTCATGTCAAGCAATAAACATTTCTCTTTGTTTTAACCTGTTTTGTAATTCTTTGTAATATCCAAGATGGCGGCAAACATGGCGACCATCGTTGGTGACGTAACAGGCCTCCAGCAGTGCCACCATTCATAAAATATACCTCATCTTGTTGAGAAGATCAAACGCTTTTCAGTGAAGGCAAAATCGCTTCAAAATACTGCAGCATATCAAAAACTCTGGGGAGGGGTTCCATCTACCATCAGTCTTGTACCATGGTGGGGGGTATGATATTGCGTGTACGTCTGAGGGTTAAGTTGGCAAGGTAGTGGTTGGTTTTGTGTGAGATTACACTTTTACATTAAAGTTTCTTTTATAATAGACACTAAGGGCTTGTATTGTGTTACGAAAGGCAATATTTCTTTTTCTTCCTTGTTGTTTTGTTTCAGGAGCGCTGCTTTTCTCTTCTGAGTTTTACTTCTAATAGCAATTTTTATTTCAAAATTATGTGGCCAGCCTCTGTCCATCAAACGCTTTTTGAAATCTGAAATACTTCCTCAGAGGAGTTTGTTCGTAGGATACTCAAGGCCAAATCCATTTTAACATTCGGTGGGTAGTAAGAGGTGAAAATGTATATACGTCTTTACGTCAATGATAGCTTTTTCTCATTTTTCGTTGAATGTTGTGCCTTGGTATACAACGGGGTATAAAAAGATTGTCTCAGTGTCACATATTCCGGGCGTAAATTTCATAGCCAGTAGAGCAGTAGGGTGAAGTAAGTTTACTTGTTCCGTGAATTTGAAGAAATCTACCATGTCTGGTTTACTTATGTCCCATAGGGAAAAAATATCATCTATGTAGCATTTTCAAACAGGAATTGGTTTAAAGACGGTTTTGCTTAAACTTTCTGTTTCAATATATGCGGCCACGAAAATGTTGGAAAGGAAACTGCTGTATGTGCTCATCGCGGTACTGTGGTTTCTTACTGATAGTGCTTTCCATTAAACTGGAAAGAATTTTCTTTCAGGATTAATCAAAACATTTCTCGGACCGAATCAAGAAATGTTCAGTTTTTTCAGCTTTGTCTTTTCAATAAAATACATAAAGTCCGCGGTAGCATCTTTAAGGACTTAACTGTGGCTTCTGTGATTATGGTTGTAGTAATGTAGCCGTATCAACGAAAGAGTAAGTTCTTTCTGTTAGACCATCTGATGAGTCAAATTTAAAGAGGTTACTTCCTAACGGCTGGAAAAAAAATGCAAAATGCTCTTTTTTTCTGAAACAAATATTGATAATGTCAGCCCATGTCGGTAGTCGGTTAATATTTTTCCTGTCGGTAGTCGGTAATTTTTTACTCGTTTTGTCGGTAGTCAGTAATATTTTTAGCCCTTTGTCGCTAGTCGGTTAACCCCATTCACACCCTCTTACAGGTCTGCTTAAATCCTCGATTTGGTTCTTTGCAGCTGATATAAAATCTTGAAAGGCGTGACCAGACTTAGGATTGCGTTACGTTAAAAGAACAGACAAAACATGCGCAATGGTTGCACATATTTTTGTACACCCGACAAGTGATGCGTCTTGTTTGGATTTTACACTGTAAATACTGTACGTATAAAGGAATGATCGGGAGTTCATAATCGGTAACCATCGTAAAAGAAGGGCGAGTGTTCATGCCATACTATGGCTATCATACGAAGCAAATGGCCGGACATAAACATTCCTGAGAATTTATCTTTGACTGAATTCGTTTTCAAGAACTTCGACATTTATGGAAACAGGCCAGCGATTGTAAGAGTTCTCTACTTTTCCTTAATTTGTGTTAAGTGGTTTGTTTTATTTTATGTCAATTTGCTCATTCCCTTTTTAAGATCTGCTGAATGTTTCAGCGTTTGGTTTTGTCGGTTTTATTCGCCTTACTTCATTCTTGTCGTCTTGCTTTTAAGCAGAGGGCGATCGGGCACGATCAGTAGCTTTTGGTTGTGTTGTTGAAAAATACATTGAAAGTAACAAGAAGTGCTAAGAACGTATAGAGGACTCTCCGTTTTCTGTATACGGTTTTAGTGTTTTTTGTTCCTTTCAATTTATTTCATTAGGCTTTTTGTGCTTTGTTTTCATTAATATTTGTCCAAGGCATGGCTCGATTGCGTGACAGCTGTTTTTTTTTCACGTACAACAAAAACGTTGCTGTCGTCAAAATGGAGTATGGGTGCCATAGAGTGAAAATATTGTACTTGGAAATGTAGTTTTTTTCGGAACACCTATTACAAATTTATGTTCCAGTGGACAGTTGTTTTGCCCAAATTTTGGGACAAATCTTCTCTACAGGAGTTAATTCACTTCAAAGCAAAACAAATATGTAGGCGTTAAGGCATATTACATGAAAGGGATTAAAAGGTCCCACTTCCGGTTGACATGCAATGCTCAAAAACGTTCCCATTATCTCCCAGGTAATTGTTCAACAGTTTTTAAGTCATGTGTTCCCACAATGTGGCTTTTTCATATTTTTTTACACCACTTTACAAAAGGAAAGTCAGTCCCAATGCCACTCTTCAAATTCATGATACTTCCTGAAGGGACACTATGGCTGCCTTTATTCTCTTCAGGAACCTGATGCAGGTGTCCTTTGCTGATCGAGTGAACATATTTGTCTTATACAGATTGATGCTTTTTCTGGAAGATTTATTACCTTTGCTGAGCTCAAAGATAAAACACGCCGCTTCAGCTCTGCACTGGCAAAGAGAGGCTTTAAAAAGGGTGATGTCATGGCTATGTATCTTCCAAATGTTATAGAATACCCGATTATCTTCCACAGCGCTGCAAACCTGGGTGGAGTTGTCACAACACTAAATCCCCAATGCACTCGAGAAGAACTTTGTCGCTTCCTGAAAATCTCCAGGGCAAATTTCCTAGTAACCTCTCCTGATCTTGCCCAAAAAGCTTTCAATAGTGGCGTTCTGGAAAAAGTTTGTTCGGTCTTTGTCATTGGGCAATCGGAGAACTTCGAATCTGTTTCCTCTCTTTTAGCCGACGATGGAACAGCATTCCCCAAGGATGTGAAAATCAATCCAAGAGAAGATGTTGTGACTTTGTTATTCTCTAGTGGAACAACAGGGGCTTCCAAAGGAGTGATGCTCACGCATTATAATCTTATAGCACAGTGTCGTATCATTTATGGAGATTTTAACCCTCTTGAGGACACAGGAACTGTTATCAATGTGTTACCTCTTTTCCACGTCTATGGCTTATCAGTAATTTGCTGGTCACGTCTTCACGCTGGGCGTAAAATTGTTCTGCTGAGACGTTTTGATCCTAAAGTGTTTCTCCAAGCTATTCAAGACTACAAGGTTAGTTTCTAATGGAAAAATGACCTTGGATCTACAAAAAAAAAGTGTCAATGTGTTTTGACAGGAAAGACTGCCAGGAAAGGACTCAAGAGAGGGGATCAGAAGCACGAATTCCGCAAGGACCATCTCTCATCCCTCGGGCCTTCAGAACTCCTCCGCCCATCCCCCCCCCCCTGTCACATTCATCCATGAAACTAGGCAAAACAGGTGTTTATTATCATGTCTTCTATCTGACTGATTCTCAACAGGTGACAGATGCTGTGCTTGTCCCTCCTTTGGTGTTATTTTTAGTCAATAATCCGCTGGTACATAAGTTCGCCTTGTCAAGCCTCAAGCATGTCGTGTCAGCCGCGGCTCCTCTCGCTAAAAAACTGGAAGAAAGTGTTAAAAAGAGGATAGCTTCTATAGAGACTGTGCGACAAGGTTGGAATACAACCAGACCAAGGTTTTATGCCTCCTAAACTAGCCTGTGAATACAGCTGCCTCTCCTTCCTCCTCGCCACTCTCCGATGAAACACCCTTAGTGTCAAGGGGTGTGGAGAAATGGCTGTATTTTCCGGCTACTATCCAAATTGGCTCTTAAGCTATTTTCTAGATGACTATATAGTAACCCTCAAAAGTAAATTGCCAGTCTGTTGCGAGTATCTATTCTCTCTTACCAATTATTCTTGTGGGAATCGAGTAGTGAGAATCGAGAAATAGTTATGGAGAATAACAAACGATTCACCATGACTGATTTCTTGATGATCTATCTTTGAAATTCAGCGAAAAACTGATGCGGACATGCCTCCTGAAACCGTTACCTTTTTTGGCCTACAAAGCTCATTCCCTGAGCTTTTGTTCTCAAGAGGCAAATCGAAATGATAAATCCTCACTCGTAGTCCCTCAAACCGAAAAGGAAGTGCGTCGCCCAGAAATAATAATTCTGACAGCTTTATGATGGAAGCCAGCGCAGGGGAGCTCCATGGGTAATTAAAGAAAAAATGGTAGCCTATAGATGCGAGAAAGTTTTGTGCTCACGTGACCGTCTGTCCGTACGTCCGTTCGTCCACCCCATACATGTAAGCTGATGTCAAATGTCATATTTCGTACTACTACACTGACGTGCATAACAGAGAAAGAGCTAGAGCGATCTACTGCATCTGTTTTGCCACAATTCAACTATCATTTTACCCTGCGAGCAGAGTTTACTCTGTTGCGTGGCTCAGTTTAGCGTTTACGAAGTCGTTCGCGTCACTTGTCAGGCGTACATACAAACCAGCTACGCGACTGACAAGCGACTCGAACGACTTCCTAAACGCTAAAAGCCATGCAAGAGAGAAAACTTTGCTCGCAGGGTACTATCATTTTTCATACATTCATTTTTCATTCGTTATCTTCTTTTTTAGGTTTTGGGATGACAGAATTATCAGGAGGATCCCATGTAGTAAAGGACAAGTTAGTCCCTGGATCTGTCGGTGTTTTATTGCCCAACTTAGAATGTAAGGTAGGTCTAGACTTTTAAAACTTTCTTAAACCAGGTGCTTTTTCTTTATTTCAGCACTTAACCAGTCACGAGGGTATTTGTTTTGTGGTGAAAAAAGGACGTTTTTGAACGACGCACATTAACCGGAAGTGGATACTTCTCTCTCCTTGTAAACCTCTTACGGAGTATATAGTTATTTCGAAAAAAAGTGCATGTAACGGTGAAAAACTTTGCGGGAATGACCTTTTAGAGTGTTTTAGAAAAGCGTTCACATATCATCCTTTAAGCGACAGCTATGCTCTTCTCAGTAAACCTTGTCCAGTCTAATAGTTCAGTTTTAGGATCATACTCACTCATTTGTCACTTATTAACGCTAGCTTGGCTTCCATGTCAGTAAAAATGGTTCGTTAGTCCGAATACTGATACGAAAAAAATCAATCACTCACTTACTGTTTCTGCTGTAGAGAACGTCCGCTTACAAGATGTTCCACTATACGCCCCAAGCTGGTTTTTTTCTAGTTTAACCCCGACTGACCACTGTTTCTCACGGTTTCAGTCTTTAAACCTACATTTTTTTGTTTTTCTCTCCTGAACATATCTCAGATTATTGATCCTGATACGGGCAAAATCCTTGGGCCAAACCAGGACGGAGAAATGTGTATCAGGGGACCAACTGTAATGAAAGGTAAGGTCACACACCCGAGGGGTCCTTGTGGAAATTCTGGTCTATGGTCCCGCTTTTCGCCTGTCATACGCAATGCGCTCAGTATTTAAATGTAGCTCTTAATCTCTAACTCTTTTATTACAAGAATTCGATTCTGAATTTGATTGGTAAGAATAACTGCTTTGGTTTTTGTCTAGTTTCAATCATCCTTTTTTCCAAAAATTGTTAATACCATTCATGCGCGTAAATATCAGTACGTTTGAGATTCCCTTTTTTCGTTTGCTAGGTTACTTAGACAACCCAGAAGCCACAGCACAAACAATTGATAGTAAAGGCTGGTTACACACAGGAGACATCGCACGTTATGACGAAGATGGACATTTCTTTATTGTTGGTCGTATCAAAGAACTGATTAAATACAAAGGATTTCAGGTACTTATTCCTCGAGTAAGAAGTTCCTCGCTCTCAGGTTGTTCTGTTCACAGACCCTCTCTTTTCTCTTAAGAAAATAAAAACCGGGGCCTAGTTGTTCGAAGGCTCCGGATTAGCGCTAACCCGGAGTTTGAAGAACCCGGCCCGGGGGGATGTATATGCTATGAGAGGCTTTTCTCTCTTCCAGGTCCCTCCCGTGGAACTTGAATCATTGTTGATGACACACCCGAACATCGATGACGCGGCGGTAGTCGGAGTCCCGGATCTCGAAGCCGGAGAACTGCCGAAAGCGTATGTCGTCCGTCGCGGAAACGTAACTTCACGCGAAATAATGGAGTTTGTCGCTAAGAAAGTCCAGCCACAGAAAAAGCTCAGGGGTGGAGTGGAGTTTGTCAGCGCTATTCCCAAGTCATCTACTGGCAAAATACTACGTCGCGTCCTTAGGAAAAATGAAAATTCTAAAAGTCACCTCTAGAACCCCTCAATCATCTCTCCGCCTGAGGCTGGGGTTGGAGGAGTGGGGAGAACAAAGAGACAAGCAAAGCAAAAGTAATGATAAAAGAACGGCATTGATTTGCACCAACCAGACCCAGCCCATGCTACCATTAGAAACTATAATCTGCGAAATTCAACAAAAAATGTTCCCCTTCTTCGACACAAACTGACCGTACGAACACAGACGTATACCCGGTCGTCCTACCCTGGGTGCCAGAGACTTTTCTAGCGCGGTTTCCGGTTTCTGTCAAGTCTTTAGCTTTGGCCTACGGCCGAAGACGTGTCGGCCTTCGGCCAACACCGAAAATTCCCGCCGCACGCGAGAAAAACCTCTGGTACCCAGGGTACGGTCGTCCCTTCTCTCCACCCGAAAGTTACTTTTCGGGTGGAGAGAAGCGACGACCGGAAATGCGTGTGTTCGCAAGCTACGACGCAAAGGAATTTAATAAAAAAACAGTCTGTTATATTTACAGTGGGGCTAAGCTATGAAATAAACATCCAGAGGAGGTCCGAAGTTGTGAGACCTTCGCGTCATTAAAACGACAGTCAAAGTCCACTGGCATTTGATTGGCCACTAGGTCACTGATCATTTCGTGTGAATACTAGAGGAATTGTTTTATATTATTTTAGGTAGTACAGAATGTTTTAGATTGTTTAATTTTTTAACAGTATTTAATATGTAGAGCATGCTCAAGACTTTGGATATTGTACATGTCCAGCCGTGAGTTTTCCATCAGAAAAAAAAAGAAGTCAGCCTTTTACTACGTAGCATACGAGCGTGTTGAATCTCCTGCATGTAGTCAGTGGCATACCGTCATGCGATCAATCCGGTGGTATGCAAGCCTCGGCTGCTAAACAAGCCTCCGGTGGTATACAAGCCTCGGCTTTTTTTGCTCTTCTCCTTTCTTTGTTTTTTTTTCCTCAGTGTATATGTCACATTGTTTTTTTTTTTACCCAAGCCTCGCCAGATTCTGCGAGACACGCATTTCTAGCAATGATTTGCAATGATTTTAATATCAAGGTTGTATCTGCAACCTCAAAATATACAGCCATTTCGAAAAAGGTTGTCGCAAAAAGTGCACGGGACAATCCCGAAAGGGATTGTGGGTGACTGTGAGTTATATATTCATCTTCTAAGAAGTTTAAAAGAATGGCACGAGAGGCCTTGGAAGTATGTTTGTGAGTGTTAAAGGAAAGCAACAAAAGTAGGTTCGACAGCTCAGTTGGTCAGGAACAGTGTATTGACCATATCCCATATTACCTTTCGGGTTGTCGCGTGCACATTTTTTCCGACAACCTGTCTATGGACCATGCAAAGTCTGTTTAATAGCAGGAAATGAAATAAAAATTTGATTATGAAAGCCCTGGAAATGAAGTTGCCGAAAATTGCCGTGTTTCCACTTAATTGTAATGATCAATATAATCATTTGATCAAAAGGAACAACGCTTCAGACGTTTCAGTCTTTCCCCTTAAAAAAAATTGCTGTTGCTCGATATATCTAATAAAAGTCTAAAAAACAAAGCCGAAACTGTTCATCAGTAGAATCTAAAATGTCTGCAATCTAATGTGTCAAGAGTTCTATTAACAATGGCTCTTGAATAGCATCCAAACTGAAAATCTCGTACCCATGGCCGAGGTTATGGCCGAGGAATCTGGGCACAATTCTCGGTACGAGTTTGAGTTCAAAGTCCCCAGTCTCCTGACGACACAGCTTGGGGCTTGTGGTACGAGAACACTCCGCACTGAAATGGCGTTGAAGAGTAAATACAGCGACGTTTATATTCCCGACAACCTTTCATGGCCTCACTTTGTGTTCCAGAACTTTGAAAGATACGGAGACCAGACCGCAGTGGTAAGAGAAATTCAAAATGATGTTTGTTAAATGAGAACACATACAGTCCGATTTCTGAAAAACGTTTCCTTGGTGTACATAAGCTTATAAAATATCTATGGTTGGGGTTGGGGTCAGCTGGATTCAAGCTTATCATTCCACTCTGTCTATTTATTTTTCGTCTATGGCTGAAACTAGTAATAATTGAAGTTTAGGGTGTGCGGACGAGATCAATGCGAAAGAACAAAGCTGTGTTCTGCGAGAAGGCAAAACGCGCGTGATCAGATGAAGAGTGATCACGGGTGATCAGATGAAGAGTGATCACGGGCGGCCCAGTGTGGTTAGCCTGTTCCAGGCGTTCAGATAGTGGGGAGCGGTGCGAAGTAAAAGGAGCGCGAAAAAATAAAAGCGAGGGAGGGGGAGAGGTGAGAGAGGGAACGCCTGTTAGATTTGTTTTAAATAGACTCATCCGCCCACTCAGACCTCATCAGCTGTAGGTGGTCTTCACTTGTCAATCAAGACTGATGTTACAGCCCGATACAATTATTTTTTTTCTTACGAATAAATCAAAATTTCTCAGATCAAAAATTAATATTATGTATACATAATCTTACGAAAAACCTATGTAAGACTTTCAGACAATAGAGAGCGCGAGAAGTAATTTATTTACAGCTTTAAAACATGATTTCAGTGTGTACGTGACAAAAAAATTATGAATCAAGTGACAAACAAATATCGCTCATTGCGATAGAAAGCCGTCTCTATAAAGATCGTTAACTCGAGCAATGAAAATGCCCAACAAACGAAGGGAAAATTTACTATTCGGTGACTGAGTGGACCTCGTCAATAGCGATAGCTGCAACTTGCTTTCCAAGCTTTCCTTTTGAAGTCCTTTTGTCCATTCCTTAGACAACCACGATTTGTGACTGCAGTACGCCTTTGAGTGAATTTTTAAGGATCATACAATTTCACAGCTTCCACTAACCCTAACCACTTAACGGCTTCATCCACATCTTCTCCCATCATTGCCGCCGCTACTCCGATTTTGTTCAACTGTTCCATTTGGTCTTTCATGATGGCAATCAACGGAGTTACCACAACAATCGTAAATGGCATTCTATCCTGCCTTCATTCCAACGCACGCTTCATTCGAGGAAAAAGCTGGAAAATAAGTCTTTTTCCAAAGCCAGTTGGTGAAATTGCGAAGACATCTATCCTGCCGACTACGTGTTTTAAACAGCTCCTTTGCTCTTTGCGTTTAGCCTCCACGTTTGGAAAGTCACTCAGTGCTGTGTTTGTTGCGAGTTCGAATTCTGGACGGGACGTAGAGTCTGTCATCACTGCCATATCGCATTTCTCACTGTGATCGAAGACGCTCCACTGTTGACAAAAACTGTCAAAATCAACCAATCAGAGGGTATACCATGATCTGGTATACCGGTTCGCACTTTTGTTAAAAATTCTTACAAGCGTTCCCGCACCTCTCTCCCCAGCCCCCCTCTACTTTTCATCCCTTCCTTTACTTCGCACCGCTCTCCACTATCTGAACGCTTGGAACAGGCTACAGTGTGGTCTGCTTAGTAGCAAGCGTTTCCGCTCGAGTTAATGCGCGAACGCTAGAACAAAAGGAAAAAAAGAATAAAAGTTTTCGTGCATTTTAACGGAAATGCCTGCTACACAGGCCATAGTTATTACAGTGGACTGGTCATGAAACCCCATTAGATGCCTTTTTTTGGTTTTGAGGGGAGCGTAATTAAGGAGGGTACGAATACTGCAATACCGCCCAGAATTAGTATGTGTAATCAAATGGTGACGAGTGAAATTAGGGAATAATTTCATGCGCGCTTTGTCCAAATCCTTACTTTAGGCGAGGGAAATTATTAGGATTTGGACAAAACACAAGTGAAATTATTTCCTAATTTCATGAGTACACCATTTGATTACCTATTAATATCATGGGTGACGAATTACGTTAGCAATCTTGGATTTTTTACATGTTTATCCTGGATCGTATCGATCGAGAACTCCACTCTCGCGAACGTTTAGAGCGTAAATTTGACTCAAGTTTAGAATTCTTCTACAAAATACCTGTTAGAATCCTTCTTGATGTGCTCTTTTGTGAGTTCAGGTTTTCTAAAGCGTCTTTATATGCCCTGGCATCTTCATTCATGACATTTTAAAACTTCGTCGCCATCTGGACACTGAGACATACGGAAGGTTGCCATGGCAATTTTGTAATTTCACATGTGAAATTACAAATTATCACTGAAATTTCGTGCCAAAATTAAGGAGTAATTCGTCACCTATGATATTATGTATAAACACCACACAGAGTAACATATGAAAACTGAGAACTGCATTAAAATTACCGAAAATTTCAAAATACTGCAAACCGCGTGGTTTATACCCCAAATAGGAATTTCTATAAAAGCACACCAAAAATCAAGAAAAACCACATCACTTATTCCCCTTCCGTTTGTGTTAGCTTTATTGGGCCCGACCGTGCACGTTGTTCTAGCATTCCCATCATTTTGAACTATCTGACCAATGGAAACATTTTGTTAATTTATTGTGCATGATCAGGGAATGTCCAACATAAACTGCAGCACCATCGTTTTCAACTTTGACGTTTGCCAGCTTTCATAACCAGTCTCCTCTACTAACTATATGTTCTTGCTAATAAATTATTGCCCTGTGTTTTGATACTGTTTTACATATATTTACAAACGATTTATAGACTTTGTATGAGAAATTCAATATAGCTGTTAAAACATAGAAATATACATTAATGTATATATTTCACATACTTGGGTTTGTTATCTCAATGCTATTCCTGTGTAACCTAAGCTCAATTCATAGCCATTTGTATGGTTTGGCGGCTCATTGTTTGTTTTGTGTTGTTTTCCTACATCATTCAAAGCAAGGCAGGTTACTGTGTGCAGTGTGACTTCACAAATCTCTCCCGTATCAAAGAACAGTGCACTGATTCGCCACCAATGGCTGTGATCCTTAACCCTTTAAGCCCTAAGAGTGATCAGCATCAAATTTCTCCTTGTGATACCAATGCTTTGTAAAACAGAGTGGTCACGAGAATTACAGACATGATCACACAAGATGAATTTGTTTGATATTTTATCAACTTCTCCCCACTACTTCTGTAGGAAATGACTAGGGGCAACAAATGAGAATTCAAATTTTGATCTTAGGGTTTAAAGGGTTAAAGGCCAGATAAATCGCACATCTCTCCTCCTCATCATGGGTATTACAATTCATTTTTGGTCAGGAAATATTTTGAAAGTTTTTATTTCTGGACAATCTGGCATGAGCTCAGGAAACTCAATGACCATGTGTTTTGTAGTAAGTGTGAACATAGGCTCAAGGGATGCAAGTGACGGACATTGCATGACAAATCCTGGATCTTTATTTTAGGAATTTTCGGTTGGGGATGTGCTGCTGGGACCCTGGAACCCTTAGCCTTTATCAGAGCTAGTTCAGCTGAATTTTGCTACCCTATACTAGACTAAACTCCTCAAATCGCCCCTTTCCTAGGGTAGCTTTTAGGCTGAGTTGCGTAAATTTGAACTTGCCACTTTCATTTTTGATATCGTCATTCTAGGTTTCCCTAGTCTAGACTAAAATCTTCAACCAATTGTTCCTGGAAAATGATACCCTCTTTTTGACCTAAACTCTCTGATTTACATACCTTATCCCAGAGTAAACTGCTTGAAATCAATACCCTTCGGAGCGGCACATACGTATATAGCCCATATGTGGCAATACTCCCCCCTGCCCCGGGACATCGAACAGTGTACATAATAGTCACTGTTCCACTACCTATGGCAGACCTTGTAGGCTTGATTACCAGCCTCCCCGAGCTAGAGAGTCTCAGTGGCCGCGGAAATCAAGCCAACATACCCTCCCCAGGTGAAATTCATCTACTGTAATAATGCCTTTCCTCATTTTTAGTGCTAAAATATTTGCAAACTAGATGTGTCCTGCATGGTTCCAGTGATAATAATAAAAATATATTATTTATTAAACTTGTATTTTGACACTTTTAGAATTGTCCCATCTCTGGTTGTCACTACACTTTTAAACAGCTCAAGACGCTTACAACAAACTTTGCCTCAGCACTGGTGAAGAGAGGCTTAAAAAAAGGTGATGTTCTTGGCATTTACCTTCCAAACATTGCTCAGTACCCTATTGTGTATTATGGATCCTTGTTTCTTGGCATTACTGTTACAACAGTTAACCCCCAGTATGGAGTTCAAGAGCTTGTATATCAGTTGCGAGATTGCAGTGCAAAGTATTTGATCACTGATCGCGAGCGTCTTGCAAATGCACAACGGGCAGGCTTACAAGTTGGTATCTCTGCTATCTTCACTATGGAAGAAGTCAAGGGTTTTGAGTCTTTTCAAGACTTAGTCCAAGATGATGGCTCAAAACTTCCTAGAAATTATGCCAGTATTAATCCCAAGGATGATGTCGCTATTTTGCTGTACTCAAGTGGTACCACCGGCTTGCCTAAGGGGTGTATGCTTACACACTACAACCTTGTAGCCTTGGCATGTATTTTTGATGAATTTGCGTGGCCGGAACGTTCTGTCGTATTGACAGTGTTACCTCTGTTTCATGGCTATAGTCAGAGTATTATGATGGGATTTTGTTTGTGGAAAGGATGTGAATTGGTTGTTTTGCAAGGATTTGAACCAAAGACATTTCTACAAACATTGGAAAATTTTAAGGTATCACCTTTTATTATTAATATTTCACTATAGTGTAAGAAGTATACCATAATGATTGGATTTAGTGCCTGGAGTGCTTATTTGCTCTTGGTACCTTAAGGGAGGGCACTTATTCGAGACGGGGTGCTTATTCAGGACAGGGCGCTTATTTCTTTTTTTAGAAACAATTAACTGAATGTTCAAATTAAAACTTTCATATTTATTAAAAAGGAACAATAACAGAAAATGTAACAGTAACAAATATACATTGAAATATGTTCAGTTAGTGTGGGGGAATTTTAATACATTTCTACAGTGATAGCTTTGACAGTGTCACTTCAGGGTTCATGCTACTCCTTGAAGTCCTTGAAAAGCCCTGGAAAAGAAGAATTTTTTATGAAAGTGCTTGAACATAATGAAAACTCCTTGAATTTTTGTCGGGATGAAAAATAATGTAGGATTGTATTAAAGTTATTCAGGGATTGAACGCAGATTTTAAGACGGCAGGTACAGATTTTGCAAAACCTGCCTCATTGCATGCTGTGTGCAATTCTGTGTTGCGCACATCGCTTTCAGACTATGTTGTTGTTAGGGTTATTGTTGAGATTATTGTTTGGTGTAATGTTGCTTTATTGGATAACTACAGTAGTTAGGTCCTCTTTCCATGTACAATATCCAAGCATTTTGTACCCACCGACAAGGCATCCAGTGCTCTAAGAAAAATTGAAGGGAGCCCAGTGCTCTGAACTTGTGAAATCCAGTGTGCCCAGCATATGATTTCTATGAAAAAGCAAAGATTTTCAAGTCGCCGGAGAACAAAAGTTAGGCGCCACGGGCCACAGGGCTCTGCTAGACCACAGCCTTGACCAAGAACCATGAAATTGTTATGCATCCCTGTTTGTGAATTATTACAGATTTGATATGTTCTATTTGTGGTAGTCTCTTGAAATGCATTTTATATCCGGTAGAGCTTTTCGGAAGTGGCTATTGACCAATGAAAACATTTCGAAACGTAGTGCAAGAATTCTTCAAATACTCCTTGAAACTAAGTTTTTAGTGCTTGAATACTCCTTGAATACTCCTTGAATTTTATGTCCAAAAACCAGCACGGACTATGCACTTACATCAAAAGCTTTCTGGTATGGTGTCTTCCACATCCAATTTGGTGATACTGTCGAAAGGATCCTTGTCAGTTTTGTAACGTGGCATTACCGTTCGTTTGTGAGCAATTAAAGGAAGATAATAATACTAGGTATACCTATTGATAGAGTGCCAACGAGCAAATCATGCGTATTTTGCTTAGGAATAAAATTCCCTTTTTTCCCATTCGACCATTTCTTGGTCCTTTCCTGTTGCAAGGATTATTTTCTTGAAAAGTTCGCAGATTCAGTCTGGTGGCTTTACAAACCTACTATGTAAAAGTGTCAAGTGTCTTGAAAGAATAAAGTCAGCTTTGCAGAGGAAGCGATCGGGAATATTATTAAGTCCAGCTACAAATCTACTCTCGGTTCGGTTTCACATTGTAGATAAATATTTGCACAGTTTAATCATTTAAACCTCCTTTCAAATTTCCCGAGGCTTTTTGTTATGGGATTGAAACTTAATTAATGATTCACTAGGCCATCTGAAATGTTTCCAAGGACATGCGATGTACGGCACGTCGGTATTTTATTTTTAGTTCATTATTTTTATACTGAACTCAGCCACGTTGTTTTCTTTTCCTTTGTCATTCGCTTTAGGCTTGTAATTCTTTTTTGCTCTCATTTTTTTTGTTTGCTGGTTAGATTTTTTCCCCAACACCAGATTTTCCAACAGAAGCGACTGTATTCTTCGTGTCAAGCTTTCCTTATCTCCTCGTGTAATCTGATCCTTTTTAGTGGTGAGAATATTGCTTGTTACACATAGAACACATTTGCTGTTTTACAAACTTCTCTTCGTTAAAACTTAACATTATGGCCCCTAAAATTAATAGAATATATCAAGTGCTCATGTTTCTTGACTGCAGTGGCCGGGTTTGACAAAAAAATTTAGGTAAATAAACACAGGAAGTCGCGACGGCGGGAATTGTGTGAAATTTTCTCTTTTATTCAACTTGAGCCCGTGCGCCAGTTACTGCCTTTTGATTGGTTCACAACTGACCGCTTGGTCTCAGGGGAATCTACATTACATCAGGTTACACTTTTTTCAGCTCGATCGAGAATTTTTCTGCCTATTGCCCAGTCTTGCGCGGCTCTATTCTGCTGCTTCCTCGCCATCTGAGCGTCTTCGCTCGGATGGCTCGTTGGCAATAATATTGGAATAAGGGCGCTTAGCAGAATGGGGCACCTAATGGAATAGGGGTGCTTATTAACAAAAACAGATTCGGGGCGCTTATTCAAAAATTGACCGCAAAAACTACAGACATTTGACTGAAACAAACTGTCACTATTTTCAAAACATTGCAATTCGTTGATAATTATCTGCAAGCCACTGTAAGTGTTTTTGTGTGATCAAAGGTCAAATTCTGTGCACCTTAGAAGCAGCTAGCAGTATTCAATTGTCAGTGCTGAGTTAATTTTTAACATCAGCAGAATTTATTGTTATGCCCATCACAAATGTTAGAATGATGTCAATAGAATTTTCTGGCTTCTTAGTTTACTGTACCTGCAGAAACACAGGAAGAGATTTAGTGGGTCCTTTGCCCCCCCTTATATCCCACTAAGCTTACCCCTTACCCCAGATTGCCGCTGTTGCCTCTTAGCCACATGGCCAAAAATCATGAATGAGCAGAGAGTAATGAGTAATTTTACATTGCCCCTCTTTTTCATACAGGAGCAGTGGAGAATGCACAAACTTCTAACATTATATAAAAATTTTATTTATCCTACAATATCCATTTTCCATTTGTGAGTAGAGGCCCTTCAATCTTCGAGACTTATCTAGGAAGATCAAAGGGCATCTGCTCGCAGGATAGCAATTATGGCGTTAGATAAGAGAAAATTAAGGTCTTTTTTAGTGTAATATTATTGGTACTACTATTACCATGCCACTGACATAACCTATCCCAACCCCCCTCTTTTACCTTCCAGTGCTTATAACTAAAATACAATTTCACACATGACAAGTCAAATCTTATACTATTTTATTTTTTTAACTGAATTTAGGTTGCAGTGTTACCAATAGTTCCTCCCCTAGTCCTATTTTTGGCCAAACACCCGCTTGTTGATAGCTACAAACTTGACACCTTGGAGGATGTTCTTTGTGGGGGAGCACCAGTTGGGGAAGAATTACTAGGGGCATTGAGAAAACGTTTTCCTCACATAAAGCATGTCAGACAAGGTATGTAGGCTTCTCTGTTTTCCACAACCTTTTGAGCTCCAGCCAATAGAGAGGACAAGTTGTTGATATGTCATTTTGCCATGGTAGCAAAATGTCTGCATGACAACAAACTGAAAATGTCACTAGTTCAAGTTCATTTTATTCACACTCTTTCAATCACAATGCAACAACAATGAGAAAAAAGAAGTAAAAACAGAGTTATAAACTATACATTGAATTAAACATAACACAGGAAAAAAGCGTGTCTATAGCAGCCAAAGGAGCCAAGCTTTTGAGTTGGCTGCTACCCCAGAGCGGTTACAAGTGGGTGGCAGTTATACAGTACTTATAAAAAACTATTATAATTATGGACAGCCGAAGCCAGTTGAGCTAAGTCATATTCATCATAAAAGAGAATTAGCACTGTTTCAAACCTCGTCCCTTAAACCTCGTTTAGACAATTTAGTTTGTCAGATCTGTTGGGGAAATTTTCTGGGGTTGAATCCAAAAGGACCTCATTTAAGTTTAGAAAAAGAAAAAGAAAATGTTGTTTTGTGTTCTCCTATGCCATAGAGAGGAAATTAGGAAGTTTCAAGTCTCAGGCTTGCAATGACTAGGAAATGTACAAAAATGTGTAAAAAGCTGTTTTTCTGCTCAAAAAGCTCCCTATATATTCTTGCTACCATGGTAATGTAACATCACACTTCACTTCTCTTCAGTTTGCCGTTAGATATGAATTTACCGTATGTGCCAGAGACTTTTCTAGCGCGGTTTCTGGTTTCTTGGTCAATAGATGTGTCGGCCTTCAGCGAACACTGAAAATTCCCACCGCATGCGAGAAAAACCTCTGGTACCCAGGGTAACATGAATTTTGTAAAGATAAACATTACAATAATAAGCAGTGCATAAGAGGCCAATGGCAAAAGTTGAATGAATGGAAAGTAAGATGTGTTGGTTTTTGACATTTATCTTTAGTATCACTAGAGGTCATTTTGAAACTTTTTGCACACATGTAGCTGACTTTTTTGAAAGTTTCATTTATAGATTCTAGGGGTTGTTGTGCTCTTGGGCCTGTATATAGAAATCTTGATCAGTCATGGTACAGCCTGCGAGACAGCGGACATTTTGCAACGTCACCACTGGTTTTCCCCTAAATTGTCAGTTGTCGGAGAAATGAGCACAGAAATTCCATAATGATGACCTGTCACTACTTAGATCTGGGTAGTGGTTCTGATTGGTTCAAGCAAATTTCCCACATGGCATGACCAATCGGAAGTAATACCTAGATCTAGATAATGTCGCCTCATCAGTAGGATGTTATTTCATGGGGAAACAAGTGGTGACTTTGCGAAATGTCGGCTGTTTTATCAGGCTACAGTCATGGCTACTTTTAGCTAAATTTTCACAGCCATGGTCATTTTTAAAACTTTTTTTTTTTAATTACGTTCAAAATCTTATATGAGGGCATGATTTTCATGTTACAATATACCACAGCCTGCTCTTTTTCAAATGAACAGTAGATGCGATGTCTTTGATATGACAATATTGTTCATTTTGATGCAAATGAAATTCGCTTTCTCTTTCAATATTGTTTCACCACTTGTTTTCCTGACTATGGCCTAAGAGAAACTGAAAACAATGCTTATGCAAAATTTTGGGTGATGAACAAAGAGCATTATGTGATGGTATTTTCCGTAGTGGTCAATTGTACTAAAAGGTAGCTGCTTTTACTTCAAAGGTTACGGTTTGACTGAGTGTGTTGCTGGAACACACATTTCTCCTCTTTACGGTGGAAAACCTGAGTCATGTGGTGTTCTTCTTCCAAACTTGGAATGCAAGGTATCTCCTATCGCTGAGTCCCCACAAACCTTTGACAAACGGTTTAGCACGATATGTATGGAATTTATGGGGGATAAAATCTGTTAACCTAATGATTCCATGGTTCGTGGACCTGAGATACATACAAGAGACTAACTGAAGAACTGTATATTTTGCAGCAAATTCTTAGGAAAATGTTATATTTAATGGGTCATTTCCAAGTTCCAATAATTCTCACTTTCAAAATGAGGGTTAAGTCAGGGTGCAAAGAAAGTCAGTCTTACTGCCTGCAATTTGGGCAAGCAGCAACTAGCATGGACTAGCCCACAAGTCATTTCAACTAGCCCCCAAACCCTTTTTGATCAGCAGGATTGATTATAATCCCTCTGTAATTTGAATTTCCCCAAAAAACAGCACTTGCCCTGAACAAAGATCACTAGCCCGATAGCAAAATCCACTAGCCCCGGGCTATCGGACACGACTTTCTTTTTTTCACCTCTTTGGTGAAAATGATTTATTATTTGCATTGGAATGGATAATCACTTTCATATCAATGGCTTCACACTCAGCCTTGCGTTGAAACAGAGGCTTGTCTTAAATGAGCAACTTGGAGATGGTCTATTGTCAGTTCCAGGGTAGATTGTTCTCGTGCTCAACGTTTTGAAAATGTTTTGGTCATGGAAACCTTCCCTGTCCGCAAGAGATAAGAGTTTATTGAACCTTTCAAGACCGTCAAGTGTATTAAGAACTTTCCATAATAAGAAAAATTATGCACATGTATTCTTTAACCAAAGAGAAAAGTAAGGGATCAATTAAGGTTTCTAGACCTACCCCTCCCCTTAGCCAACATTTTGCCCTAAGTGAGAATTAACTGTTAATGTTGGCTGAGGGGAGGGGTAGGTGGGCAGTTTCCTAGAAACCTAAATTGTGGCCGGTTGGGCTGAAAAATTAATATGTCAGTGTTTCTTTCCTTATTTCTTTTTTGTTTTTGGTGAGACCGAGATATCCCTTTTACCCATTTTCACCCTGGCTTTACGTGTTTGATTTTCAGATCATTAATCAAGAGACTCGGGCCATATTGGGTCCGCATCAGGATGGGGAGATCTGTATCAGAGGGCCCACAGTCATGAAAGGTATTAGCAGTTTTATTCAGATAAGTGTTAAGGTGACTCGACCCAGTTTTTTTTAGGGGGTACCATCCTACTTTGAAGCTCTCTGGTATCCCCACCTTTACTTTTATCTTAAGGATAACACATAGAATGGATAACATATAGATCAATCTACAATAGAACATAAAATTTTTGGCGATCGGAGTAAATGTCACGTGGTTATAATGCCACGCCCCTTTAAGGTCTGAGTCGAAAATCTGCTGTTGCCAGCATTTTTTTCGTGAAAATCTCTCGGCTACACATAGTGCGCATTAGTGCCTTGCGCTGAACAGAGTTTCACCAAAATCGCAAAGACCCAATTCGAGAAATTCAGCGGTTTCCAAATTTAGGTCATAATTTATGCGAAAATGATAAGCAAACTTTACACGGATTATATCTAATAAACTATGAGATTCATCTCTGTATTTTGGGCATCGTTATAACAGATGGGTCCTTGAAAGTCGGCAAAACGCTTTATGGCCTTGTAAATGCGCGCGATTTCGAGCAAAGCAAACATATAGAAATTATAGTTTTCGCTATTTGTTGACGTTTGTCAACGTTTAAGAGTCAATCTCACGAAAAAAGCATTTTCTTAAAAATTCGTGGTTTTTTTTCGTTCAAATTTTTTCAGGGCCACAATTGATTAACTAACTACCCGGACTCTGAATTTCATGGTCATTGAAAAACTGTGACATTACCTTCTATAAGCCCAAACTTGAGTAAACATTGAAGATTTTTAGCGTTTTGGCTGAGTTTGTGCTTTGGGAGTTGTCTGTCCCTGTTACCCTTTGTTCCCCTGTGTTATCCTGTGTTACTCTGTGTTCCCCTGTGTTACACTGTGTTACCCTGTATTCCTCTGTGTTACCCTGTGTTACTTTGTGTTAACCTGTGTTCCGCTGGGTTACCTTGTGTTCCCCTGTGTTACTCTGAGTGACCCTGTGTTACCTTGTGTTACTCTGTGTGACCCTGTGTTCCTCTGTGTTACCTTGTATTACTCTGTGCGACCCTGTGTTCCCCTGTGCTACCCCGACTGTTTCATTGTGTTACCCTGTGTTCCCCTGTGCTACTCTGTGTGACCCTGTGTTACTCTGTGTTACCCTAACATAACTCCTTTGCTCCTTGCCCATGGACCAATTTTATCACTAAGTATAGTCTGTGAATTGGTGATGTGGCTGATATTTGAGACAACGAGCAGTATCTCTTTTTTTCTTAGGCCGTCCAGCGAGACGTACGAGACAAGAAAATGACACCCGCGCGACACAAGGCGCGAGACAGGAGAGGCGTTTCTTTTTCCCGCCCTCGTCTCGTGTCTAGGCCTCGCTCCTCGCCGCTCGCGCGCTCGTGAACTCCCGTTTTAAAATCAGAAGGCTGCTCGCAGTCCACTGATATCTATGTTGCCTTGCTCTCTTTGTGTTTGCACAGGTTATTTAAACAAGCCAGAGGCAACAGCTCGTACGATAGACAGAGAAGGCTGGCTGCACACTGGTGATGCTGGGCATTATGATGAACATGGATACTTCTACATTGTGGATCGAATCAAAGAACTGATCAAGTACAAAGGATTTCAGGTTAGAAAAGCGTTTTAATTACTACATCTAAGCCTGTGTAGCTGTGGTTCCCGTTTCCTTCTGGCCATGCGGGAGAAGTACAGGAGACGCGCGAAAAGGAGACAAAGAAGTTGAAGTCAGGGGATGAGTGAGAGAACTAATAAACGATTTCCCCTCCCCTGCCCCTCCCCCCCGCTCCTATTTGGTGATCGCCTTTGTGCGTCTCCGGCGCTTCTCCCGCGGCTTCGGTACATCTGGTTTACATGATAAAAATCCGTGACCGTTTTAACAGCATTAAAAAACCTTTTTTGTTCACAGCAGTAGAGAAACAATCGATATTTCGTATTTTTAGGTCCCTCCAGCCGAGCTGGAAGCGTTATTGATCACTCACCCGAACATCGATGATGTGGCAGTGATCGGAGTCCCCGATCTTGTAGCCGGAGAATTGCCGAAAGCCTTCGTTGTCCGTCGTGGTGACGTTTCCTACGATGACATCGTGAAATTTGTGGAAGAGCGAGTTGCTCCTCACAAAAAGCTCAGGGGTGGAGTGGAGTTTATTGACCAGATTCCAAAATCTCCCAGTGGTAAAATCTTACGACGCATATTACGAAGTAGAAACAGCCAGGGGGGAACGCGCTCTAAGTTATGACCTGAGACGCAGGACGGAACGAATATCTCCAAAAACATCGTAATGAAAGGCTAAGCCTGAAACGTCGCTGAGAACAATCCCCTTTCTGCTCCAAACCCCAATATTCATTCCTTAAAATGAAAACGTTTTAAATTTAGCCGATGAACAGGCCTTCGAAATGAATAAATAAATAATGAGTAACGATTTAGTTTTAACACATCCAGTAATAAAAGCAATACTTATTGTGGAGGCATGTGTGGCCGAGCGGGTAAGACCTCGAACTCTGGATCTGGAAGTCACGGTTGAAGCCTTGCCCGTCGTGTTGTTCCCTCTGAAAGGGAACTTTACTCCACTTTGTCTCTCTTCACTCAGGTGTATAAATGGGTACCGCCGACATACTGCTGAGTGTAACGATGGACTTGCATCCCGTCCATGGGGAGTAGCAATATACTCCTAGCATGCTTCATGCTAAGTAAACCGGTATAAACTTCGGCCGTTTGGGCCTTTGGCTCGTGTACGCCTTGACCTTACTTTTACCTTATTGAGGAAACCTACTTCTCTCGAGAATGGTTTAAAAGGGTCTTCCTACTTGATTACAAATGATAAAACGAATAGAAACATGCAACAAACAATAAGTAAAATGTATGTTATGATTCTTTTACTGATATCAATAACTTAGATAGTTTAGTGAACAGAAATAAGGTCAAACATTGTCCCGTGCTCGTGATCACATCATTTCTCATTTCTTCACCGAACTTAAAATTTACTATCATTCTTTATTTATCACATACCTGACGATTTCAGCATTGCTTATCATAGCAGTTAGCAGGATGCATGTCATAAATGAAACTTTTATGTCATTGGTTAGAGTATCCGACCGGTGTACGGAAGGTCTTAGGTTCAATTCCTCCCGGGGACTCAGGTTTTTTCTTTGTGCTTTGCTCGTGACATGTTCATCATATCATTTCTCATCGAACTTCACATGTAACGAATTTAATTACAACTAGAACCACTACGTGGAACTTACCGGGGCCCAGTGGGATACGGGATTGCATAGATATAGTTTACCTCTCGCACCCCTCCCCCCTCCTCTGTGGAGGCTAATACTTAGTCTGAATTAACTCATGCAGAAGAAAAGCAACAAAATGCATGAGAAAGGAGGATGTTGTTGTAAGTTTGTTCAGTGTTATTACAGCTAACGGTCTGTGTTATAGTAGTGTTTTTAGTAACACTGTGATGTCAATAAGTGTGATCTGTATAAGGTTTTCATTTGTTTTTAAGTTTGAGTGAAAAAGCAAAAATCACTGACAGTTTTGGGTTGAATGGTAATGACAAAGTTTGCAAAGAAGTTTGTTACAGAATTATCACAATTTCACATTTTCTCAAGTACGTTATCATCAGGTTTATCATTGAGATTTATTAATCACATTTATCTATTTTTTGCGAAAACACTGTGAATTTGAAATGATAACAGACATAAGACATTTTTGAAATAGATCTTTGTGGTCATGGATTGTTGTCTTGCACTGTAAAAAATGTCATCCAGTGTTATATACAGACATAATAAAATGCTTATTTATTGATGACTGAGTATCATTTGTTAATTCATTGCACATTGAAATGGAGGCACTTGATTGTAAGGCAGTGGTTGATACATAGTGGCATTCATCAATATGGCCTATAGTAATTATTGTAGAGGAAGTATTTCTTTCCTGAACTGGGTAAACAGTAGTATATCTGCAACTGCTTGAATGATAAGTGCATCAGCCCATGTACCTTGAATACACATATTATTCAGATATCTTATCCATGAATTTTCGGTATTGCTCTCAATAAATCTCTCAGGATTGTCTCTCATAAATTGAACCCCAGCAGTACGTATATGCATGTGATGGTTGCTTTTGCCATATAACTGATGTGATACAGATCTAAAGAAACAATCACCTGCACCGCCAACATCTATTGATTGTAAACAAAGTGCACCTAATCTTGACTGCATCAAATTCTCAGAGGAAATAGGAGAGTTCAACTGCATTGGTTGAGGTCACACTAGAGAAAGTTTACTATAGTAAACTCAAGTTTACCATAGTAAACGGCGCCGTAAGTGTGACCGGCATTTTTCAGTTTACAATGGTAAACTCTACCCTGGTTAATTTCCATGACTACCGCGGAAAGAACAAAGATGACCCATCACCGATAACCATCTGGTTACCAAAAAAAAAAAATAGGTGGGTATATCTCTAGTCTATCTAAACTTTGTTTGTTTTGTTGACAGTTTGTCATGATTTTTGAGGAAAGTAGTTTCAAAAAGGGTCACATAACAGAATAGCTTTAGAACATCGGTGATTGCTTTTTCCACAGTGCTTGAAGGTTTCTGTTTCTGTACATTTCTTCAAACCATTCCTGGGGTCGAGGTTAAACCCACGCTTGCCTTCGCAATGCCGCTCTTTTCTAAGAATACGTCTTCGATGAGTAATCAATAAACCTGTCACTAAAACATCTTCACTAACTTCGTATTCGAAACCAAGGTAGGTAATAAGGGAGCGCATTCTTCTTGCTCGTCTGAGCAGCAGAATTAAAAGCAAAATGCTCACAACAGAAAACAATACTCTCTCACATTGAAGCATCTTTGTACACTTGTGAGGGTCACGCTCAGGAAGTTACAGTTCAGTAATTTCAATTTAGTCAGCTCTCATAGCAGGTCATCATTTGTTTTACTTTTCACTCTCACGTTACCGATCACGCGAGAAAAAACGCCTGGAAAGTTTCAAATGCCTTTTTAAGTGGACCTGTCAGGTTTACTACGGTAAAGAAGACGTTGCGAGACTTACCATAGTAAAGCCCTTTTTACCATAGTAAAGTCTCTAGTGTGACCTCAACCAATGTTGAGCTGTGATTTTGCATAGAAGGTCTAATTATTACTTCATGATGATCAGTGTTGTATTGAGTAGGTCCTGGATTCTTCTCAACATCTTTACTTAGTTTGAAATTCACATAATTGGTCATATGACTCACACAATTGCAAGAAAACAATGATAAAGATCGACGTGCTTTACATTATTTTTAGTTTCATTATCCTGTGATAATGCCTGCTAAAGAAAGACAACAAATAAGCTTTCTTGGGTATAGCCATTTTATTTAAGTTAATTATCTTTGGATCGCGTTTGTTATTACATTTATATCGTGCATGATAAAGTTTTCTCACCTTATTAACATAGCGATGGAGCTTTGAAGTCTTTGGTATGTCAATCATTGAAATCTTTTTGAAGACAAATTTTGATAAGTGTTCGCTTTGATTCTCGATAAATTTCACGATGGAAGGTTCACTCAATTTCTCGATAAGTTTCATGATGGAAGGTTCAGTCTCAGAAGTGATCGCTCGTAAATTTGTCTCTCCAAATATTCACTCTTAAATTTTCGCTCATAAACTAGTTGGGTTGGGGGAACGTGTCGTTCCCCAAAAAAGCTATAATCTTTCTCTTGACTGTCCTCCATGCCTCTTCTTTTCAAAATGGCGGATAAGATTTCAATGAGCCAGCGATATATCTCAGTCAGCGATATATCCCTAACAATGTAACGTTGAAAAAACGGACGGTCTGCATTTTAAGACCGGTGCCAGCCTTCGGCTGTGCCCCGGTAATGAGGAAAATCTCTTGTCCTCGCTCATTAGCATTTTTGTTCGTCACATGCAAAGTTCGACCTTTGACCCCCGCTTTACACTCTAAAATCTCCATCGTTTGCCATTCCCGGTGTATTTGAAAATCGTGGTGTTTGAGAAGAGAAAAAAAAAACCGGCCGTATTCTCTCGGAGTAAAGGTAAGAACCAACAACAATTTTAACCCACATATTGCCTTGACTTCGGGATTCGAATACCACATTTGTGGGAGGCGAGTGTTCTCACCATTGGGCCACCCTTGCTACCCTGTTTACCCTTTTTGTGGATTTGTTTCCCTACATTCTCTATCAGTGCCGGATCCAGGCCTTGAGATACGTGGGATGGGGGGCCGTCATCCAGACCCTTAGATAGGGGAGGGGGGGCCGGTCTCCAAAAAATTTTTTTTCGGCCCGTCGGGCCTTAGTCTCCCTCGCAGCCGTTTATTGGATGTCACGCAACGCTCCCCCAAAAGGGCTGCGAAGGAGACTATTCGGGCCTCAGTTTGGTCTAAAAATAACGGGGCAGGGGGGGGGGGGGGGGACCCCCCGGGCCCCCCCCCTGGATCCCCCACTGTATATAGTTTTTTCTCTCCCATGATGGTAGGCTTTTGTACATTATGCTTTTGCTTCCCCGCTAAAATGCTCCACCTTAATGCTCCATTTTTCCCACTAAAATGCTCGGTCTTCCCAAAAAAGTCACTAAAATGCTCGGATAATGCTCATTATACAAACGGCTTTTTTAATTAATTTCAAAGTTGCAAGTAACAGCAACGTGTACAAGTTCATCAATACAGCCAAAAAAAACAGCTGTATTAGGTTTTTTTTATTCTTCATTTTCTTTAAAAACGCAGGAGCTTGTGGGGCATGGGCTCCTGAAAAAAGTTAATTTCTATTTTATTTTCTCGAAAAAATTAATTTTCCGGGGAAAATGCCACTAAAATGCTCGAATAATGCTCAATGCTTTTGCCTCACTAAAATGCTCGAAAAAATGCTAGCATAATGTACAAAAGCCTACATGATGGGCTACTGCAAACTGCCGCTTAAAAGCCCTGGGCTTATACATCTTCGTAATGGGTTTTAGAAGGGCTTTTAAACGGAGGGGCTTATATCTGTGGGGAATAGAAAATGCGCTTCGAAACAAGCCGTATCACTGCTGATCAAAATACTGGCTTTTAATTATGAGCTTCAAAACGTCACAATTATTTCACTAAAAGGTAGAGAGGGCTTATATCCGGGGGACTTAAAAAAAAGGATGATTTTTTTTTTTGTTTACAAGGAGATGGGCCTATAAATGGAGGGGTTATTTACAAGCGGCAGTATACGTCATACAGAACCTCAGTTTCTTCCGACTGGTGTGCATGAATCTCATCCAGTCTTCTTTCTTCTTCAGGCTCCTTCCACTGATCCTTCCGGATCCAGACCTTGAGATGTGGGGGTTGCGGGGGGGGGGGGGGGGGGGGCGTTCTCAATACTGTTATGAAGGGAAAAATGTTAACCAACAAGGGGACGTAGAAACAAGAAATAAAACAATTACAGTTGCGTCTTTTTTATTTATCTTTTCAGTTATTATTTTTTGCAAAGTTGAGTAATAAAATCAAGTGTGAAGGACTTTTTTTTCTTCTTTCCGATTTCCTTTTTTATCCCACACACTAACACTAATCAATGCACAGCATTACACTCCATCCTCTATCTGAAGGTTTCTCTTTCATGGGTTGAATCACCATTTTCGCATAGACCATAAAGCACCTCGTTTACCCCCCCTCCATAATAATTGTTCTCCATTTGTCCTGGGTATTGCATTCGTCCAAAGAAAAATCGAAGACAATGGTTATGCAAAATTTCTTTTTTTGCGGGAAGGGGGGTGGGGAGAGCGGCTGTAAACTGGGTGCATTATTTGACATGGTCTACGTGGAAATGGCGAGTTGAGTAAAATGTTGAGTAAAATGACTTTAGCATGTTGGTTGAACATTTCATACTGCTTGGATTATTCTTACAAACGTTTGGATTCGCTTGGCCTCCTTTTACGTCATCAAATGTATTTTCATCCAAAGAACAGAATAGCTTTACGCATAGTATTGAAACAGCCTTTTTCGACGGATAGGCTATAAATTGCACAAAAAGTTACTGGGACAAAAAGGACTTTATTATGTTTTAAACGTTTTTAATAGACAATTAGAATTATTTACCTCATGGATTACCGAGAAATTTTCAGACCTACGTTCTTAATCATTAGTCTGACTGGTAAATATTGCATGTATTTTATGGTAAGTTGACCCGGCCTAATGACAAGTAACCGAGAAATGTTGTTACCCTTGTTACCCCATGTTACACCTTGTTACCCTTGCTACCCCCTGATACCCCTTGTTACCCTTGTTACCTCTTGTTACTCTTGTTACCCCTTGTTACCCTTTTTACCCATTGTTACCCCATGTTACTCCTTGTTACCCCATGTTACTCCTTGTTACCCTTGTTACCCTTGTTACCCTGGTAACCCCTTGTTACCCATTGTTACCCCTTCTTACCCTTTCTTACCCTTGTTACCCCTTGTTACCCTTGTTACCCCTTGTTACCCTTGTTACCCATGTTACCCCTTGTTACCCTTTTTATCCATTGTTACCCCATGTTACCCCATGTTACTCCTTGTTACCCCTTGTTACCCCATGTTACCCTTGTTACCCTTGTTACCCCCTGTTACTCATGTTACCCTTTGTTACTCTTGTTACCCCTTGTTACCCCTTGTTACTCTTGTTCCCCCTTGTTACCCTTTATACCCATTGTTACCCCCATGTTACCCCTTGTTACCCCATGTTACTCCTTGTTACCCCTTGTTACCCCATGTTACCCCTTGTTACCCTGGTAACCCCTTGTTACCCATTGTTACCCCTTGTTACCCCTTGTTACCCTTGTTACTCAATACTGTTATGAAGGGAAAAATGTTAACCAACAAGGGGACGTAGAAACAAGAAATAAAACAATTACAGTTGCGTCTTTTTTATTTATCTTTTCAGTTATTATTTTTTGCAAAGTTGAGTAATAAAATCAAGTGTGAAGGACTTTTTTTTCTTCTTTCCGATTTCCTTTTTTATCCCACACACTAACACTAATCAATGCACAGCATTACACTCCATCCTCTATCTGAAGGTTTCTCTTTCATGGGTTGAATCACCATTTTCGCATAGACCATAAAGCACCTCGTTTACCCCCCCCTCCATAATAATTGTTCTCCATTTGTCCTGGGTATTGCATTCGTCCAAAGAAAAATCGAAGACAATGGTTATGCAAAATTTCTTTTTTTGCGGGAAGGGGGGTGGGGAGAGCGGCTGTAAACTGGGTGCATTATTTGACATGGTCTACGTGGAAATGGCGAGTTGAGTAAAATGTTGAGTAAAATGACTTTAGCATGTTGGTTGAACATTTCATACTGCTTGGATTATTCTTACAAACGTTTGGATTCGCTTGGCCTCCTTTTACGTCATCAAATGTATTTTCATCCAAAGAACAGAATAGCTTTACGCATAGTATTGAAACAGCCTTTTTCGACGGATAGGCTATAAATTGCACAAAAAGTTACTGGGACAAAAAGGACTTTATTATGTTTTAAACGTTTTTAATAGACAATTAGAATTATTTACCTCATGGATTACCGAGAAATTTTCAGACCTACGTTCTTAATCATTAGTCTGACTGGTAAATATTGCATGTATTTTATGGTAAGTTGACCCGGCCTAATGACAAGTAACCGAGAAATGTTGTTACCCTTGTTACCCCATGTTACACCTTGTTACCCTTGCTACCCCCTGATACCCCTTGTTACCCTTGTTACCTCTTGTTACTCTTGTTACCCCTTGTTACCCTTTTTACCCATTGTTACCCCATGTTACTCCTTGTTACCCCATGTTACTCCTTGTTACCCTTGTTACCCTTGTTACCCTGGTAACCCCTTGTTACCCATTGTTACCCCTTCTTACCCTTTCTTACCCTTGTTACCCCTTGTTACCCTTGTTACCCCTTGTTACCCTTGTTACCCATGTTACCCCTTGTTACCTTTTTTTATCCATTGTTACCCCATGTTACCCCATGTTACTCCTTGTTACCCCTTGTTACCCCATGTTACCCTTGTTACCCTTTGTTACCCCCTGTTACTCATGTTACCCTTTGTTACTCTTGTTACCCCTTGTTACCCCTTGTTACTCTTGTTCCCCCTTGTTACCCTTTATACCCATTGTTACCCCCATGTTACCCCTTGTTACCCCATGTTACTCCTTGTTACCCCTTGTTACCCCATGTTACCCCTTGTTACCCTGGTAACCCCTTGTTACCCATTGTTACCCCTTGTTACCCCTTGTTACCCTTGTTACTCAATACTGTTATGAAGGGAAAAATGTTAACCAACAAGGGGACGTAGAAACAAGAAATAAAACAATTACAGTTGCGTCCTTTTTATTTATCTTTTCAATTATTATTTTTTGCAAAGTTAAGTAATAAAATCAAGTGTGAAAGACTTTTTTTTCTTCTTTCCGATTTCCTTTTTTATCCCACACACTAACACTAATCAATGCACAGCATTACACTCCATCCTCTATCTGAAGGTTTCTCTTTCATGGGTTGAATCACCATTTTCGCATAGACCATAAAGTACCTCATTTACCCCGCCCCCGAAAAAAGAAAATTTTGCATAATAATTGTTTTTAATTTCTCCTGGGTATTGCATTCGTCCAAAGAAAAATCGAAGACAATGGTTATGCAAAATTTCTTTTTTTTGTGGGAGGGGGGAGGGGGGAGAGCGGCAGTAAACTGGGTGCATTAGAGAGATTAAGATTCACGTTTGCGGCAAACGGCAAATGTCAGTTAAAAATTTCTCAGAATAGAAAATAAGCAGATAAAAACAGTCCAGAACGATTCTTGTGGACAAAACTGGCATAAAACTACTTATTTTTGTGTAGAAGCAATAAACAGTAAACGAAAAACAAGGGGAAAACTTGGTCACGTGGTACAAATTCACGTTTGCCGTTTGGCGTAAACGTGAATCGTAATCTCTCTATTATTTGACATGGTCTACGTGGAAATGGCGAGTTGAGTAAAATGTTGAGTAAAATGACTTTAGCATGTTGGTTGAACATTTCATACTGCTTGGATTATTCTTACAAACGTTTGGATTCGCTTGGCCTCCTTTTACGTCATCAAATGTATTTTCATCCAAAGAACAGAATAGCTTTACGCATAGTATTGAAACAGCCTTTTTCGACGGATAGGCTATAAATTGCACAAAAAGTTACTGGGACAAAAAGGACTTTATTATGTTTTAAACGTTTTTAATAGACAATTAGAATTATTTACTTCATGGATTACCGAGAAATTTTCAGACCTACGTTCTTAATCATTAGTCTGACTGGTAAATATTGCATGTATATTATGGTACGTTGACCCGGCCGAATGACAAATGTCCTCACGTTCTCTCCTCCGTATCTGTAGTAACTGAGAAATGAGGCTATGCTGTTTACGTAGGCGGTAACATAACGTAAATACGGAAAAACAACAAACATCAAACAACCAATATTGCTGATCTGTTTTGTCACTGATTGTGGAACTGCAGACACAACGCAGAATATAACGACCCAGTCTCTACGACTCTTTCTGTTTTGGTGCCAACGTCCGGCTAGTCGCTTGCCACAAGTCTTTTTTGAAGCTTTTCCTCAAAATGAGCCTCTTCGCCTCACTTTTCTTACTCACAGTGACTCACAGCTACGTAGTCCATTCTGCTAGTTACTCATGTCCCGGGGTAGCGCAGTATTGGGTGTCATTTTATGGCCACTGGAGTGCTGCAACACATCCAAATACTTTTCCAAATACTCCAACAAATGGCTTTTTTTCGCCTTTGGTCGGTGCCTCGCACGAAGATGCTTACACAATGTGGGATGCGGGAATGCTGGCCTCTGCAGGAATAAAAGCTATTGCAGAGACAGGTGAGTTGTTCATGCCGCCTATGCCGCGAGCCTCTTGTTATTGCTACTCACACGTACAGATACAAAATGTGGAGTGACATGACCAGAGCCTCACCAGGTGTCAAGATTGTTGCCGAAACAGGTACGTGAGTTTTTTAGTCACCCTCGCGCATATCAGGCTCTCTCCTCCTTAGAGGCCCCTTTCTGTCGTTGGGAGAAGGAAAAATAGTGCGCGCAGGGGACGATTGGAAGGGGAAAGAGAGAGGCCCCGCTCCAACCTCGCTCCCGCCTTTTTTGTTTTCCCATCGTCCTCCGCGCGCTTTCTTTTTTCTTTTTTCCATTATTGGTAATTTTATTGGGATACCCAGCGGGAGCCTCTGCGGAAGAGAGAGGACGTATCTTATTCGAGGAGTTTTTCTCAATGATTGTACTGATGTGCATTTGTAAGCTGTATTCAGAAAGTGCTCTTTTCTGTGAAACTAAAACAATCTTAAGCCCCAGGGAATTATAGTTTGCTTAAGGCTGTTATCCCTCAGCTTTATTTTTGCATAGAGTATTCAGGATTTTTTCATAAATTAGCTTAACTAACAATTTTTCACCGAAATGGAGGTGACTGGTCAGCGGCGAGGTAAATATCCACCACTTTGACCGACACTGAGCATGAGGCGAATAATTTGTTCAGTCAGGAGCCTATGACCTTATTTTTATGTATACCACACAAGCTGGCGGACCAAAAATGGACTTAAGATTTCTCAAATTCTCGAAAATAATAACATCCACGCGCCACGCAACTTCGACATCGTCAAGAGGGCCTTTCCCTCATAAAATGTGAGGGGACGAGGTTGCTCGTCGCACAATGCATTTAAAGGTTACAAAGTCACGTGTTAACTCTAGTGATCAAATGAAGTCAAACGATGTGATGAGCGAAACGAACGACTACAAATAGTCGACGATGTTCAATTACAAAATCCAATGGTTTTTAAAACAAGTTTGAGGGAAAATTTAGGAGTAATTTGTTACCCATTATATTTATTATGCGTGTGATTGCAAGTTCCAAGTTAACTCTGCGTGTCTGCCTCAAAATAAAGTTTACCACTTTTACTGCTCTGTACTCATCCTGAACTACCCCTTGCCCGAAAGTAAAAATTGGCAACAATTCTCTACCACATATGTTGTTTAGGGACACATTCAAGTAACGGAGAAAACTAGAGTCTTAAGAATAAGAACTCAGTAAAACATGATATGTTACTGATATATACGACGAAAACTGCTTAATTTCAGCGTGTAAATAAAGCTTTCAAGCTTATCTACACAAATCAGTGCAAGCTGAGCTAATCAAATTAAGCTTACATATGCAATCATGTGGAAGAAGGTGCAAGTCACAAATGGGTTTGGATAATTGCGCGAAAGGTAAGGTTCCTTTATTAATGAACATTTTTTTGGTCTCTTAAGGTGACTCGACGCAGTTATTTTGTGAGGGTACTATCCTACTTTGAAGCTCTCTGGTATCCTCACCTTTCTAACATATAGCATGGATAACATATAGAGCGTTTTCACTCACGTGACCAGCATCTATGCTAATTTATTGGAGCAAAAGAAATTATTTACATGAGAAAAGAGTTCAACTCCCAGAGGATTTTCTGGGTACACCAACATGGCCGCCGTTTCATTGTCGTGGAACACCAATATGGCGGCCGTGATGTCATGTGAAAACGCTCTATAGATCAATCAATCAATCAATCAAGCTTTATTTACGGTATCACTTCATTAAAAATACTCTTCCAGTGAGCCGTTTACATAACAAAATTTTCGGAGAAAATTCATGGTGCTCCGCTGCGCGCGCGAGAGAGCTCCGCCAAAAAGGCATTACGTCCATAAATGGATGTATTTTGCCGGAAAATTTCTTGGCTCGCAAAAAATGGCTCCGGCGGGCAGGCTCGCACTTTAGCAACCCCCCTGATTCACGTGGTTGTTGGATACCTTAAGCCAGTCTCCCTCGATCACAAGTAGGGTCGGGGGTTTCTCACGTGCAAGTGATGTAGAGCGTTCGGTGTTACACTTCACTGTCGATTGCACTTTCGATTTTTATTTCTTAATGCCATCGTCCCACTCAGCTTTAGAAATGAAGCGTCAATGAAGTTTTCAACGATCGAAGCGTTGTCGTATTTTTTAACGTTTTTTTTTTTAATTATTTAAAATGTTTTTATTGGCAATTGCAATTGAAAAAGTTCATCTTATAGTCATTTGCTTTGTCCCGGGTTCTGTATACTTGAAGCACAAACAAATTTCATCAAACAAATCAACTCGATCGTGCAGATAATATTCTGTTCACGATTATGACAGACTCGCACGAAAATATATACCCTATCTAGGACAGACTAGTGCAAAAAATATATATACCCCTCTTTAGGGCAGAGGGGAGAAAAATTATACCTTGTTCAGCGGCACATCCCCGAATAGGCCATATCAGGGAGCATCCACCTCGGGATGATTAGGCGGTAATCTTGCTATATGACAACGTGTAAGCAAAGCCACGTTTCAGTTAACCTGTTGCATCGAGGGAACCACGCAAAGAAATATGAGTAGAAAGAAAGAGCGAGGGGCTGGGGTAGGTCTCTCCTCTCTCTCTCTCCCTCTATTCTTTCCCATTTTTTCCCGCTCTCTAACTTCGCCCCGTACTCCACTATCCGAACTCCTGGGACAGGTTACGTTTCAGTACCAGCATCTCAAAGCGCTAGGCAAAGGTCCTTTTTCATTCATTGCCTTAGGCTATTAACACAATTGAGCTGATTCGTTGAAGCCGAGTGGCTTGTTGACTTTATTAAACAAGACCAAACAAAGAACGTCTACGTGTGTAGACTAAAGGCACTAGACACTAAGCCCAGTTTCTGCTGTGACGATACAGACATGGCGCTGTCGCTGAACATGATCTTTTTCACACTGGTTTGTTTTACTCTCTGCAGCTTTCGGCGGTCGAATGCCTTTGATAGCTCTAGTGGCAGTAGTGGCAGTAGTGGCAAACTGGAAGATGAATACTGCGGTAAAGAGCGCTTTTACTGTCCACATGATAGTACATGTTACGATCGCGAGCTCCGATGCACCTCGGCGAAGGTCTGCGTCAGGGATGCCAACAGTCCTGAGGAGAAATGTTATGAAAGTGAAACTCCCGGCAGGTACAATTTCTTCAGAAAAGAAGCCCCTATAATCTTTAATTGGTCAAAAATCAATCATTGGTTTGTCGAGTACCGTGGTTTTGTGTACGAGTTCGGCAGTGGAGGAGATCAGGAACTTGACGTTAATGATCCAAACTACAAGTACGGTCCGGGACGAGAAAAGGTAGTGAAGGAAGAATTAAAGGGGTCCAGTAGCTGCACAAGGGAGCAAGTAACTTCATTCATTAAGAAGTGGAAAATCGATCATCCAGATTATAAACTCGCTGCTAACAATTGCCAGGACTTTTCTCAGGCGTTGATTGAAGAGCTGAAAAATAACTGCTCTAAGAGAAAGAAAAGGCAAACCAGTGAAAGCTCAAATTATCAATGTGTTTTCACCTCTTCTGCTCCGTCCCATATCTTCCTCTCAAACTGGAAGTCGGTGGTTTTGTATGGTCCGCTGATCTTAACATCCATCGTTTTCACTGTGAACTAGAAAATTAATCGAAGCTAACGGACCTTGTTTGGTTTTCGAGTTCAAAGACATCTCAAGCAAGTTATTTTCAGTCTTAGAATATTGTATTCTTGCTGAAGCTGATTTAGATTATCTCTTGTTATACTCATGTTTTGTTCATTTTTATTGTAGCGCAAGGATCAGAAGGATACTTTGTTATTTTATTGCCGCTAATAATCTGTAGTTTTCATAATCGAAGCTCAAGATGGGCGTTGTTTGGAATTCAAATTTTCTTAACGCTTGATTATACATTTTAGTTTCCGTCCCAATGATTACGATTGTAAAGCTTGTTGCTCATGTTTAGTAATTAAAAGGTTCCTTTTAAGCAGTTGTCCAATAGTATTTTCTGCGGACTGCTTTTCTACACGCAGCAAGCAGAGCCTTCTTTTGTCTTCTTGAGTGAGGAGGAGAAAAGGAGTCTCAGGCCTGTTTCAAACGTCGTCTGCCGTGCTAAAGTCGAATTTAATTCGATCAATTGAGTTCGGCACGGCAGTAGCACGACGTTTGAAACGGGTCTCAGTGTCTGATTCGCTTCAGTTGAAGTCACCAGTATCCTTTTAATGACTAACCGATACTCGTAACTGAGCCCAATACACCAAGTGCACCGCTATTAGGCCTGGATCAACAAAAACGAAGCAGCCGTGACATGCTCAACAAATCATACAGCGTGTTTAATTTTCGAGTACGCTAAAATCGAGCAAGTATTGTATCTATTCTTCATTTTTTAAGTAGAAAACATCGATCCTTCCTCCGTTCTGCTTTCTACCATTGTATTCCTTCGTTTCTGCGTCAGTTCGATTCTCAGCAACCCTGTCACGACTATTGCCATGCTCTCTAAATAAGATTAGATCAGATTAGTATTCATGATTGCAGGAACAACAAGACGCTATGGAGCGTGCACTTCAGCATCGTGGTTTGCACAGGCCGCCCAAACTCACGTCACGAGGAAAGTGTGTAAAGTAATTTACTGACCATAGGTGACGCGTGAGCTTTCTGCTGTTGGACGCGCCGTTGTCGCGTTACAGGCGACCGTTGAAAATAAGAGACTTTGTATAAGAAATAAAATACTGAGATCTTCGAGAGCTAAATAACGTTAAATCTAATTTTTTCTTAAATGAAATGAATAAAAAAGACTTTAACTGCGATGTATTCTACTGTGTTTTAGTGTCTGCTTGTCGTTTTACTGTTTTTTTTTTGGCTTTATTGCTTAACCACTGTTACTCCCTTCATAAGACGATGTCGTGTTACGAAGGGAGTAACAGTGGTTGTGCAACAAAGCCAAAAAAACAGTAAAACGACAAGCAGGCACTAAAACACAGTAGAATATATTCTGAAAAGAGCAACATCCAAGAGGCCTACTTGCCAAAAACTAGCATTTCGGGGCAAATTGTCTCTGAGATATTAGCCGAATTATGCTTTGATGACTCCATACAAAACCTTCTAAATTTGACTTGGGTCTGAGCGTGATGAATATCGAAGTAGAGGTGACAAAGGACTTTCCTTTGGTATCTCTTGTCAGCATGCTGGCTCCATCGCCTGATTGGTTCACTGGGATCAAGAAGGTGTTCCTGTGTAACACCTCCAGCGGACTCTGGTTGGATAGTTGGACAATTGATATGCTGCATCCTTGGGATGCCGGTACCGACGACGGGGCAACATTCGACGCCGCCAATGCCGCGACTAGTCCACCCGGTTTCATTACCATGATCACTAAATCTGCGCCGCCAACCAGCTTTATGCAATTACCTGGGCCATCCATACCAATAATGGGTAAAATGATCTTTACGAGAACAAATAGACCACTCATGACCCAGTGCAGTGGCGAGGCGACTTACACAGTCAAGTTTGAAGCGAAATGGTCAATGGAAATCCACCCCAACGGATTCCCAAGTGGAGCCCACTTCTCGCCTCTTGTTATTGCTACTCACACGTACAGATACAAAATGTGGAGTGACATGACCAGAGCCTCACTAGGTGTCAAGATTGTTGCCGAAACAGGTACGTGAGTTTTTTAGTCACCCTCGCGCGTATCACGCTCTCTCCTCCGTAGAGGCCCCTTTTTGTCGTTGGGAGAAGGAAAAATAGTGCGCGCAGGGGACCATGGGAAGGGGAAAAAGAGAGGCTCCGTTCCAACCTCGCACCCGCCTTTTTTTGTTTTCCCATCGTCCTCCGCGGGCTTTCTTTTTTCTTTTTTCTATTATTGCTATCTTTATTGGGATACCCAGCAGGAGCCTCTGCGGAAGAGAGAGGACATACCTTATCCGAAGAGTTTTTCTCAATGATTGTACTGATGTGCATTTGCAAGCTGTATCTAAAAAATGCTCTTTTCTGTGAAACTAAAACAATCTTAAGCCCCTGGGAATTATAGTTTGTTTAAGGCTATTATCCCTCAGCTTTATTTCTGCATAGCGTATTCAGGATTTTTTCATAAATTAGCTTAACTAACAATTTTTCACCGAAATGGAGGTGACTGGTCAGCGGCGAGGTAAATATCCACCACTTTGACCGACACTGAGCATGAGGCGAATAATTTGTTCAGTCAGGAGCCTATGACCTTATTTTTATGTATACCACACAAGCTGGCGGACCAAAAATGTACTTAAGGTTTCTCAAATTCTCGAAAATAATAACATCCACGCGCCACGCAAGTTCGACGTCGCCAAGAGGGCCTTTCCCTTATAAAATGCGAGGGGACGAGGTTGCGCGTCGCACAATGCATTTAAAGGTTACAAAGTCACTTGTTAACTCGAGTGATCAAATGAAGTCAAACGATGTGATGAGCGAAACGAACGACTACAAATAGTCGACGATGTTCAGTTACAAAATCCAATGGTTTTTAATCCGACACTCCGTGAGCAGCGGCCCGTAGATAGCTAATTGGCCAACCTCGTCCCCAGGGGCTAGGGCTTTTCCCGTAGAAAATGAGAGGGGCCCCTCCCATTTTCCAAAGGAAAAAACCTGGGAACAAGGCGTGCCAATCAGCGCGCGCAAAAAGTACTGTTCACCTGTGGGTATACAGCTATTTCGAGAAAGGTGTGTCGGGAATAACTGCACGCGACTGACCCCGAAAGGCATTGTAAGTAGTTTTGATTTCACTGTCGTCAAAGAAATTTGAAAGAATGGTTCGAGAGGCTATGTACGCATGTTTGTGAGTGCTAAAGGAAAGCAACAAAAGTAGGTTCGACAGCCACAGTGTCGGAAACAGCACCTTTCGGGATTGCCGCGGGCACGTTTTTCCCGACAACCTTTCTTGAACAAGAGGTACTTCATATTCTAAAGCTGATCTGATCAACAGATCCACCAGGGACACGCTCAATATTGCAATCCATGAGTCACAAGCAAAACCTCCCATAATTGAGACAGTCATACCGAGGAAGACCATAGAGGTGTTCAGATAGTGTTCACCCTTTAGTACGTAAATGATGTACGGCGCGACAGTCTTGCGCAGAGAATGTAATGAGAGTGCCTTAATTGATCTCATTTCAATTTATTGTATCACTACAAAGGATTTTTACAGTCACTGCATGCAAGAATTAAAGCCACTGAAGGCGCGCAGTGAATTGAAGAGAAGGAGGAATTAAATGAATTTCAGTTACTTTGGGATTTCCATCATTAGGCTACCGATTGTTTTCTCGAAAAGAGTGCGTGCCTAATAATATTTAGAAAAAAGAGAGTATTCAGAATACTCTAATGATTATTCTCTTCTGGTTACAAGAGTGTGTAAGTCATATATGACAAAGGAGAGACATCTAATTAAGTGCCGGCTTTAAAAATTCTGTCAAACGTTTGTTCTCCTTGTGGTTCTGTGGTGTCATAAGACATTTCTGTTTTTTTTTTTATCCCTGTTAGGAGTGACCAGTATATTGTATAACGAAATCATGCAACTGAAAAAGCCCAACTTCGTAACATGGTCTATAGAACAGTCGGCGCCGTTAACGCTCCCGGGAAGGGGGGGGGAAACAAGCATGAAAATCGTTGTCAAAGACAAATACTCCATGGTGTCTTTAATCACTATGATTGCGCCATCCCCTGGCTGGTTCGTTGGAGTTGACAGCTATGATCTCTGTGGAAGCGATGGTAGATGGAAAGACACCGTGATCATGGACCTGCTACCATGGCATACTGGGACGGACAGTGGAACCAGCTTCCAATCATCTGACATTCCGACCATACCGAGTGACGTCATCAAACGTATCACCTCGAGCAGTAACACACAGATGGGAGCAGGCGCCGACAAAGCCTTTGCAAGGGTGAGTCTTCCGAGGTCTTCCACGATTTCTACAATGGCTGCCACAGCTGCTAGGGTTGTCACAGCTGCCGCAGCTTCCCCAAGTTCGGCTTCCGATTCCGTTATTTCGATAACGACGACTACCCAAACGTTCCAAACCACAACACCGACAAATGGAGCAATCTTTGTACAGCATGACTGCCCTAACGCCAGTCTCTTCGTTTTTATTGTCGCTTTGATACGTGCATTTTTTAAGGAGTTTGCATATTAAGCTAAGTGGTTCAAGATCGTTTTCCTTTTACACTCTTCGAAACCTTTTGATCTGTGTACAGACGTCCCCCCTCCCTCAGATTCTTTCTGAGGGAGGGGGGGATATCTGTACACAGGCTAAAACCTTTAAACCATCTACAGATTCAGTAAGTCGTAATAGACAGCGCCATATGGACGACTATTGCTAACCCACCGTCATAGAAGCTTAAGAGTATGAATGGTGAAACTTACACGATATGATACGCATTTAGTCACCTTTCATGGTAGCACCCTTGCAAGCAAACGGTCTTAACTCACTTAACTATGCACCTTGTTTTTCATAATTAAAAGAATAGCTAAGCGTAAAATAAAAATAAAACAAAAGCAAAATGGAGGCGTGGAATTCATATTTTCTGTTTGTAGTACAGTAGTTATCCCGATGGTGATGGCCGCCGATAAGATGGTCAGCGATGATGATGGCCGCGTCTTTTGCAGCTCCGTACTTTACATGGTTTATGAATAACTGAGCTACAATAGAGAAACGTCAAGCTTGTTAAAGAGCTATATTAGTTCTACTATACTGTGCCTTTCTCCATTCGTAATTTCTTTACTTACCTTCTTTACATGTAGTTTTTGTCGAAGCGCCTTGTATTATGGACTGTAAAATAATTACCTGGAGGGGAGGGCTCTCAAATGAGCAAAGTGGACCTTTGAGAGAAATTAAGCCCCCCCTGTACTATAGATGTAAAATAACTTCTAATCCCCCCCCCCTTTTAAGACAAGTTCACGACCAACCCCCCTTCCCTTCACATCCGATCTTTTGAGAAGAACTTTACAGCTTACTACTGGTACTCAGCAAAACATTGATGATTTGTTGGATAACCTGAACAAAGCAATGGCAAAGTGTTGTGCCACCTACACTTTTGGATCTAAAACACAATCATCAGTTTCAGGAAAGAAAAAGGAAAATAGGAAAAAAGCTACAAAACGAAAAGCCAATACCACAGAACTTCGAAAAAAAAGAGCATGTGTTATATTTCTTTCACTAGCGAGAAGCCCTGTTACCAATGACTACAGGACCTGATATCTATAGGGTCCCACAACTAGATCATATTGAAGAAGAAACTCTCCCAATATTTACTTCACAAACTGAAAATTCCTGTTTCCCTGATCTACTTGCAAACAAATGCTTTATTGGGAGAGCCAAGGACCTCGTTCACAGCTTTTGTTGCTGATTAGGCATTAAATTGTCATGTTTGGTAATGTTTGTTTTGCTTGTTTGTGATTTATGCAAAACTACAGTACGTTGTGACATGTTTGTTCTTGAATTTTTTGAAAGAAGAGCCTTGTATTCAGTTTGCAGATTATGCATCATTTTAAAGTTTTCATTATTACAGGTTATAGGAGTGCCATGTACTGTTCTTTATATTCTTAGACGTCATTCAATAACCGGCAAAGACGTTGAGTTTGATTAAATTATGTGCCGCTTAAACATCAATATAACTTGTAACCCTTCCTTTATGTTTAAAAAAATAACATCCAGCCCCCCGCCCCACCTACACCATAATTAAACTTTAGCCTCCGCCCATTAGATTTAGAATCACCCTCAGATAATTATTGCACAGTCCTTAATATATACTGTACAACTTTAATGTATTTTCCTAATATAATTGAGTAAATACACAACCAAAAAATACAATACAAAATCACAACGATAACAGATTCTCTAATTGATCGGCTATCGCTAGGCCTGATTTACGAGAATACCGGATACCTTCAGGGGTTTCTCACGTGTAAGTGTTGTTACCCCTTGCTACCCGTTGTTACCCCTTGATACCCCTTGGTACCCTTGTTACCCCTTGTTACCCCTTGTTACCCTGGTTCCCCCTTCTTACCCTTGTTACCCCTTGTTACCCCTTGTTACCCTTGTTACCCTTCTTACCCCTTGTTACCCTTTCTTACCCTTGTTACCCCTTGTCACCCTTTCTTACCCTTGTTACCCCTTGTTACCCTTGTTACCCCTTGTTACCCCTTGTTACCCTTGTTACCCCTTGTTACCCTTGTTACCCCTTGTTAACCCTTGTTACCCCTTGTTACCCTTGTTACCCCTTGTTACCCATGTTACCCCTTGTTACCCTTGTTACCCCTTGTTACCCATTGTTACCCTTGTTACCCCTTGTTACCCCTTGTTCCCATTGTTACCCCTTGTTACCCTTGTTACCCCTTGTTACCCTTGTTACCCCTTGTTACCTTTGTTACCCTTGTTACCCCTTGTTACCCCGTGTTACCCGTGTTACCCTTGTTACCCCTTGTTACCCTTGTTACCTCCTGTTACCCCTGGTTACCCTTGTTACCCTTGTTACCCTTGTTACCCCTTGTTACCCCTTGTTACCCTTGTTACCCTTGTTACCCTTGTTACCCTTGTTACCCCTTGTTACCCCTTGTTACCCTTGTTACCCTTGTTACCCCTTGTTACCCTTGTTACCCCTTGTTACCCTTGTTACCCTTGTTACCCCTTGTTACCCCTTGTTACCCTTGTTACCCCTTGTTACCCTTGTTACCCCTTTGTTACCCTTGTTACCCCTTGTTACCCCTTGTTACCCTTGTTACCCCTTGTTACCCTTGTTACCCCTTGTTACCCCTTGTTACCCCTTGTTACCCCTTGTTACCCTTGTTACCCCTTGTTACCCTTGTTACCCTTGTTACCCCTTTTTTTGTTACCCCTTGTTACCCCTTGTTACCCTTGTTACCCTTGTTACCCCTTGTTACCCCTTGTTACCCCTTGTTACCCCTTGTTACCCTTGTTACCCTTGTTACCCTTGTTACCCTTGTTACCCTTGTTACCCTTTGTTACCCTTGTTACCCTTGTTACCCCTTGTTACCCCTTGTTACCCTTGTTACCCTTGTTACCCCTTGTTACCCTTGTTACCCTTGTTACCCTTGTTACCCCTTGTTACCCTTGTTACCCCTTGTTACCCTTGTTACCCCTTGTTACCCTTGTTACCCCTTGTTACCCTTGTTACCCTTGTTACCCTTGTTACCCCTTGTTACCCTTGTTACCCTTGTTACCCTTGTTACCCCTTGTTACCCTTGTTACCCTTGTTACCCTTGTTACCCTTTGTTACCCTTTTTACCCCTTGTTACCCTTGTTACCCCTTGTTACCCCTTGTTACCCTTGTTACCCTTGTTACCCCTTGTTACCCTTGTTACCCTTTTTTACCCTTGTTACCCTTGTTACCCTTGTTACCCCTTGTTACCCTTGTTACCCTTGTTACCCTTGTTACCCCTTGTTACCCTTGTTACCCTTGTTACCCTTGTTACCCTTGTTACCCTTGTTACCCTTGTTACCCTTGTTACCCTTGTTACCCTTGTTACCCCTTGTTACCCTTGTTACCCCTTGTTACCCTTGTTACCCTTGTTACCCCTTGTTACTTGTTTTGTTGTTACCTTGTTACCCTTGTTACCCTTGTTACCCCTTGTTACCCCTTGTTACCCTTGTTACCCCTTGTTACCCTTGTTACCCCTTGTTACCCTTTGTTACCCTTGTTACCCTTGTTACCCTTGTTACCCTTGTTACCCTTGTTTCCCCTTGTTACCCCTTGTTACCCTTGTTACCCTTGTTACCCTTTTTTACCCTTGTTACCCCTTGTTACCTTTGTTACCCTTGTTACCCCTTGTTACCCTTGTTACCCCTTGTTACCCTTGATACCCCTTGTTACCGTTGTTACCCCTTGTTACCCTTGTTACCCCTTGTTACCCTTTTTACCCTTGTTACCCTTGTTACCCTTGTTACCCCTTGTTACTCCTTGTTACTCTTGTTACCCTTGGTACCCCTTGTTTCCTTTGTCACCCTGGTTACCCGTTGTTACCCTTGTTACCCCTTGTTCTCTTTGTTACCCTTGTTACCCGTTGTTACCCTTGTACCCCTTTTTACCCTTGTTACCCTTGTTACCCCTTGTTACCCCTTGTTACCCCTTGTTACCCTTGTTACCCTTGTTACCCCTTGTTACCCTTGTTATTTCTTGTTACCCCTTGTTACCCTTGTTACCCCTTGTTACCCTTGTTACCCTTGTTACCCCTTGTTACCCTTGTTACCCCTTGTTACCCTTTGTTACCCTTGTTACCCCTTGTTACCCCTTGTTACCCTTGTTACCCCTTGTTACCCTTGTTACCCTTTGTTACCCCTTGTTACCCTTGTTACCCTTGTTACCCCTTGTTATTTTTGTTACCCCTTGTTACCCCTTGTTACCCTTTGTTACCCTTGTTACCCCTTGTTACCCTTTGTTTGTTACCCTTGTTACCCCTTGTTACCCCTTGTTACCCCTTGTTACCCTTGTTACCCCTTGTTACCCCCTTGTTACCCTTGTTACCCTTGTTACCCCCCTTGTTACCCTTGTTACCCTTTTGTTACCCTTGTTACCCTTGTTACCCTTACCCTTTTGTTACCCCTTGTTACCCTTGTTACCCCTTGTTACCCTTGTTACCCCTTGTTACCCTTGTTACCCTTGTTACCCCTTGTTACCCTTGTTACCCCTTGTTACCCCTTGTTACCCTTGTTACCCTTGTTACCCCTTGTTACCCTTGTTACCCTTGTTACCCTTGTTACCCCTTGTTACCCCTTGTTACCCTTGTTACCCCTTGTTACCCTTGTTACCCCTTGTTACCCTTGTTACCCCTTGTTACCCTTGTTACCCCTTGTTACCCCTTGTTATTCTTGATCCCCCTTTTTTACCCTTGTTACCCCTTGTTTCCCCTTGTTACCCTTGTCACCCCTTGTTAGCTCCGTTTACCCTTCCTCCGTGTTAAAAGAATGACATCCAGCCCCGCCATCTACACCATTATTTATCTTTAGGCTCCTCTTATTAGATTTAGACCCCCCTCAGATAATTATTGCACAGTCCCTACTATTTACTGTATAACTATAATGTGTTTTCTTAATATAATGGTTAAATACAAAAACAAAAAATACAATACAAAATCACAACGATAGCAAAATCTCTAGTTGATCGGCTATCGCTAGGCCTGATTTACGAGGCTGCCGGATATCTTCAGAGGTTTCTCACGTTTAAGTGACGTAGAGCGTTCCGGTTAAACTTCATATACTTAAAACTGTACTGCTGAATATTCGGACACCCTCTATATATTAATAAGCGGACACTTAGCCGGGTCCTAAAATTAACGTCTTGTATTTTCCTTTATAACGAACCCTATTCAGCGGACACGTTCTATTAAGCAGACACTTGGGAAGGTCCCGAAGGTGTCCGCTTAATAGAAGTTTTACTGTATATCTGCCTCTCGCTTACCCTCTACCGTTTGTTTTTTGGCGCTGATACACCCCTCCTCCACCCTTATAAAATACTAAGCGATATAAACCTGTTTCCAGGTGCTTTCTCCTTTTGTAGAGCTAACTGATATATTATGTTACTTTGACAAAAATAGCCCTCCCCTCCCCTCTAAAGGTCCGATTTTTTTTCCGCCCCTTTTGAATGTCCCGACGAACAACTGTGCCGAGTCTGATGCTTGTACTCCAGAGTGCACAAAAAAAAAAAAAAAAAAAAAAAAACTAAGCCACGCTACTATACGGGTCACACAAGACCGTGAAATAAGTAGCGTGAGTGATCATTATGACTTATTTACAGGTGAGTTATCAAATCTTCAAATTTCAAGATTTGACATGCAGAATCTTGAAATTTGACGCGCAGAATCTTCAAATTTCAACATTTGACATGCAGAATCTTAAAATTTTAAGATTTGTCGTGTAGAATCTTAAAATTTGAAGATTTGACATGTAGAATCTTGAAATTTGAAGTTTTGACTTTCAGAATCTTGAAACTTGAAGATTTGACGTTTAACATGCAGAATCTTCAAATTTCAACATTTGACACGCGGAATCCTGTAATTTGATATGCAGAGTCTTAAAAATTCATGATTTGACATTTAGAATCTTGAAATTTCACGATTTGACACGCAGAATCTTGAAATTTCAAGATTTGACATGCAGAATCTTAAAAATTCAAGATTTGACATTTAGAATCTTGAAATTTGACACGCAGAATCTTGAGATTTGACATACAGAATCTTGAAAATTCAAGATTTGACATGCAGAATCTTGAAAATTCAAGATTTGACATCCAGAATCTTGAAAATTCAAGATTTGACATGCAGAATCTTGAAATTTCAAGATTTAACTTTCAAATTCTTGAAGTTTCCAGATTGGACATGCAGAACCTTGAAAATTCAAGATTTGACTCGCAGAATCTTGAAATTTCACATGCAGAATCTTCAAATCTGAAGATTTGACATGCTTAATCTTGAAATTTCTAGATTTGGCATACAGAATCTTGAAATTTCAAGATTTGACACGCAGAATCTTGAAATTTTAAAATTTGACATGGAGAATCTTGAAAATATAAGATTTCGTATGCAGAATCGAAAAATTTAAGATTTGACGTGCTGAACCTTCAAAATTCAAGATTTGACACGCAGAATCTTAAAATTTGACATACAGAATCTTAAAAATTCAAGATTATACATGCAGAATCTCGAAATTTTGGGATTTGACATGCAAAATCGTCAAAACTTAAGATTTGGTAATGCAGAATCTTAAAATTTCAAGATTTGACATGCAGAACTAGTCTTCAAAATTCAAGATTTGGCATGCAGAATCTTGAAAGTTTAAGATTTGGCATGCAGAATCTTGGAATTTTAAGATTCTGCATGCCAAATCTTGAATTTTGAAGATTCTGCATGGATCTTCAAATTTTAGGATTCTGCATACGAAATCTTGAATTCTCAAGATTCTGCATGTCAAATCTTGAAAATTCAAGATTCTGCACGTCAAATGAAATCTTAAAATTTCAAGATTCTGCAAGCCAAATCTTGAAATTTCAAAATTCTGCATGTCAGATCTTGAATTTTCAAGATTCTGCATATCCAATCTTGAATTTTCAAGATTCTGCATGTCAAATCTTTACTTTTCTTCGTGCCACATTTTTCCGCCTGTTTAGACTTTCCCTCGCCCCCTTTATCTGCCCCTGGGTCTCCGAGGATGGGGAAGAGGATGCGTGGGGCTATTCGTTCCCAGCCTCCATAGTCCCACTTTTGAGCGAACACGCGGAACACGGGAAAAAACCACACATACTACTGGGGGCGTAGTGATGGCGTATTCTCGTTCGCTTTTCGGTTCTACTAACTGCGCCAGAACATTATTTAACCGTGGCTTGTTAAGAAGGTTACTTCTTCCGCGATGTATAATTGGAGCTGAGGGCCGACCTTTATTGCAGATTCCGGGTAAAGCGTCTCTTTCTTCGTGGAGTAGACACCGTGGGCAAATAATTCGTTGCTCTAGATTCTGTTCTTCTATAGCGGGCATTGTGCAAAGTAAATACACAGTTGACATACCAGAAGTTTCGCTCAGCGAGTTTATGTTAGATGATTTTCAGGAATATGGAGATGATTTGGCAATGGTAAGCTGAGTTTATGGCCATTAACTAGCTAATCAATTGTAAAGCACATAATTGTTTGTTGTTATTATGCAGCGAACAACAAACTGGAACGCAGTTCTGTAAAACAGGAGAATGCAAATGAAGTCTTTGTGTACTTTGAACCCTGTGACAAAATGTCCGACAACCGGATAGGATTTTGATTTTTATTAGGTTGTGTTTGTATTGTACATTTGTTCATGTACGTATAAATGTGGCCATTTTAATTATTTCAAGCTTAACTTGGACGACAACACTTTATGTTCATAATTTGAATATGTAAACAAAGTGGTCTCTTGGTGGGCTTACAACCTTTCTGATTTGCATGACCTTTGTTCTTTAGTGAAGTCATGTGAAGTATCTTGTGATTGTATTAATGCACAGCTGATTGATTTCTACTGCTTAAATTGAGACTTTACACTGTACAATGTGGGTGATATATACCTTTTTCTTGAAAAAGATATTTATTACACTTAACATTATCTATAACATTTTGAAACAAAATCTGTGATGGACACCTGGCCATTTCATGTAATATTCACATTCCCTCTATATGAATTTTCTGAGGAAGTCTTGGATAGAAATTTCTGAGGGGAAAAATGCTGTGTCAGCACTTTCGTTTTGATATGGACCATTCCATGTAATATCCACCCCCTCTCCCCCACCATGATAAGATTTTCTTAGGGGGGTTTCAAAGTTATTTTTTCTTAGTGGTTTAAGAAAAAATGTGCTATTTCTGAAAGGGGGGCTGTGTTGGTACTTTTGACCCGTTTTTCTCTGAGGTATAGTCAACTTAAAAAAATGTACCCATAGGGGCGGGGTTGAAGTTGTTAATATGAAATGGCCCTTTCTCTTAATTTTCTGAGGCATTAGAAGGTATATCTCATCGACAAGGGGGGCACTATTAAATACAATGGCTCACCCTTTTTATTGATCTCTTCTCATTTTAATCTGATAGTTGCTTGGGGTTTTGCAGATAATTTCCTGTAAGAGGCTAATAAAATAAATTTTTCCTTGTTGAAGCTCCATGCATTGAGTAAAACATTAGACTTATTAAAATAGCTCTCAATCCACACAAAGCTGTGATCAGATTGTCAGACTACGATCGATGTTGCTAAACCTAATAGAACCACGTTCCTTTTCTTCGTTTATCATTTGGCTTGGTGCACGCTACTGGTGTACACTAACCGTGCCTGCGCATGATTTCAAGCTGAAGAGAAGGCACCATTTTTGTGCCAAAGCATGGGAAAAAACATGCATGGGGACAGCTTAGGCTGAGATTTTTAGCCATGTGTACACCAGTAGCATGTGCCAGGCCATTTATTTATTTTACTTTTTTGCTAGATTGATGGTGCTTCTGGGAAATCTTACAGTTACAATGAGCTCAATACCTCAATAAAAAAGTTGGGGTCAGCATTAACAAAAAGAGGTTTCAAGAAGGGTGACGTATTTGCTCTGTACCTACCCAACGTGCCAGAATATCCCATAGTATTCTTTGGAGTCATTGCTCTGGGTGGTATAGTGACAACATTAAACCCAACTTTCACTGAAAAGGAGATTTCATACCAACTGAAAGATTCAGGAGCAAAATACATTCTTACGATACCTGCTATTGCTGACAAAGCAAAGATAGCTGCAGCAGAAAATGGAATAAATGAGGTTTTCGTAATTGGTGAGGCAGAGGGCTGTGAGCCTCTTGATTCGCTGTTGTTTGATGATGGCTCAGCGTTTCCAGACAATGTGCCAGTCAACCCAAAAGAAGATGTATGCGTTATGCCATACTCCAGTGGAACAACTGGCTTTCCAAAAGGTGTCATGCTTACGCATCAAAACATAGTGTCACAGGTATGCATGCTTTTACATGAAGCCTTCAGGTCTCATCCTTTCCGAGGAACTGTCCTGGGGCTTCTTCCCTTCTTTCACATCTTTGGCATGGTTGTCATCATGGCCCATTTTCTTAAACGTGGAGGAAAAATAGTCTGCATGCAACAATTTGATGGAGAGAACATGCTTGGACTCATTCAAAACTTCAAGGTACTGTTATATTATTGGTCCTTTTCTTCCTTCTTCCAGCTTGTAAATAGTTACCAAAATTGAACACTGCTTCCATTTCTGGTTGGAGGTGTGTCCACGGCATGCATATTTATATATTTGACCAGACACTCATAAGGGGTTGAAACCTGTAACTCGCGTTCAATGCTCGTGAATATTCAATTTTACCATATTTGGAAACCTTAGTGACAGATATCCATTTTAAACAAATGGCTGCCGCATGATCACCATGCAGATGTTTTAAGACAAGAGTTCTGCACTTAAAGGTTAAAAATACACCGTTAAAAGACAAAAAATGGAAAGAGAAAGTTCAAAAGGATGCTCAGCTTTCTTTTTGTGGAGGAAGGGAAGCTTTTCATCAAGAAATCGTCCTTTGAGGAATTCAACCTTGTTTTCTTCACGACGGAACGCACGGTCTGTTTTGAAATGACACCAAGGCAGTGAAGTTTTTGCTGAATTTTCAGGTACATTGCACTCTATGGCCAAGACAATTACATTTTTGAAAGGGAATTTATGTATTTTTAAATGTTTCATAGGCGTTTTATAAATTTTTCTCTTCGGCACTAAAGAAAAATTACAAAATGTGCCCCAATTTGAGATGAATTTTGTGTTGAATTTTGCCATGTGCTCGGTTGATTGGATCCACGATCCAGATAGTGTTTCCGGAATTGTTTTAAAGGATTAACTTTTTGGATTTTGAATAAAAATTTTCAAGAAACGGCTTCCCTGTCTATTTGTTTTGACTTTGTTCATTCATGAAATTAGCTCAAAACACGATCGTGACCACATCCAAGCTAGCTTAAGGTGGCTCGACTGGATTTTTTTAGGGCGATACCTCCCAAGTTTGAGCCTCAACTACGTCGGCATGAGTAAAGATATCGAAAAAAGGTTACCACAACTGTATTACATAAAGATGAAAATTTCTTATGATCTGGGTTTTATTGCAATCGGAGTCGCCATGGCAACGTAATGACGCCATTACGTTTTTCATTTATCCTTGTGTTTCTCTGTACCAGGAGTTTTTTGAAGAAATCGCTTAAGGGAGTATGTACCTGCCATAATTGCCTCCATTATGGCAAAGTTTGAAGAAATTCTATGAGAGCGTTTTCGAAATATTTCGAAATGCAGTTTTAAGAATCATCAAAGCAGTGAAATAGCATGTTAGCCGCTCAATTCGCTAATATTTTAAGAAAATGATAAGCTTTGGGAACGCGGCTTCATCTCATAGTGGTTTGATTCCATTGAAAACTGCATACAAAAAAAGAGGGGAATTGCTCTGGGCGATCGCGAGTAAGAAGAATTTTATTAACTTGCATTCAGCTGCTTTTGATACAGTTTTTGGAGGTAATTTGGTCCATGCCTAAAAATTTCGCATTTTTCCAAAAACCGCTCGATAAATTTTTTTATAAATTGGACAATTCCGAGATCAATTGTCAAGAAATATTCCCTGCAAGTTTTAAGAACATTGAAAACAGGGAAGGCTTTTAAATAGGGCCTCAAATATAGCCAATTTTCCGCCCAGATTTTGTGTTTACAAGTGAGCGTCCTCATTATTCACTGGCATTGTTTTCAAGTTTCATATACACGTGCAAATTTAGCAAAAAGATAGAATTTGCATCAAAAAGGACCCTCAGTTAAATCTTCGGAATATGCTAATTACCGGGTAAAGAGGTTAGTGATACATTATAACATCAGAGCCACTCTTTATGAGAGTTTCTGTGATGTTATATTCCGAGTAAGATAATCAAGTATTGCATCCTACACAATGAGCCGAGACGTTCACCGTTTCGGCTCTCACTGCTATCTGTGACGACAAGCCAATTATTAGCATATACCGGATATTTCTTCGGAACGTAATCGAGAGTTCTTTTTGATGCAAATTTATATTTTTTGCTAGTTGTGCACGTGCATATGAAACTTGAAAACAATGCCAGTGAATAATGAAGACGCTCACTCGTAAACACAAAATCTGGGAGGAAAATTGGTTATGTTTGAGTCCCTATTTAAAAGCCTTCCCTGTTTTCAATGTTCTTGAAACTTGCAGGGAATATTTCTTGACAATTGATCTCGGAATTGTCCAATTTATAAAAAAATTTATCGAGCGGTTTTTGGAAAAATGCGAAATTCGTAGGCATGGACCAAATTACCTCCAAAAACTGTATCAAAAGCAGCTGAATGCAAGTTAATAAAATTCTTCTTACTCGCGATCGCCCAGAGCAATTCCCCTCTTTTTTTGTATGCAGTTTTCAATGGAATCAAACCACTATGAGATGAAGCTGCGTTCCCAAAGCTTATCATTTTCTTAAAATATTAGCGAATTGAGCGGCTAACACGCTGTTTCACTGCTTTGATGATTCTTAAAACTGCATTTCGAAATATTTCGAAAACGCTCTCATAGAATTTCTTCAAACTTTGCCATAATGGAGGCAATTATGGCAGGTACATACTCCCTTAAGCGATTCCTTCAAAAAACTCCTGGTACAGAGAAAAACAAGGATAAATGAAAAACGTAATGGCGTCATTATGTTGCCATGGCGACTCCGATTGCAATAAAACCCAGATCATAAGAAATTTTCATCTTTATGTAATACAGTTGTGGTAACCTTTTTTCGATATCTTTACTCATGCCGACGTAGTTAATGCTCAAACTTGGGAGGTATCAACCCCAAAAATCCAGTCGAGCCACCTTAAAGTGAGAAGAAAGAGTTAAATCCTTCTCACATTACCTACACGCATCACTTTTTGCGAAGATGTCAGGTTCAGGTTTTGGACACTTTTCGATAGGCAGCTGATGAATTTTATGCAAAAAAAGTTTTTACTGTCTATTCTAGACTAGTAATATAAGAATTGCAGTATAAGTTTACTGTGCAAAGGGTCAATGGGGCAACGTTTTTTGAAGTGACAACTTCAACAAGTTGCGAGGACGTCAATGGGTTTCATAATGTTACGTTTGGCCCGGGTGGTAAGGCAATAATATCCTGCTCAGTAGTTCGGTAAGATTCCTGGTTTCAACCTTTGAAAGCTGTCTCAGCTTTCGGGAGTTTTTCCCCGGTTTGTCGGCCATTTTTTTAAGCGGGCGCGGGAAGGTAAAGTAAAATTACGTCACGTTGTTTACGAAGTTTGATTGGTCAGCTATCTCTTGTTCTCGTTCCAAATATGGTACTTTATAGTTTTGAAAATGAATAATCACGAGCATCGGACAAAGCAAACATATGAGAGTTACCCGTTTCCACCCCTTATGAGTTTCTGATTTGACTGACTCTATTGTTTAGTTGAAAATGTGAGCATGGTTTGGTTAATGTGTTGACCCAGTTTTTGAATGAAAATGGATTAAAAAACTAGGTGAACATACTAACCAACTCATGCACATAATCATTTTCAATGAAAAACTCAGTCAGTGATACAACTAACATGTGTATGTGAATGTCTGTCTAACTGGAAGAGGATTTATTTGGCATTTTTTCCCTTACAAAAATGTGCCCTGTTAATAAATAAGTAATATTTAAACTGTGCTCACATTATAGCTATAGGTGGCTCTTCCTAAAATGTTCTAGGCTGACTAATAAAGTGGATCTTGAATCTTGATATAATAAACTCCTATTTAACAAAGTTCTTGGTATAAAGAATGATTTTGTCTACTCTAGCAATAGTATACAACTATCCCCCGAGGGGGAGGTGAATAGTGGTGGTGGATATATACTGAGATGCGAAACGTCGAGGTATATATCTAGCACTGTTCACCAATCCTGAGGGGATAGTTGTTTTAGTATTTACCAAATCAGTTGGATAAAAATGAAAAAAGTAACTTTTTTGTAAATTAAAAACATCACTTAGTGGGAAGTTTGTTTACAATTTACAAACATCTTGGGGATATTGTCAAGTGCATTTCTATGATTTTGTTGCAAATTCAGCAAGAAAATAATTTTCTACCTACCAGTAAACACCGACAAGCTGAACTTCATCACTTTCTTGGTATTTGTTTGTACAACTGCTTCATTTATCGCTCAAATTTCATCTTCCCAAAAATTTCTCAAAATGAGATGCCATCATCTAGTGGCTTCAGTCGTAAAACAGTGAATAGCCAAGGAGATTCTATGGTACCCAGTCAAAACACGTGGAAATTGCTATTCACTGATTTGGTAAATACTAATACAATATGAAAAAGAACCTCAAAATAATGAAACTTCATTATAGCAAACAAATTTTGCTGTGAGTTAATTGGCCCTTCTTTACATTGTGGTTCCAAAGGTATTAAAGATTAGCATGTACAATGTAGACCCAGTGAAATGTTATAACAGTGAGGTATTTCCAGGATCAGTACAAGATCCTCTATAGTCTGTCCCAATTTCCAGAAAATTAATTGGTAGTGCTGCTTAATAAAGTGCTTTTGGTGATCAGACAGAAGCCAGACTTGTAACACTGAATAGTTTTCCAGACAGGAAAAAACAGGAGACAGAGAGAACGCACCACAACAACTCTATTTTAAAATGGCATGGGCATAGAGTCAGTAGCATTTTTTAAGGACCGTGAAATCAACAAAGTTTTCAGTTTTGAGTGAATAATGATTGTTGTCTTTTAGATCCACTCCTTATATCTAGTGCCACCAGTTATCACATTTTTGAGCAAACATCCTTTGGTGGACAATTATGACCTTACAAGCGTAGATACCATCATCAGTGGTGCAGCTCCACTTGGAGAGCAACTCACTAATGCTTTATGGAAACGTCTTCCCTCTGTGGTAGCTATTGGGCAAGGTATACATTACCCAGTATAAACTAAAAAATAACAGCCATCAATAGTAAATTTGTAATGTCCAGCTTTTATTGCCTTTGTCAGACAGGAGACAGAGAGTGCAAGGGTATAAGGGTATTGAATGTGAGAGCTAAGTGACTCGTGTCTTAACTGATGTCAAATTCATCCTTCCATTGTGCCAGGTCTAAGGTACCGGTCACTGCTCCATGGATAATTTACCCAACCACACAGATTTCTCTCAATATAATAGAGCATTTTGTTAAGAGATGAGAGCCAGGAGACACTTTTAATGTTGTTCATTTATCTGTATCATGGTGACCTGTACTCTGACCTGTGGATAAGTGAGCTGTATTTTAGCCCCTCTGCTTCCAAGGGACCCAATGCAAAAACGGCTGATGGATTGATATTCTTTTGTTTAAATTAAAAGTAGCCTAACTAGCTTCATTCTTTAGTACAAAATTCAAAGGAATACATTATCTCAGGCGAGGCTAGTCATGGTAATTTTAAGTTAATCCAGCAGCCATTTTTGAATTGGGTCCATGACTTAAATATATGTACAAGGCAAATCTAGCAATTAATCTGGACTAAGAATTCACTAATCCATGGATCCAGGGCTATCACCAAGAGCCGGGGACTGGGGATTTTCCCCGGCTACTATGAGCATGAGCGCTGACTACTCTAGAACCTAAAGAACTTCCTAGCTTTACAATTCCCCTCATACTATTGCATATACCCGGCAACTTGAAATTTTAGCGCATGCATCCCTTAAATTCCAGTCATTAAGGTGATTGCCTATAGAAGCATTAAACCTGTCCTAACTTTACTATCAGTAATTATTTATTAATAATATTAGTCTTCATGGTCTGTGTCTAAATAGTACAGAGACCTTAGTGATGCGTACACTTACAGGGTCTTCATTCATGACATAGCTTGTGTTTAACCAAAGCAAAAACTCGGAACCTTTAAGAAATTTTATTTATTGTTTTGTGTTGCTTTTACGTTTCTTTTAGCATTGACTTACAGCAGGAGTGTGTTTAGGAATGACGGGTACTGGCAGTACCTGTACCTGTACACTCCTGACTCCATGATTTACATGTACATATTTGAAAACATGGTAAAAGAATTATAATTGGTAAAAGAGGAATCCACACCATTTTTTCAACTTATGTTTTTGTTAGCTGTTCACTTGTTTATTTTATAGGATATGGCCTGACAGAGACAAGTCCAGCGGCAATGGTTTGCCCCCGAAATAATTGCAAGCCTGGTGCAGTTGGAGTCATGTTGCCGAACCTTGAAGGAAAGGTAGAATCAGAATAGTTCAACTAACAGGGGAGGATTTGCAGGGAAGGAGGTTGTTGACTGCCCAGGCTCCCCACCCCCTTACACTTTCATCTACCCTCTTCTTATGTTTTACGTCATAACCAAAACAATCATATCATTATCTGTTGATCAAGAGTCTCCACAAATTGGTGGCAGATGAGCTGGGCAGACCAGTGTCCCCTGTTATTTTATAGACTGCCTGGAAGCTGTATAGAAACAGCTACACAGGATAATTGGGTATGAAAACAGTAAGCAAATGACAGAAACGATGGACCCTAACCTTGAACAGTACAGTTTCCTACCAGGAAGAATGAATGGAATTAGAAGATTCAAAGGAGAAAAGCAATAAAAAAGTATTGGTTCAAATTTTCAAGTGGTTTGAAAAATAGGTGGTACAATGATAATTTTATAATAGTGTTTGGATTTGGTGTGTTTTGAGAAATTGGGATTTCTAATGTTGTAGGAGTGTTTTTTTGCAAATGTAAGAGAGTAAGTGAGTGTAGTGATCACTTCTTTGGTAACTACATAATATGTACCCTACCGTCTTAAATTTTTAGAATCTAGGTAGAAAGATATTTATTTGTTGGTCAACATATTAATAGATGATCATTTCTTTGTCTAGGTGGTTGATGTTAAAACAGGTGAAGCTCTTGGGCCAAATCAAAGTGGTGAGGTGTGCATTAGGGGACCATCAATAATGAAAGGTACTACATGTAACAGTAAATAATGTTTTCCTTATAGATCTATTCACCACAGTTCATCACTTGTTTATTAACCATGAAACATTAAGGCAACCAAAAAAAACCAAAAAACAAAAAATAAAATAATAATAAAGGGCAAGATAAATTATAGTGGGATTGTTGACTTCTTGAACTTTCATGATATGATGTCTAGAACCAGCATAAAGAATGCATTATTATTACACAATTAAATTTTAAGAATCATCGTTGTTAACTCCATGCCCAAAAATATAAGGTTAGCATCTGTAAAAACAAAGACTTCCAGAACTTCCAAAGATGTTGATACCGGTGAAATCTCAATACAACAACAGCCTTCCTGAACGATAACGAACAATATTCTTCACCCCAGAAAAAGTAAAATAAAATATGGAAAAAACCTTGATAATATTAACATTCCAGATGAAAGCTTATGTTAATATAACATCTTGTTTGTTTGTTTGTTTGTTTTTGTTTCATGCATTTTTCCTTCTTGTTTTAGGCTACCTTAATAATGCTAAAGCTACTTCAGAATGTATTACCCCTGATGGATGGTTTCATAGTGGTGATACAGGATACTATGATGAAGAGGGACACTTCTACATTGTAGACAGACTTAAAGAACTCATTAAATACAAAGGATTTCAGGTAGCAATCTCACTATTTGTGTAAGTCTCATCACTCTTGCATGTTCAAACATTAATACCAATGGTTTTTTAAGCTTTTCATCTACAAAAATGTGAGAACTTGAAGCCACTAGTTGAAGGGATTAATCACTATTTACTATGATTGAATTGTTTTCACAGGTCCCACCAGCTGAATTAGAAGCTCTCATTCACACTCATCCAAATGTATTGGATGTTGCAGTGATTGGAGTTCCGTGTGAAGAAGCTGGAGAACTTCCTAAAGCATTCGTTGTTCCAAAAGGTGAAGTAGAAAAGAAAGAAATTACAGAGTTTGTGGCTGAGAGAGTGTCTCCTCATAAAAAGCTTCGTGGGGGTGTGGAGTTCATCGAACAGATTCCCAAGACTGCAAGTGGAAAAATATTAAAGAGAGAGCTGCGAGACAAGTAAAGTAACATTACAGCCGAGGAAAAGTTAACAATTATTACATAATGGCTGAGTATGATATGAAAAAGTTGTCTGAAATTGAGGAGGATGTTATCTGCTAAGTGCTGAGGCCAAAGTAGATACCACCCCCTGTGGTCTGCTTAACTCTACATACACCTGAACTTCTCTGCAACAGGTACCTTGGGGACAGAAGGAAGTGGCCATTATAACGAGGTGGACATTGTAGAGAGTTTTCAAACAAGGGCCGATGTATGGATTTTTTGTCTGCTGGAACAAAAAAAAGTGGCTGTTGTAGAGAGGTGGCCGTTAGTGAAGGTTCAGCTGAAATTTATCATGATGTGTGAATGAATGTTATGTATGTTTCTCGAAGTCTTCTGCCATTTTCGTGCCAGAACAGCTGAGCCACCATGATTTCCACTGGCAGAAGACATAAGTCTGTCCCTGTTTCAGTTTACTTTTTCATTATTGACCTCAAATAATTGTAAAAATAACAGCTGCAAACATTGTGACGTTCAAATTTAGTCAACACCAGCTGGTCATTAACCAGGGGATCTAAACCAGTCAGAAATAGAGAATTATTTATTTTGATTGAACTACAGTGGTGTACTGTATCTTTTGGATTATGTTTAAAATAATGATCAACTGAGGAACTGAAGATCCTCCTTTGAATAATTAGTGCAACTTATTTAAAAATATATATTTTGAGAAGTTTTGAGGTTCTTTGTTACTAAAAGCACCTTGAAATTACTTAATCTATTATGTAGACAAAGAAGAAAAATTCAATCTGAAACACAAAATGACACTTTTCAACATTTCATTATTATTTTTGCTGTGAAACTCACAAAACCATGAACACCAGAAATATTTGTGTAATGTTATTGTGTTGTAAGGAAATAGCCAATAAGATGCGACAAAACTAAACTGCCACAGCAACGATAATTAGTTTGTGGTTTTGAGGTTTGCTTGCGTGTCCTGAATTTTATGTGATAGGTCACTTGAAAGACTTCCTTACTTTAACAATATACTAACAGGGATGTAGCCGTTTCACAGTGTTAAATAATGTTTAATAGGTTAGAATTTCATTTAAAGTACCTGTGAATAATAATTTTAGTTGTCTTGACATTCGCACAATAGGTTGCATGAACTTGCACACATGTTGATATTTTTTTCTGTAACCAATAATGATAATAAAAAACTATTAAAAATAACAAAAGATAAATTATAAGCAAGCATTTTTATGTGGTTATATTATTATTTTTCAACCATCAAAAACATAAATCAACTGCAACTGACCACTCCAGAAATACCATAACATACCATAGTGCTCTTTGTTTGTCACTCCAAAATTTTGCATAAGCATTGTCTTCAGTTTTCAGCTCTTGGGAGTTAAAATGGCCCCAAGAGAAACTGAAAACAATGCTTACGCAAAATTTGGGGTGACAAACAAAGAGCATTATGGTATGTTATGGTATTTTCTGGCATGGTCAATTGAGTCTACTTTATTACAGTCATAAATTTGTGATGGAAATAATAGCAGGCTTCACTGATTGTACCCTTAAATATGTACTGTAGGAATGTTGCAATATGTTGAGGGCATTTTGGCCAGGTTCCCTTGAAAAAAATAATTCTGTGTCCCCGCACCGAAGGGGTAACAAGTCATAAGGGTGTGTCAATGTTGGTTCATGGGTAAACAGTGAAGTAAACAATTACCACCTAGAATATCTGACATTGGTAAACATTTAGGAACAGGAATACACAACCAGCTATCTTTCCTAGAAAGGTGATCTTAGAGGTAAGACAACTAACCAACACTAAAAGTGTTTTAAAAAAATGTGACATAGGCCCTTTGACAGCTGACATTTTGAGCCCTATCCCTTTGTCAGAGACAATATTGATGTGTTCTAAGGTAAACAAAATGGTTAATTCTAGGTGCTGCAAACAGGTGCAATCACCAAAAGACGTGATACAAACTATTGACATGACACTAAACAAAACCAACAATGGTTTTTGCAACACCAAGAAAAACCCAAGTGCATTTCGGGGGTGTTAACATGACACCAGGGCAACTTACACTGTATGCACCGGTGCAAGTTAACTCCGGTTCTCTCTTGTCGATCTGTATTTGTTTACATGATACCATCCCATTTGAATTCACCCCGGTTGTTGTAACAGAACGAGAATTTCACTCCGGTACAAAATTTCGCAACAATATTATGTAAACACGAACAACCACTCTTTTTGGTGTGAAATTGATCTGCCAGTGGACTGGAACAGGAAGTGAATACAACATGAAAGCACAAAGTCATATCAGTATGAAACTCGACCCAGTGCGTGTATTCTCGTGTAAAAAACCCCTTAGCTGCTCTGGCTAGTTCACAGGAAGCCTCCCACACAGATGTCCTTAGGGATTAGTCACACATTCCTCCCCCACTGATGTCCATGGGGTGAATCCCTAAGGGCATCTGCGCTGGAGGCCAGTTCACAGGCACTCTGCTAAAATTTGAATAGCACTTAGATATAGAAAAATTTGCAATTATTAAATAATTCTACTGCAGTTCAAGGTTAACTTTGTGAATAATCTTTTAGAGTACTCTCATCCAAATGCGTGTTCAATTTCTTGAAATTTCGTTTTCTGTTCGGTTTTCTTTTTTGCTGAGTTTGCTGTGGCTTTCTTATCCCAGAGTCCTGCATAGTCGTGATTCCTGCATTGACCAGGTACTTCTCAATGTCATTTTCACCGATTCCTTCCACAGACACCCCACGCCAATGCTTTTGGAATTCTTCATCAACAGGAAGTTGGTGCCGATCGTTTTTGAAGAACAGGATGACTTTCTTATCTGTAGAACGTGTTATAAACGTGATCCTACGCCCGGCAGATTTTACTACCTGATCAGCGTCGGGCAAACTTTCACGAATATCGTCCAGTAATATCCCGCCCAGACCTTGTTCTTCGTGTCGTTCTAGCAATTTTAGAAGTTGTTTCTTGTCCTTGATACTAAATTTCGGCTTGAAGGCAAACTTTCCCTCTTTGTGAACAAGCTTAGAATTTTCTTTCAAGGCCTCGTTGCCTAGCCAAGCCTTATCGTTTTGACTAATATCAGTGTACTTGATTCGATCGAGGATTTCGTCGACACTCAAAGGCTCGAATTCTCGTTGAAGATGCCGCCTTCTCATGAAGTCTACAATGGCAGCAAGCACAGCAAACTTATGCTTACTTCTGAAAGTGGGAGCTTTGTAGTCCGCTGAAGGAGTAGCTTGTTTCTTTGGTTGCAATAATTCCTTAGGAAGGTAACTACTTTTCGGCACTTTAGGTTTTGACAGTGGTTTTGATTTTGGTTGATCGCTGCTTGTTGTTTTTGACTTCTTTGCTTCGACAGTTGGTTGTTTGATACTTCTTGCCTTGAAGTCTTTTAAGTCCTTAATTAGTGAAGGATCCATTTTTGAGTTTTTGATTCACTGTTTTGGTTTAAATCAGAAAAGCTTTGACTGCTAGAAAGTGAAATAATGTCGGCAGCAATTTCTCCAGTTCTGTGACTGAATAAGCTTAGTAACCGTGTAAAAATAGTAACCGCACAGTTCAACTTCCGAAAAATCCCCGATAGAGTTCCGACAAATTTCCGAAATTGTATTGACCAGTCAACGAGGTATCGGCGTTTGGCGCGAAATTTGCTTTTGTATGTTTTACTGTGGTTCATTCAGCGAAATAGAGAAGCGAAAATGGCTGTTGCCGTGGACATTCGCCAGGTAAAACTGTTTTCAACTTTTCCATCTACACAGCAGATATCATGTGAATAATTTTGTGTGGTATTTTACAGCCATTTGTGAACGATGACTTGTTCGACACCGAGTATGGAGACAGCGATGGCGAACAAAATGGCGATCTAGAAGAAGACAATTCTCCTAAATCTCCGGCAGCCGAGTGGGTGGAAAAACCTGTTGAAAGTAATTCTGACAGGGAACCTCAAGACAGCAGGTTAGATGAGGAAACAAGTATTAAAACGGAGGACGAAAGACAGAAACAAGAGGCACTCGCAGAAAAGGTCAGGAAATACATCTGTACATGCAATTAAACACTTTTATTTTACTAGGCTAGACGATTAAAATAAGTTTAAGCTTAAGTTTTAACATAATTTTAGCGCCACATAAAAGAAAAAAGTTACTGGAAGAGTGGTTTTTAAAATCTGTAATTACGTGTAGCAGCCACTACACTGAGATATTAATTTTAAAAATATCTTAGGGGCTGATTAATGATTACCTCACTATAATTTTCATTTTTGTTGGCCCACCCCAATATCTGCATCCCACCTCCGTTCAACCTTCTAAACTACTTTGGACTGGGATTGTAAGTAGTTATAGCTGCAGTTTGCAGTTACAGCTATAATGCATCAGTCAATTCCAACTGCGCCCAGCCCCCCCAACTACCCAGTACACTTAACCCTGTCCTAAAAGTATTTGGGGGGGAGGGGAGGGCCATTCGTGGCATCCAAACTGCTACAGAAGTGCATATGCTACATCTTCATCTTTGATATGTTAGGGATGTGGAAGGAAGGTTTTCAATAACGATCCCAAGAATTTTTGTCCTCTGGCAATGTAGGTTCCTTTAAATAGGCTTCAGATCTGGCAGAGTAGGTGGAGGGTCCTCAAGCCTCTACCACCACTTGAGAAAGCCTAAAATACATTTACTATAAAATAAAAATACCTTTTGAATTAAAATTCCAAAGCTGTCTACGAGTAATGATGCTGAGCTTGTAGAGAAAAGTGATGACAAGGTAGACAATGCGACAGAGCAGGAAAATACTGGTACATCACCAGTAAAGGAAGATCAGACTGAAGAAGAAAATCAGTCAGGTGAAGATGAAGATGACAGTTCTGATGAGGAGACTTTAAATATCAAGAGACATAAACAGAACAATGAGGTTAAAAAGGTCAGTTCATGTTTGTTTTGTAACTACAGACTTGATTATCCAAGTGTGTTTGCTCTCAGAAAATTTGTCTTATCATCCAGCGTACAAAGAAAGTCATGTCTGATAGCCCGGGACTTGTGGATTTTGGTTTCGGGCTAGTGAATTCTGTTCTTAACTTGCCCGATGGGCAAGTGAATTTTTTGGGGGAAATTCAAATTACAGACGGATTGTAATCAGTCCTGCCAATCAAAAAGGGTTTTGGGGCTAGTTGAAGTGACTCGTGGGCTAGTACATGCTAGCTACAGCTTGCCTGAATGGCAGGCTGTAAAACTGACTTTCTTTGCACCCTATCATCATAATATTGTGTGCATGTATGCTTCAGTACTATGTTCAGTTTTGTAAAAGAACCTCTTACACTGTAGCTGATCAAATCCATGCCTTATAATTCCATTAAGATTTACATGTATCCGTCAACTTGAAATCTGACTGACAGCTCTGCCCTTGAAATACTGTACATGATCAAAGATTTAGCAGGGCTCCAAAAAAAACAAAAAAATTCCAGTTTGTCCTTTGGGCAAGCAGCTCTCAAGGTTTCTAGCTTGTACCCTTGCCATTTGGACAAGTGAGCTTTAAGAGTTACCTTTCCAGCAAGAGAATCTACTTTTACCCAGGCTTCAAGATGGAACTTTTTTCAAGCCTTGTTTAGTATTCATAGACAAGCAAGGACTTTTAAGATAAACTACCATGAAAGAAACATGGACATTTTTTGTAGGGCAACACCATCATTTCAGATAAATTTTGTGAAAGATTTTGTTTTCTGAATTTGCTTCAGCCATTTGAAAATGATGACTTATTTGATGCGGAGATTGGCGAGGATAGTGATGACAGAGAAGATGGCAACCTTTCTAATGATGATTACGATGCTCCCAAATCACCATCACATGGCCAAAGTCATTCAGGAGAAGAGACAGCAACGATGAGTTCTGGTGATGAATCCACTTGCAAAAATGTCAAAAAGCGGGAGAAACGAGAGGCTAAAAGGAAGGTAAAATCATAATATATCTTGACAAATGCAGTTATATGAAATTAAAAGCATTTAACAACAAAGAGCACCATCTTGTTGCGTCATACTTAAATCATATGAGATAGCAGATTAATCTCCACAGCTGGCCAATTTGCCCAGTGCCAGATGCCTGGCCTGAATCAAATTTTACCTTTTGGAAAGAGGATTCAGGAAACAGTCTTGCCAAATCAACTGGAGTGACTAAAAAGAGTAGAAAGAATGCATTGCCTTCAAACAAGGTCCTGTACATGCATATTGGAAAGCTTCCCAAAATTAATGGAGTTGGCTGTGCCAGTCATTTAATAATTTTTTGTCCAGTTGCTATTTCTGGTTTCCCAATGTGAATGGTATTCCCCTTTTTCTTGACAATTATTTGGCATAAGTATTTAACCTTGAGCTGCATCTACATCTGCATCTGTATCTCCACAACATGCAGCTGTACAGTGTGAGTTATATATGCAGTGCTTGACTTTCAGAAAAAATCTTGGGGCCAAGTGGCCCCTAAGTTTTCATTTTTTGTCGCCAGAACAAGTATTCTGGTCGCCAAAAATTATATTACTGGATTTAGTTTTGTGAAGGATAACAGATTATCGTTAGTGTACGTTTTCCCAAAGAAGAAAGTCACCTATCTTGGGGGCCAGGCGTGAAAATTTGGTCGCCACTAAGTAAAAGCTGGTCGCAACGTCGAGCCCTGATATGTACAGAGTTAAGTGCACTATGCCGTTTATGCTGTGTACTATTAAAATAAAAAGCTTACTAAAAAGTCAAATCTGCATAAAGTGCAAAACAACTTAATTACATTTTGATGAAGTAAATGCAAGTTTATCTTGGTTCATACAGTTGTTCTATCTAGTTATTATTTTTTGTTTCAAGTCTTCAAAGCCACGAAAAGCAAGAAAGGCAGAACTTTTCAACATGCATAGTGAGACACAAAGAATGGTTAGAGGTTTGTAATTTGATTGTTGTCTACATGCTGTATACACTGTATGTTACGGGTCAAAATTAAATTCAGGTGAAAATTTTGTAACTTAGGTTGATTATCCCTTTAAGTCCCAATAGTGATCAACATCAATTTTCGCCTAAAGATATCCATACATTGGCAAGAGAAAAGGTTATGAGAGTTTATAAAATGATCACCAAAGAGAAAATACCTTGATCTTTTATCAAATTCTCTCAACTCATTCTTTAAGGAAGTGTATAGAGATCAATTTGGAGAATTTGTATGTGGACATTGGGGCTTAAAGGGTTATCTGTTTCCTTTGTCCCCTACCCTAATTGTTCATGAATAAAGGCTAGGATACAAAGGAAAGAATCAACCCTCATGTCGGTTAAAAAATTTTAGCCTCAGTTGAATTTTGACCTGTAACAAATATTACTCTGTAAGTTATCATAATTATACTACTACATGAGAAATTTCTGCAATTTGATTGGCTTAGAGCAGTGGTATTTCAGCTTAATTTGAAATACCTACATGTGAAAATTGCAAACCTTTTGCAGGTAGTAGTATAGACAAATAATAGCATGATTTGTATATGATATTTAGCATAAATACCACTTGTGATGTTTCAAAGTTGTCTCAAATTTCACTCGCCTAGCGGCTCGTGAAATTACATACAACAATTTCGAAATATCACTCGTGGTATTTATGCCAAATATCACTACAAATCATGCTATTACCTCTACAAATTACACCATGTACAATGATTGTTTTGTGCAAACAATAGCTGGATATTTCAGTATGTAGTAGTTGCAAAAAATAAGTAGTTACTCACTGAAAAAAGTAATAGTGATTGTTTTAAACACAATGCACACTAGAATGGATGCAAACCCAAGATACAGAGTTCGAGTCCAACTTGCTGACAGCTCAGCCTTGGTTCCTTCACTTGGCTTAATGCAGCACCTGCTCAGCTATGAAAATACATCAAAATAATTTTTACATTATTACTTTTTTCTCCAAATGTTCTCAGAATCAACAGTCCGGTTACCTTACCACCAGCCGACAGTTCTTCCCATAACACACTTTCTGAAGAGAGTACCACTCACAGAAAAGAAAAAAGCTGAAAGGTAATTTTGACAAGGCATTGAAATTCATGTAATCATTGTTGCAAAAAGAGATATACCCTGTGTGAAAAATAAGGTTAGGAAAAATCTTACTGTTTGATTCAGTGAATGTGCCAAGTAACAATCAGGGCTGTCAATAAGGATTCAAGGTTACGGGTTAATACAAGTCGAAAACGGCCAGGGATTTCTATTGGTTATATTTTCCTATGAAAGTAGTCAAGGGTCATACTCCTTGTTGTTGGGGAAATCCCTGACACCCGACCCTACAGTGTACATGTAAGTGGCAGCCCTGGATGATGTTAATGAGACATGTTAACCATATCACTTCTCAGTGATTTACTGTAATTCAGCAGCCTTTTTATACTAAAAGAGGTTAATGTACATGTTTACTTCTTTGATGCAACTTATATTGAAGAAAGTTTGGTACTAATTATTTGATGGCTTTGTATTTTGATTTAATTTATGGAAATTTACAGACTTCTTTCACAGTGTTTTTGCCGGAAAGTTGTAGCCTTAATCTGCCAGTGTTTACGATATAAAAGTGAATATTTCTTGCTGACACTTAAATACCACTTTCAAATAGGACCACCACAAAGACAGTTAAAGAAGCTGTGAATACAGAAATTCTTCAGTTGTCACCTGATGACACAACTATACCAGGCCAGGGTAGTGAAATAGAAGGGCCAGAAATGTCGAGCCCAACAGCCGGTGACACTGCAAGTCCCACAGGAGCTGTTCATGGAATGAACAGGTTCAAAGCTGTCACACCCAAACTGAGTGCTGCAACAGATCCGTTCTTCTTAGATATGGATTACACACCCTCATTATCAAAACCTGTCAACAGTGGAGTGCAGGGCTTGAGAGAAAGGTAATCAGGATTTTTACAGGGTGGAATTTTGTAATGGCAAATTAGCACACTACGCGGTGCTGTTGGACTGATATAAAACTGGAAATGAACTTTCTTAAATGAAAGGGTTTACCATAGTTATATGAGATGGGTTTAGAATATTATTGTAAATTTTCCGAGGTCCCATTTAGTTTCAACTCAAACCTTTTTATAAGTTTATGTGGACAGTGTACTCCTTAGTTAGAATTTGACTACTTCTTGAGTTTCTGAGTCATTTTTTTTCATCTTTGTGCCATGACCGTCACCCAATATTATTTTGGATCAGGTTTTTTTTTGCTGCAATCTACCACTCATACAACAGCTACCTGTAGTTAAGGGTGTGAAAAGACAGGCCAAAAAGTTGAGAAGTCTCCTCAGTTTACAGGCCTGACGCTGTGTGGAGCAAACTCAAAATTTAGTCAACTTTTCTCCAAAACGTTGGCAAACTGTGCTTGCAAACTAGAGCAAGCCCGGTGGGTTTTGCCGCTAGCACATCAGCCACAGCCTGGCCTTGGAGGTCCCTTGTCAAAATACAGCGTTTTTAAGAAGCCCCCTCAACTGGCAGAAAATCGCTGTGTAGTTGTCTCCAAAGCATAAGCTACATGTACTCAGAGAGAAGCCTTTTTTTTTGTAAGGTGGATAGCAAATCCATCGTATATGTCTCCCAACCCTCTTCTTGATAAAAGTAAACTTGATATAAAAAATAACATACAGTTTATGGGTAATTTAAGGTGCCATTCTCATTGTTAAAAACCTTTCCTCGGTCGCTCAAAAGATACTGGAATTAACTACAGTGGAACCTCGTTAATTAATACGGTCACCAATAGCCTCCCAAAAATTGGTTGTATTAACGGGTGACCATATTAACAAGGTTATTTTTAAACAAGAAAATGCATGGCCATTTTGCAAGGCGGCCAAAAAAGTGGCCGTAACAACTAGGTGACCATATTAACGAGGTGGCCGTAAGGCAGGGTTTCTCTCTATTCCGGCTTACAAAATTAAACATTTAAGACACCTTGCTTAATCTTCTTTAAAAGTTTCTGGAGACACTTGCAAAATATCACAAATGACAATCATGCTATGTTATTTTGTTAGGTTTTTAAAGCATACTTCAAAGCCTCAGGAGAAAACCCCAGTTCCAGTCAAACCTTTAAACAAAGAAAAAAGTAAACCAGATGAAGTGCTTTCAGAGGCCAGTGAAACAACACCCAAACCTACTGGAAATACACCTATAGTTTCTGAAGACAAGTTAAAAACAGCAACACCTGGTGAGTCATTAGGGAAATGGTTGAAAGTATTGTACAGAGGAATTCAAGGACCTATCAAATGCCCAATCTAGAGAAAGACTGGCGATGTGTCCATGTAGCCACCCAGAAAAGATGGTCTCTCATTTGCATAGTCCACAATTTGCACGCACCTTGAAAGTCCTTGAAAGTGCTTGAAATTTAAAATAAAAATTCAAGGCATTGAATGTCCTTGCAAATTGCAGTTGGTGCTGGAAATTCCTTGAATTTCGGTGCTAACTTTATCCAACCTAGATTCTCAAGTACCTAATATGAAAGACCTTCAGGATAAAATTGCTTATGTTTGTGGAAGAACTAAAAAAGGCACAGACTCAAGGCTCTTTTTTGCATTAAATGGATTCCTTGAAAAATGGGAAATATGTCCTTGAAAGTCCTTGAATTTTTTGTTCAAAAAAGGGCACAAACCCTGATAGTTCTCTTTCTAATCCCAATGAAAAAAGTATGGAATTTTAATGCCCTAGTGCAGTTGACAATGCAATTTTCAGGGGACACTTTAATAACATTTCTATCTCCTCTTAGATTTTTATACCAAAAAATTGCATCCATCAGGCTCATCAGATGGGTGGTGTCTTGTACACCCGTTCTGCTCTAAGTCTAGCCTGTATCCAGCCATGCTCTTTCCACACAGGCTACCCCAAGTCAAGGAGGATTGTCGTTGAGTACACCGGTTTTGACAACTCCCATTACAACTAGCCAATAATCAATTAATTTTAATATATTTTGCACGGTTTTATGAATTTCAATTTCCAAAAAACGCTTGTCCCTACTTCTGACAAAATGAAGCAGTGGGAAAGTTTTGATGCTATTATTACTACTGCTTGAAAATCATGTTTTTATTATTTTTAAGAATGTTTTCCAATTTTGTACAGTTTACAGCTGAAGTTGTAAAAGATTGATCTGACACATTCACTCTTTCATTCTTCCCCCATTCATCCCCTCGGGTGACCACCTATATAGGATTTCACAAGTAAATAGATTTAGGGCAAAGCAAAGCAAAGCCTTTAATGGAGTTAAACATTATTTTTGGCTTGACAGGGTCCACCACTGTTCCTCCACACCTAACCGCATCTGAATTATGTTGTGATATGTCTCTCATTTCCAGGGACCAGACTTTTACTTCTCAAGGAACAGCTGCAAGCAAAAATGAAAGTTAATCGAGCTGAAAGAAGGAAAATACAAGAAAGCCAACGAAAGCTTGACAACGAAGAAGTTAGTGAGGAAGAGGAAGAAGAAGAAATGACTGAGGAGGAAGGTTTGGCATGAATCATCTTATTATCTCTGTCCTATATTAAATTACACCTCATTTTATGGCTTATTAATCCGAGATTTTGGTAGAAGAGCGATACGTCGACTACACAAGAAAAAGTTAAATTTTGAGCTCCTTTTCCGTTTGTTCGCGTATTTAAAAGTCTAGTAAAGTACATGATGTATCCCCGATAATCCGATGATCATAAAGGGCGCTTTTTTACCCTAACTTTGCAAAACGCGTTTATGGTATTGATAGTTTTCTCTTGATGCAGCTCAAACCAAAATTACCGTCTAGGAAGCAGGTTGCTTTTCCTTGAATTCCTAACATTTCCCTGCTTTCAGAAAGCAGAGTCTACGTTTGCAACGTGAAACTTCCTTGTTACACGTTTTATGGAGGAAATGTCGTACTTGTTCTTATTCGCTATTTTTTTTTCACTGCCGCCCATTTTTACCTTGGTGGCCGCTAGCATTTCTCAGTTTCTCACCGCCGCTACAATATTTTCATTTTGTTCTTCGAACAAAAAACGTCTCCATTCTTTTTTATCTCTTGCTGTGGCTGTCTGTCGCTCTTTATCTCTTTGAGCTTCGCTGGCCTGTTACCTATTTTCTCTTTTTCTGTCTTTCTCTTTCTCTATATTCCAAATTTGTGGACATGAAAATTAGTCTAAGGTTAATACTTTACACAACACGTATACAGAGACAATTTCCGCTTTTCGTTTTCGTCTTTATTGACTCTCTGGTTGTCAAGACGCGGGTGGCCATGCGATTTCCCGCCAAAATAACCTCGAGCTGCATTTATTTTATTTTACATTGGTATGCCTGTGGTGCTGACGGGCGGTTGGTCGGACGTACGGTCACGTGATTACCAAAATTTCTCGAATCAGTAGATCACCACATTTTCCTAGGTATGGGGCTACGCTCGCGCGCGCTTTGAGCTCTGCTGTCATCATCGTCATCATCTTATAATCATCATCCTCATCATCACTAGTAAATCATCATCATCATCATTATTATTCATTTGCGCTGCGAAGTTTTCAGTTTCTTCTTTTAATTCTCTACTTTTTGCAGACGATTCTGATTATGAGCTTGACAAATGGAACGAAGACGATGAAAGAAAACAGGAAGAAGGAGAAAGCGATCTTGAAGATGAAGCAAAAGATAAAAATGCTTTCATAGATGATGAGGCGGATGAAAGCGATAATGACGGTGACATTGCTGGCCATGACATTGATTCTGGCTCAGAAGGGGACATCAGCGATGGAGACGAAAGCGACGACCACAGTGCGGAGGAGGAGACTGTATTTAGTGATGATGGTTTGTCGAAACCAACAGCAAAGCTTAAATCAAAAAAGAAGCATAATAAATCTAAGTTGCCAAACTTCAATGTGGATGATAAAACCATGGATCTTTTTGGCGATAGCAGATCTCGATCTGATGCTAAAGGGGAGAGCAATGATTCTATGGCAAAGATTGGCAGTGCGGAAAGAGACAGTGAAGACAGTACAGCCAGCCTTTGTCTTCGTCTCGATAGTGTAGAAGATGGTGATGAGTCTAATTTCAATTTTCCTAGCCTCCTTATGTCTTCGAATACCAGGACTAAAATCCATTCCAAAGTTGACAAGTCGCTGACAAACATTTCCGAGGTGTCGCAGGAATCTAGTCAGTCAAGTTTTGGAGGATTGTTGGGTTCTGAATTTGGTGAGAGTGCCAATAGTCTTGAAGCGAGTAGCGACAGTAGCAGAATTCCCCCTGGGCAAGGGGGAGGTAATGCCCAGGGAAATAATGAGCTGCACTCCGGTAAGAAAACCCCGGAATTGTTTTCATCTTATTCAAGACTGAGGAACCTGATCGGCATGAATAGCGATGGCGTTTCAAATTCAGCAAAAAAGGTAAGCAGATATAACGGTTTCTGTCCTTGCATTTTTCCGCGCCTTTCGGTTGTTCTTCTCTCCTTTTAAATTTAAGGCCATTTCAGGGCTCAAAGTTAGCGACTAACTGGTCGCATATGCGACTGGATTTTTGGTTGTGCGCCTAAAAATTCAAGTCTAATCGCACCTGTGCGCCGTAAAACCCAAAGCACAGTGCGACTGACTGACTTCCGACTATACTTACGAACTCGAACTAGAAAGACGGTGTATGTTTAATTGGTCTTTTCTCCCAATGGATTCTACGAACTCGAATGTTCTTTTTCGTTTCGATGTTTTACTCCACCCCAGACTCTTCTGTTTTGTAATATAAACACCGCTGACACGTGCAAATATATGCTACGAACAAAACACGTACTTTTTGCGCAATGGACGATCATGTCGAACGTTCAGTTTTAACGTCAATCAAAACAAAAACAGTGCGGATTAAGAGCCTTTTTTCCAGGTATGAAAGCTTTTTAAGTCGTGTTCCAGTACATGTAAGTCATTGCGCATTTAACAAATTCATTAAAGATTAATTTTCAACCTCTTTCGACACACTCATTGTTGTCAGTTTTGAATTGTTTTTCAAGTGTAAGTTTTCTTCAGTTACAACTGTACTGTCAAAAGAGAAATTAGTATTAAAAATCACAACGGTATTACTGCGTAGCAAATCGGCTGTGTTTTATCAATCACAGGACTGAAGTAAAAGTAGCAAACTGAAGATGACATATGCACGTGGCACTGTTAAGCTTTTTAATTTTTCTTTTGGAATAGACGGTCCCAACATTATAAGCTGTGCTCCTAAAATATTCAGCTGTGCGCCTAAAATTTCGGCAGTGCGCCTAAAAATTTACATCTGGTAGCACAAGTGCTCCCAAACTCAAATTTAAACTTTGAGCCCTGCATTTAAGCTCTTGCAAATAATAACAACGTATATTTAATACTGTGGAGAACAAAACAGTGAGAAACAGAAAGGGAGCCCCGATGTAATACTGGCGAAGCTAGATTGCATACTTGAAAAACGTCCTCTCAATTTGTAAGGAAATGATAATACAACACAATGTACTTCTATCCGTGGCGTCTGGATTTGCCTTTGTGTGTTATGAGGCCTTAATTTCAGCCTGTTGATTAAATATTTATTACTGTTTATTTTTTATATTATATCTGTTTATTTAATTTTTTTTTTCAGCCTGGTAAATTATCTCAGCTCACTCTTCCAATTGAGGATTCGCAGGTATTGTGTCTATTGTGCGTAATTAATGAAACTGTCCCCACGGACAGCAACTTCGCAAATGCGAATGGGTGACAACAAATGTTCGAATAACCGGCAGGGTTGTCACTAAGATTTCAAGTTGCTGGGTATTTGTTGTTAGAAGCCGGGGAAGTCGCAAGCAGTCCTGGAGACCCCCCCCCCACAAGAAGTTTTTGAAGTGCAACTTTTACCGTTTTCCAAAACGCATTACCGCCCCAAAAAAGCAATTTTCATCAAGAGTACAGCTATCGTTAGCGGTTTTATGATGATCACGTCTTTATTAAAGAAAACAACATCATTCTGAGACCCTAAAATAATAAGTTTTTACTTTACGTAAAGGTTTTTTTAGTGGCCGCCAAATGGGAATATACATGTAAGCACCGGGTCTGAAATAGATGATAGGTAGGCACCGGTCACGTTATCCGCGCAGTCTTCACGCAGACAAGGCGCATGCTGGCCAGTGAAGTAAAAATCACAACGATACTTTACAAATGTTAAAAATGTGGAAAGGACAATCGATTCTTATATGGTGCAAATGAATAAACATGCGTTGTAAAATCAATTGTAAATCCTCATTTAGTTATACGTAAGAACGAAACAAGTTACAGAAAACAGAAGTAAAACTAATATTACAAATGAATTAACCCACGGAGAAGCGGAAAGACGACACGAAGAGGACGATGAATGTACGAAAAAGCATCATAAACACAAGGTTACTATGGTTTGTTGAAAAATAAAAGTATGATAAGGCTAAAACAAGCGTAACGTACGAAAAATCGCGGGATAAAATATGGCAAAACTAAACTGCACAACTGGTAACATTAGTGGTCTCGAATTTAGGAACGAAACATCACTTAACATTCGAAGAAACTGACATACGGAAAAGCGTTTAAAAGACAGGGCTAATACTTTAACGACGCTGGGATGTCAAAACGAGACTCAAGGAGAAGAATGCAAAAGTAATGCTAATGCTTAACTTCCCTTTTAAATATAACTTCTTGGAAGTAGAACTGAGAGGATGTGATCATGACCTGCGCACAATGATCGAACATTTCCCGCTGACCGTGCGTTATTTTATATACTCGATACCTAAAGCTAAATATAGACCTGGTCACTTAAACGTCAATTTATTAAACTTAGCAATCAGTCATAGTGTTCATCTTCAAAGCCTTCATCATAATCCTCATTATCATCAACATCAGCATCAGGGAGATTTAACGCTCGGATGAAGCCTCAACTTCTTCTGTGATGTCAACGGAGATCTGCTCAGGTCTTTCATCGTGAACAGAGTGCAGATTCCTTTGCCAGTTCTTCGACATGTTCAACACAAAGCCGACACAACGGTTGAAACTAGGGACTTTTAGCATCGACAAAGGTAACGGCAGCGGAAACGTCGCTTTTAAAATGAATTGGCGTTTTTTTCAACTTTGTCTCGTTTATTTCAGTTCGCTGAAAATAGCTAATGTAGGCCAATTTGTTTACGTCCTCCATAAAACGTGAAACTAGGCATTTTCACGTCGTAGTCGTGCAGTAACGGCAAAGAAATGTACCAAAAAGCGTGATGCACGTTAGCGCAAACTAGTTGTTTTGCTCAATAAACCTTTTGCTTTTTTGACGTTCTCGTTGAAGTCGCCGTCGTCGTTGCTAAAACTCCCTACTGACATTTCGCGAACGGAGAGTTTTCGCGCGTCTGTACTAGTTTCAAATCTAAGTCAGATGTCTTTTTCCGACATTTCTTAGTTTTCGCACGCGAGTATTTCAAAATTACTTAAACCTGCTGCAGATGAAACTTGCATTTAGTTTGATGGATAGTCTTTGTGTGTTTCAAAGGTGTGCTCTTTTGGTTTAATGTAATGACGAAAGTAGCCGGGGGCCATGCTCTGAGTAGCCGGGGGAAATCCCCGGCCCCCGATCCTTAGTGGCAACCCACTGTTAAAATGTAACCTAAGAGCTTAGAAGGGAAGGAAGAGTGTGAATAACATACTTTTCATTTTAAACTCCGCATCCAATCAGAGGATTGCGCTGTTTATTCGACGATTATAAGAAAAAATACAACAACCACAGTATCACCCGGTAATCAACACCATCTAAATAATTACGATTCTAGCTCAGCAAGAAAGGGAGACTATGGAACTTTGAGATTCTTTTTTATTTATTTTAGATAATATTTACAAGTGACTAAACATAATTTTTGTCAGGGATTTAAGATATAGTTTCATGGGTGTCGAATTACTCCTTACAGGGTTCGTACAGAGTCTTGAATTCTTGAAAAAGTGCTGAAATTTGCCCAACAATTTTCCAGACCTAGAAAAAGTCTGGAAAATGGAGACAAAGTCTGGAAAGAAAGAAAGTCTTCAGTCGTTTTTCAAGAAAAAGAATTTAAATGATTTTTTTCCTTTTGGTAAAATCTTTGTAGCACACCATAAAAAAACCTTCCTGCGTTTTTCAAGGTCTATATTGATCACCTATCTGATAACCTTGAGTCTGGAATAAGAAAAAGTCTGGAAAAAGTCTTCAATTCTGGAACCAAAAATCTGTACGAACCCTGTCCTTAATTTTGGGGCGAAATTTCAGCGTTAATTTATAATTACAAAATTGCCATTGCCAAATTGCAACCTTCCGTACAAATGTACGTCTCAGTGCTATGATGGCGACGAAGTTTCAAAATTATATGAATGAAGATGTCAAGGCATTGAAAGACGCTTCAGAAAACCTAAACACACGGAAGAGCACATCAAAAGGATTTTAACAGGTATTTTGTCAAAAAAATTCTGAAAATTCTGAAGTTAAGCCAAATTTAAGCTCTAAACATCTGAGATCGATACGATAAAACCAGGATAAACATGTCAAAAATCCACGATTACGAACGTAATTCGTCACCCACGATATTAATAGGTAATCAAATGGTATACTCGTGAAATTAGGGAATAATTTGACGCACGTTTTTTCCAAATCCTAATAATTTCCCGAGCCATTAAACTCGTCACCATTTGATCTGATTACACATACTAATACGCCGCCCTTGAATTAACACTGCATCGAAAGCGCTAAAAAATTTATTACACTTGGTTTCCTATAGGATCTCTTTGATGACGCTAGTGCCCGAACAGGAGAAAAGACCTCAAAACAGGACATAAATACAACAGACGCCACGTCCAGTGATTTTCACTTCACTCTCGACGAGGACACTCAATTTACGCAGATACTGAACACACAAGGGTAAGTAGCCCGTTCCAGGCTAAAAATGCAGTAATGTGCAGCTTCGTCGCCAGTCGTCCTCGGCGATTTTGGACGGGACGTCACCTGTCAAGCTTGTCAGGAAATTCGCCGAGGTCGCGCTCGCTTTCAAGCCTCCTTTGCGCACTCGGATAGAGTGAATTGCTCTAGGTACGAGACTGAGCATTTGCAGAGAACGACGCTGAGAATGTGAAACTGATGCGAAAAACGCGCGGGGGCTGCGAAGAGACAATGCGGTCTTCCTTTTCCCCCTGCCGCTCACCTTTCGGGATCATGCGCGTCTTATTTTCCATTGGCCTTATTTTTACGACGTCGTTACCATCTGAGAGCGTAGTACAGGCTAAAGGGTAAGGTGTGAGGAGGTTCAATAAGCTTACATACCTTGGAAGAGACTGGTGCTAACCAGAGATGGGGAGAGGGGGGGGGGGATAAAACCCCATAAAAAATGTTGGCAATTACAATTTTTTCAAATTAACGACTCAAGAGAAACTTCATGTTCCTAATTGCTCTAAATTTCTTCTCTTTAGACCCAACTTAGAAAGGAAAAAAAATTACCAGCAAGTTCGGTAGCATTAAAGAGGCTTCAGAGTCACGCTATTTACTATGTTTTTATGAAAGCTTAAATGTGTCTTCGCATCAGTTGTCGTAAATTCCAAAATAATTGTCCAGTTTTCTTATTTAAGGCTATATTTAGGCATTCAAACTATTTCCTGTCGTCTGTTGATACGGATGACAAGGATGGACATGGATTGACCTCGGCCAGTTTTTTCAAGTTTTTATGCTATGCGCGCAAAAAGACCAAAACGTTATTATGATTAGTGCTTCCTGATGAAACGTGTTTGATATGTTCATCATAACTTTATAGGAGCAATTTGTTTATGGGTAACTAATGACTATAGCACAGCGTTGACCTAAAACAGCAATATCCTGTCGACATAACCCCTTTAACGTTGAGTTAGAGCGGCGATTTACACAAGGAATTTTCAAGTCTATTCGCCAGTCCGGAAGGTGGCGTGTGGGATGAATTCATAGGAACAAACAGGTTTCCCCAGACCAATGAGTTATTACAAATGATGATGAAAGATCATCAATGTTCTTTTCCTTGTCAAAAATAACGCTGTGACCCTGAAAAGTAAAATTGGAGGCATGCGGCATTCCCCATCAGTACCATGGTATTTTGTCCTTTTAAAAGCCGAGATTATGATGCATTCTCCTTCATGGAAACCACATTGGATTAATGTTGCCTGATTGACTGTTAACATTAATCACTTTCATGCAATTTAACACCAACTTTCTGCCATTCAGCTTCATAAACTCCACGAAAAAGAGTAAAACTAAAACAAAGAGGCTCTTCGAAGGTGACGACGACGCGAACAGCAGCACCCAGCCGCACATGAAGGAACTGCTTGGTTTGTGTTCTGGAAGATTTAGCGACAATGAAGACACAGGAACATTAAAGGACAGTGGCAGTAATACTGAAAGAAAGAAACAGGCGAAAAAGGCAATATTTGACACTCAAGAAACGAATGGGAATATGAACGAACTTTTGGATCTCTGCTCAGGAAGGTTTACTGACGACGAAAATGATCTTGGAGCTGACGATGTAGAGGAAAAGGAAAATGATTCTGAATCTGAGTTGGATGAAGAAGAGAACAAAGGTCCTAGTGATGTTGGTGATGAGGACGAAGACGATAGGATGGGAGAAAAAAGCGATGTAGAAGATGAGAGTGATCTTGAAGAATTGATGATAAAACGGAAATATGGGAAGAAATACGAGACAAAGAAGAAAAGGTAGGTAGAAAGATACATAGCTTTTTCGAACTGGATTGCTTTTTTTAAAGAAAATGAAGATATGATCGTGGCACTGTAATAGCAATTTTAGCAACTGCAAATTAACCCGAAAAATATGTCGGGGTTTCATCGGGTTTTGAACCCATGGCCTTTTCTCGGGATAATTTTGTTGCTATTACACGGCGATGATCGTATCTTCGTGTAAATTTGTATTTCCGCAGTTCCCATCTTCTCTATTCTATACATTTCTTCTGATCTACAAAATCACCAAATTTGAGTAAAAGTAGAGTGAGAGATCCAACAGAAGATGATGGTGATGATGACGACGACACGACGACGATGACTATGACGATGATGATGATGATGGTGATGATGATGAATGTTCATTAGTTCACCCATTTTGCTGGCCGCTAAGATCCACGCGCTTCGTGCCGGACGAATTTTATAACCACTGCCTCGCGAGGGATAAAAATGTACCTCCATGTTTCTTGTCAAGAGCTGAGATCAAGCTCTAATAGCAGTTTCCAATGAGAAAATTTCTGTTCTGTCTCTGACATTACACAATTTTCACCGCTTTTATAACCCTTATGAAGGCCGTTGAATGCAGCCGAAATATTGGTTCATCGTGTTCAGAAACATCTGGTGTCTTCATTTGTGATGAACATATTTTTTCATAGAGACTGCCGTCTTTGGTGATGCTTGTGGCTTGAGATTATACAATAATAAACAGCTTCCAATCAGTAACTCGTTTATAAAATCCCTTGTAGAAAAAGCCAGAGTCACATTTATGAGGCGTTGCGGATTTAATTTCCATTCATTGTTTGTAATTCACAGCATTTTCGACAAGAGGAACTTCCTGGAAGAAGAGGCAGAACTGTCAGGGAGTGATGTGGGCTCTGATGTAGATGAAGATATCGCTACTGATGATGACATGTTGGAAGAAGATTCTGATGCTGAGGAGTTGCCGTCAGACGAGGAACTTCAAAAACAGATCAACAAAGTTCACATGTAAGTGATAGTTCAAAAATACATTAATAATTAATAAAGAAAAAACAAAAGAAATTAATGTTTAATAAGTGTCTTTATATCTGATAAACTTTACGTCCAGGTTTTTCGAGCAAAATAACCCCAAGTCTAAATATTAGTGTAAAAATGAGTTGATCTATATCAGAGATTTTGAAGCCGTTCAAAAAACTCGCAGGAGTGTATTATCAGGTGTAAAAACTCTCGGCTTTCCCTCGAATTTTTAAACCTGTTAATACGCTCCTGCCTCGTTTTTTGAACAGTACATTAAATACCACTGGACACTAATGATAAGAAAGAACGTTTAGTAATAACAAAAATTCGAACTTTCACTTACGACTGTGAGCCTAAAGCCTTTTCTGTTTGGAGTTTTCGTGTAATTTTTATCAAGCACGGCACGCAGTGTGTTATCTGATATCCAGATACCGAGGAGTGGCTTGACAAACGAGGCGTCGCCGAGATTTTAAAGACTGACCATGAGGTGTCTGGATATCGTAAGAAACACTCGGTGGAGTGGTTGTTACAGCTTTTTAATAATTCTTGAACAAATTCAAAGCTAGGCTTTGAATTTGGCTTTTGGCTTTCCTTCTCCACCTACTCCAAAGCTTTTGCCACATACTTAAAATCGTATCAAAAACCTTGCTTAACTATGTTTTATGTATCTTACTTTGTGGAGGCGTGTGTGGCCGCGGGGTTAACACCTCGAACTCTGGATCTGGAGGTCCGGGGTTCAAGCCTCGCCCGTCGCGTTGTTTCCTTAGACAAGGAACTTTACTCCACTTTGTGTCTCTTCACCCGGGTGTTTAAATCGGTACCGCCGACAAACTGCTGGGAGTAACCCTGCGATGGACTAGCATCCCGTCCAGGGGAGAGTAGCAATATTCCTAGGCATGCTTCAAGCTAAGGAAACCGGGATAAGCTCCAACCGTGTGGGCCTTTGGCTTATGTGCGCCTTTACCTTTATGTATCTTACTTTACTAGGAAATCAATTCATGACCAGGACAACGCCGACCTGCGAGCGGTGAAAGAAATGTTCCTACCCGATGGAGACCTGTACACAGATGGACAGGGTCGCACGAGACATTTCCGGTGGCGAGGAATTGACGAAAATTCACAGTTCGGACTTTTTGGCAACAAAGATTTTTGGAACGATGAAGATGGCACAGCTGTAGAATTAAGTACTGATGAGGAAATCCAGCGACGAAAGGAAAGATACGAAAGAGAAGCTTTCCTCAGGGAGGAAAAGGTGTAAAGTAAAACCATTTTAATAGACCTTTTTATCGATACGGCGGCCATATTGAATTAATTAGATTTAAGGCGTATTATGGGATGCCCAGGGTTCATAAGCACGATCCGATATACTCGCTCAGTATTTACGCGCGCTTTTCGGGCCAATTGTTCTTCAAGTTTTCCTAGAAAAAGATTGTAATGGGGAAAAAAAGATCGTTGTGCCGTGTTTAGATTTAATAATGGTCGCCTTTTTCTCGAGAAATACGCAATGAAGTTCTCTTTTTGCCCGAAAAGCTTGCGTAAATACTGAGCGAGTGCCTCCTGGGCATCCCATAATACTCCTTAAATCTAATAAATTTAATATGGCCGCCGTATCGGTAAAAAGGTCTATTGTAATGCACTTTTTCATTGTTTTGAACAGGATATTGTTTTAGTATTTTTCCAGTTTGCAGAGTGCATACTGTTTCGTGTTTAGACCACTAAGCCGTAGAGGTTTGCTTTTGATGAACGTTTGATTGCTCATTAACAAAATTGATTCCAATCTTACTTGAAATTGTTCCACTTTATCTGTTTTGCAGCAGTAAAACAGACGTGTATTCATTGCCAATGGTTTCAGTGTTATTTTCTTCCTATTACTGGTGTGTCGTTTCCTCAACTCTCTATAAGCCGGATACCTCTTTAAGACGGACAATCAGGGTCGGACCCGAGAGAGTTGACTTTATTACAAACTAGTAATAATCATTGATTATGGATCCGCGTTCGTCTTATTCTACGAGCATGACATCTGCACGAAAATGAGACTAACGGAAACGAAAACGAGTCCAGGTTCCTGCGGCCCAGATGCCACTGATAAAATTAATAGGGGCGGCTAATCGGCAGTCGCTTGTGATGGCTTGAAAATTTTTGCCTTTGTGCCACAGGAACACCAGATTAGGATGCGATGATAACTTACCGTTCCACTTCAATGGCTACACTAATGACCCTGTTTCATATTCGCTGTTAAATGTCCATGTGCATCATCTGTGAATGATGTTCTGCAAGTGATTTGTCGTCGCCAAAACAGTTTGTATCATTGTGGTTTGCAATTTTGCGGTTCCCTTTTTCAGTAAAGTTAAACTCGAAGTTTGTCTGTTTTTCAACAGGACAAGCAAAGGCCTGATGTACTGGACCTCGATGAAAGCAGCCAAAATATTCTGAGCAAAATTAAAGATACAAGCAGTCAGTTACCAGATGGTAAGGGCAGTTAAATTATTTCAACCTATTTTGCTTACACAATCTCAATGTTATTTATTTTCGTTTGTGATCATGTATAAATCCTGCGGCTAATTCTTCATAACCAGCTGTGACTGACCATAATTGGAGGATAATTGCCGATATCAGTGCGGTTGATATCGACAAGATATGGACACACAGACGTAACGCATAGAAGCTGCACGGTGGCTCACCTGTTTTAGCATAGCAGAGCTGGATAAAATGGCGTTAGATTTCACGCGTTATGAGTAGACGAAATAGGTGAAGAACTCCTTCAAAGGGATTGTTGTTTTAGTATTTACCTAATTATTTCAATAAAATGGAAAAGATTTTTCTTGATAAAAGACCTCACTTAGTAAGAGCTTGTTTACGTTTTTATTGACAGTGTTCACAAAGTGAATTTTTTAATATTCTGTCGCAAATTCAATAAGAAAATGTTTTCTCCTTACCAGTAGATACCGACAAGCCAAATTTCGTCTCTTTCTGGGTAAATGTTGATACACCTGCTTCATTTATCGCCAAGATTCCGCCTTTCGAAACTGTCCGGAAACGACTCAACATTTGGTTCCCAAACAACGAAGACCCGATGTATGTTTCGAAATTAAGGGAGCCAATCAAAACCTGCAAAATTGCTATCTAGTGATTTGGTGAATACTTTAAACAAATATACTACTGGACCGATTACGGTCATTGGTATCGGTGGATAACGCCTCTCTCTATCCTCTCTCTATCTACAAAATTAATATATTTGTAAATGATGAAGAAATGTTGAGTGATTGACGCGGCATAGTCTCAACAGCTCTCAAAATTTTCTTTAAAACTTTACCCTAAGAATCTTTGTGAATGCAATGCGATGAGAACTGATTGGTCGGTCATTGCAAGTATAATTCATTTTCTTTTCTATTTACCCGGTCTTGTCTTTCATATCAATTTCTCGTTTCCCCTGCAGCTCCAAGCAAGCCTCAGGCAATCGTCAATCCAAAGAACAGTGCAGCACCAGTGATGAAGAAAAAGACGGTGAGTGGATTTGAAGGTCATGGCGGCTTAAACTACCAACATTCGACAAAAATACGTTGTTACCTAAGTTCACCGCTCGATAGGTTCTTTCGCTTGCTGGATTATTCGGTAATCGATAAAGACTCTTCATGACTCGAGTAAAATCTTTGTTGAGAATGTGTTTGTTGCTAGGATACAGTTTTGAACCCAGGCCTAATAGGTGTTCGCTTGGTACAGCGGGCTCAGTTACGATCATCGGTTTATCAGTAAACAGATGCTTGCACTCCGTAAACCAGTTTGACGAGAGAAAGCAAGATTGACTAGTCCAAAAGTTCGGGCTTCGGCGACTTCAAAGGATTGACGTGATTCGGGCAGAGCCACCCCTCCTTTTCTCCTTCTTACTAGACAAAAGGAGGCTCTGTCCCAAGAAAAATTGAAAACAATGCAAAATTTTGGAGGAAAAAAGCCACTTGGCTGAAAAATTCTCATTTACTGATTTGAATCTTAAGCCACGCAATATGGATCTGATTCAATCATCCATTTATTCGATTCAGTCAGTAACTGTATTTATTCAGTAATTCATTCACTCATTTATTTTCTTTCAGTCGTTTAAAGGATCGTTCCTAAAGCATAACAAGACCACACTGTCACGCCTGTCTTCCCTAACGTCCAACACACCAAATGCGTCAGGTACAACGCGAGGATTTGTGTTCCAGACAGTTTCACCACAAGGCAAGACCACCTCAAACGCAAAGGTAAGAACCACCGGTGCAAAACAATTTTCCTTTCTGTAAAGAAATATTCCTGAAGTAGCGAGCTGTTAGGGATGTTAGGATTAAGAAACTATGCGCAAGTTCGACATCGGTATCAACTACAACAACTACAAAAGTGCAAAACAGCACTGAAAACTGCAAGTCGCGCTTTTTGGCGCATTTCTTTACCCTCACACGCACGACTACCGCGTTAAATTTCCGGACACTATGAGCTATGACGACACAATTTTGCTATTTCTTATGAGGTCCTGCTGCAATTCAGCTTTTAAAAAAATCGAGCATTGTGATATTAAAGCAGCCCGCACATTCACTTTTTAAATCGAACGTGGCTTTGTGTTAATTCCGCATTTACACAAGCAAGCTGGCAAAAAATGTCCCTACAGCTCCGTAATGAAGGATATTGAAATGACTCCCTTTTTTCTTTTTATGTTGAATGTCGTTAGCTAAGCTAATACCGGAACAAAGCTCACACCGGTTACAACCTTGTATGTAAACACGCGCTCAATTACAAGAGGTCCAAATCTTAGGTTTTAAAAAACGTCCTTATTTTTTTCCGCAGAAAATCCAGCGAACTAATTCCGTAATAGAACAGCCAGCATCCAAGAAACCTAGACTGGACAGAAGCTTAAGTGACTCCAACAGTGTATTTTCTATGCTTTGACACTTCGTTCACGAAGGTCTTTTCTTCATTTGAGTGCTATTTTTGTTTTATTTTTATTAAAGCATAATACCACCACATTGGATCAGAACTCAAAAATAGGGGCATATCCGTAAAAACCCGTAATACCCATAGAGATGTTCTGTTTAAATATATATAAAAAATAAGATCAAATTAATAAACCACAGTCTAGTCAAGGATTAAGCACTACCTGTGCTCTTATTGACTTTCTCATATCTCTGAAATCCGGCTCCACGTCTGACAGTCACTTCCCGCGTCAAAAAGAGGAGAACTGCAGCACTGCATTTCTCTGAATGGGGAAACCCCTCCCCCACCCCCTAAAACTTACTTGAATTGAGTGTACCCGTAGTGGGGTGAAGTTTAATGGGGATTTAGGCTATTTTTCTTTCGTTTGACTGTGGTCACATGAGGAACTTTTTGCGGTAAAGGAAACGAGTAAGGTGCCTCAAAGCCAAAATATGTTGTTGACAATGTTCAAAAGTTGATGCTTCACCAGCAATGCTTTTTAGTTTTTTTTACTGCCTTTCTTAACAAAAAAGAAAGAACAGAAAAACGTTCTCGTTTTTCAAAACGGAAAAGCGGTCCCAGTGTTCTACAAAAAGAAACTCGTTATTCTTGATGAAATAAAAGAGAGAACGTGTTAATGTGCAGTAATTACTTATTTTATAAATTTTTCCTTGTTTTCCCCTTTATACTATACGTAATTGTACGTAATAGTAAGTGAGAACGCGTTAGAAATTTAGATCGCGGCTGGCCTTCGATATTTTCTTAATGGGTTGTAAAATGGCACGATTCTCGGGGACCTATTGATATCCGTTTGCATCAAATTATATTGAGATCTACAATTGCCTTTTGATGAATTGTACATAGTTATTTATATTTCTTTGTGTAAAATAAAGTATATCGTTTGTGAAGGGAAGTCTGCAGAATATTTAAACGATGTATTGTGTTCTACTAAAGTCTGACTTTCTCGCCGTTGTTCGACAAATAACCTCGTAAATATATTTTCCGTTTCCTCAAAAACAGGGGATGAGTGGATAGTGATGTAACTAATAATGGAAGGAAACAATTTAAGTATTTACAAAGTGATCGAAATATTCATGATTGAATTTCGAAGCCGATATCGAATATAAAGCACTTGAAGAGTAACCCACATTTTTATTATACTGGACCTTACGCTAATAAAGCCAAATTTTTTAATATTCTACTTCAATTGAGGCATTTCGTAAGCGCAAATGTTATCTGCGAAGACCCTCTAAAATGCATTAACTGTTTGTTGGCAGAGCACTTTGCACCTGCCAAGAAAGAGGAAAAATAATCGGGTTCTGGTAGAACCTTTCTGAAAGAAGCGCCTGAGTGTAGAGGTTTTTCAAAGAATCACAGTGACATAAACTTCGCCTAAGCAAGTGTGACAATGAAAAAGCAGAAAGTTCGTTTTGAAGCTTTTCGCCACAGTATCAAATGTCCTAAATGCGGTCGGAAAATACGTAAAGCTGACGAAGAGCATCATCTTACGTACGAGTGCACAAAACAGTTCGTCCAGTGTAGATTTTGCGAAATTGTGTTGCCAAGAGAAATTGCAAGTGATCATGAGAATTATTGCGGCTCGAAAACGGCTATTTGCAAGAGCTGTGGTGATCATGTGATTGTTAAAGATTTTGATTATCATAGAAAATTTTGTGAAGGCGATAATACCACTCTGCCATGCGAGTTTTGCAAAATGCTTGTGCAAGCTCATGAGCTTGTTTGGCATCAGAGAAAGTGTCTTCAGCAAGGTGGCCTGATTGATACAAATTTCATGCGTAAAGAATATAACGGCGAAGGTCTTCGACAATCCACAAACAATCCGAACGGAAACCGAGGGAGTGTTTTATTTGAAACGCAAGAGAGAGATGAAATAAAAGAGGAAAGAGCAAAGGAAGAATTCGACGAGGCAGATCAAAGGGTTGATCGAGTCAGCGAAACACGTGCCAAGGCAGTGAGAGAAAGTATCATCATTGTAGCGTTGCCTTGTGAGATATGCGGAGAACTCTGCCCTTCTGACAAACTAATGGATCATCAGATAGAATGTCAAAGGGAGAGGGAAATTACGATCGAAAACGACCCTGACGAGTCACTACACGCTTCGCCCAGGACATTTGATTCTGTGTTTACCAGACACGACTACGCAGAAAAATCGGGCGTGAGGTACTTTGAAGTTCGACGAAGCTATAGCCCAACAATAGAATTTACAGATGATGATGTATCATTAGAGAGTGATATTGGTTTTGGATCCGGCTCGAGGGACCAGCGAAACTCGACTAACTCTCCTCCGTCAAGGCAAGAGGGATTCGCCACTGGACGCAACTCTAGTGCGTCTGGTGTAAGCCTCATAGAATATCAGCGAGGTTATAGTCCTGAGATGAACTTTGAAGTGGAAACTGAACCCGAATTATTTATGCCTAATTTTCCGACATTTTGTCTCACTCTAGAGGAGTCACATTTGCACGAACGCGGTGATTCTTCAAGATTCAACCAAGTGGAAAGCCGTTTTAGGGAGGAAGAAAAGTGATGTTGGAATCGCTAGAGCATAACAGTTACGAAGACTATTATGTTTAGAAATCGCTGTTCAACATTTTTCCGCATGACCTCATCACAGTGAAGCCTGCGCAAAGGAATAGTTTACGAAAACCTTCAAGGTCTCTAATTTGAAGATGATGTTGATATCACTAGAGCGTAACAGTGACGCCGGAAGACTATTATGTTTCGACATCGCCGTTAAACATGTTTTCCGCAAGACCTCATTACAGTGAAGCCTGTGTTTACGAATAGTTGACGAAAAACTTTATCGTCTGACATTTGTAAGCTCGCATATGTATACGGACGAAGATGGACTGTTAAAAAATTGAAAGAGGAAATATTTAAGGCTAAAATGAATGGTATCAGGGGGAAAATTCAATGTATTTTTAAAAAGTTGACCCTCGCGTTCCAACAAGTGCAAAGGTTTATGATTGTTTGTCAAAAAAAATTGCCAGTTTTTCTGAAGCTTTTGAAAGCCACAACGCCGAACGTGAGGTAAACGGTTTAATCCCCCTCATCAATAAGTATTTACCCGCTGCCCTTTTAGACACTCGTATGCACGGATCTGCTATGTGTATGACAGCACAGCTGCCCTAGTAAACGTCTGATTCCTGTATCTTCTGGCATTTTACTTCTGGGTAACTCTTCTCCGTTATAACAGAAATATCTCACACCTTTAGCAAATTATGCGCATTTTACTGTTACTCAGAAAACAAGAGTACACTGCGAGCAGAGGTTTGTTGATCGTTCTTTGAACTTGTAACACGAAGCGATCTCCAAATATATGGAGCATGTACTAGGGTTTAGACGACGGAATGTGGCGGTAATTTGTCCTTTGGCGCTCGTAATGCAGTTTGACTACTGACAAGGCGGGCTATCATTTAACCAATCATAGGCATACACATAGTTAAGACCCTTGCGCATGCTGAACAGGTTTGTATGGTTCATAGCAGAGGTTTCTCTCCGGTCTAGCTTAAAGAGCGGCGATCAAACTTCTGCTCGCAGGGTACATAAGGGGCATGAGAGTCGGTTTTTCGGCGCCATCTGTCGGTCCAACGCAGACACGCTAGCTTTTATAGAGCTAGTCTTTCTATCATCCAGAACAAAGGATGAAAATAAAAATCAGGCTGATTGAATTTTCATCTGTTTGCCAGGTATATGTTCTCTTTACAAATATGCTCTTTCGAAAGATTTTCTCAATACCGAGGATACATAAAATAGGTAACATTCACGCGCGTGGCAGTATTGTTCCCCGTGAGCTTATTGTTTTCATGGTGTGATCAGCGAAGCAAACAAGGGTGTGTGAGGACGACAATGAGAACAAACAGCTAACACTTTGTATGCGCAGAGCAAACCCCTTCGTGACTAAACGCTGCCGGATTTCTATTGGTCATCAACTAGACAGGACATTAGGTAGACAGAGCGCACTCTAAGTTTGGAGGGTCTAAATGCTTTAATTTAATTTCTAATTTTAACACTAAAGAGCTATCAACACCTGACTTTGTGTCACATGTGTTTAGCTTAAAAATGACAGCGGTGTTTTTTTTTTTTTCAAAAACGTAAAGCCCTCGTGCAAACGGACGCAACGTTGTTGGATATTACATGTTGCGTCTGTTTGCACACCTTGTTGCGTGTTGTTGAGAGTTGTTGCGCAAAGTTTGAAACCGATCGGACTTTTTGCCACGTGCAAACGGACGCAACAACTCCCGACATCTTTGGGCCAAAAATGTTGGGAGTTGTTGCGTCCGTTTGCACACTACTGCCAACACGGACGTAACAACTCCCACTATTGTTGGCCCAACAATGTTGGGAGTTGTTGCGTCCGTTTGCACATAGCTTAGGGGTTTAATATAGGGATAACAAAAGATATGCGTAACTAGAAGGATCGCTGGAAAACCACAATAAAACGAGTAAATAAGGATTTCTTTCTCCCAGTTTTATTCTAATGGTCGCCATTACGAGGGGAAATGTCTTCCAACTTTATAACTTAACAAAAAAATGATTCGGCTCAAAAGGCTACGCTACTGTGTGTTTACTGTCCGGTATGTTCGATTTGCCGTAGATCTTGTTATCCTACGAAAATGAAAAAAAAAAGTTATAGTAATAGATATGCTTCATTCAGCCCTTTCCTCCTCTCTCCCCTCCACTTTTGACACCCAAAACCCTATTTTCCTCTCCCCTTCCTTCACTTGCATCCAAACAATTTGTTACTTCGACAGCTTGTTAGAATAAAGGAGATCACTCTAGCTCTAAAGTAACATTTTTGTCCCTCATACGTGAACTGAGATGTAAACATTGAATCGAAAATAGGTTTTAAAAAGATGGAGCAAAAAAATACAAAATTGAAATAGCTGTAGGAAAAATTGAACATTAACATTATTAACATTAAAATGAATCTATGATCATTGATGCACCAAAATCTGATATCTTTCATTTGATCTAAATCATACTTCTTAGTTCGATGAGTAAAAGTTTCCCGGAGATATGAAAGCTAAAATACTCACAGGCGCAGAATCCACAAGTCTTTGCGCACTTTGAGTATATAGCAGAATGCCAGCAAGATGTCACACTTCCCAAGCAAGAAGCTGTAGGTACTTCATCTTTGCATTCTAAAATAGATTATTAAATAGGTAATAAGATGTTGATGATATAACGCGTGTCCAGTCGATTGGTCATCTTCAATATCTTGAAACGTTTTTGTTGTAAATTTTGTAACGTGGAATGAAATGGTATTTTTCAAATTCTCATCCCATTTCGACTTTTCAAGCAAAGATGTAATTTCCAGGGCCCACGTCTTCCTCCTCGAGAAGGTATCCAGCGAACCTGGGAACGAGGTTAGTAAAGCCATCCACTACTTTCACATAGACCATAATGCACCTTGTTTACCCCCTCTCCCCACCCCCCGAAAATTTTCATAACCGGTTTCCAATTTCTCCTGGGTATTACAGTCGTCTTAAGAGAAATCCAAGACACTGGTTATGGATTTTTTTTTTTTTTTTTTGGGGGGGGGGGGGGGGGTAAAGAAAGTGCATTATGGTCTATGTTAAAATCGTGAATTGTGGCAGATGGCTGCTATTCAGAATAATGACGTAAATTCAAGCCAAGTCAGTCTACGAGTACTTGTCACATGAACTACTCAGTTTGTTTCACTGTGCATTGTAGGGTTCTGTTTGCACTGTCATCTTCCTGAAAACAAGGTTTTCCTTAGCATCCTTGATCATTTAAGCAACATAAACTATGGAATTTGAAAGTTAATTTCATTACCTTTTCCATAATTTCCATCACCGGCACCTGCGCACAGAACAAAGTGATTATACGTTAAACGTAAGGATACTTTAAGGGTACTGCATATTTGAATTAATCCATGTTGTTTGTTCCCATCGTAACGACCAGTTGCCACTCCTTTTTCATACAATACTGAGGACCCATCCACCGTGACGAATCTGGCCATTTTTGAAACCGCATATTTTTTACCTTGATCCGTGTGGACAGGGCCTTAAACCTCTTTGTAGTGCGGTTTCAAAAAGATGCAGTTTTGTGAGCGGATTCACTGGTTACGTGTGAACGGAGGGTCTATTTGAGTGAAAGAAAAATGTAGTTTCAAAAATATCTGGATTCGTGTGGATGGGAACTAAATCTATACCATTAGGCAAGTGGTTAAACAATTGAAAGGTCGCCTTTGCTGGTTACCGTTTTAATCCTCCTCTTTCTCCTTACGCTGTCTCAGTCATACTTAGTTCCGGATGAATTTTGAAGGATACGTATTTTATCAGAGGAGTTGGTTCTCCCGAATGATAGTGTCTTTATTCTGAGAGAGACGATTTGCCCGAAATTTTTGGGCAAAACAACTACCCTGCCCTGTTGACTCACGTCGCTCAAAAACGCGTTCGCTTAAGCTGCCCAGTTTCGCGTAATCTTCTCTCTATCTTACATTCCATGTGATGAGGGTAGGGGTCATTATACGTTTCGGGGAAACTGCCCACCTATTCCTCCCCTAAGCTAACATTAACACTTGCTTCTCACTTAGGGCAAAATGTTGGCTTAGGGGAGGGGGTGGGTGGGCAGTTTCTCAGAAAGGTATTATCTGATCACCCAAAAAAATAGGAATGCGACCCTAAGGCCCAGTTCAGACGCCGTATTAGTTCGCATGAGCCGAATCGAATTCAATGAATTAAGTTCTTGTGAAGTACGGCGTCTATATCAGTTCGAAACGGCTAATTGAATTTGGATCGGCTTAGCCGTTTTTCATATCTGGCTCTGTCGGGAATAACCGCTGTGCACCGGCGTTTATTCCGACCCTCATATGAGCCGAAAGAAATAGCTACAAATGAACCAACCTGAGAGCATACGCAGGAATAAAGTTTAGGGTCTGAATCAGTTGAGCCAACCTAAAAAAAAAACCGGGCGTAACGCCATGAAACACTTTCATTTTAGATGATTATATGCCTCCAAGAAATTTAGCCTATTCCATTTTTTGGTCTAAGGCCAGCAATACTTGGTTCACTCGAGAGCCCGCTCTGTTCTATTTTCACAACGTTTAGCAACAGCCACCCCGTTGAACAGCCATTTTCAACATTCAATATAGTTTGATACCCAACTTGTACCTTGTAACACTGGCTTAATGCCTAGACTCACTTGTAATCTGATTCTCAATCCAAGAGATGTAGAAGCTGACACGAGTGAATACGCTGTAGTGATCGGTTTTGCACTTCTCGTGGCCCCACGAAGTGACACCTCGGAGAATCCAACTGCCCTTCTCTTCACACACCAGGGGTCCACCGCTAATAAACAAAAAAATAAAATCGAGTCACTTTTAGGATCTGTAAGAATATTTAAATAGAGGATATCACATGACCTCGCGAAAATACGAAATTTCATCACCTGAAGAGAAATTCCATACCTCCAAGCGGCCATGTAATGACCTATTTATTATATAAAAACTAATCACTGTAATATGCGAAGGGCGCTATATATTATGTAGCCACAACAACTGTGACCCTTTCCAATATTTCATTGGTTTTAATGTAACAAGAAGCCAATATGATACCACCAGTCAGTTTGTTGGCGGGTTGTGAATCCAGCTATCGTTTTTGTCTGTGCCTTGTATTCGTTGATTTCTTCATTGCAAATTCGAGTCACGTAACCTGACCAAGACTGAAGGATGCGGTGTCCTTCATAAAGTTCCCCTTTTTCTCTTATTAATAGAATGTCTTATTGGTTTTCCTAGTTTTTGTTTCACAATCTGTTTCGTCCTTCTTTGCCACCTCTTCTATATAATGCCTCGAATCTTTATGAGAGAAAATAACCAACTAAAACCCCCAGTTTTCCACGCTGACGAAAGAGATATCAGATATGGATTTTCTTTACCAGTCAAAAGACGATTATGTTGAGGTCCCCGTCTTATAAAAATGTTAAAAAATTATCCTAGTCTCTATTCAATCGTGCCGTTATTTACTTACTTTGCTTTATGTTATTTGATTTGGGTGATTTGGTTGTGCGCGTGCGTAAGGTACTGGCCATACCGAGGAGTTGGTACTTGTGTTTCAGTGCTTAAATTGGTATTACTTAAACAATTATCTCGGTACCTATCACCATGACAAGCTCCTTTTCCAGCTCCGCCCACACAAACCATTGTAGGGTCGTGCGCCCTATCTCCAGCTTTTTTCTTGCAAGTATTGTTATCAACCACTGGTACATAAGCTTGCTGGAGGTGGGTCGGGGACTTTGCTGAGCCCCAGAAGTTGAAGCGCTCTGTACCCCAACCTAAGTTGAATAATTCGATAATTTATATAGTGCTCCTACTACAAAGTATACAACATCGCTTTACAATATCAGAAATTTAAAATAGGCAACTTAAAACACTGTTAATTAACAATAAAAGGTTCTATTACAAATAATTTCATAATACAATATTAATTAAAAATAGGTTCAAAGAGAAAGGCATTAAGCTTAGTTTTAAAAGTAGTAAACGACTCGCAATTCCTCATATCATAGGAAAGGGAATTCCATAATCATGGTGCAATGTACGAAAAATCGCTATGACCATACATCTTAAGATTGCGTCGAGATATCTGTAAAAATAGTTTGTCTCTTGATCAAGAAGTGTACCTGAAAAATTCCTAGGTGTGAGCAACATCAAATTTTCTCGAAATACATTATCAAGAAACAAGGAAATTAGAATTAATAAAATTATCACCAAAGGGTAAATGCCTTGATCTTTTATCAAATTCTTTCAACGAGGCCTTTACTGGAAATACACCCCTTTGTAACAGACCCAGTGAAACCCTACCCAGTGTTAATTGAGACGCCCCCTACCCCTCCGATACCCCGCGAAAAGTTTGTTTTCTCCCAGCTGATTTTTTTCTTCCTCAGTCACTTTCTATCATGACTTCTATAAGACCAGTGTATTCCATTGTTCATAATTGTTAAAAAGAACAAAAAAATATAACATTATTATCATTGATAAAATAATAATAATAATAACAATAATAATAATAATGATAATAATAATAATAATAACATACGGAGGGTAGAGGTAATCAATCTCGCATAAAAAAAGTGTAAATCGTTTAGTTCTTTAGTTTTCATATCCGTAAAGATGTAAGGCCTGCCACCCCTTTCCCCTTTATGGGAAGCACACAACTAAGAAGAAAACCCAGAGGAAAAAAGACCAACCCAGTGACGTTTTCTTCGAGAACCCAGTGAAGATATAGATTCCACTGGGTCTGTTACGGAGGAGTGTGAAAATGTATGGAGATCAGGTATGGTGAAGTTGTAGCTTAATATTGGGGTTTTAAACACGAAATGCAAATGCAAAGGCAGATTTTCCACACTGATCTGTATATGTATTCTCTGTATGGTTTGAACCTAACGCAGATAGCACTAGAACCTGATATCCAGCATCGAGTACCAGAGGCAACCCGTGAGCCTTTCGGTGGAAAACAGACGGTGCCAACTTTTGAGTCTAGTTTTACAGGTTTGACAAGTCTCAACAATGCAATATCATTCCTGTGGTAAGCGACACCATATGCAGGGTGAGTGATGATTTTATTGATGCGATATTCGACACCATCTCCATCAATGCGGTGCGCTCCTATAGAAATAGTCATAAAAGAAATGTTAGTCGAACACTGGCTATGTTTAGTCTATAAGGGGCTGTCGACATATTCGCTTTTCCCCTGCTTAACGTCAACTGGACGTTTAGGTCAGACCCCCTCCCCCTCCTTAACGTCCACTTGAAATTTTGCTGCTCCCCCAAAAGGAATACTCCCCCTGACGCAATTGCGTGAAAATGTCAACGGTATCAACACAATTTACTGCTTTTAAAACGGCCGGTAGAAAATTCATATTTTAATATAGAGTTTAAAAGATCACAATGTAAAATGTACAATTTGCTAGTAGTTAAGGGGAGAGTTTAAAAGATCAAAATTTACACTCCCTTCTTTAATTGGTTCTGCTTTCTATTGAATAATGTCACGAGCGCCGTTCCACACATGACGTAAAATTTTAGTATGAAAATGCATCAGTTTGCTTGTGTCCAAAAATGCCCCGCACTAACGTCCACTGCCTTACAACTGCCCCCCTAAACGTTCAGTTGACGTTAAGCGGAGGAAAAGTGAATATGTCGACGGCCCCTAGTGGTTAGCTCTTGGGTCTGCACTATACACCATACACCACAGGGCTTCTGCTTACACAACTGAAAACAATGGTAATTTCGGCTCGATTTCTGTAAGGGAGCGAAGCTGCGCTGTGCCGATCGCATCGGTGGAGTGTCGCATCGGATAGGTTCTGTTTGCTCCATGTAAGGGAATCCAGAAAATAGTTGCCTGTGGAATCCAGAATCTGAAAAATTTTGCTTTTGGAATCCGGAATACAGCTCAAGTAATCTGAATCCCATTATTGATTGGAATCCAGAATCCAAGACCGTCTTGGAGGCGATTCTGTGCAACAGTTGTGTGGTGTGAGACTCAACTGAAATCCGCTTTTACCTTTGGTGCATCTCGGCCTTTTAGTTCGTAGAGCTGCGTTATTTTAAATGTATCTCCTTGTACTTTTGACTGAGAGTAAGGATTAATAAATTTATAATTTTTATAAATGTGCAAATTGGTATATGTTTATTCATGTTTATTATCAAAAGCGAGCACGTATATTTTGCGATTTAAATGCCGTAAAACAACGATAATTGCAAATGTGCTCAGTTATGCTGCACATAAATGACTGGGTATTATGCCAGCATTATGCCGGATAATCCAGTTAGATACCGAGCCGGCATTGCGATCGAAATGATTAGACCCATTTTTTGTAAGGTAATCTAGTATACGGTAAATTTTTGCTTGTGGAATCCGGAATCCTGGTAAATTTTTGCTTGTGGAATCCCGTATCCTGGGCTTTGAAATCCGTAATCCAAGTTCCACTAACAAAGAATCCGAAATCCAGTATCTGGATTTCGAAATCTACGGCGTGGAATCCAGAATCTAAGACTTTCTTGGATTCCCTAGAGTGGTGTGAATTATGCGGATATAATTTGTCTAATCCTACTGAGAAAGTGTACTTTTTACCTTAATAAATCTGATGTTTTCGGGTCCTTCTTATAGCATTAAGCTGCCCCACTATAGACGCACCTGCGACAAGGCTGTACACGTGAGGGTCATTACTTCTCATCACACAGTGAGCTGCCGTGATGGCCCATCTGGGGCTGATAAGGGAGGCCCCACAAGAGTGACCATTCATGACCCTCAGTGATAGTTGCCAGGGCCATGAATGAGGGGAGGCCGTTGAGCCCCCTATTATTCTCGCCTCTGGACGATGTCCACAACCATTTCCACAACCTTTTGTTTCCAAAATAAACAGATCAACAATTAAATGAGTAGGTTAAAGTTTTGTGTGTTTGTTTTTTCCATTGCTAATTTTTTATTTAGGATGAAATATATTATGGCAACTAAAACTACTAAATTAAAGTTCTCCATGGCCAACGGACAGAAAAAAAAAACAATGTTTAAAAGTTAATGTCAAAGCTATCTCTAAAGCATACAAACCTGTAATTAATTTTCCACCAATTATTTTACTAAATCTCTATAGAAAACCTAATTGTAACTTTATTTGCTAACCGAACAACATTGTCAATGCCTACTAGTTCCTATAAATTTATATACAACTTCGACTTGTTTTAACAATAAAAAATACACTAAAAATACACTATTCATATTTACAAAAATACTTCCATCAATGTTCTGATCTAATTGCATTTCACAAATATCAAATGCTGGAGCGTCATCAGGACTCGATAATTACATACTATTTGATAGTTACTTCCTCCTTTGCGCTCATTTAGTTGTTGATACGTGTGCTCTTCGTCAGCGTAAGCTCTCTAGATGAGCCCTTTAGGCTCTTTCATTAGAGTAAATGTTGCAATAAATATGTGCTCTTCTATTTCCTACCTATTTATAATATAATTCATGCATCATTCATGTGCCTAGTACACAAGAGCAAGTATAGTTACGTTTACTATTGCGGATGTTTACAAATGACTTCCAAGATTTATCATAAGTAAATTACATAGAGAAAAAGACAAGAAAAGTTTTATATAAGTCCTTAAATATCTTAGTTTTGGAAGCGTTCCGCTTACCTTCGGAAAGGGTAAGTCCCAATGCAAGCACAACAAGCCGAAGAAAAAGACTCATTTTTCAGTGTACGCAATAACAATATTCCTAACAAAAGGCATTTGTATATCCTGCACGAAAAGATATGACACAGCTATTGACTTTTCACGTTCAAAATAAACTAAGCTAAAGTTGGTCAAATAAAGAATGGAAAGCTGCACTAATGATAAACATAAAGGTCATAAAACTGTAAATGTATACATCCAAAACAAAAGTATAATACACCACTCTAAAACAAAAGCCACTGTGCGTATTTGCTGCAAATAAACATAACGAACAAAACAAACCATGGCAAAAAAAAAAAAAGAAAAAAAACATTGAGTAAACAAGTGTTAGCGACCGATTTCTGAACTCGATTTGATTGTTTTCAGTTCATGGGTTAAGAGGGGTTACAACGCGCTACGGGAGCTACATGGGGTTAAAGAGGGATACAGGGGGTTACAAGGAGTTAAGAGGTATACAACGGGTTACACGACGATTACAAGGGCTTACAAAGGTTTGCAAGGGGTTACAGTAAGTCACAAGGGGTTACTATGGTTCTGCCAAAAACGTCCGTACGTACGAACTTAGATCCACCCCTTCATGTAAGCCGGGGTCACATTTTGCATTTCAAGCACCCGTGCGTTTTGGCGGTAAATCGCATGGCAAACCTTACTTTTAGAGAGAAAAAAATGACAAAGCCCAGTTCGTCTTTTTTTCGACCAAATTTATGCCAAAATGGAAAATTTATTATCGAAGCACAGCCTTCGCTGCGGAAAGAAATCCTTTAGAAGCCTCCCACGCAGACGTTCTTAGGGGCTCGTCACGCGTTCCTGCCCCACGATCGGAGATGGAAGCGGAATATTTTGTTTTTGATAGTATTCAATATTCAAACTGTCAATATTCAATATTCAGACATCAATATTCAATATCCAGACTTTCATATTTATCTTATTTTCATTATTTAAACAATTATGACCTTCCTCATTACTCATTGTTTTTCTATAAGAGTCACCTCCGCTATTGCAGGCTACCAAGACACAATGTATTGACTGCATTCCTTTGCAATGAGTACTACCTAATGGCAGAGGTCGTTTAGAAAATATCAAATTGTAAACAAGACATGCTCCTAGTTGCATTGCAATAGACTATTATCTGTTGGTAAACGTTGGTAGAAAAAGGCTTGACTTGGTTACAAACATTGGCCCAATCCCGGTGGGGGTACTCCCTTATATAAGCGAAATAGGTATGTACCGCCCTATCGGGTCGGGTTTTTGTGCCGTTTTGGTCTGAAAACGTGTATACACTTTGCCCATTTTGGTCTGAAATCGGGTATGGTTTTCGAGGGAACTACGGGAGCGTATGAACGTATTTATCGTTTCAATTTCAAATGAGGAAGAAAGAAAGAGAAATATGCGAATTCGAAATGGATTTGAAGAATTTTTTTGTTTGCGCTCTAATCTAAGTAATGATGGCATAATTTCTGCCTAAAGGCCAGGTCTGAAAACGGATGTGGAAAATTACATTTTTTGGTCTGAAATAGGGTCAGGATTTGAAGAACCGGGCGGCACACCCCCACCAAGAATTCCCAGGAACACCCCCCGGGGCCTAGTCTGATGGCGCTAATCCCCAACTGATTTTTAAAGTGGATCGATACTTGGGCTTCTCTCTTGATTTGCTTTTCCCCATAGTTACTTCCCTGCTATCCTTTCTTCTATTGAGAAGAGATTTCAAGCAGCTTGGGATTCCAAAATTCACTCAAAAAGAGAGACAAGAGTTCAACGAGACTCGAGCGCGAATTGTGTTGTCCCGAAGAGGCAGACAAAGGGTGACAAGAGGGTTGTAATGTGACAAGTCTCGTATTACTGCGTGGTCGTGACAACTGTCAGTCAGGAGTACTGTACTAATGAAACACCTTAGGGACGGACCATTAGAAAAGTTATGGGGGGGAGGGGAATTTTGGAGCCGCAGGATTTTTTTTCGCTATCAAATTCCTTGTATGATTTTTTTTTAAGCCATAGCATGGATATTGTTTAGGGTTAATTGGCGTGCAAGAATTTTTTTTCACTTAATTTTCCCTTGCGCGAATTTTTTTTTGTACTTCACCCGCCCCCCCTCCCCCCACAATAAGTTTTCTAATGGTCCGTCCCTTACTTAAGCCGACTGTGTGACAATCCATTGTTTTTATTGTCCCATTTTCAAATTCTTATCTGTAACGAGCTTTTAGTTTCATTTCCATTTTTGTTTTGGCCCCTGAAGAAGGTTTGTTTTCAAACCGAAATATTGGGCAATTTGTTTAAATATATATTTTTTGTTTTATTCTTTTGTTTACTTCTTCATCGCCTTGCCGTAAGGATCAGTTTGCCGCCAGTAGCCACCTCCACTTCGGTGAATAATTGTTATATTATTATTATGTTTCTTGAGGATGGACCGGCCCAACAAAACATCAGTCGAACATGATGAAACATAAGGAATAAGTAAATTTTCTAGAAAAATAAAGATTAATTTTTCAAGTACATTTATTCATATTCAAACTAAATTTTCAAATATTCAAACTAATCTAAACGCAATATTCAATATTCAATATTCCGCTTCCACCCCCAACCTACGGGAGGCTAATCCTTTAGGCACCTCTTCTAAATCCTACAGGAGAGACAGACCTTTAAAAGACCTTCTTTCTAAAGTAAAGCCTGTAGAACAGCGAAACATAGGTCTCTAAAATCTGTCTTGACAACAATTTTGTTGTTGTCTGAAATAATAGGCCTGTACAACTTTTACGGCGTTTGCTCCGTTTCTTTTCTTTCTAGCCAAAGCGTTCAATACGAATGGATTATGTTGTGGAGGATTCTTCACTTTGCTTGAGAAAATGTTATTTTTGGACATGAAGGCCGCGTGTTTCCAAAATTAGATCCTGTTTATTGACTCCAGTGGATTTTGTTTGAAGCAGTTTACGTTACGCTTGATTCGTTGTAGGAAAGGAAACGATAACAGCTCACTTGTTTTGGTTGCCCTGATAACGGCTGAGTTACGCCGCATGTTACGCTTGATTCGTAGCAGGAAAGGCAACGCTACCAGCTCACCTTTAGTTGTCCTGACAACGGCTGAATTATGCCGCATGTTACGCTTGATTCGTAGCGGGAAAGGCGACGATACCAGCTCACCTTTAGTTGCCCTGACAACGGCTGAGTTATGACGCATGTTACGCTTGATTCGTAGCAGGAAAGGCGACGATACCAGCTCACCTTTAGTTGTCCTGACAACGGCTGAGTTATGACGCATGTTACGCTTGATTCGTAGCAGGAAAGGCAACGATACCAGCTCACCTTTAGTTGTCCTGACAACGGCTGAATTATGCCGCATGTTACGCTTGATTCGTAGCAGGAAAGGCAACGATACCAGCTCACCTTTAGTTGTCCTGACAACGGCTGAATTATGACGCAATACCGCCGGTCAGACATGCTAAAACTTGAAAGCAGCGTTCGATGGGGCTTTCCCAGAAATAGAGGTTACTCCGAGGCCAGACAAGGTTAAGGACCGTTGGAGTATTACCCATTGTGGCGTGTGGCTCGTGTGGTTGATTTCATCCACGTACGCTAAAAGTATTAAAGGCAGGGTCACAAAGTCAATAATATAAACAAGTGCTGCAAAGAAATCGCAAGATCAAATATATGAGTTTTCTGCTGGCTTCTCATGCAGTACATTCTGACTCTTAAACAAATCACCAAGTCACTCCTTTAAAATTTTTATATCTTCTTCACCGTGCTGCTGCTTCACTGAACACGGAACAAAACACAGCCAGCCAAAAGATGACGGTCGAATTGGTGTTAAGCGTTGTCTCATTTATCGTGATGCTCGTTGTTCTGTACTGTGTGATCAAGATCTACCAGGCTCCGAAAGTATGCTGTGGCCTAAGAGCCAACCACCCCTTGGAGGGTGCAGCAACGGAAGAACAGCTGAGAGCGAACAGAGAACCGACCGAACCAATAGAACCAAGAGGGAATCGGGATTGGAGGATTAATATAATGAATCGAAATGTAGGAACACACAGGCTAAGAGGGTTTGTCCGTCGCCGTCGGCCAGAACAACACGATGAACGACTGTGTTGGGTGAGAAATAAAATAACCTTTTTTATTTTATTTTATTGAGTTTTAATGAAGAACGGCTCTCGTCACTAATTCTTTAGGCAGAGACTTGTGACTGCAATGAAATAGTGATGTTCTGGTAATATTATATATGGTGTATTTAGGAACCAGACAGGAGGGAACTGTTAAATTTGATCATTCGTTTTGAGCCAAACAAGGTTAAAAAGATCTTTTCCAGGGTCAGAATGACCGTCCACTCCAGTACAGAAACCGGCGACAGGTCCGAATTTGCCCTTTATGTAACGCCTTCTTGACCATAAAATGAGTTTAATTTTTGACATATTTCTGTTTTAGGGGACATGCTTAGATGCTTACGATTGAACTTGGCCCCGTATAAAACACTTCCCGGAAGAAGTTAACATTGGTGTTGTATATATTGATATTGTACGTGGAAAATGCATACAGTATAAACTAAGACATGTCTTAATTGAATTATATAGAAAGGCGCACAATGATCCGATGTCTCAAGATAAGAAAAAACTTAGAGTTCAACGGAATCAGTGTAATTCGGTATAACAAGGAAATATTGTTAGCGCAATGTAAAGGAGAATCTGGTGAGAAAAACTTGTTAAAATAATTGGCAAAAGTTCTAGTTTTTAAGGTTACGAAAAACGGATGTCGCTCATGGATTATAGGGAAGTTATCTTTTTCGTTTTAATTGGCGGATAGATAGCCCATATACAGTACAAAGTTGTAAATTCGCAAACAAAAGTATACGCTATCATTATTTTACACGGAATTGTTTTCAATAACAACTTTTTCATACAAAAAGAACTTGCACTAAACGTCAGGTATTTACTTCAGTCTATTAATCGCATCTACTCGTCGATTTGTACTTCCTGTTAGAACAACCTCCTTCACTGTCACGGTGTCTTTAGAGTGTTAGTGGAGGGTGTGGGTCTAAGCCGGGGTTTCCAGAATCTCCCTTTTCGCATTGTATACACAACTGAGCAGCCTGTAAGTTATGTATTCTTAACAACCATGATATCGGCAGAACCCTATCACCCCTACCTACGGGAACCAACGAATGTGATTAGTGGCCCCGTAATCCCGACCCAAAGTTTCGTGCAATCCCGTAATCCCGAGCGTTATTTTTGGAATCTCACCTCCCTGCCATACTTTTAATCCCGAATCTCCTCCCGATTTTACTCTCAAATCCCGAATCCCGAGCTTCAAATAAGGGAAATCCCGGATCCCGAAAAACTTTTTGAGGACCCTCGCTGTTGTTAGCATTTGTGAGTGACCGAAAACGCAGAACGTAGTCTTGTCCCGGTTCATCAATAGATTATTGGCGAAGCACCAAGAAACTGCACCTTGCAAAACATGTTGAAGAGCCTTGAGGAGGGTTGCATCAATCCCTTTCAGGTTAGAAAAAAATCTTTTTTTCTCAGTGGTTCTCACAGACGGGGAATCATTTCAACAACGGGCTAAAGATCGAGTCCTAAGGTACTCCTTGCGGCTTCATCTTTAGTGACTGGAAACAGTCACCTGGCCAATATACAATCATTGGGGACCTTAAGCAAAGACGTTTTTGAGCGACGCGCGTCAACCGGAAGTGAGGCCTTCTCCCTTTTTATATGCCTTGACGCTAACAAACTTGTATTGCTGAGTTTCTTTTCTCCTTTAAAGACGATTTACCCGAGAGTTTCAACCAAACCACTCCCCAATGATGCAAAAAGTCCACTTCCGGTTGACTTCAGTCGCTCAAAAACGCTGTTGCTTAAGCTCCCTATTATGAAAGTTATAAAGCGCTACCTTGTTTAATTCTTTCTGTATGTAATTACTGACCTTATAAATGATCTCCTTCACGAGCGGAGAGGGGACCGTGTGGTAGTCACCAATAATCAATGATTATCAATACCAACGGCAAAGCTATTGTAACGGGAGTGTATAAACATTTTGTGAATCACCTTACTTCTAAATGCATACTGCACAAAACACTTGTGAAGTAAAAACTCGTTATGTTGTCTTATTACCTGGGTTTTTTTAAATCATTGAAATTAAAATTAAAGAAACAACAACAAAAGTCGTTCAATGATCCAGCCACCCTAGACGCAAAAAACAAAAAGCGGCAAATGAATATTCTTTTCTTACATGTAAACAAAACATTAGCGTTTACTAGGTCCCAATAAATACCCTTGCTATAGTGATCTACTGCCAATAACTCCCCGTTCCATAGTAATTTATTGCGTACTTTTAAAAGCAGAGCTGCTATACACATACTTTATACATTCTGCTGAGATAGACTGCTGAAGCAAGAACTAAGAATGTAGAGGGTTTTGAGAAAGAGAGAAGACAAAAAATAGAGAGGATTGTTGAAGGGGCTCTCAGATGCACCCTGCGAGAAGAACCTTCTTTTGTTTTCTTGAGTGAGGAGAACAAAAGAAGGCCCTGCCTGAATCACATTGATGTCAATCCTTTGAAATCGCCGCAACCCGAACTTTTGGACCAGTCAATCTTGTCTTCTCTCGTCAAACTGGTTTTTTCTTCGCAAAACCGATGATCATAACAGAGCCCGCTGTACCAACCGCAAGGCTGTTAGGTCTGGGTTCGAAACAGTATCCTAGCAACGTGCAGCACACGCTTAACAAAGATTTTTCTCGATTTTTCGAGTCTTTTTCGAGTACATCAAAATCGAGAAAGTGAAAGAAAGGCTCTGATGGCAGGGTGGCTCTGATGTGACACTAGCATATTCAAAGCTAATTTGCACAATGTTGATAAATTCCAGCTCATTCGACCCTTTGTGGGAATTTGCTTTGCTCAAGTGCTGAGTAGACGTTTTGATCTTAAATTCTTCTGAAACAGGGTACGGTTTGCAATAAGCCCTCGGCTCAATCCAGCCAATAATTCATGCTATTTCCTGAAACAATTCAAATGAAACAAGGATTTTAAGTCGACCCACGCAAATACTGTGTGTTATGGAGAAAAGGCTTTTTTGACTTTTGTGCGTAGTAAGCATATACTGAAATGACTGTGCCTAATCGTAGTAACTTTTACCTAACGGGTATTAATTTCGTAATTAAATATAGCGGGTATTAATTTCGTAATTAAATATAGAATCTAAATTTTTCTACTTTTTGCTTGCTGTTCACACGGTGTTCACACTCGTAACCAACAACGGTGTTTTCTGCATTTTTACCTCAAAAGCCGTTTGGTCAGTTTTTTTCTTCCCAGCTAAAGTATCCAAAGTGGATGGATTATGTTGTGGTCGTTTTGGAGGATTCTTCATTTTGCTTGAGCAAATGTTATTTTTGGTCAAGGCAGCTTGTTTCCTGTATTAATTCCTGTGTATTGACTTCTGTTTTTTTTAGTTATTTCTTTTACGAGAATTTGACTTCTTTTATGTTGCCCTAACAACGGCTGAATCATCTGAGGTCACGGCTAAACTGAACACGTAACCGCGAATACAAATTATTTAAAAGATGAATGCGGCCGCGCGGGGGTTCCCCTGAGCTTCGTTCCCCAGATATAGCAAGCAGCCAAACAAGGGAATTTAACAAAGGATTATTTATCGCGTGTGTTTGATTTCGCCCACGTGCAATAAAAGTATTTAAGGCAGGGTCACTAAAGTCATGATCAGTAACATAAAGAGGAGCTGCAAAGAAATCGCAATTTCAATTCTACGAGTTTTCCATTGGCTTCTCATGCATTGCATTCTAATCCTTTTACAATGATCAACAAGTTACTCATTGAATAATTTTATCATCACCGCGTTGTTGCTTCACTGAACACGGAAGAAAACACAGCCAACCAAAAGATGACAGTCGAATTGCTGTTTAGCGTTGCCTCATTTATCGTGATGCTCGTTGTTCTGTACTGTGTGATCAAAATCTACCTGGTTCCGACTGTATGCTGTAACCTAAGAGCCAACCACCCCTTGGAGGGTGCAGCAACGGAAGAACAGCTGAGAGCGAACAGAGAACCGACCGAACCGATAGAACCAAGAGCGAATCGGGATAGGAGGATTAATATAATGAATCGAAATGTAGGAACACACAGGCCAAGAGGGTTTGTCCGTCGCCGTCGGCCAGAACAACACGATGAACGACTGTGTTGGGTAAGAAATGAAATAACTTTTTTGTTTTACAGCCGTATTAGTTTTATTGAAGAACGGCCCTCGTCACTTTCTTGGGCGGACATCATAATGAAATTGTGATGGTTGTGGCGATATTATAGAGGTCATTATACATGGTGTATTCAGGAACCAGGAGAAGAGGAAACTGTAAAGTTCGATAATTTTTTTGAGCCAAGGAAAGTGATAAAAATCGTGTCCAGGGTCAGAATTGGCGTCCACGCCGACAGTTCTAGTCTGCGAACACAGACGAACAGTTGACTCCCGATAACTCGAACCCTCGCTAACTCGAACCTCGCGCTAACTCGAACCAAAATCGATTTCCCCTGGATTTCCTTCATACATTCACTGTAATTTTACCCTCGGTAACTCGAACCCTCGATAAATGGAACCTCCCGCTAACTCGAAGTAATTTTATATTTCCTCTCAGATCATTTCTACAGTGAAACCTGTATTACGAGGACACCGTATTAAGCGGACACCCTCTATTAAGCGGAAAGTAGCCGAAGTCCCCAAATTTATTTCCCTTATTTACTTTAAATGAAACCTTTATTAAGCGGACACCTCTATTAAGCGAACGCGGGCACCTAAAAAGTATCTGAAATGTTTCTATTGTTGCCAACCTGTATAAAATGCACACTTGTAATTAAGGGGTGGACCATTTGATTTTTGATGGGGGGGTTGTGCAAATCCCAAAAAAATATCGAGCATATGTTCCACCACCCAACATGCCAGACACCAGAAATGTGAAAGTTTGCCTCTGGCTCTTGATTGCCTCAAACTGCCACCCACAAATTTTTCGATTTTTACATTAAAAAACGTGACTTGACGAACTTATTTGATTAGTTTCCCAGCAGAGTATTGTTTTCTATTTCGTTTTGTTTGTATAGAGCTTTTTTCACTCATCTGATTTCTTCAAATTTGAGTTGCAACCTATGTTTAAGGTACTATGATCAACTTGTCCACTTTGATAAAGAAATTCATGCAAACGTATATCGTCATAGTCTCTGGGGGTACTCTAAACGTTTCCACTCTTCATTTGAATGGCATTTGACACGTCATATGACGTTATCTATTGAAACCTTTATTAGGCGGACACCCTGTATTAAGCGGAAACTACAACTTTCCCCGAGGGAGTTAGTCTGCTACACAGCCGTTTTTAGTGTCGTCACGCAGGAGGAGCGTTGTGTGACGACACTAAAAACGGCTGTGTAGCAGACTACGAGGGAGTCCGCTTAATACAGGTTTCACTGTATATAATTTTACCCTCGATAACTCGAACTATGTTTTGAGCGCTTAAAAAGTAGGGAAAAAATAGTGTTCTGGCGTCCGAAACATTGAATTTTGAAGTCCCATTGACGTGTTGTAGACATGTAGTCCGGGCATGTAGTTTACTAGTGGAGGCTGATGTTGTTTGTCACAAATCTAACGTGAAACTGCTTTACTTCTCAAAAGAGTAAAACGCATGCTCTGTTTTGTCGAATTTTGGCTATGTTTTGTCACGTTACGTTCTGATTTTTAATCTCAAAGTATCTTTCAATTTTCACTCAACATTTCAACAATAAAGTGTAATTAAAATGTTCACTGTACAGTAAAAACTGGTTTTTACCTTACTTCCGGCTATTTTCTTCCGGCTCCCGATGACTCTAGCTAATTCTCGATAACTCGAACTTTCTTCGATTTCCCTTGAAGGTTCCAGTTATCGGGAGTCAACTGCATTTGTCGCGAATTGTCGTTTCTTTTTGAGCTAGAGTCCAGGCTCTCGCGAACCACATGTCTATCACTGTCTCACGGTCATGGCAAAATCAATAGGAAACCTCGAAAACTGATAAATAACACAGGCCTATCAGGACTTATGAAAAATTTCCTGTTTAAAATGAGGCTTCAAAAATACCAGCAATAAAATTTGTCAGTTAATAAAATAAAACGCGCCGTGAAGGGCTCAAAATGTAAGGAATGTAGCGGTAGACCGCATCGCGAATCTCACAACCTATTTTCTTCAAAAAGAAATTCATTCTTAACATTATAGTTTGGGTGTTATGCTTAGATGCCCACCATACAGCTTTTATTTGTAAAACTAACACTGCCCTGTAAAGTAACGCCTTCTTGACAAGGAAGTGAGTTTAATTCTTAATATATTTCTGTTTTAGGGGACATGCTTAGATGCTTACGATTGAACTTGGCCTCCTATAAAACACTTCCCAAAAGAAGTTAACATTGGTGTTGTATATTGATATTGAACATGGAAAATGCATACAGTATAAACTAAGACATGTCTGAATTGAAATATATAAGGCACCATGATCCAATGATTTCAGGATAAGAAAACCCGATGTCACTTGTCGATGTCGTTTTCGTTTTGACAGATAGCCCATGTACCGAGTTGTAAATTCGCAAAGAAACGTATACGCTAGCATTATTTTACCCTGAATGTCTTTTAATAAAAGCTTTTTCTTACAAAATAAACTTGCCCTAAATCTAGCCTCTAACAAAACTTCCCATGTTTGCCCTTCCTCTGGATTAAAAGCTTGAAATGAAAGCTAAATGGGTCCAGAAAGGAAAATGTGCATCGATCCATGGGACGAAAACGACCAAAGCGGTCTTCGAAGCGTTAACTGAAAAAGGTATTTTATCTTCATTTTCAAGTGCGATTAAAAAACCTCAAATTATGCCTCCGCTTTGATGCCTAGTCAAGTTGACGAATACAGAACAGAATAGCTTGAACGGCAGAACGCAAGGCAAACGGAAATGATTGAGTAAATTGAATTGTCACATGAGCTGAGCTGTTTGAGTTCGGCGGGGGTGGGGGGGGAGGAGTACTCCTGGGAATTCTTGGTGGGGTGTGCCGCCAGGTTCTTCAAATCCTGACCCGAGTTTCAAACCAAGACAATGTAATTTTCCACATCCATTTTCAGACAAGACCTCTTTATCCATGTCCGTTTTCAGACCTGGCCTTTAGGCAGAAATTATGTTATCATTACTTAGAGCGCAAACCAAAAAAATATTCAAATCCATTTCGAATTCTCATATTTCTCTTTCTTTCTTCCTCATTTGAAATTGAAACGAAAAATACGTTCATACGCTCCCGCAGTTCCCTCGAAAGCCATACCCGATTCCAGACCAAAATGGGCAAAGTGTATACCCGTTTGCAGACCAAAACGGCGCAAAAACCCCACAATGGGACGGCACATACCTATATATAGCTTATATAAGGGAGTAACCCCCCCCCGGGTGTTTGAGGGCCTCTGACCTTGGTTATCTCGGTTGTTTAATCTGTCTGAGACTCACGGGCTTTTGTTTGTGATGAGCATCAATCGTACCACAATTGTTTAAAGCGGGTAAGTTCCAATGGCATTTGACAAGTTGATTCGGTTTTTAGCAAGGAACCCATTCACTATATTTTATGATGACTTCCTTTCTCGTCACTCATTTAGAGCTAACCCTGCTTGTCACGTCGCTTGTCAATCAAATCGCATTATTACTTTAAATAGCATGACGTCAATGTTAGCTGTAACCAATAAGGAAAGACTACCCTATCACGTGATCTATATAATAGACAGCGCGATCACGGGACGAGCCATTATTGCATCTTTAGGCAGAGCTTCGCAACATAAGAAAATTCTATCTCACTCCTCGATCAAAATATCAAAGAAGTCGACTCCATCCGTTTTTCATCATTAATCGAAAAAGCCGGCAAGAGAAGCCTTAGTCATCATGATGAACGAAGTGGTTAACGTAGCTACACTTGTTATTGCGACCATGGTGTTGGTCTGTTTGATCTGTTTGCTGGCCGTGGTGACAATCTCCGATCGCGTATCCCTTCGAATTCTAATTCGCAAACAGGTGGCACATGCACAGGACAGAGCTGAGGTAGTAGAACGTGAGAGAATGGCAAGGAGACGTGCCGTAATACACGACGAAAGGCTGTGATGATAAAGTAAGAAATCTGTTCAGTCTGTTTCTTTCTTACGAATGTTGAACAATTTTGGCCCTCTGCCAGGTTAAAGATTGGCACGACGAGCGCTAGAAAATTGATCCCCGTGATAGGAAGTTTGCTCTACGGTTCTCTGCTTTCATTCCCGAAATATCACCGCTGCCACCACCCATGTCTAGTCTACGACCTGGGGTACGTAAAGGAGACGGCATGTGCACTTTTGTCACAAAAATAACCACAAAGGGGTGCAGATCACGAGTATGCCCAGAAAAAGTTCCTACAATAAGCAACGATTTTATATAAATGTTGATATTTATATTATTACTCGAGGGCCATTTTTTGCCTTTTAGTGTTTTGTTTTCATTCTTCTTCTTTTCTTTTCCCTGCTATCATTTAATAAGCCCAAGCAGGAGCCTATTGGCTCATGGCATGAAATATAAATTTGCATTATAACTCAGGAAGACCTTTTAACTCACATATGCATATGTAGCGATGTTTGGAGTACCGGTGACGGAAATAGGGTCATAACCCTATTAGCTACAAATAATCAGCATAGGAAATAAGAAATGTTTGCAGTCAAAGGCACTGGTGTAAAAAAGGACATACTAATACAGTCCTCGCGAAGATACCGTTTGGATCATGCTTAGTATGGTCAGAGATCACTTCCTAATGAAAATTCTTACCGGGTTTAATTTAAAAAGCACTTAATTGTTAAGGGAACTCTTAATGTCGTTCAATAATCTGATTGAATGTATGAACAGAAACGCAGCCGATATGAATGCGTTTCAAGCAAAAACATTAGCGTGGAACGAGGTTTAAAAACTATCCTTTTTATTGCGATGTATTATGTCGACTTTAATTGCATGATATGTACAGTTTTAGTCGTGATCAGCAATCCGGCTTTTGTTCTCAGTTCTTTCAGACCGTTAAGACTTTTAATTTATCTATTGTTTTTTTAGGTCAGTTTTTAGATGATCTGGATTGATGTCAAACTGATGTGAAAGGCGAACTATTCCTGGCTAAAGATGTATCAAGTAGTCTAAAGTTTATCACAAGAAATTAAATAGAGGCAAATAGAGATGAACTGAACTGTTATATGGTGATGAGGTAGACTCATCATGAAAGTCCTTTATTGATGTAATTCGTCGGATCTCTTCCAGAAAGAAAGTGATCCATATTAGATCCTTTAAGTACGAGTCGTTGTATTTTCATCAAATAGGGCATCAAGGGTATTTGAAAAACACTTTCCGTTGGTTTTTGTGCAGAGTAAGCGCTTAAATTAAAAAGCCTGTTAGCTAGGTCTGTCTACATGTATAGTTTCGAAAATTGATAAGCAGGGACAATAAATTTATGTACTCTTCACTTGCAGTTTCTATTATTAACATAAACATAACTGAATTACTACTTTTTCACTTCCAAACCTGTCTCCTGCCGAATTTGGTAAATTTGATGATTTTTATTTCGAAAATGGCCATTTTTGATAAACGGAGCTAGATCTTGCTCGCTGAATTCATTGTTTACCAATATTAACGCCTTCCCGGGGGAGGAACTCCCGACTTGCTTGGCCTCACGTGCCGCTGAACAGGGTATAGGGTATGCATGGTTGCCTCTGCCACGCAGGTCGGTGTGCCTCCGCTTCCGGTTTTAGGCGCGATTTTGATTGACAGTTAAATGAACACGCGATAAAGAGGAATGGACACTTTTTTTAGTCTTCCGCGTCGAGAACAGTTGAGTTGATATTTCTGTGTTTTATCGTGTTGATTTGGCGTTCGCGTTTAACAGTCGAGTCCTTGACACTCTGGGTCTTGTGACTCTTGTGTCCCAAATTTAGCTTCTTGTGCAAGGTATCGTTCGGAAGCCTATAAAAGACTGTGAAGGCTAGTGATGAGTGGACTACATTTGTAACGCCAACATTTTTTTTTTTTTTTAAAAATCTATTTCCATGATGTTAGCTTGAAAGATTACTTTATTCTGTATGCAAGACGAAACTAATCAGGGTCATGAAATTTGGTCTCTTGTCTCAAACAGGGTAGCGAAATGAGCAGTTTTTGTCTTCGACAGGGTCAGGGTTGGCGTTCACTTGGCCTCTACCAAAACTTCCCATGCCCTCTCGCTGGGTGAAACGCTTGAAATGGGCCAAGGAAGGAAATTAAATGTGGATCGATCCGTATGGATTCAAAACGACAACCTCGTTCCCAGGGTTCTCTCCTACGCGCCATAGGAGAGAACTCTGGGAACGAGGTTGCCAAAACGACTAAAGGGGTCTTCGAAGGTAGACTACGAGTAGTCCCCCATTTTTCCTCAAGGATAGTAGAGGGAGCGAAACGCGAGCGCGCGCCGCGTGTCGCCTTTTTTCGCGTGGAGTGATTTTCACGCACGCTCGCGTTTCGCTCGCTCTACTATCCTTGAGGAAAAATGGGGGACTACTCGTAGTCTACTTCGAAGGGTTAAGTAAAACGGTATTTTATCTGCATTGTCAAGCGCCGATTTAACTTCAAATTATGCTTTCGGGTGGATGGCGCATTGCTTACCATGGATCGAGAAGACGAGAGCAAGGTTTATGCACGTTTTTTTTTTTGGGGGGGGGGGGGGGGGGCTTAAACAAGTATCGTGGAAAATGTGAGAAAAGATTATTTGTTTATTGAAATCATTTCCATGGATTTGGGAAAATTCATGGCTTTTTACTGTTCTGGTCAAATATGACCTCTGGATTAAAAATACTTAACTATTCGAATATTTCAAACATTTATCGGACACCCAGCTGAGCAGGAGCAAATTAAGGTTGTTACAAATTATATGGAATACACAAAATCAGAACATGTGCCACCACCTTGAAAAGGAATCATTTCGTGTGACCCTCGCTGGGGATCCTCCGCGGCGGCTGTCGCTCACCTGAGATCTTTTAATGTGTTCACAAACAAGACCATTAGTTCCTCATAATGTTGAATGGCCACATTCTGTCTCCGAGGTCGCTTAACACTCCTTGCTGAATAAGGCTTTCAAACACACGAGATATTCCTTCGGAAAAGAGTCCATCGTAATAGTTGTCCATTCCCCTGTATGGATGACTGTTAAACCGGAAGTTCATAAACCGGAAGTTCAATTCCAGAGGTTCTTCCTGGCTTTCATCATCTTCACTCTCTTGTCCGCATCGTTCTTGATGTTCCATTAACCGATCAGAAGGACAGAGTTCTCCGCAGATTTCACAGGGCAAAGCAACAATGCTGTTGTCTGAATTACCTTCTTTATCAATGGTTTCTTCGTTGGAGCCACTGGCAGAGTCATTTTCGCTTCCGGCACTGTCATGGCTGCTCGTTGACCTCGTCGCTTTCTCCATTGCAATCTCACGAAATGAACCATCTTCACCCTCCACAAGGAGAGGTATATCACTTCGCAAAGTTTGACTTTCAGTCATACACTGGAGTTGATGGGAATCAAGACGATCATACGAGATCCGTGCCCCGCAGAATTCACAAGGAAGAACAATGTAGTCAAGGCAAGATGTCTCATGCTTCTGTAAATCTCTCATCATGACATACCGGTTACATTTCTCACACAGCTCCGTCCTGGATCCACAGAAATCTTGATGCTCTGACATTTTCTCCCTTGGCAGTAAAATATCGCAGTAGTGGCATGGAATCAGCGCTTTGGTACATTCGCTCGCCAGATGATTTTCCTCGTCGATTCTCGTGGTCTTCTGTCCACATTGAACACAGTCGATTTTTTCGTGGTATTCTTCCAAGTGTTCTTTCGCGTCTTTACGGGATATTGCTTGGCCGCACAAAGGACATAACTGAATGTTTCTTTTGCAGTGTGCCGAATGCATCAGATAATTTTCGGCAGGAACTTCTTTTTTGCAATGTTCGCATAATTCTGTCTCCATTTTGTAATCACAAGTATCAGTCATATTTCCGTGTATCAGCCGGGAGCACTGCTTTTATACTCCGTGTTTACGTCACTCTCTAGTTTTAGAATGCAAACATTCGACTTTTTGAAACTATTTCGACAAAATCTGCCTTATCATCATGATCTTTCAACGAAAGAATGTTCCAGAAAGGACTGGTAAATTCTGACTTCCGGTGCTGGGATCTTTTTATCAGATTTTCCATCGAATTTGACATAGTTTTTTCCCTCTACTAACCATGGAAATTTGAAGATCGTATTTAAATTCTCTACTGCTTGAAAAGGCTGCTGGCTACTTTACATTAACATTCAAAGGGAATAAAATAATGCTATACTGAAAAATAATTATGCCGAAATCTCCTCTGTTCGACCCTATCATCATGACCTTTCAAAACCGAAAGAATGTTCCAGAAAATGTTAGAAAATTCTGACTTGTGATGAACATCTTTCTTACTAGTTTTCCGAATCTCGTTTAACATATTTAAAATAAGTATCTAGTTCAAAAATCGATCATTATTTTTTTAACTAGCCTGAGTATCAGGCCTTCCTACGAGAAACGCCTGATACTCAGGCTATTTTTTAACAGACTTCTTTCTTTATTCATTGTGTTTTTATCAGAACTACATTTTTTGCGTGACATGTAACATTATTCTTATGTTACGCCTAATGAAGAAATGGGAAAGCTGGCTTTTCAGTGTTCTAAAGCGTTACTGACGACATTGTATTTAAACCTAGCCACAAAAGAATTCACACCAAAGTGCAACATAATAACTCCACCCCTTAAGATCTTGCAAATCTATTTTTTCAGTTGTGGTAGTGTAAGTGAGGGGTGGGGAATGAAAGCACAGAGTAGCATTGATTGGTATTTCTAAGTAACTAACATGTTTGAAATTAAAAGTCCTTGATAAGAAACGTGGCTCCACATTTTGCCTGGTTTCAATCAGAGTTGTAAATGGGCATTGGAAACAATACAGGGATCACATTGTGTAGTTCTATGATGAAACCTGCTTTCATAATGTTATTTACTTAATGATTATGTAGTTTATCCTATAGAGGTGTCTATCAGCCAAGACAATTTTTTTAGAACTGCATAACTATTGAATTTTAAACGTTTGCACCAAACATGTCAGTCAAAGTACTGATTGATGCACCAATGACAGAGATGTAACTGATAGCTGACCAATCACTGTCTGGTTATGTATAAAGGTCTGTAAAAGCTTTAACAGTGCAATAAGTCTCAACAAGATAAAAAAGAAGATATATATGGAGTGACACTCTTTATTTCTTTGACACCAAGCAAAACATAATTTAATTTTACTGCAATACTTGACAAGTACAAAGAAGAAAAATTATCTACATAATTATCAACAAACTTCACTTAAACTAAGCAGAAGCAAACAATACTACTACATTCCATTATTTCTATGTTTTATGAGTTAAGCTATAAATATTTTCCTCAGATATGATTATTCAATAACAGTACCAAAAATAAATAAGTTTCTCTTTATGTCAGTATGTGTATATGTGAAACAAGTAAACAGTATAGTGTATGATAACCCTTTGCAAACTTTCAGCAACTTGACCACACTACCATTATGGCAACAAGAGTCAAAGAAAGCGGTGGTCAAAAATAAAAAAAAACACTATTAGAACCACATTTTGTTATCCTCCATGACTCTTGCCCATTGAGGTTTATTTTTAAATGGCGGAATTCTTTCTCTGAGTCCACTAAACACTCGTAATATTTTGGTCATAATAACTTTCACGAGGGCGTCCCTGTTAATTGTAAGATCTTTCTAACAACTTTTAATGCTAAATTTAACTAGTTTACACTATCATTAACCATACTTTATTTCACAATACTTTTTACTCAAATAATTATGATGTGTTTGGGTAAAGAATACAATAATTTCTAAGGAAATCTGCATCACTTGATGACTAAGATGTTGGTCTTCAGCATTTATGCTCCGCGCAACCCAGGCAAAAATACTTTTCACATCGTTCATCATAGCTTAAAAGGATAATGAAATAAAACACTCTCAGTAACCATCAGATCATCAATAGAGAGCAAAACAGCCATATTTTTGCAGTGGTTGAGAATGTGAACACTCACCAAAGAAAAGGTGAGGGTTAAAAAAAAAACAGAAAGCAAGAAGAAAAAGAGATGCTCAAATAACTTTTCTCTGTCATCTCACTAGGTTTACTGGTTGTTTTCGATACAAGGCCTTCAGTACAAGTTGATTCAGTCAAGGCGTAAATAGTTTCATGTACTCGGCCTAAATAACAGAAAAATAGTTATTCACATCAAATATTATTTTTTGTTGTTGACGTGCAAACTGTACTTGAAGTGATCAAAATTGTTGTGCACTTTCCCTGCTTAAGTTCATATTGAAACAACTTTTATGGAAACGACTTTGCATCAAAATGACTGAATTCCCTCACAAGCCTGTGGAGAGAGTGAGGTTTGTGCAGTTGTGGCAGGTTTGTCACCCTAAAGCTCAATGCCTCCCAAACAGTAATGTTTAAGTGTTTTGCAGTCCATCATTTTGGCAAAAATTACGTGTAATTACTGACAATGGCTAAGTTGTTTATGAGTGTTTCTTGTCAACAGTGGATATTTGGGGAGAGTCCCCGTATTTCTGCACGATTTTAGTGGTTATTCATACACTGTATACAAGTGTTTTTGCTTTCCCCTACCAATTAATAGTACAACTTGTCATGACTTGTCAGTTGTCTTATTTGATAGCGTGACTTTTGTTTGATTGCGTGACGGGCTAGTCCTTGACTGATTGATTCATTGTTTGAATGACTGGCTAACTACTGCAAAGCACGTGCGCTGAAGATATCTTGTGCTTCATGTACATTGCTTTACCTTCAAATGAGAAACAACTGTTTAATCCACTTACTTGGCAATGGAACACAAATTGCAGAAACTTTCTGCACACGTCGAGCACTGATGACTGCAATCGACACACAACTGCCTTTCACAGAACACGCAACTTATACCAAAACGCTTGGACTGAAGACAGCTAAGGCACTTGACAGCTTGGTCTGTCTGAACGTTGGTGTTCCTCTTCTTCTCCGCCTCTTCTTGCTGCATGCGTTTTGATCCTTTTTGCATCAATTCGCGAGTCCTTTCTGTTAGGATTAACAGATCGAGTAAAGAACGCTTCAATCTGATGCAAGCATAAGTAGATCATTACACAAGCACTCTGTACTATGAAATACCAGGCACAAAAATATCACTGAGAGGCAAAAATTCCGCTTGAGAAACGGTCTTACAACGTTCACAATAACGTTTTAGCAAGAGAGGCTTATATTGCAAACGTAAAAAATAAAAAACACTAATAAATAACCTCTACTGACTCAATGACATTCCGCAGACGACACTGTCATGCACCAAACTCACCGTAGATTTTATCCATATCATTTAATTTCTCAAAGTAAAATGCATTGATGTGAGTCTTGAGCTGCAGCGGAGAGGTTCCATCGAAAGGAAAGTTTCGTTTAGGCATTTTTGACCTCAATTTTCTTGCCCGAAAAGCGACTCGAAACAAACGAAATTTATAGTATATTTTGAACGAATAACAAAGAAGTCATTGAATTGCAACCTCTGATTGGTTAACCTTTCCCGCCAAAGTACGCGTTGTTCTGCTTTGTGCATTCCCGGATCTTGCGCACGACAAGTGAAGGCGGCCGATTTGAAATGGCGAGAAAACATGGCTGCCATTTTGGGCAAAATTTTAAACGGAGAAGTAACATTGCAGGATTTAGATTTTCCGCTGAAAATTGATGGCAAAGAGGTAAGCTACACGCATAGCGATTAGCATTCTGGGAGGTCGAATTTTGCGTAGTTAAGCTGAGTTTAGCAAATAGCTAACCCTCTGAACCGAGCTTAAGCTGAAAGGTTTTGTAACCAAAGATAAAAATAAATACATGTAGTTTTAAGATTGAATAGATCCACAAAATAAATTAAGGGGTCGGAAGGAGTCGCTGTTGAACTGACCTTGTTTTGCAAAAACGGAATAATTGCGTCCTCTCTATCCTAAACAGGGTATATAATTTCGCACGAGTCCTAAACAGGGTATACAATTTCGCCCAAGTCTGCCCAAAACAGTGTGCATGATTTGTGCGAGTCTGTTCTAGTAATAATTGAGGGAGTTGTCCTAAACAGGGTACTAAAATTGAGGGTGTTGTCCTAAACAGGGTATTTATTTTAGGATTTTTTGTCCTAAACAGGGTTAGGGTTTCAAACCCTCAGCGGCTCACCTATACCCAAATATTTGTCGAGTACCCCCCCGGGAATCCGACCACACAAAAAGTACACATAATGTATGGAAGAAGTCAAATTGTCTAAAAAGTAACAAAGGATTGCTGTGCACTTCACATTTAGTGTATAGTTTCTTTAAGTTCATTAGTGAAAGTTTGCAAAGAGAAAATGATGAATATATATTCAATTAGGAAGAAGTAGTTGAAATTGAATTCCCATACAAACTTTTGACTACCCATCAGCTTGTCCTGATCACCCAGCATGGCCTCACAACCGTGAAGGGGTCTATTCACTTTTGTCCCGCTTAATGTCAACCAGATGATTAGGTCAGCTCTCCTCCCTTTCCCCTCCTTAATGTCCACTTGAAATTTTGCTGCCCCCAAAAGTCACTGCAATCCAGAAGGAATACTGACATGCACTTTCATAAAAGATCCAAGGGTAAAATGTACAATTTGCCAGTAGTTAAGAACAGAGTTTAAAAGATCACAATTTACACTCACTGTTTAATTGGTCGTGCTTTCTCTTAATGTCAAACTCAGAAAAACATGAACACCTGAAAAGCTTCAGTAATGTTGATTGTGTAGTGGCCATCACAATAAAGTTCAGGATACGCAAGCAAACCTCAAAACCACAAATTAAGTACTGTTGCTGTTTGCAGTTTAGTTATATCATGTATCTCGCACCTAATTGGCTTATTCCTTGCAACATAATAACGTTCCATAAATATTTCTGGTGTTCACGGTTTTGTAAGTTTCACAGTAAATGATGTCACAAGCACTGTTCCTCACATGATGTAAAATTTATCAAAGTGCATCAGTTTGCTTTTGTCCAAAAAATTAATGCCCCACACTAACGTGCACTGCCTTACCCCCTCTCCCCCTAAACATGCAGTTGATGTTAAGTGGGGGAATAGCATGTTGACAGCCCCTTAGTATGCATAATTGATTAAAATGGCTTCTTTATTGTTTGTAACATATGCTCATTCAGGCCACCATGGTTGTCTGTTTCTAATCTAATCGCTTGTCTGCATCGTGCTTGTTGCAGGATGTCAAAGGAGAAAACAAAAATCTCAAGAAACAAAGTATTGCTGAATTGGCACCCTTCCTTATCAACTATCTCAGAGAAAAGACCTCCCATCATTTAACGCCACGCCAAAACGCCACATCAACACCCAAGAAGACGCCCATTTTGCAATCCAAAGGTGTCAAAAGTACAAATGACCAATCACGCGTTAACAAGAATTCCTCCAAAGGAACTTTATTTCTTTCACAAAAGACTCCTTCACCATCCCCTGTGACACCATTGTCACAGAGTCGACGTGAAAAGCTACAGGAGCATCATGCATCACCTTGTTCTTCACCGCGCCTCAGAAAGAAATCTCCCAAAGTTCAAGGAAATGACAGATATCAGCAAAAATTAAATATTGATGATCCAAATGATTTTCCTCCCATGGGGACTAGCAGGTGATCCAATTATTTACTGTTTTTTATTTCAGGTGTACACTTGTACAATAATACAGTAACTACTTACTTGTGGCAATTCTCCAAAATAATAGAACAATTCAAGGGGAATAGAGTTGAGGTGGCCTGCGAACTGCAGACCTATTTTGGGTCGTTGCTTCTCTCCCTCCGAAAAACATTGTTATTTTTCGGAGGGAGAGAAGTGACTACTGGAAATATGTCTGCAGTTCACAGGCTAGAGTTGAGGAGACTCAGAGAGACCCTTGGCCTGGGTTAGGCCAGGACTTAAGTTTCTTTTAATTAATTATTTTGAATGATATATTTTTTAATATTTTAATTATAAAAATATTAAAAACTATCTTTCAAACTAATTAATTAAAGAAACGTTAGCCCTTGCTTTCATGTATAATGCACAATACTTACAAGTTTTGTAAAGTGCTTTTGAATTCTTAGAAACAGTGCTATATAAGCTTGTATTATTATTATTCTTTTGTATTAATTTTATTGGTTGTAGCTCATAATAGTAGCCAATGCATACAGTCTGTAGGTCAAATAAAACTCTGAATGCAGAAAATAATTAGAGCAAAATTTCTTGGAACAGATGCTGCATCTTATAAGGAATACAATTGCATGTAAATTTCTATGCATTTTACTGAAGCATCCTCTGGTTGTAGTCGGTATTATTAAACTGTCTTGCTTCTATAACATATTATAACAGCTCTTACGTTGGACCAGTGTTTCAGCTGTGCTGTACATGTAGATAGAAAAAAAGTTTTGTGGTCGGTCTGTAGGCACATGCTCTGAAGGTTTTTTACACTTTTCACATGACTTACATTATGTATTATTTTGGGCTGTGTGAGGGGTTTCTTGAAGTTGCAGTCAAGTAAGTCTTAATTTTAATCTGACAACGTTTTTCTTTCTTTCACAGCAAGAAGGTGACTCCATCCAGAAGAATAACCCCAACACAGTTGAAAAGTGATGGAAGGAAAGGCAAATGGTCACCTGCATTCTCATCCTCATCACTTACACTAGAAAGTAATGGCAGCCCTGCTTCTCTTCAAGAAGAAAGGAAAATGTTAAAGCTGATGAAAGCTAAAAAGCAAAATAAAGGGGATTCCCCTTGGGGAAACAGAACTAGTCCCAGTCCTCAGGCAGGTGTCAGATCCCCGCCACTTCATGTGTTGGGAGATTTTATTGTAACACCACCCAAACAAACAGTTGTAACTAATGCCTCGCAACACAAGCACTCAACAGCAAACAGTTTGCTTTCAACACCTCCGCCTTATAAAGATCATAATGGGAATAACTCTCTAGATATTTCTGCTACAAGTGATTCAAATTTTCAGCATTCTGAAGAGGAGGCACTCAAAGACAAGACGCAATTTATACAAGTGGATAAAGAGAAAGTTAATTTCCATGACAAACTTGATGCTCTTGCTAAAATTTATTCCAAGTGTATTACAGGTAAGTGCACAATAAATTTTGTTACTTACATGTATACACCCTAATAAAGTCAAAAAAATTGTTTGACTACTACATTGTATCATTGATCAGAGACATAAACCAATGTAAAAGCAATTAAAATAGAGGTAAAATTTGTGTTAGCATGACATGTACCATCGCTTATACGAGTCATGTGTACTCAGTTGTTATAAGAGGTATGAAACACATTGATATCCTGCTTGCTAGACATCCCCATGTTACTAAAAAAAAATAATTATCTTCCAGGTAACTTTACAGTACATTAGTCTATATAATACTGTGCATGCACCTCTACTGATGTTATGTGTGTACAGTCTATTTGAGAACACAAAGCAGTTGACCACGCAATGTTTTTTCACAGGTAATCTAGTTCCCAATGTGATAGCCGAAGTCTATTTTGTGGTGCAGCTTTTGACAGCAAGAGGTATCGCGCTGGCCTTAAAACCCACTCAAGGTACATGTACAGTTGGTAGGCATGACTGGAGAGTCAGTGTTTTTAATGTAGCAGAGTTGTCATCAAGGTTCATAACTAGCAAGAGCCATTACCGCTGAACTCACATGATTTACAGCTGTACAGGTGAATTTTCCTTGCTATGGCTGCTTCAAAAGTTAGTGACAGCCTGATGTAGTATGCAGTTGAAGCTTTCCACAGTAGCCACCTGTGGGATGCAGGTACAATGTAAGTGGCCTTTGTAAAGAGGTGGCCAATATAGGGCGGTAGGGGTGTTATACATGTATGACACCTAATTTGCTACATTGTTCTTGTTCTTGATGGCCAGGAAAGACTTTTCTCTGAGTGGCCTTAATAAAGACTTTTGTTTCCCATGAATAATTTTTTTTCACTTTTTTGCCTACTTGCATGCTGGTGCACACTGCCATGTGCAACATGTGTGTTAGTATGTAATCAGGCACCTTAGCTAATTTAACAAACTTTTTAATGGTCTATAGTTTTGTACCCTGAAAAAAGGCAGCATTGCCGAAACGATCTTCTAACAGCATCGATTTCATAATTTTCAAATGAACATTGGGACTTTTTTCCAAAAATACCTTGAGTAGTTTCCCTTTGGTACAGTTAAGACCACTGCTTTTAAAAATCAAAGTTAAACGTCATGAGTGAAAAGAAAATAATCTCCAAAGAGAAAATTAATATTAAAGTTGTGGTTCATTTCAAACGATTATAATAAAATGACAATTCCTCCCATAGAGCTGCATTCATTTAAGATATGCTTGTGCATGAAAATAATTAAGAATGCTACTTGCAATGTACCTGTAAATGCAGTTCTTGTTTTTTTTTAACATTTCTACTATTACATGGAATAATAAAATTTATTTAATATATTTTCACTTCACATGAAACTTCTTTTTTTTCTAGAAGACAATGTGGATGACCAAAATATTCTTGACTCAATTCACAATTGTACCTTCTTCTCTGTGGCAGTTCTCCATAATATCCGAAGGTGTGAAACTGTTATTTTTGTTTACAGTCAAGCCAGGTCAAGTGTACCCCCCAAGATTCCAATAATGAATTTACCATATTCATTTGATTAACCGCCACCCTCTACATGGATTAAACACTGCAGATGGAAGCAAAATTACCAATAAACGGTGCCCTTGAATAAACACTGCACCCAATTGAAAGAGTGCGGTGTTTATTCAAGGATAATAAGAAAAAACGTGGTAATTTACACCATACAGCCCGTTACAATTCTATCTCAGCAAAATAAGAGATACATATTTTGGAACCTTTAAGATACATAATATTATAATACAAGAGATTTACAGTAACTGCTGTCAGTGATTTAAGAGAAATGATTTCGAAATAAACGCCACCCTCAAAAATAAATGCCGCCCTTGACTAAACACTGCATCAGAAACAATGGAAATTTACTAAAAGGCTACGACAGTTAATCAAATAAATACAGTATTATTCAAAAGTTGAATTTGTTGGTAGTTGTACAGCTGTAGATTTTTTATTATTTCTTGCATTCTTGAATACACACGCGAAGCAGTTATGAAATTTCTACTAGCTCTGTTTCCTCAAATTTGATGTAAATGCCTTCAAAGCAATGTTTTTGACGATTCAAAGATTAGTAATTTGATCAAACAGAGATAAGTTATTGTAAAATATTCACTGCTCATCATGCATGCAGGGATGCAGATTGGAATTTGACCTCATTTTTATATAATCAATTTTTTTGACTGCAATTTTGTTGATTCTCTTGCATGCGAGAGAACTTGAAAATTACTTTTTCTAGTTAAGTTTTACTTTGTCATCTGCAAGTACAGCATTAACAAAGAGTTTTATTCTTTTTCCATCTTCAAGGCTGCGCTCTGTGCTCTCTCCCCTGGCCCCCCTTTTTTTTCTCCTGGCCGAGACTTGAAAATCTAAGTTTTACATAATATTATGTATCATACAAATCATATGACAGGAACCGTGGATTTCACAGATTTAGAGTGCTGCACTCCCTTCAGTTTTTCCTAGAATCCAGCCTTGATCTCTGCATTGATTTGGATGACTACAGCATTCCTTACTGCTTGATCATTAAGGAAGCATGACTGATTACACTTTATTTTCCATAGATTGATATTCCTACTTGACAAAGACACACTCCGTTTATTGGCTGATAATCCAAGGGTAAGTATTCACAAACGTGCTCTAATGGTTTCTTTACTTGTAATAAAAATCACTACCGGTAATCACTGATTAAAGTTTTGGGAATCCTTTAATGATTCTATTATAACTACACTTGATGTGTTTTTAAAATAAGATGTCCACACAGAATAATAAGGAGCTTAACCTATTCACCCCTGAACCGTCCAAAACCACCTGTGCAGATCTACATCCCTTCTACTGCCTGTAAACATCGGTTTTAATGGCCAAGGACATTTTTGTCCCCTAACTTGTGCAGGGTGAAGAGATCTTTCAAACCCTACCAGAAGGAGACTGGAGAAAAAAAGGCAAAAAACCATAACATACCCAAGAATTTCGAATCCATGAAAATCTTCTTTCACTACCCACCTACTTTTCCTTTCATCTAATCCTAAGATCCTAAAAGCTTTCTCAAGGACTGTTCCCACCAAAATGATTCCTGCTAAAGGCCAAGCAAAAGAAACAAATGAGGCAAGTAAAGCAAAAGAGTAGGTAGACTAAGGGGAGGAAAGAAAGCGAAATAAATAGCACATGCTCGAATTTTTAAGTTGTATGCATCTGGATCAGAAGGCCATGAAATGCATGACCTGCAAACAGCTTTATGGTATTAGTTTTAGCTCTTTATTTGCAGACAATGACTAGAAATCTGCTTGAACAGCTTCAAAATGTGTTTTCCGGCAAAATTCCCAGGGGTGAATGGGTTAAGCAACCATGACGATGACAACAACAATAACGTGAAAAGCTATTGGTGTTTTGAGCAAGTACATTCCTTTGATGTCCAGTGTATGACTACAATGGGAAACCATCTAATGCCATGTTTTATACAGGACAGAAACATACAAAGAAAAAATTTCTTTTCTCTTTTTGAAAGGATGCATTTAGTGACATTTTCAAGGAATAAAGTTTGAAATGACATCATTTTTTTTAGTGATATTAATTTTTCACTGTAATTGTTGTTGCTCTTATGCTGCCTAATGCAGTGGCATGTCCTACACATGCAGTTGCCCCTGGGGCAATTTATAATTCTAACAGTACCACCTGTGTCAATTCAGCAAAAAAACTTTTCGTCAGTAATTTACCTAATTGTAATATTAATATTGCAAGTGTAGCCATTTTTGCAAACTTTTAAAACAATATTAAGATACACTGAAACATATCAGTTGTAAATTACACCTATAATAGAGTTTTTTCGCACTGACCCAAAATCTCTATAATGGTGTTGCTTTCATAAATTTAAGAGTGTTATTTTTCAAAAAATTCAATAGGCCCTGTTCAAAAATACTGTGATACTCTTTGTTTTCACTTCAAAGCTTTGCAGTTCGAAGTATTGTTTTCAATTCTCTTGGGAAGATTGTTTAGTAAGTCACAAAGCAAAAGTATTATGGTATTTTTGAATAAGGCCTACATACAGCATATATGTACAATGTATGCATTATGTTGCATACTGTGTATATCTAAAATAATTATTGACTCCTTAGATTGCAGACTTCTCTCCAAGCCTCAAAGAGACATTTCTTGAAAAGTACAAATCTCACTCTGCTGTTAAGGTTGGTATACTTGTTCTAATCATGACTTTTTTGTTTTTTCATTAATTTTGAAATCTTTCTGTGAGGAAAATGAAGTAGTAATATTAAAATGGCTGTATGCGCGTAACCATTCCATACAATGTGCCTGTACTTCGCTGATCAGTCTTCCTCTTTTTAAGGTTTCAGAGCAGAGTTTTATCAAGTCCCCCTTGGGTGGGGTCCCATTCAGTGTAGAGAGAGACAACAAACAGAATTTTCCATCAGACAGAGCTTTCCACAACTTCAGAAAGCAAAGGTAATTCATTGCTGGATTTTACTTTCCATAACTATGTAATAATGGGCACAGACAATAGTTAAGAAAAGTGAACAGAATTAATAAAAAATTAATAATAGGAAAAGATTTATTTGTAAAGATACATTGTCATGATTTTGGTTACACACAGCTGGAAGAGTACCCATGTGCACTGTGTTTCCCTAACTGAGTACTGTATGTCATTGTACACTGTACCAAACAATGGTCAGGGTTATATATACTGTTACAGGGATGTATTCTATGAGCTTGTGCGAGAATGGGAAGACTGCAACTCAGTGGCTGGCTGGAACATAGAGGAACACATGGGAGATAGAATAAGGTGCAGTAATTCAGTAATGTGATAAGTTGAGTGATGTTTACATGTACTTTTGCTAGTAGTCTAAATTCATGATGCCTGTCAAATGCAGTCAAATGCAGCGAAAATCCACAAATAATTAATACTGAAAGCAAAAAACAAACAAAACAAAGAACACATTTATGCAACAACACATTGTGCTGTGTGAAAACACTACTATAGAGTTACTTTTTGAATAGTCAAATAATAGCTCTTTTGTCCAGATGCACCAAAAGTTATAAGTGGGTGGGGCTGGAAGGGGTAAAAGACCAGCAAAGAGGGCTCCCCCACCTCTTATCCAGGTGCTACATCCTTTCAATGCCTGGAACAGCATCCACAATGTAAGAACATGAGATAGGCAAATGGCATGAAAGAGTTTCTACTACTACTACTACTACTACTACTACGATGGCGACGGCAACAACACCAAGGATAGTACTACTACCACTACCACTACCACTACCACTACCACTACTACCACCACCACCACTTTTTGATTTAACAACAACAAACAATAATAATTTTAATGATAACAATGCTAACTATTAACCCATTCGCTCCTGGAGATTTTGCCGAAAAACGCGTTTTGAAGCTAGTCGAGTGGTTTTCTGGTCACTGTCGTGCTATAAAGAGCTAAAACTTACCACAAACCGGTTTACAGTTCGTACACTTGGCGGCCTTCTGATCCAGATGCAAAATATCAGCTTGCGAAGTTCGGGCATGCGCAGAAAGCAAAATTTCGACATAGTTTTTGGGTTTAAAAGTGACACAGCAGTCTTGACTTTTACTTTTCGCTTTCTCTCCTCCCTTCTTTTTTCGCTTTTCTTGCCTCATTTTTTTTTTCTCTTGCTGGGCATTTAGTAGGCTTCATTTTGGTGTGAAGAGTTTTTAGGAAAGCTTTTAGGATCTTAGGATTAGGTGCAAGGAAAGGTAGGTGGGTAATGGAACAAGATTTTCATGGAGATTTTCAGGTCCTTGTCACGTGGTTTTTTGCTTCTTTCTCCGGTGTCCTTGACTGAATTGTGCTCATTCTGGTATGGTTTGAAAGATCTCTTCACTCTGCACACGTGTGCGAAGAAAGTTGTCCTTGACCGTTAAAACTGATGACGTCACAAAGGGTAGAAAGGACCTGGATCCGCACGGGCGGTTACGGGCGGTTCAGGGGCGAATGGGTTAAAATCCTATTTACAATAATTAATTCGCTTAAAAAAAACTATTTTCAAGGTTAAACGCATTCTTACTGAGAAAATTACTAAAAAGAAGAAAAACAACAGCGCATGCCTTAATTACTAACAAATATTTGCATGTCCTTTGTCAATAATAATAATAATAATAATAATAATAATAATAATAATAATAATAGCAGTAATTGTAATGATAACAAAATGCTTTTACTATCACCTTGCAGGGCCTTAGTGAATCAAAAACCAGAGCTGGCAAACTATTCTCACTTTGCACGCCTCTTCAAGTCGCAGCTGTTGCAGGTAGAATTTGTGAATCCATTCCTCCCTTCTCCACACTTTCACTATGTTTTTCTCCCCTCCTTTGAGCTGTCTCTCATTCCTTGCATCCCTTTCCTTGCTCTTCACCTTCTCTCTTCCTGATCAGCCCTCCCTCTTGTTTCTACCTTTAAACCCTCCTGACCTCTTTCATGTTGTTCGTTTTTAATCGTTTTGTGTATTTTGCTTGGCCTTCTCTTTCTCTTTCTTTCCTCTCTTTATTCTTTTCTTGCCTTACTGTCTGGCTCAATACCTCCTAATCTACTTTTCATTATTTTTCTGTTTCTCTCTCTATCTTTCCATTTTTTATTCCTTCCCTTCTCTTTATGTTCTTTCTTTCCCCCTCCTCCTCTCTTCTATGTCCCAGACTCCCTTCTCCCCAGATTCTCCTTTGCTTCTCTCTCTTTTTCTTCCTTTCCTTGTACAAACATCTAAGAAAATTCCTACCCAGCTATGGTGCAAAATGTTATTGTAGATGTGTGAAGAAGAAAGGACTGGAAGTGACTTCCGTAACTCAAGTATGCTGAGTAATCTACAAAAATCAAACCCGGAAAAATTTCAAAGGTATAACATAAACAAATTTTAATCTTACATGGATTGATACATGTCCTGCCAAGTGTATTGGTTATTGACTGAGCAGCACTATTTTACATGCTTAATGTGCATGTTTTAGTACACTAAGTTTATGTACTTGTACCCAGCTAAAGTTTATTACACTTAATGTGTCCGTTTCAAAGTAATTTCTTAGTGCAGTGTTTGCAGGTTTTCAAAGTGCAGGTCAATCATCTCTGAAACTAAGATTTTGAACAGTTTATAAAATGTGGACCTCTCTCTTTTGTCTTGTCAGTCAGTAAAAGTACCTCTCAGTCAATATCTGCAACATGGATTATTGAACTTTAATAATTATCAACCGTCAGAAAATTAGCAAAACCCTTAAGATCTCGATTTGGGGCCAACAGGATTAGATTGAGAAAGGGGATAAAGTAAAAAGTCACTTTTATGTGAAAGTTGTCATAATTACCATTATTATAATACTACATTAGAAATTTCTGCTATTTGACTGGCATAGAGTGGTTGTATTTCAGCTTAACTTGAAATACCTACAAGTGAAAATTACAAACCTTTTGCAGGTAGTAGTTTAAACAAATGATAGCATGATTTGTACGTGATATTTGGCATAAATACCACTCCTGACATTTCAAAATTGTCTCAAATTTCACTTGTGTAACATTCTAGAAGTATCACTGGTGGTATTTATGCCAAATATCACTACAAATCATGCTATTACCTATACTAATTGAATAACATGGAACAAGGTGTTACTGAGAGCATTGTGCATGTTACATGTATTTCCATATAGTTGTATTATATTAAATTATCATTTTCATTTGTTTGTTTTTTATTGTCCAGGTTGCAGGAACGCTTTGTTACTCCTTCTTCCTCTGGTGGAATTTACCCTTCCCCAAGTTTTTCAAATGTGCAGGAATTCTTCAAAGGATTCATACAGTCAGCATCATGGTATTCTGTGTATTCAAGAATAATAATTATATTACAGACAATTAGATTCGAGAAAGAGAACTACTGCCAGGACAAGATATAACAAAAGGTTTTTTCACATCATGTCAAAAAATGTATAGTGCGAAAAGCTCCAAAATACATTTTTTCACGAGAAAAGTTTGCACAGTTACTTGTATTAAAGGACGTTAATCCCTCGCACTATTGCAAAAATGGTGAAACTCCTAGCATGTAATAACTTCTCTACAAACTTCATGTCACCTTCATGTCACACAAGACACCCTAGTAACTTAAGTAACAGTAACATAAGTCATCCCAGTCACCCAAGTCACCCAAGTCACCCTAGTCAACCAAGCCACCCAAATCACCCAAGCCATCCTAGTTGCCCATGACACCCCAGTCACCCAAGTGACCCTAGTCACTGGAGTCACCCTAGTCCTCCTAGTCACCAAGGTTACCCAGGTCACCCTAGTCACCCAAGTCACCCAAGTCACCCAAGTCACCCTGGTCCTCCTAGCCACCCAAGTCACCCTAGTCACCCTAGACACCTAGGTCACCCAAGTCACCCTATATTCACCCAAGACAACATAGTCACCCTTGTTACCCAAAACACCCTAGTCACCCTTGTCACGCAAGTCACCCTGGTCACCTTAGTCATCCTTGTCACCCCAGTCACCCAAATCACCCAAGACACCCAAGACACCCAAGTCACCCTTGTCACCCCAGTCACCTTAGTCACCCAAGTCACCCTAGTCACCCAAGTCACCCTAGTCACCCTACACACCCTAATCATCCTTGTCACCTTAGTCACCCAAGTCACACTAGTTACTCTTCTCACCCTAGTCACCCAAGTCACCCTAATCACCCTTGTCACCCTAGTCACCTACATCACCCTAGTCACCCTTCTCACCCTAGACATCCTTGTCACTCAAGTCACCCTAATTGCAGAAGTCACCCTAGTAACCCTACTTACCCTTGTCATCCAAGTCACTCTGTCACCCAAGTCACCCATGTCACCCTAGTCACCCACAAGGGTGACTAGGGTGACTTGGATGAAAAGGGTAACTAGGGTGATTTGGGTTACTAGGGTGACTTGGGTGACGAGGGTGACTTGGGGGACTAGGGTGACTAGGGTGACTTGGGTGACTTGGATGAAAAGGGTGACTAGGGTGATTTGGGTTACGAGGGTGACTTGGGTGACTAGGGTGACTGGGTGACTTGGGGGACTAGGGTGACGAGGGTGACTTGGGGGACTAGGGTGACTTGAGTGACAAGGGTGACTAAGGTGACTAGGATGGCTTGAATAACTAGGGTGACTTGGGTGACTTAGGTGACTAGACTGACGAGGGTGACTTAAGGGACAAGGGTGACCTGGGTGACTAGAGTGACTTGGGTGACTAGGGTGACAAGGGTGACTTGGGTGACTAGGGTTAGAAGGGTGACTTGGGTGACTAGGGTGATTAGGGTAACTTGGGTGACAAAGGTGACTAGGGTGATTAGGGTGACTTCGGTGACTAAAGTGACTTGGTTGACTTGGGTAACTAGGGTGACTTGGGTTAGTAGGGTAAATAGGGTGACTAGGGTGACTTGGGTGACATGGATGACTATGGTGACTAGGGTGACTTTGTTAACTAGGGTGACTTGGATGACTAGGGTGACTAGGGTGTCTTGGATGACTAGGGTGACTTTGTTAACTAGGGTGACTTGGATGACTTGGATGACTTGCCTGACTAGGGTGATAAGAGTCACTTGGGTGACTAGAGTGACTAGGGTGACTTGGGTGACTATAGTAACTTAGGTGACTTGGGTGACTAGGGTGACTTGGGTGACTTAGGTGACATGGGTAGCAAAGGTGACTTGGTTGTTTAGGGTTTCTAGGGTGACTTGGATGACTAGGGTGACTTGGGTGATATGGGTGACTTGCGTGACTAGGCTGACTAAGGTGACTATGGTGACTTGGGTGACTATGGTGACAAGGGTGACTAGCTGTGTTGGGTGACTAGAGTGACTGGGGTCATTAGGGTGACTTGGGTGACCAGGGTGACTTGGGTAACTAAGGTGACTAGGGTGTCTTGGTTGACTTAGGTGACTAGGGTGACAAGGGTAACTTGGGTGACAAGGATGACAGACATCTAACATCAGATGTCAAACATGTAACATCAGACATCTGACAACAGATGTGTGATGTCAGATGTCTGTCATCAGACGTCTGATGTTAGATGTCTGTCATCAGATGTCTGATGTAAGATGTCTGTCATCAGACGTCTGATGTCAGATATCTAACATCAGGCATCTTATGTCAGACGTCTGATGACAGATGTCTAACATCAGAAGTCTCGCATCAGACGTGCGATGTCTAATATCAGACGTCTGATGTCCGATGTCTGATACCAGATGTCTGATGTTAGACTGATGTATGTCATCAGAGGTCTGATGTTTGATATCTGTCATCAGACGTCTGATGTTAGATATCTCATATCAGATGTCTGTCATCAGACGTCTGATGTCCGGTGTCTGTCATCAGATGTCTGAGGTCCGATGTCTAATATCAGAAGTCTGATGTCTGATGTCTGATTTCAGATGTCTGATGTTAGATGTCTGTCAACCGACATCTGATAACAGATGTCATCAGACGTCTGATGGTAGATGTCTCATATCAGATGTCTGATGACAGACATCTAACATCAGACGTCTGATGTCCCATGTCTGATACCAGACATCTGCTGTTAGATGTCTGTCATCAGACGTCTGATGTTAGGTGTCTGTCATCATACGTCTGATATGAGACCACCGACTTCAATGTCTGATATTAGGCATCTGTTATCAGACGTCTGATGACAGACATCTGGCATCAGACGTCTGATATCAGACATCGGACATCAGACTTCGAATGACATACATCTAACATGAGACGTCTGATATCCGACTTCGGACGTCTGATGTCAGAGGTCTGATATGAGACGTCTGATGTCTGATGTCTGTCGTCAGATGTCTGATGTTAGATGTCTGTCATCAGACGTCTGACGTTAGACTTTTAACATCAGAGGTCTGATGTCCGATGTCTAATATCAGACGTCTGATGTTAGATGAGGGTTTTTTAGATGACTAGGGTGACTTGGGTGACTTGGATGATAGGGGTGACTTTGTTAACTAGGGTGACTTGGGTGACTACGGTGACTTAGGTGACTTGCTTGACTAGGGTGCCTTGGGTGACTAGGGTTACTAGGGTGACTTCGGTTACTAGGGTGGCTTGGGTGACTAGAGTGATTAGGGTGACTTGGGTGACTAGGGTGACTTGGGTGACTAGGGTGACTTGGGTGACTAGAGTGACTTAAGTGACCAGGTTGACTAGGGCAACCTGTTTGACTAGGGTGACTTGCATGACTATGTGACTATGGTGACCAGGGTGACTCAGGTGACTAGGGTGACTAGGCTGACTAAGGTTGCTATAGTTACTTGGGTGACGTGGGTGTTGAGGGTGACTAGGGTTTCTTGTTTGACTTGGTTGACTAAGGTGACTTGGATGACTGCAGACTTGGGTGACTAGTGTGACTAGTATCCCTTGTCACCGTGGAAATCTTAGTTATTTCAGTCGTCTTAGTCACTTAAGTTACAAGGAAAAACATAGAATGGGATGATGGGATTGTTTTAGGAGTGAGTTACTATTCGGGTTGGTTTAGTTTAGTGAAACTTTTTAATTGTTTTTGGTGACCATTTAGCTTTTTGTGTGTCTGTTTTAGCTGGGTGTCCTTTATAGCGAAGTGTTAGGGATCTCGGCCCGGGTATTGAACTTAACCCTGCTCTCTTTTTACCGACAGTTATTCTTTTAATCAACATCTTATGGACGTGCTTATAGTAACGATAACAGAGGTACAGTAAACATTCTTCAAGGTGTTTGTTTTTGTTGTGTGTTTAATTATAAACAACAACAGCTTTTAGTAACTTGTAATTCATGTTCACAGAACAATGAGAAATTGTAATGTCAGATATAGGTGATGAAAGTGAAAAAAAAAATTTCGTATCGAACTACTCGTTTTTGTGTAGTTAAAATGAACGAGGGGAAAGCTGGTCACGTGGTTAAATTTTTTGTCTACCCTTAAAATTATATAACGATACATTTCTTTACAGGTCAATGGCAAAGTCTTTCCCTTGTCAGATTCAGAAAATGAAAGTGGAAACGATTCATCCATTCAAAGTCAGGTCGGTTAGATTCGTTGTTGTGTCAGAATCTCTTTAAATTTCTTTCTTGGTGTTATCCTGTCCTATCTTCTGCACATGATGTAACTACTTTCTCGAGACTGTAAGCTTCTGTTTGGTTTTCAAAATTACTCTTCTAAGGTGCTCTCTGTCCGTCCTTTCCGATTGTGGTTTGTAGTTATAATCTTAATGTAGGAAAAACATTAAAATGGAAGTTGGCAAGTCGACGTTGCATTTGTTTTAATAATATTACTATAATGAGATGACAAAAATAACGAACAAACAATAATAAGGGCAACGACGATAACAACAAAAAACATCTTATGATTAAAACAACAACTCTACTTATGCCCATCACATTTAACGGTAGACTCAAGTCTTTCTACCCTCTGTACAATGACCACATAAAATTACCCGAGGACTTTTGGCAATACGCAGAACGACACGACACAGAATTTGGAACTGGACTCTAAGAATTCAGCTGCATGAGAATTTGCCTACATTTACAAAGTTGAGTGAATGAGAATAATTGGCATAATGTCTTGCCTAAGAGCACGCAAATTTACTTTTCTCTGTGGAATTGGGGGACGTGAACATACAACGACAAATCCTTTTGTAACTGGGATCTCTACCTATTTATTTACTGGTTTGCAGGTGACCTCACGGCGTCTAGTTTGGTGGTCAAGAACAAAAGCATTTCTCTCCTCCGAGAATTAAAACTCATTTTCATGTAAATTCTTTGGAAAAAGTTTTATTGTATTGACCACCAACAAAACTGCCTGGACACGTGGTTGCCAACCCAAGAATTAATTCTGTGATAAAATTTTAAAAAACGCAATTTCACGTTACTTATTTAGTACCGTCGTTGTTGAATTCGAACGTGCATTTTGGCTCTAACTTTTAAATCCTTGGACGATCTTATTCATAAGAATCTGTTCTGCGAATTTTTGTGAATATTTCAAACTTACTGTTCTTAGGAATTAAAGCAAGAGTTTACCTGCTGTTTAATGAAGATCAGAATCTTAGCCAAGTTTCTTGGTTTCCTGTTATTCCAGCCATATTACGGCACTGAAACCACTTCACAAGTAGTTGTCGCTGAAACACTCAAAATACGAAACAAGGTAAGAAAGTAATCTAATCTGTTGATGACTAAAATGAAGTGTTTTTGTTAATGTTTAGTTAAGGTAAAAAAACCACTGCAAAAACCGTATACGATCAATCTTGCTCAACGTCGGATCCAAAACGATCGTGATCAGTCAAAATAGATCAAATTGAAAACGTTATAGTCAAGAAGACTTTTGGAGGGAGTGGTCGAACAAAGTGAAATAGAGTTAAGTTGCGATATTTTTGTTTTTTAAATGTTGTTTCCTTGATAGCAAACGTGCCCTTAGCAGTATCACTCGAATAGTTTCCAACTCACTGTGACTGCAATTTCCCCGAGCCGAAGACCTAAGACCTGATTCTTAGTAAAATCCTTAAATAACAATGACCGAGACTAGGTTTTATGAGCCCGCGAGACTGAGCACCTCACCCAAACCTTGGTTTTCACTAAAAACCGCTGGACGCCAACCTGGTTAAGGTCATTGTTATCTAAGGTCTTCCGATCCTGAGAAGTAATCAACACCAGTAATTGCGTTCATATTTTTCTTCTTGTTTCAGATTCCCGTTTACTTTGATGTTCTTAGCTATCTCAAGAAAGCATCTTGCCATGGGAGACTGGTGCTTACCGTTCCATGGGCTGTAGAGTATCTCAGTATGATGGACCCTCTGGCTCCTCTGTTGGACTACTTCTCTATGGTCCTTCGTTGGCTCAGTAGGAAATACAGGTGAATACGCTTTCCCGGTGGTGTTTTTGGTTTCTTTGTTGCCGTCGTTTTTTATGTGTCTGTCGAAAGAAAAATAGTCCTCTACATTTCAAGAGGAAGGTTGCTTTTACAACCTTTTATTTCGAGAAAATTACCTTAACTTGCTCAAAAGTAATCGTTGAAAAATGCTTTAGTTTTAATGAACGCGAGAAAATTATATTAACTTTATGTTATTGTATAACTATTTAGTATAATTAAAAATCTTGTTTTAGAGAGTTAGCTGAATGTTCCCTGCAAGAATTGAATCACAGCAAGTTACTTCTTGTATCTTGTCTTGGATGGCTTTTTGAGGTGAGTAGAGAACATTGAAATGTGACCCCTGTTCAGTTCTGATTAGATAGCCTCCGTCGCAGACGTAATCAAACCCAGGTTAGTAACGTCTGAGAAACAGCGCCAGAGTCCTTGTTTTAGGCCCCCACCTTTGTACCAGGATTTGAGTACGCGCCATGATTGGCCTGTTAAAGAAGCCATTGTTGATTTGCCAATCAGGTTGGAAGGAAATTCGAAACACACTTCCGGTAATCATTGAGTCCGTTGAAGGCCAAGAACAACGACCTCAGCGCTACAGTTGTCTCTTTCGTAAACGGTTGATGTCATTTTTGAGACACTTGGGAAATCTTTGGCCTGTGAGTTGAAGAGTTTCTATCAAAAAGAAAGAAAATCTCAACCAAGGGTCGAACCTGGACCTCGAACCCGGACGTTTCGTATCCAAATCTCTTTCCCTTACCACTACATTGCCACAGCGACCCAGCAAAATTCCGAAAAAAAAAAATAAGTACATACACTAGCAGACTGTTTTTCTTAAACACTGCATCAATAACAGGTGACCCTACCCCTTTCCATAATTTTTAACGTCAATTCAACTTGGGCTTCTACTTCGTTCTTTCTAAGACTATTCAAAAACGTATTATTTGCCTTATTATAACTTAATCAAGGGAATATATTACATCCACATGACCAAAGGCTTGGTTACCAATGGTGGCAACGACCGTTTGCCAAAGGGAAATAGGCCTCGGCGCTGCTTCGTAGACGTTACTAACCGGGGTTTGATTCCGTCTGCGACACAGGCTATGATTGGACTATGTAATAAAAAAATCCCAATTCGATTATTATCACCACACTCACTGGCTCTAGTTAACATTGCTGATCCTAGCAGTGCAGTAAACGCGAATCTTTGCGGACTTCAAAGCCAGGTAGCCGCGTAACCGCGTAGCCACCTCCCCGTAGAGCTTCGTTGCCTATAGGCACATAGCCGTGTAGCCATGTAATCAAGGAGCCCCGAAGCGGCGTATTTACGTTGCTGCTTAGCCACTAGCCATGGTGCTTCATGTCCGCAAAATCTCGCAACCACGTAGCTGCTTAGCCCTGTGGCCAGTTAGCCATCCAGCAGTGTAGGTGTTGTGGTTCAATTTTATCCTTGGCTTAAATAGTATTTTCTTTTGTTTCAAACTCATTATCATACATTACCATACCCCGAAACAAAGAAAATAAAATTTAAACCAGGGATAAAATAATTGAACCACAACATAGGCACGTAGCCATGTAGCTTTGTTTTACGGGTACAGTCTTGGATTATCAATTGTTTTAGGTCCAACTGGCATCGAACTACATTACTTATTTTTATGTGGTTAAAATGAACAATAAATGCTAAGTTAATGGAAAGCTGTTGGCGTGGTACAAATTTCCATTTGCGCTAAACGACTTTTTCAGCTTTTGTTAAATTTTTAGATTCCAGTTATTCCTGCGCCCTTCTTCTTTAAAAGCCTAGCAGAGGAAACCGTATCAGCTGACTGTGAACTTCCGTTGAGGAATTCTGGATCAAAAATCACTTTGGTATGCGGAATAAGTCTATAGAATATTATCTTTAGGCCCTTTTATATGGAAAAAAGTTGTCCAGTGTAGAAGAGACACTTGCCTACGCGAGCTTCCTTGGGCGAGCTAACTTTTCATACATTTTCTTTCAAAACGTGGAGAATCGTTTTGTGATGGTAGAGTCACCCTTCAAGCTGAGCTAACCTTTCTTCTTATAATCACTTTGGCTCGCTCTGGATCAACTCGGTCAAAGTACGTGAGACAATCAGAGCGTACGCGAACGCTTTTGGCTCGGGCAAAGGGAACATTTTTTTCTCAAAAATGTTCCTAAAGTTGACTCGCCTGGGAGGTTAATCCTTCTACGGGGTACAGGATAGGGCTTTAGCGCAAATAACAGTTAATTGCAAGAAAAAGTAGAGACTTCGTATCGTGGAAACTCTGTAAACACAGTAGAAGATATAAAAAGGTGTTTCAGCTCTTCGGGTGATCTTTCGTACTCGTAGTTATCCTAGCATGTTGTAGTAATTCCTTCAAGTTTTTTAAGTTGCTCTGCTAGGGGACAATGCTGAGAGCAGAGTCTTGTAAATGATTCAGAAGGCTCTGTTGTACCCACCCACGTTTGCTGTATTAACCTACTTGCCTCTTGTGAAATGAAACTTTGTTAGGACATGGTTTCCCTCTGTCTATACATGCAACAGAGTGTTAACAGAGTGTCCTTCCTCCTCATAATTATAGGGAGAGAGCTTAAGCGCAGGCCTCAATTTTCTGTAGCCACCAAGCTCCCAGAAACCATCATTTTAATTGGCTTTTGAAATCATTCTTGCCATTTGCCATTTTAGAAACATGAAGGAAACTTGGCCGAGTGAACTTTCGCAAAGACTTCTGGGATCGTCACTGGTGACGCCATTTTAAGTCAATGTTTTCCCCCTTTTCCCAGTAACAGTTTCCTTTTGTTTGGGTCATTTGTGTGTTTTCTTGATAGCTTATTTAACAACTCGTCCTGACAACTTTATGTTCTCCCCTGAAGCTGTCTGAGTGAATATCTCATGACAGACGTTATGAGCTTTACTAACTACTACTTAGTACTGAATACGACCTGTCAATGATCAAAAAGTCATAGAAAAAGATTTCATTTATATTTCCAAACCTTTATTTTTCTCTTCATGTATTATTTTTGAATGGTTTTAAGAAGGTTGGATATGTTGTGGTTTGAGTTTATAGTTATATATTTTTTTGGTTTCAAGGTCATTTTCATACATTGCCATACGTAAATTATTAAACTACAACAGATACTATGTAGTTAAATCTTTTTCAAGGATAAAATCTCAAATTTGGAGCCACTATCTTACTATCTTTTGCTTAGGGCTCGTGACCTAATCCCTTGTCTGCTTTGCTTGTTTCTTCCTTTACCCTGCAGGATTCAAGTGGGCTGGTGGATCAAACTAGTCTGTATTCTTGTTGTCCGTATCTTGGTATGCATTTTTTTTGTTATTTACAATCATTTTAATTCCAAAAGTAATTACCTACAGAAAGCAGTCTTGCCTCTGAGACTCATTCATCATCACTTTGTTCAGCAAAGTGTTGGATTATGTGAAAGACATGGTAGAGCATGCGCAGGAAACGACCGAAGTTATGACAGGGTTCGCACAGAGTGTTGAAGTTTGCAAACCCGTTTTTCCTCCAGAGCTGGAAAATAGAGATAAAGATAAAGTTCTGGCGCCGGTTGTGTAAACGTTGGATAGCGCTATCCACCTGATAATTCACTATCCAGTGGATAAGTATTTGGGAAACCAATTGCGTTATACACTGGATAGATTTTTATCCGGTGGATAGCGCTATCCAACGTTTGAACAACCAGGCCTGGAGGTCTTATTTTTCACTTAAAATCTTGTATTAAATATTATTTAACCTCACCTGTAACCAAACCGTTTAGCCGCGTAATGAAAAGTTTCAGAACTCTCTTAAGTCCGCTTTGCAGTGTGATAACTTTACTTAATCAGCGCGTCATGGGAAGAGCGTGGATCCTGCTCTTTTAAGGTTCCTGTCGATCGCTTATTTGAGTCCAGGAAAAGAACTATTGTTTTGAAAAACGTCTCGAATTTTGCTTTCAAAAATCTGCACAAACCCTTTTGTCAGGTTAGTGAATAAGAGTGTTGGCTCATCAGCATCCTCGGAGACCCAGGGGCAGTCAGTCGGGTCGGGAGAACTCACGAAAAGAACTCAGGAGAAACTGTTCGCCGATTGGGCACAATAATACAAAGCATTTTTTGTGCCCAATCAGGAGCCGGCATCCGCTTGAATTTTTTGGAAATAGTTCGGTGAGAGTCGGTACCCAGGGGCTCTTTTGTCCATACTTGAAAACTTTCGTCCCGCCTTTTCTCCCAACCCGACTGACTGCCCCTGGGTCTCCGAGGAAGATACATCAGGTGATACATACTGGTCACTAATTCCATGCATTTTTTTGTTTGATTTCATTTATGATAAGGAGAAACGTAAGGGTGGGGGTGGATTAAGATGTTCCCGAGAGTAGCGATTCCTTTACCTACCTTCACGTGTAGAATTCTCCGCACTAGTTTAAATTGCTCTCCAGTTTCACAAAACTATTTTTCGGTATGTTCCAAAAGGTTTCCTAAAACAATGAGATTATGATGAAGTATCCGAAAAGAGAGTCAGGGAAAGCTTGGTTCTTGAAAAATTGTCGATCGTTAGACGTGAGTTGATGTCGTTTGAACGGTCTGACGTAATATATATGTTTTTTTCGCTTTTGACACTCGCCCCAAATCGAAAAGTTAGGGTTACATGTTGTGGCCTGTTTGACTATCATGTTACGTTTTTTTAACAGGTGAAATTAGATCCGTTCTTGTGGAAGCAGCTGCCGGATTGTCTGGCAGAACAGGTAGCTTATTTTTTGTGTCATAAAATAGTTTTGGTTGTCCGTTTACAAGCATTAGTAAAAAATTAATGTCACCTTTCACTAAAGGCCGATACACACGAGGGGTTTTGCTCCCGGAGCATGCTACAGGGGCTGAAGCATGCTCCTGGAGCAAAGCTCCTCCTTGTGTACCAACGATTCCATGGGTATACATCATCCTCGGGAGCAAAATTGCCACCCCGCAAAATGCTTCACGATATTTAACCAGTTAAATATTTGGGAGCAAGATCCCGGGGCAAATTGAGCGAACTTGAAAACGCTCCCTCATGTGTACTGACACTTTTTGTTGCGCGTGGATTAATACGGCAAACGTAAAACATTAACCAATCAAATTAGCTAATATTTTCATCCACAATTCCTTTAGAACAAATGACTCGTGCTCAAAATTCAACATGGCGTCGACTGAAAGTGTAGAAGTTGATGAGCTCCAATTTTGCGTATGGAGTTCTCATGTATTCACAAAATCCGTCTGAATCTTCCTCGGACAGTTGTCGAAAATAGTATAAAAAGCCCCTTTCTCCTGTCTTCTCAGAAGCCACAGGCGAGCCCATTTTTTCCTGGCAACCTTTTTACTAACTAATGACTCATCTTCAAGCATCATCATCATCATCAAAAGAATCAACCTTTTCTGTTTTGATCTGGACCACAAGGAGGTCGCCATGCTTAGTTTTGAACTAGTTCCCAAACCCTCATCTGGTGAATATCAGCTATCCCACACCAAGTTTCTTTCATTTGCGCCCTCGTGTGTACCATAACACGGAGCAAGCTCCCGCAGTATGAACCCTCGTGTGAACTGGCCTTGCAAAATGAGCCTGGAGCATGCTCCGGGAGAAAAACCCCTCGTGTGTATCGGCCTTAAATGTCGCATGCGCAAAGTATGCAGATGCTTAAGTTTAAGGAGAAATGATAATGCACCACTATTTGTTTATACCAAGTGTGGTTTTGTTATTTTTCTAGGCCCAGTAAAAAAGATCACACCAGTTTCTGCAGGTGAACCCACCAGGATTTCTTCATCGCACAAACAACTGCAAGTAAGTTGAAAATAACAACATTCGCACAATTATTGATGCCTGATCAAACATCGTAAGGATGTTGCTAAATGCTGCTCTAAAAATTGCGTAATTTGATCTGAATGGTGTGGTAAATTAGATGCGTTTTGGCTGTGCGGTAGCAAAAAGGAAAACCCGCGGACTTTGTAGAAGAAAGAAACGTAGAACAATCGTGCTTAAAGTGAGTATTCATCAGAAAAAGATAACAAACACACATAGAAACACGTGAAGGTACTGTGGAAGATTCGTATGGTCAGTCACACTGTGGTATGTCTGACACAGACTAAACAAACCTGCTGATGAGGTTTTATTTGAGGGGTTTTACCATAGAATCTTGTCCATTGAGTCAAAAATTAGGCCCTGTCTATATGGAAAAAACTTGTCCCGCCGAGCTTCCCTGGATGAGCCACCTTTTTCTACATTCCTTACAAACTTGGCGAACCGTTTACTTGAAGAAAAAAGTTGGCTCGCCTAAAAGCTGACCCGCTTAGCTGGGTCACCCTTTTTCGATGGTAGGGTCACCCTCCTAATCGTGTCAACTTTTCTCCTTATCAACACTGTAGCTCGGCCTGCCGAGTCAACTCGGTCAAGGTGAAGCAATAGAGAATTCGCGAGCTTTTGGCTCGGGCAAAGTTGTCAATTGTATTTCTCTTATAAACGCTCGCCAAAGTTGACTCGGCTAAGGGAGGGGAGCCTCTTTCCCTGGACAGCTTTTTCCGATATAAATGGGGCCTAAAAATATCTATCGAATGCTTCAATAATTGACTTCAGTGGTAATTTTGTTTGCTGGCCTCTCCCTACAGCTTCAACTGGAAGAGAACTTCTTCAGAATGCAACCTGATTTCGTGAAAAGGCTGTCTGACTTCACAGTAGAAAGGCAAGATTAAAAGTATTCTTTGAATGCGATTATTGATCGATTAACACTAATTTAACTAACAAACAGACGACGATAACACCTGCCACAACGTTCTTATTACCTTATTGTACACGACCTTTACTGTAAACAGATCGATACCCAGTTATGGAGAGTAGGGCACCATTACGATTTACTGTTACTGTTCTTGCTACTGCTGGTCAGTCACTTTGGCTTAACCATCTAACAATGCGGTCGGAAAAAAATGCCTTTAAACATAAGAAAAAGAAACCGGGATTAAAATTTAACCCTGGGTTAGCGCTAATCGGCCTTCGAACACTGAAATAGGCCCTGATTTACACCTGAAGTCTTTTTATGGGAGAAATCCCTAAGATCCCCGACGGTTTCTGAAGACGGTACCCCGAGCTGGAGACCACCAAAGATACGAAAATTTCTGCATGCGATCCGAAGCATTAGGAAAACTACTCTGATGGGGGAATGAATGCCAACAACACTAAATCCTTGTCGGTTTAATGACCGAACCAACATAGACGCTCACAAACTAGTCTGTTAATTATGAGGAGGTAAATCAATCTCAAAACACAGATATTAAACCCAGTTGAAACCGGAATTTTTATTTGTCTCAATCAGATTGTGCAGCAACATAATGTCGTCCTTAAAAGGCAGCGTCGTTCCATCTCTGATCGAAGCAGGAGTCCAGAGAATTCAACAATTCATGAATAGTGAATTATCAAGCAATGGCAACACTGATCAGGCGAAGGTTAGTTGGACATATTACATTTCACCAAAATTTCCAACCAAAGGTATTCTTTATCAGCCCTTCGGTTAAATAAGCCACTTGTTTTTGTTATGGTGGACTGCGTAATGGGGTTTGCCACACCTTTTTTATAACTAAGCTTTTAATTAGCAAGAAAAAGAAAGCCTTCGTTCAGAAAAGCAGAAACAGCAGTTCGACCGCTATCGAATTATCAGGCAGCAACAACAAATAGGCGGCAGCTGACGATTATATCATTGTGAGCATGTGCAAATGATCGCGTACGTAAATGATCATGTTCAGGGGTTCCTACATTCAAAGGGTCCTTTACCTAAGAACCGCTAGATGTTAAAACTCCTGAATAGAGAACACCTGGATGTATGAACACCCCATCGCAAGAACCCCTAAAGGTAGCAACTAAGAAACGTAACAACCCCTGAACGTAAGAACCCTGAACATAAGAAAACCCCGAAAGTAAGAACCATTGGAAAAGAGCCCCTGGATATAAAAACCCCTGAAGGTAAGAAACCCCGCATGTAAAAACGTCTGAGCGTAAGACCCTAAAACGTAAGAACCCCTGGATATAAGAAAACCTCAACGTTGGAATCCCTGGATGTAAGACCTCTGGTCGTAAGACCCGTGATCGTACGATTCCTCAACGTAAGACCCCTGGATGTAAGACTTCTGGATGCAAAACCCCTGGTCGTAAGTCCTCTGGATGTAAGAGCCTTGAGAGTCAGATCCCTCGATGTGAGACCCCTGGATGTAAGACCCCTTGATGCAAAACCCCTGGTCGTAAATCCCCTGGATGTAAGAGCCCTGAACGTCAGATCCCTTGATGTGAGACCCCTGGCTGTAAGACCCCTTGTTGTAAGAAGCCTTGATGGAAGAGCCCTGGTCGTAAGTGCCTGGACTTAAGAACCTTGAACGTCAGATTTCTCGATGACCCCAGAACGTAAGAGCCCTGGGCCCAGTTGTTCGAAGGCCGATTAGCGCTTAATCCGGGGTTAAATTTAACCCGGATTTCTTTTTCTTGTGTTCAAAAGCATTTTCTCTGTTACTTTTAGAGCTTCTAATCATCAACGTGTAGACAAAAAGAATTAAAACTGAAATGCTTTTTAAGCTTTCAAATCTGAATTCAAATCTCGCACTAACCCTGGGTTATCTTAACCCGGCTTTGAACAACTCGGCCCTGGAGGTAAGACCTTTGAGCGTAATAACCCTGATCGTAAGATTCCTGAAAGTAAGACCTGGTTGTAAGACCCCGTGTCGTAAGACTTCTTGTTCTAAGACCCCTGGTCATACGAACCCTGATCGTAAGCCCCTTGAATGTAATATCCTGGTCATAAGACCCCTGGATGTAATACTCCTTGATGAAAGACCCCTGGACCAAAGACCCCTGGATGTAACAACGGATGTAAGAACCCCTGGATATCAGAACCCCTTAATGTAAGAACCCCTGGATTTACGAACCCCGGAGTGTAAGAATTCAGGAACATATGAACCCCTGAACGTATGAACTCTTGGACGTAAGAACCTCTGAACGTAAGAACGCCGGAACGTAAGAACCCCTGGATGTAATTCCCCTGAACGTAAGATCTTTTTGATGTAAAAATCCTTGAACTTAAGAACCCCTGAATGTAAGAATTCCTAAACGTAAGAACCTTAGCATGCAAGGACCCCTGAACGTAAATAAGAACATCTGATTGTAAGACCCCTTTGTAACACCCCTTGAACTTAAGAACTCCTGAACGTAAGTTGTGCAGTGTGCACACTGTTAGCCAAAATATGCACTAAACAGTATTCATGTATGAATAGCCCAAAGCACTTGAGTTTACATGCGTTATAAAGGTTTTGGAGTGGGAGGAATAGCACCGTAGACAAATGCAAAGGGTGCTTATTAGGCTGATTTAGCAACAGGACGGGAACGTCATTTGACGACGGGTAAGCGCGCGGAAAGGACTAAATTCGACTTCCGGTACCCAATTTGCCGCTCTGTCATTGGTCAATCCAGTTGTTTGATTTGCGCGCGCAGTCGTCAACAGACGTTCCCCGTTCTATTGCTAAATCAGCCTATTATAAGGTCAGAACTGCCCGGTGAGCCCATGGTCAGACCTGTCCAGTCATTAAGAGAATTGCATTGTTGATCAGGACTGCCCTTGCACCTTGGACTATTCATTCGCATTGTGCATATTTTTTGTCTTATAGGAAAAGTGCCGACCTCAAGTTCTGAAGATAATTCATTCTGTAACAGATAATGGGGTGAAGAAGGCCATGGAGATAGTCGAGTTAGTACGACCTTTAGTGAAACAGCCTTTCACACTTCTATTACAGATTTGTTCAGATTACTTATTAGATCGCTTATCTAATGATGTGCTTTACTTTGACCTGTGTTTAGCATAATACCTTAGGTCTGTGCGCGCTCGATCATTAATTTTAAGAAGGCTTAGGAGCGAAGGCATTATCCGATTCAACGCACCTTTCCATTGTTAGAACACCAGGCCGCTATTGTGGCCACTGAAGTGGAACAGTAGGTTATTATTCTTAATAATGGCCTCTTGTTCTACTTCTATCAGTGACCTTATCTTCCATTCTCCCCCCCCACCTCCCCCCCTGCATTGCTTGGCTCTCGTTCCATTTTTCGCGCGGCCAAAACCGAAAATCCCGTTCCTCGTCGTTCTTCGGTATTTCTTTGCTCTGAAACCACACGGAAACGCTTGCTACGCAGGCTACTTAGGGCACGTTTCATTTGTTCCTTAGAACTGGCCAGCCAGACGGGTCCAGATTTAAAGAGATCCCATTATTAAACACGACTATTCATCCAGATAAGTCTATTTACAAATGTCATGACCAGCAGTGGTCGGTTTTAGGTAAGGTTCAAGAAAAAACGTCTACATCATTTTTCAAATGACCAGTGCGGCCGGCTAGTTGTGAGCTTTAGAAAGCGCCCTTAGTTTAAGCGTTAATGCAAACCCTTGATATAAAGAAAAATGTCTCCCAAACTCGCCACCTGTTTTAACATTACAGATGGGCCCTTACGGTTGCAGTATACGGTCACATTGTACGAAAAAAACACCTTGCTGTATGGCAAACGACGCAGAGGGGTAAGAAAAACAAAGAGATTACCTTGTCCAAAAGGCAAATATCCTTTCTTTTCAAGGTGCCACTGCTTTGTTTGCCATCCAGCAAAGTGTTTATTGTACCATGTGACCACATTTGCAAAGGGTCCATTGACATTGCCTTGACCTTCTGGTTTGTTTGGTTTGTTGGTTCCTTCACTCTGTTATTCCTAACTGTGTGTGTGTGTGTCATTGTAGGTCTTCGAAGAAGAAATGCGTGAATGCATTTGAGAGCCTTTGCCCTGAGGAAATGGACCCTAAGGTAAGACTGTAGGCGCTAAAATCCCAAGGCTGTGCTCTAAAGAAAATTGAAGGGAGCCCAGTCCTCTGAAACTGTAACTTATATCGGTTAATTTCTTCGCATGTCGGCTGCCTCAGAAAAAGTAAACTCACGCTACGCGATTGGTCCTCATTTTTAAGAATGCCTGGGAGATCAGGTGTTATCCTTTATAGAAGGAAATTATTAGCATTTGCTGCACACATTTTGTAAGGTATTTGTTATTCCGCTACATTCCACGTCTCGAGAATAGCAATAGTTTCTGTACCAGTTGATTAACTGGCTCCATATGGTTCTTTGGAGGAACTATTAGCGCGTTCAGATTAAATCATTCAATATTGTCGAACCTGCCATCAAGTTCACCCACTCTCTGCTCACTGAAGAGTGAACAGATGTTCGATATTCTGCAATATTATCCTAAGTCAACTTCATGCAAAATTGATTTAAAAAGATAAGTACGTGTAACATGTAACTTTTTGTAATATATCAGGAGTAAAGAAACAATGTTATTTTCTTAATGCTTCTCAAATCCGACCACTTACGCTCTCTACTTCGTCCTTCCATTTCTTACAGAACGATGTGATTTGGCGCCTTGCATTACACATGAATCTCTTGTTGATGTTTTTGTTGCTTACTAAATTTGTTTTTGAAATTTGCTGTGTCTTTATGCTTTTATCTCTCCTTCATTTTGTTTTTAAAGGTAGTCATGACAGCAGCTAATATCACAAAAAGACTTGTTAAAGAGAAAACTATGGACTGGGTGAACACAACATTTCCAAGTAAGCTGATGGGGTGAATTGTTATGACTATAATGCTAGTCTTAAAAAATTGTTCGGGCAATCTTCGTTTTAAACCTTATTTATTTAGCTTTTTATTTATTCAGTTGGTGAGTGGTTTACATAAGTTTTGAAGTCAGGCCTGTCAATGCCTGTGGTTTCTTAGTGCTTTTAGGGATTTCATTCCAGTTGTTTATAGCCTGATTTAAACCCGTACTAGACAAGATAAGATACTTCGTAAATATAAAAAGTCAAAATTATACATCGATCGTCCTCCAAAATATGCACAGTTTAAAACAGTCTTCTTACCTACACGTGCATCACTTAGACTTGGAGAGTCTACGGTAAGCTTTGATCATTGCCGCTGCATGGTGAGACAAAAAGTTGATTCTTTCAGTGAATCGGTTAAATTTGTTCTGATTACCTACCTACCGCAGCGCTTAAATAAATTCTTTTGACTTTTTGGCACGGCGCTTACTTTAGAGCAGCTCTTATTCAGGGGTGGTGCTTATTTATATTTTCTCATTTGCGAATAGCCTGTACCAGGCTCTCAGGTAGTAAGGAAAATAGGACGTGCGAGATAGACACCGGCTTTGGATTAAGTATCCTAGTTAGAGCTTTTAGTTTGGTCTGTTCAAAATTGTTTTGTTTTCGTTCTTTTATGCACAGATATTATGGAGGAAGAGCTGTTTGTTCAGTTTAACAAGATCGCAAATTCTATTCTGCACTCCAAATCCAAAGAGCAAGAGAACGTTGTTGAAGCTAGAAGTAGGGAAAACTCAGAAGTGGCGCCTGACAAGGAATCTGAATTAAAAGCTAAATCTTCTCCACCAGGTGTGACTTCCGCTGAAGATAAAATTCCCTTTATGAAAGTCAAAGCATTGCAGGTAAGTAAACAGATTTGATTACAGTTCCCATCGATTAAGTCACTCGTCGAATCCCTCAAAAACACGTTCCTCGGTTGAATTTTTATCCAGGCGTGCATGTTTTCAAGACCTGTTGTTGTCGGTTCCTGATTCTCAATGTTCGAGAAATTGAAATAATTGGAGACAAAAATTGAGGGTTCAAAAAATCAGGGGTAAAATTACACGTAGAATCTAGGCTTTAGAGCGTACATAATTATCGGTCCTGAGAAATTCACTACAACATCAGTTGGTCGGTTAAAAACGCTTCTGTTACATTTGGGAAAGTGTGAATTATGAAGTGCATTTAGCGTTCTTTTTAAGGGGGCGGGTTACTTCAACTGGCTCAATTGGTCAAATAGGCGAATTTTTCCGTTGAGTTGAATTTTTATTCAGCACATCAAAGTTTTAAAAGAGAAAGAAGAATTTGTGGTTGGGTATTTACGTTCTCTGTATGACGTCACATTGGAAAGTTTCAGGTTTTAGGTTACTTTTACCAGATAGCTTTGGGTAGCGCCATAAAAGGCTATTTGGTATGGTATGAACAGCAAGGGCTCAGGGCGGCACAAGTCGTTCACACACATCAAACATCGTGCCGGCTAAGTTGGCCGAGAGGGTTTGGTGCACTAAATTCCAGTCCTCACTCCTGGATATTTACTTCCGTCTCAGTGGGTTCCAGCCCTCGATCCTACTTATTTACTTCTGCGACGGGCCGAATAGGTGTTCACACTGCACCAAAATATGGCAAAAAACCTATTCGAGATCGGCGCGGCGCCGCTTCGCCCCGTCACAGAAGTCTCACCGCCACAACAGTTTTTATGTGTGAACAGAATCCCTATCCGGTATGATTTTCGTGGCGGCGCAAAAGCTAGCCGGTACACGTTGTGGACATACGCTAAGACGTGCAGTGACGGCCAATAAATGTACACAAAAGGCGTGATGCACGTGCAGAATTGTTGTTTTGGTTATTAAACCCTTTGAGGCTCCCGTTGCCGTCGCCGTCGTGGTTGCTGAACCCTTTAAGTCCCATTAGTGACCAACATCAATTTTCTCCTAACGATATCCATACACTGTCAAGAGGTATGGTTATGAGAATTACTAAAATGATCACCAAAGTGAAAATGCCTTGATCTTTCATCAAATTCTCTCAACCTATTCTTTAAGAAAATCTATCAGTTTGGAGAATTTGTATGTGAATATTGGGGCTTAAGTCCTTATCATGAAAACAAATACTCGAAGTTTTTTGACCAATTTAAATTCTCAGGTTGCGTTATCAGAACAGAGCAAACTTCTCTCCACGCAGTCGTCAAAAGGTATGTGAAACGTTTTCAGCCCATTTTAGATCCTTCTAGTGACCAGGAACTAATCTCCTCCTTACAAATCAAACGCAAGATAATGGCATTAAGAATTAAAAATACTTGTGATTGTCCAAAACAATTGTTAAAGATATAAAGTTCTCTACTCGCTTTTGAATACTTTGCAATAAATAAATTGTGCCAATTCTTTTCCAGAAATAACTCATGGATTGATTGAGGCAATCAGTGCAGTCGAAAGCATCGTAAAGGATAAGGTTTGAAGGTTACTCTGTAGCACTGGCGCATGTTAAATAATTTATTTGTCGTCAAATACTTTTGTTAGACCGTGAACATGATTTGTGTTTATAACCGTTCTATAGGCGAGATCACAAATGAAGGAGATGGCGCTTATTGGTCAAATAACTGTGGAACTCGCATTTATCTTGGGTGAGTGTCTTGTTCAAGGCAAATGTAATATAAAATAAACTAATAATAATAATAAAATTAAAGTTTTTATTCATATACATATCAGATGTTACATTAAAATGTTAAAAAGCAAGCGCAAACAAGACGCCAAAGGCGTTCACTGGGCTCCTTACACTATACAGAAATGTTGTATTGTATGACAAGTTTATCTGAAAAGACAGTCAACCGCTTATAAAAGTCAAAATAAAAAAACACCACTTAACTATCTCTATCCATTGGCCTCATTCTCCTTTAGTGAGCTGTCCTTGGCGGTCTTGGGTGGGTAATCTGTAGACAGTGATCATTATAATTATAGGGATAATAACCACTTGATTCTCCTTCAGGCAGCCCTAATGGCGTCCTGTCAACAGTGTATTCACATACTTGATTACCATTGCATTTTTGTTTAGTATGTAGAACAGCACATGGGGTCAAGCTGACGACTACGAACTGTACCAAAGACAGGTATGAAATTATTGACAAGTTGGCGAAATTGTGGACGCTGTTGAAAGGTAACTTAATAAGAGTAATGTTTTTCCAAGTGTATTATAGGAATATTTAGGACTCCGTCAATTGCAATGGTGGTCCCGTGTACAGTGGGGGACGAAAAGTAGTGTCCTCTATCGTGCTAATTGCACTGAGACTTAAATAAAGCCAGAGAAGTTTTATAGATTGATAGCGGAGCACCGTTGGTAAGAAAATTTGGTTATCCATTCATCCGAGAATTTTTGATAGTGACGTGACCGTACGCACATCCGCCCGCCGGTCCATCCGCACCACAGGGTAACCAATGTAAAATGACCTTTATTACTTAGCCTGCGTAGTGGTAGATAGTGAAAGTTGATTTGTTTCACCATCGCTACACTGCCTACACAAAATACGTACAAAAGAGAAATTTTTGCACAATGACGCGCGCATTTGGAACTGCTCTGTTGGTATTACTAATATCCAATTCGTATCAAGCTTTCTTAAAACCTTGGAATGGTATTAAATGAAGGAAAAAGAAATTAATTTGTTTTATTACTTTACTCTTCTTGAAATCCTTAATTTTCGCCGGCAAAAATCAGTAGGAAGTGTGTATACACGCGTCTTGCAGCTTCCCGCCACTAGAGCCATCAAGAGGCCCTATACCTAAAATTCCTGTTTGAACACAGTCTCAGTCAAAATTCTTGGGACAGTTTGCTGTCTTCTTGCCCTCCCAATGTTGGTGCGCAAGATTTGGTGAGTTAACTGCAATGAACAACATTGTCAGGACGAGTAGACGGGCCAGAAGTGTTGGGTGGAAGTGTCCCAACTATTTTTGACTGAGACTGTAGGTATGATGCTAGTGTGGGTCCTCTTTTTGGCATGCTTGGATGGGATAGGGTTTCGATTAGCCGAACAAAACAAAAGGCAGTTGTCGTGTTCAAAACGCTTAACCAGCAAATGCCCCCTACATCCAAGATATGTTCTTTGTTAGTGTTCGTGACTTTTACTACAATATCCGTCGCTCCGAGAACATCTTACATGCACCCAAACCAAGGACTGACTATTTAAGCGAAGTTTTGGGTATTCAGAGGCTGTCCTTTGAAATTGACTGCCATCCGAACTACGTAAGCTGTTAACCCTTACAAGGTTTAAAAAGGGGAATTAACTACTTGTATTCATCAACGGGCACACACACGGCAACACGTAAAACAGTATTTTAGATTTTAATTATCGTTTTATACTGATGTTTTAACCGTGTCTTAATAAAGTATGTCTATGTATACTTCTATGTCCGGCTATGTAATGTTAGTGGTTCATTTGCGTTACAGATAAACATTTACCAGTACCTTTCGACAGACTGCTTTCCATGCCTCATGTTAACTTGGTCATGTCGATGGAGAAAAAACAGGTGAGATAGGGGTACCGCCCTGGGGGAAAAGGGTTGAAAACGTTGGACGTGAAATTCGAAGACCAATGATTCTTGTTGCTTACTTAAACCTCTATTGAAATGCATTTCCCATCTGTCTTTACACAGCAATAAAGATCGTGATTATTAAACAAATTCTCCTCGCGAGATTAACAGGAAATGTATGGAGCAGATCGTTGAGAAAATGCATTGTGAATGTTACTTGTTGAAGGGGTTTTTTATCTCCCCGGATATTGGTCGCTTTCGTGGTGCTATGTTACGAATGACCGGCTTAAAATTTGCATAAATAATTTGGTAACATCTTTGATCATACATGATTCTTGATAAATGTTTATGGAAATCCCTAGCCAAGCTTCGTTTGAAGATTTGTCCAAGATATCCTTGAAGAACAACATAGTCCAGATTATTTTGTTGAAGTTGCGATCCGTTTTCACCTTTTGCGTCTGCAAGCGCAGACAATTATTTTGAGTTTCATTGCATTACTACAATAATTCCTGAATACTGACTATTATTTTAGGGTTTCTTTTGACGCCGAACTGTTTACGGCTCTGCAAATAGACGTTTAGTTGGAAACTTGACTTGAAACTTTATCTCTTTCATTTCAAGAAGAAGCTAGTCAACGTTGGACAAAAATTCAAAATTTCATTTTTGGAAATATAAAATGTTAAAAAACAGATAGACTTAATACCATGTGAAAGTACTTCCAAAGAGGTTTGATTTGAATGGTCACACTATAGGATTTCGTGCACCAAGCCAAAGTTAGAACCACCTCACAAGGGTAAACTGTGCTGTGTGGCAGTGAAAGGGTTAAGCTGCTTTGCACCGGCTTTGTAGATATTGGAGTTTTTAATAATTGCAATTGTGTCATTGTCCTTTTCAGGTTGTATGGGAATCATTTCAAATGTTATTTCTCATTCTTATACGACATCGACTGGTTTACGTGTATGAGGTTGAACAGTGGTACATTGGAGCTCTGGGAAGCGTTTGCGATGAGGTGAGTCCCGACTTAAAATTGCAGTGAACGGAATTTGGAATGTATCCTAAACATAGTTATAATTTAAACTTGGTTCAAAAAACACGATTTTCGGTCTCAACATTCGTGGAAAAAATTTGTGAAGTGACTGTGTGAGATATATTCGCATGTCAGAGCATTTCTTTTTTTTCCTTGAACTACTGAAGCTGTCTGACCTGCTTTCTCAAGGAGAAGACGATCGGGTGCCTTAGGGCGCACGATTTCCTTGGTCTCCCCGAGTTCAAATCCTGCCATGACAGCAGGAGAGGCAGGGTTGTTAGCGGTAGTTGGAATGTCAACTACCTTATCATTATTATGGTTTGCCTCCAGCCGGTTGGGGTTCTTACTCGTTGTGTTAAATTTGCGTTATTTGTTAGTATTCAAATTTGTGAGCCGCAATGTAAACCACTAGATCACCAGTAATTGTGTCAAGCCTATGACGACGGAATCCACCAGGAAATTGAGTAATTTTAATTTCCAGTGGACAAAAACCTTGTACCAGAATAATTTAAAGAACATTGCAATCTTTTTTACATTTTTCAAAGGCTACAGATGTAGTTAGTTATCTGTAGCAACACCAAAGAAAATTTCTTGTGAGTGCCCGAGAAAATGAATGTCAAATTTCACAAAATTACATCTTACACATGAAATTTTCAGAATTTTACCTGTGTTTTCACAATTCTTGTGAAATTTGACATTCATTTTCTCGGGCTCCCGTAAGAAATTTTCTTGGTGTTACTACAGATGACGAATTACATCTTTAGTCCTTAAAAAATGTAAAAAAGAATGCAATATGCTCTAAATTATTCTGGTACAAGGTTTTTGTCCACTCAAAATTAAAATTTTCAAAATGTTCTGCAACTTTTTGATGCCGCATATAACGTAATAAGAGGAAAGCGACACGTCTAGTTTACTAATGATATGCAACAAAAATTACAAGAACTTTTGCGAGCTTTAACGCTTCGCCTGTTGAAAAGTCGATTTCGAAATAATCCTTAACTGAATCAGGTAGTTCTCGCTAGTTTAAAAGCTCTATTGAGATGTAAGCTGCATGTCAGTCGAGTTTACTAATGATATACAAAAACAGGAACTTTTGCCAGTTTGTAAACTCTTTCATCCCCAGTCCGGAAGTCTTTGTATCATTGTTATGTGCTTAGAAGAAGTTGTTTGTCTGAAACTAGTCGTAACTAAATAAAGTGAATGAATAAATAAATCCAAAGAAATTCTCAAAAGGTGCGGACAACTTAAGAATTTAAAATTCTTTTTTTTTTCTTTGTGATTCGCCACTGTTTCAAAGGTAAGTGACGGTATCATCAAGATTGTTTGTAATTTTGTGGTCTATACATAATAATGCTATACACCGTAATTTTTAGGGAGTTATTATAACTCCAAAAATGGTGTAAAAATTTTAGGTACAGGATAACCCCTTTTTTGGGGTTATTTTAACTCCTAATTTAACTCCGAATTTGGGGTCATTTTTACTCCTGAAAAAGAGTTCTTTTTACTCCCAGTCTGGAGTTAAAATTACTCCGAAATGGGGTTACTTGTACTCCTTACATGGGTTGTTTTTACTCTTTTTGGAGTTAATTTAACTCTGAAAGTGGAGTAAAAATTTTAGGTACAGGATAACTCCTTTTTTGGGGTTATTTTAACTCCTCAATATCTGGGGTCACTTTTACTCCTGAAAAAAGAGTTCTTTAAACTCCTTTTTGGAGTTAAAATAACTCCACTGTAAGGAGTTAAATTAGCCCCACTAGAGGAGTTATTATAACCCCCTGAAAATTACAGTGTATTTAAGACTAAGTTAATTAGTACTTGCCATGGCCTCCAGTTACTAGGTAAGCCCAAAATAAACATAGAAAACCAATGCCAGCTTTACGCCAGCTTCAGCTAATGTATGCTTTGAAACAACCCAAATTAATATCAATTTCGATCTGAAATGCTTAACGGTTTCATATGGTCTCTTCTGTACATTAATTATAATTGCGCCGGTATTTAATGCAAGGACGTCCTTTCGCCTTTTCGAGGAAGTCCTAAAAAACAATTGAAAGTAAATCGATTTCCCAGAATTGCTTCAAGAAATCTTGTCCTTGGAAACTGAAGATAAGTCAGGCAAATCACATTCGTTTATCGGATTATCCTTACTGATTAAGCACACCTTGGTGCTGCTAAAGTAAAAACACTTATGGAATTAAATTGCAGCGTAATACTGCGGCTATGATTTGGAATGCACTTCCTGACGAAATTCGCGCCGTTAACCGAGAAAATGGAAACATTTAGGAGCTCGTCTGGGAACTACGGGTGCGTTCGATTGATCGTACTCAGGAATAAGAATGTCAAGAAAGTTTGTTACAAATCTGTTCTGTCGTGATTTTTAGACTCCTATATAGCCACGGGCATTTTGTTATTTAAAGCAGATTTCTTCTTGTTGTTTGTTGATGAATACCAAAACAGCGTGGTTCTAGAGTTAATTCCTAGTGATGCTTATTCAAGTCTGAAATGGGGTCAATCGAACGCATCCTTAATTTCAAAGGCAGACTTTTCAAATTTTAAGAGCGAATGCACAGAAAAATTGAGCAAAATCGGCAAATCGTGGCCACAGCTAAAAACCTAACTTACCCTCATTTTCAGTCTGTAATAAGGTTTTAATGAGTTTATAATACTGCTGAGGTTTAAATTTCAAAATGCAGCCGAGTTTGGGAATTATTTAAGATTTTCGATTTCAACGGTCTGCGGCCCTAAAATTAGCCGCCGAACACGGCAATATAGCCTAGCGACAGAAATGAGCTGACTTTCATAAACGAGCGAATATATTGGCAATCTTCCACTTAAATCTCAAAAAGCAGATATCTAACAATTTCTGAACAGCACATTTTTTAGATTTAGAGCATAAAATATCGACGAGCCAGCAGAATTTTGAAACGTAATTTGCATAATGCTTGTAAATACAACAATTTACCGCTAAAACCAAAATCGAATTTTCTATATGGGGGAATTCTCCAAATCACCCCAAATCCCGCTTACTACCTAATGAGATATAGTACTTCAACATTATCTGAAAGTTAGTCTGGTGTTCTCGCGAACGCTTGTAAAATAGATTGATTATTTTGAGGTTATTTTGCCGCAAACAACCGCTAATTGACCCCACGGTCAGTTGACACGTGCCCGTCACCTTAGTTTTATGCATCGATTTGAGCTCGTTAAAAGGGCGAAACTAACAAGATTCTTTTAATATGTACCTGTTTTAATGAAATACACGCAAAAGGAGAGGCCGTTCAATGGGTAATTTCTGTTCTTGAGATCTTGTAGATTGTACCATGATTCTACCATGGCGTCTGCGAGTGGACCTGAGTCTAGGTCTGTTTTCCAGTGACTGCGAAATCAGAATAACATCAAGAAATAATTCTCCCTCGAATCTTCGTAAGTGAATCAGCTTTGCAGTGCCTTACCTGAGATAAAAAGTGGGCCGAATAGCAAAACAATTCTAGCGCAATTTGGATCCTTTGTGGAACGCAGTGTATTGCTGAGCGAAAGGTGAGTAAACAAACGTAGGAAAGTACGTTACCTTTGATTGCGTGACCAGCCAGTAAACGATAGTCTCCAGCGAAAAATAGGATTCGCAAAAATCTTGCTGATGTATATTTAACAGTTTGTTACTATAAATTTACACCTGGTTTGTCTAAAACTTTAAACAATGCATATCTGTCCAAGAGTATAAGAATGTTTCGAAAGATCCACCCCTAAATAACTGTGGGCTACTCCTTTTTCCCCATCACCGATGTGCACTTCCTTCCCACTGTCTTTTGCATGAGGCTTGTATGCCTTTTTAACTGTTATCGACACTTAAAACTGGCCGTTTAAGGCCTGGTTTAAGAACTTGACTGACTTAAAAAACCGTCGCGAACATGCGCCATTACTGTTGGACTTTGGAAGCTTTAAGCCCAAAATGATGGTGCAATCTCAAGAAATTTGCCCGGGTCTAATTTTAAGACAGGGAACGGGTACTAAGAAAGGGACGGTCTCATTTAGCAACCCGTGGACAATCTGGGCATGCTTGCCTTCTGTCGCAGGGGCAACCTTTAAGGCCAGGTACGCCGCCCCCACCCGAGAGGATTGCATGGCATCCACCATTTCAGTCGCTTTTTTTACATCATGACCTTCAATTATTATGAATTATAATGCCGGCCTTGATCGTTGCCACCTTACCAGAAGTCTAATCTTCGCACTGTTAGACCATGAGAATCTCTATTATTATTCCATAAATGCACCATTTGACTTTTCCTTGCTCAGCTTCCGGTAAACCGATACTCCGAAGCAAAAATAGCTTTACAACGACTCTACCCAGGCCAGAACTCCTAATATCAACAAATATACCCCCTCTAAAGAGAGCAAACGTTCCCCGAACTATTCACTTGACCCAACCCATCCCTTCGTTAAGAAAAACTAAGCACTCAGTTCACTGGACAAAACGCGCTCGTGAATATACCAAACTATAGCCGTTCATCCTACAAGCAATCTCAGTTTCAGCAAGCGTGGCCACGTTTCCAGTTGCTGTAAGATTAATTCGACACCTGCAACAGACACTGTAAATTAAATAGAGTGTTTTCACTCACGTGGCCAGCATCTATGCAAATTTATTGGAACAAAAGAAAGCGTTTGCATAAGAAAGGAGTTCAACTCCTACAGGATTGGTTTGGGACACCAACATGGCCGCCGTTTCATTGTTTTGGGACACCAATATGGCCGCCGTGATGTCATGTGAAAACACTCTATGCCTTGAAACTGTCAGGACGAGAAAGATTATAAAAGACTTAACAGGTGTGCGCGGCGGTTTCCTTTTCTTCCTTTCCTCCCATTGTAGCACTCAAATTCTGACCCTGATATTAATTCTAGTAGTAATTAATCGTTCCTGAGCCGATAGGCACAAGGATACCAGTTTCTTGCAAAATATGCCGTGACATCCGTTTGCTCATCCCCTTTTCTGCCTTCGGCCGCTGATCAGGTTTGGTTCTGTGCTTTGAAATAACTTTAGGAACGAACATGATACGTGAGGGGCGTGTCCGGCTAAGGGCAAGTGACTCTCGGTGGTGAAGACATATACTGAGCTTGTCAGTATTTCGTAGCCTGTACCACGTCGCGAAAATAGAACAAGCCAAAGAAAAATAAGACGCCTTTCTTTCCCCAGCCCACGCAGGTTTTCGCATTACTTTTTACTGCACAACTGATTCTACCTTTTCGAGCCGGAGCGAACATGGACGCCCTCCACTTCATTTTCGGCACCTGACTAAACGCAAGCGCTGACTTGTGCGCCTATGCCTCGTTTGCACTGAAGTAGCAGTATATGACCACGACAGACTTGCTGCTATCCTTGGTTTGAAACCGCAATGGGCAAGAACAATTTCTTGAAAAGAGCAAACTATTTTCTCCTTAGCAGACATGGAGAACAACTACTAGGACTTAAGCAATGCCATTGCTTAAGTCCTACTAGACTTGAAAAGAGAAAGCATGATGCTTTCTCTTTTTTATGATTTACGGCTAAACAGTACAATTTCATGTAGCTTTTACGCAAAATTAAATACTTAGTTGTTTGCACAATTGCATTTAACAACAAATTACAGAAATTTAACTAAGTTTAGATCTCATAGATAAGAATTGAACGGAAAAAACTTTTGGGGTAAAAAAGTAAAAAAATGTTTGCTGAAAAATCACTTAATGAACATATATACAATAGCAGAGATATCATGCCTGTAATTTTCCGTTCAATGCACCTTATGAGAAGTCTGACTAATCCACTGGTAACCCATGCCTTAAACCCATGCCTTAAAACCGCCTTTCATGCGTAGTGCAAATATATCTTCTAAACACTCCGGGGTGGGGGGAAAATCAGAAGAACAGAACATTCAGTTACATGTACTGTACCATTTTTAAAAGTGGGACAGTATGTTTGCTAATCATCTTAGTTAACCGCTTTTAAAATAGGACAAAAGGACACCTGGTCATACAGGAAAATGAATTTACTGTACCCCGAAAGCTTTGGGTGCGCTTATTTTTCGCAGGAGACAATCGATAAATTCCTGGTCACGCAATCGGAGGTGAGTAACTAATTAAAAGTCACTGATACCATCGCCGCTTAGCACATACACTACGTGCTGCAAAGGATCCAAATTGCGCTAGAATGTTTTCCTATTCGGCCCACTTTTTATCTCAGGTAAGGCACTGCAAAGCGGATTCATTTACGAAGGTTCGAGCGAGAATTATTTCATGATGTTATTCTGATTTCGCAGTCACGGGAAAACAGACCTAGACTCAGGTCCACTCGCAGACGCCATGGTACAATCTACAAGATCTCAAGAACAGACATTACCCACTGAACTGCCTCTCCTTTTGAAGATTGCGTGTATTTCATTAAAACAGGTACATATTAAAAAAATCTTGTTAGTTTCTCCCTTTTAACGAGCTCAAATCGATGCATAAAACTAAGGTGACGTGCACGTGTCAACTGACCCTGGGGTCAATGATTAGCGGTTGTTTGGGGCAAAATAACCTCAAAATAATCAATCTATTTTACAAGCGTTCGCGAGAACACCAGACTAACTTTCAGATAATGTTGAAGTACCATATCTCATTAGGTAGTAAGCGGGATTTGGGGTGATTTGGAGAATTCCCCCATATAGAAAATTCGATTTTGGTTTTAGCGGTAAATTGTTGTATTTATAAACATTATGCAAATCACGTTTCAAAATTGTGCTCGTTCGTCGATATTTTATGCTCTAAATCTAAAAAAATGTGCTGTTTAGAAATTGTTAATATCTGTTTTTTGAGATTTAAGAGGAAGATTGCCAATATATTCGCTCGTTTATGAAAGTCAGCTCATTTCTGTCGCTAGGCTATATTGCCGTGTTCGGCGGCTAATTTTAGGCCCGCGGACCGTTGAAATCGAAAATCTCAAATAATTCCCAAACTCGGCCGCATTTTGAAATTTAAACCTCAGCAGTGTTATAAACTCATTAAAACCTTATTACAGACTTAAAATGAGGGTAGGTTAGGTTTTGAGCCGTGGCCACGGTTTGCTCGATTTTTCTGTGCATTCGCTCTTAATTCTGTAAATACCTTTTTTTTTCGCTTTCTCGCGTCCTGTCAAACCTTGACTTGAATGCTCGTAGTCTATGTTTACTTTGACACTACTCCCAATAAAGTAAGGGCTTGTTCGATTGACTGTATTCCGGAATAAAACATAAATATCATAAACTCTAGAATTCACTTGTTCTGGCATTCATTGCATTGCCATATCTAGAAATCTGCTTGAATAAGTTATTCCGATGTACATAGCGTTTAAGTGATCCAAAAATCGAAGTACGAAAGAATTGTAACAGAACTTTTGCGTATTCTGGCAACGTAAACGATTGTTCATAGCGCATGATACCTCAGCCTTTTCATAAATGGTAGTTCCCCCTCCCCTTTCAAGTTGCAGGCGGTGCGAGTGAGACTGGGGGCGAACAAGGTGGAGTTGGTCCGGGACTGGGTTGAGAAAAAGAAGGCGGAAAGAACTGAGATGAAATCGTATCCATAATAGTGGTTCAGTAGGTTAAAATATGAAGCAGTTTAACATTTTCATGCCACGAATTGAAACTCAATGGGTCGATTATTTAAACGAAGTTTAACTTGGGCCGTGGTCTAAGAAATCATTGGACCTCCAGATCTTCTTCTTAAGGGGTTGATTTAAGAAAGTGAGTGCTTTTCCAGACTACACTACAGGTTTTATTCAAATTGTTCATGAAAAATCGTGTTTAGATAAAAGCGTTGGGCAAAGTGACAATGGCTTAGAACGCGGTTTTGTTAAACACAAGCTAAACTCTGTTTAAGTAATGGGCCCAATATGTCCACCATCTTTCTTTCAGGAAAATGCTGTCGAAGTCGGCAAAGCGTGTTGTTCCCTGGTGTCTACTTATCAAGAAATGAAAAACAAATTTGGTAAGATAAAAAAATTAACTGCAAAAACCGTGGACGAAGTTCCTGCTGGTTGTCAACGTTGGATCTCTAGAAAAGAGATCTAATCAGCTTCAGACTTGAAGAAGGCTGGTATGGCCAGCCGAAATATTGTTTTAAAAAAGCAATACACGTTTTAATATCAGCTTTGCAGTAGTCTTTATACTTCTCGTTTTTGTTTTGGTAAGAGAAGTCGACATTGTTTTAGCGGTCGCGGCGATAACATCCTGGAAAAATAGTCTGTACATGCGTAGTGCTATTATGTATAATGAAGATATAAACAGTATGCTAAGGCCACCTTATACCTACAGTAGATGTTTTATGTCGAAACCATGTAGCGCGTTTCGATCAAACTTCCGCCGGGACTAAATAAATGACCAATAGAAAGCACTTTTGAGTGGTAACTACCACCTTAAATGGGCTCAGTACGGCCGGTTTTGTAACCTTCACCAGACGGCAAGGGTATTTTCCAGAACGCAGAACGTAGAGTGGCATTGTTCTCAATATGGAATGGAGCGAGACAACAACTTAGCATTGTTGTCTAACCTTCTGAGAACAATACTCCTGTCCTTCACTAGAGGAATTAAAATGGGAACAGCCGCTGATTCGTGAAACGGTCGACAAAGATTAGACAAGGGAATCTTGAAAGCACCGCAGCAATACTACCCTATTTTTTGCTGTTCTGGGTTTTTACAAAATGGAAATTTTCCTTGAGTTTGTTATTTTCGCAGTAATTGTGAATAACCGTGCATTCCTTCCATTGGCCAAAGGTGAGAAAGATACTAAATTTCGTTTTGTAAAATACAAGAAATCAAAAGGTAGTGTGCGAAAGAACTGCTGAAGAGGTTTCATTTGAATGGTTGCTCCATGGGTTTTGATACAAAGACTTAAAAGTTAGAATAGGCCTTTTAAAAAATACCATAATACTTTTTGTTGTCACTTTTTGTTGCAAACGTTTGCACAAGTATTGTTTTCAATTTTGTCCCAAGAGAAATTGAACACAATGCTTATGCAAAATTTTAGAGGGACAACAAAGAGTATTATGGTATTTTTGCAAAAGGCCTATTATGTACAAAATAAATCTTACTTTTTAAAAGAACTGCTGAATAGGTATTATTTGCATGGTCACAGCATAAGACTCAAACTTTAGAGCTACATGCTAAATAATTAGTACCATGTAAACTTTCTACTGAAGAGGTGTTACTTAAACGGTCCCATCATGGGATATTAGTCTATCAGTCGCAGACGCAAAAGTTAGAATTGTATACTGCACTGTAAATAGTGCAAGAAAGAAATGCTGAACTAATTTGTAAATTTAACTGATTTTTGATATATTTTTTCTAGATTCCAGTGATAATGGACTCAGCAAAGCTACGCATCCTGCTGATTTCGCTGTTCTCATTTCTGTACTGAAACAGAGATTTCCTCACAACATTTCTCTACTTACCGAATTAACAGATTACATCAATAACAGTGCTGGACACATGGTAATATCTACTGATTCTGCTTATAAAAATACCCAATGAAACATAAGCATCTCGCTTTACTTGAAATTGTCTCTACAAAAACGGACACCCCTGGATAATCTGTCTAATAATCTTTCTATCCTCCTGGGAGGTTTATTTGCTTAAGCCCCCGTCCCACCTCCTCCCTGCCCTCTAGAATCGCGTCATTGTCCTCACCATCAATATGATACAGATACAAAATTATAGTGTAATTCACTTAACTGTATGGTTTGCTGTCTCGGTCTTGACTTATGAGGATGAATGCTAATCGGCTGTTAGAGTATTCTACATGAATTAACGAAAAAAAAACAAACATTAAAATCAAAATTATATCATTGTAAACGTATTAAAATTTATTTAAAAACGCCAAAAAGATTTCAAAGAATTTCTCATTAAGAGATACTTACATACAGTTGTCTGCCTTATTCCGCTTTTAACAAATATCGCCAAAGCTATATACTGTAATATTCAGAGATTTACAAGAGAAAACGATGTTCATACTAAATACTCTGTTGTCCGGCTTATATAAGCATCCGCTCAGAGACACGCGGACAGTATACTTGATCTAATAGTGGTTCAAGTTGTTAATTATATATATAAAATAGGCTGAATACTAAGTTTTTAGTGTTTGGAGACATGATGAAAAGGTTGATTTACCTTAATAAACCTTTGAATATAATTGTAGTTATTGTAACGGGATACACAAAAAAAGTCGAGACATCACTGGACGAAGCCCCCTGCACTCCCCCCCTTCCCTAAGAAACGCTTTGCACTTGACGTGGAAAAAACAGGAAGAACGCTCGAAGTCCTACGTCACATTAAATAGTGCTTTATGCGTAAAGCTTTGGTTTTACATTTAACCAATAGAAAACGTTTTCCGTGTTTGCATAGCGTGATATAAACACGAGAGGGGTTGGGAGAATTCGAGACAGTCATGCAAACCCGAGAGGAAGTCGAGTCGACTAAGGAATAGGTAAATGTAGTGAACTTGTCGAGTTTTGAACTCGAAAACTTTTTCAAATTCGTGCTTGCGTGATTAGCGCGCGAAAAGCAAAACATCTTGACGCCACAACCATGTTTACATACTCTCATGCAAACACTCCTCCCGGCCAATCAGAGCGCGCGGACTATCTTAGTTATTTTATAAAAGCAAGTAAAGATCTGCGACAAAATCTCACGGCATCACTGTGTCGTCTTCATGAAATTTCTGACACTCTTTTTTTTAATCTTTTTAATTTGACACTGTCGTTATGACGACAAATCCTTCGATTTCATAGCTAAAAATTAATTAAAAGTATGGATTGCCTGAATTGCAGATCTAATTTAAGATCAGCTATGCACGTAATTGCACTGCGTGGCTGGTCGCATGCCCTGGTTCTTACCAATGTTGTCATAATCTCGAAATAACTGTGATTATGTGTAATGATGAAATATATGAAAAAGGCTCAATAGTGCTTCTTTTAGTGTTTGGTGACATGATGAAACGGTAAGTTAACTTAATAAACCTATAAGTATAACTGTGGTCATTATAATCCGGATACACAAACTCCCAAAGTTAAAAAATTGTCGAGACGTTACTAGACGCATCCCCCCCCCTCACTACAAACGCTTTGCACGTGACGTTTTAAGTCCTACGTCACACAAAAAAGTGCTTTAAAACGTTGAGCAAAAGGTTTGGTTTTACATAAGAAAGTAAATATCTGCGACAAAATCTCACAACGTTTTGTTGTCCTCTTGACAAAGTTTCCGACATTTTTTTTAATCATTTTAAATTTAATAGTGTCGTTAAGACGACAAGTCTTTCGATTTCATAGCTTAAAATTGATCATAAATATAGACTTCTCTAAGTGGTTCAACAGTGACTGGGCATTTGATCGTTTACGACCGGTCAGTGGATTCCGGGAAACCATTCCACTACAGTTTCTAATTTAAAATTGATGTAAACCCTTAAACACTCTTTGTGTTGGTTCTTGTTTCACTCAATGATCCACACAGACTAAGCACAATCCCTTTGTTTATTTCAGCCTTAAAACATCAATTAAATATGTCCGCTACAAACAGTGTGAGCTAGCTAAGTAGGCGAGCCTTAGCAACAAACAAACGCTCGTTTTTAGTGACTTTTTTTGCGCCAATGACGATTTTGAATTAAAAGAATTTCTAAAACAGAGTAATTTCGCACTTTTTAAAAATTAAACCTTTTTTATTCCCTTAATTCTCGAGGTTATGGTGCAGTTGCGACGCGACATTCAACTGATTTTTAAATCAAATACGCGCCAAAGTAGGTATGAACGCTCCACATGTAAATTTTGCAGTCCTTTCTATCCGAAGTAATCGTGATGACGTCACCAGCTTTCAGGTTGAAAATCCCGCCTGCATGCGCGGTACCATGGTCACCTTTTCCTGGGACAGGGATCTGAATCATGGTTATCGCACTGCTGTTCACCTTCACAAGAATCCTTCCAGTGCTGTGATGGTAGACCTGCAGGTAGACATAGTACCGTCCAGTGGTAGGCACAGTCAGTTGTCCATCATCGTACTTCATACCGCCTGCAAGATGGCTGTACGGGGCACTGACAGACCAGTCCTTTATCACTAGAGGATAAAGTAAGAGTGATGTTAATTACGGCTGATTTCCACTGAAACACACTGCTCTGTTCAATTTTTTTTTTTGGGGGGGGGTGCTAACCGAGGATTACATTTTTATGTGGGGTCCTTATTCTTCTATTCAGAAGGATAATTTTCTCCATTCTTTAAAGAGCATTAAATCATTACATTGCAAGAAAAAAGAATTAAATGAATTTGCTTTTAAACTTTCATTCTGAATTGAGACTTCGCATTATCCCCGGTTTATCTCAACCCGGCCCACCTTCCTCTTCCCGACTTATCTAGGAAGTTCGAAAGGCCTCTGTTCGCAGGGTAAAATAGGATAAGATTGCTCTTTTTTAATGCGATGATATAAATTAAACGACGCAGTAAAGGAACATCACCACATAGACACAGAAACATTAACTGCAATTTAAGGACTACTGAATAAAGCTATTTCCCCTTTTTTTCTCTCAAAGCATCCCTTCCCGACTTATCCGGGAAGATTGGAAGGGCCTCTGCTCGCAGGGTAAAAACTATCTGCTCGCAGGGTAAAAACTATTTAAAGCGCATTGTAATTCGGGCCGATGTTGCTTTTGAACCTTGGCAGACTCGATATGATGGTAAATTGAGCATTAAGGTGGCTGGGAGGACTTATGGAAAGCATGAAATAATATACTTTGGTTAGCTTGATAGGTCACTTCTTTTCTGCTTGCAGCTTCGATGTGAGCAGACGGCTTGTTTGGATTCTGTAATTACAGTATGAAACAAAACAATGTTAGTGGCTCGCATTACAGAGCGATGAGTCTATCCTGTCGTCGAGGGTCGAGGGTTCAATGTTAAGGGTCAGGGTAACAATTTTTTTTCCACTTTTGTCCCTTCCTAATGTAAAAATGTAAAAGAAATGTAAAATAAATTCATATATTTAATGAAATGAATAGAAAAATCAATTAAGGGGCCGATCATTATTTATAGGGGGGGAATACACAATGGGCAAATAATAAACAGGACTTCTTCGTTGGAATTTGTGAATATATTTACTTCAGACAGAGGCAAAGCCTTCAAAAAGTGCGTCTTCACTTCCTTTATTCAGCCGTCATAGGAACTCAAAACTGGACTATTACAAGTCCAATTCTCCAACCGCTCGGCCACGCTGTCTCCTTATTATGTGATTACTCTATTTCTATTGTTGAATTTATATTCTCACCTGCAAGTAACATCTTGGGTGTGACTGTTTACAGTATTCACACTCGGTCATCCTCCGCTGACATATGTTTGTCACATGTTGTTCGAGATCTTTTCTTTTGATGATCATATTGCAATTTTCGTAGATACAGGAGACAACTTTGGAAGGGCACGTTTGTAGGTGCACCTGTTAGAAAGAATTATAATTTGAGAGAGAATGATTAAGTGATCTTTTTCACCATGGTCAATTGTCGAATTAGGAGCGGAATGTCATAGATCCGATGTCTGTCTGTACGATGTAATTGGCTGAAATTCAGAATTCTTATGAATTGTCTGTGTTACTTAAATTGATCAATTCTGCTTTCTCATCTTTTCAATACGCTTAAAATAGGAATATGAATGTATCTGTAGGGGGTTTTCTTCATTGCTTTTGGTTTGCTACTGTCATATTTCCTCTGCCTGGGTGAAACCGTAAAAAAACACTAAATTTACTGATTTGCAAGAGCGCCGGCGACTAAAAGGTTTCCCCAGTCTTTTTTATCCCTTGCAAGGTTGGCGTTTTAGGCACTGTCCCCACTAGGTTCGCTGCAACCAGCGCCTGGGCAGCGGCACAAAATGGTGGTGTGTTCACAATTTGAGTACCCTATATGCAACTGTGTTCTTAATTACTCAACTTTCGCCCCTTTAGACGCCATTTTGAAACATGAGCTTAACAGCGATGACAAAGCAGTGGACTGCCCCGGAACTAACCAAAACGGTGTGCACACAGGGCCCCCACTTTTGTATTAGGGCACCAGCACCGTGAGCGAATTCTTGCTTGGGTACTTGAAAAAGGGGTGTGTTCACGTTAGTACCCAGCGAGTACAGTAATCGGGCACCAAGTGGGAACGCTGCCTTAGACTGAAGAAAGACGACGATGGTTATTGCTCATTCGTAGCTGAAGGTATTGAAGGTTATAATTATTCTGTCTTCTGCGTAGTAATGCTTCAGAAATATAACGATACAGGCGCAGACAGATGGACTTCATCCAATTCTTATTTTTTGTTGCAGCATTCCATAACTGCCGGCTAAGTATCTGACCTTTACACTTGTCACCTTTCGTAACATATCTCCAAATATAATGCGTGCTGCACTGCCAGTCATCGGTACGCGTCGCAAATATAGATGTTTACCAGGCCGTAAACTACGAAAGTTAGAGAGCTATGGGTGTATGCCGGAAAGGAAATGAGTTTCATTCGACTAGGGAATGATACTTTTGATAGCTTGAGGTGCGTGTTCCACGCCAGCTGACTCGACTACATTGGCTTTGAATATGATTTATAACAGTTTTAGTTTTTACCTCTTTGTCCCTTATCTCACCAGTCCACGAACAACCCTCACTTGGGCATTTGATCACCAGAGACAATATTTTCCTTCCTGTTGCATTGTCAGGAAATACATCCTAAAGTAGGACGCAAAACAAAATTGAGGAATGAGATTCGAATATATAGCATTGCTTTGAAGTGCTGAAATGCTTCTAAATTAATTTCAAGGAAATACGGGTGGGGTTACGGGTGGTACTGGAACAAGATTTTTACTCTATTTCACTGGAATTTTAATGTGGACACAACGTGTTTGGGAAGGGGCGACCTTTTCCTCTAGCCTGTTTGACTGAATGGTGCTCATTCGGCGGTATCTTTTCCCCTTGAAAAAGTGTCGAAGTTGTCTGTGACCTTTAAAACTGATCATGTCACAAGCTCGAACAAGCGGTACAAGTCTTACAAGGGACGTTTATCCACACTGGCGGTTTAGACTTTGATGGGTTAAAATCTTACACCACTTTGGCTTTCAAGGCGCTTTTTTTTACGGAAAACTCTTTTAGATTTATTTTGGGTGTAAATTGAACTGGAAACATTCACTTTACTTGCTAGCTTTAACCCTATTCACACCGGGCAAAATAGATCTACAGTAGCAAAATTCCAAGAGAAATGAACATTGTTGTAGGATGAACTTAACATCTGTTAATTGCTCAATACAAAATTAAAGTTTTTCTCAACTTAGCACTTGAAAAGCTTGGATCAAATTAATTCCATAAACTAATGCGGAATAAACTTTTCAATCAGGAAATCTAGAACTAAAACGCTTTTTCACGTTAACAAATTGCATATTTTTCTAAACATGGCTGTTAAAACTCGGTTGCCACGGTAACGTCAAGGTTGACGTACATGTCACGAAGACCTTAAAATATTCCAGAAAGTTTTAGGAAAAGTTGCTAAGTTTTGCGGTCATAGCTTGAACTGCTTTGATGGTGTACATCTTTAAAGTCCGAGGGCCTTGAAATCACCCCGCCGTGGTCTGAAAAGGGTTGAAATAATCGACAAAAGGACGAATAGATAAATGAAACTGAATGATTTACCTTGCCTTGGTCCAAGCCTTTTCTATCTACAGGGCAAGTGTTTGGCTGGTTCTTAACTTGTTGACTGTTTGTTGCAGTGAAAGAAGCAATTATAATAAAAAAAGTATTTATAATTAATAAATGAGTAAATAAATTAATTGCGGTCATTAAAGCCCTTATGCGAAACCTGATATTATGAAAGCCTTGGATTGTGTAAAAATGTGCTAAAGTGTCTTTAAACAATTCTTCTGATTACAAACGTGCACAGTGTGTGGTTTAAATTTTCGTTCAGACGGCATTAACTTTCTCAAAATGAGCTACTTGTACATGAGCTTTTTAGATGATGTAACGTCTTTGTTGCTCTTGCCTCGGCTACGTCTCATGCTCTCCAAGAAGGTGGCGTTGCTCCTGGCGACAAATGTTTCTTGAGGTAGCGACCTGCAGTTTGCTTACGCCCCAGGCCATTATCTATCGTTATGAGCATGTTTGAGCAGTAAGTGCTCAAAAAGGAAGTAAGTCATCATTTCTTATTTTTATTATTGGTTGGTACTTTTAAGTTGTTTGTGAAGATATTTCACCAAAACGATTCATTAAGTGTTCCAGTTTGCATTACTGCTCACATGTTTAAAACTAATCACATCAAAAAAGGAATTTTTAAAAAGTATATTTAAAGTAATCGTAAATTACGCGTAAGGTTCTAGAAACATGTGTCTACTTAGGCGAAGATATGGAGACAAATCAAGCCGATCAGACACTGGTGTTTTTTTAGCTAAGAAATTGAAAGTTTCAAGCTTGATTAAACAAGAGGAGGTCAGGGACACCGGCTGGAAAACTGCCTGCCTTATTCTTGGTTTGCAACCACGTGACAAGGCGGCCATGTTGGGGGTCAAAACAAAAGAATATTTCCTCGAAGAATTTACATGAAAATTGAGTTTAGTTCCCAGAGGAGAGAAATGCTTTTGTTCTTGACCACCAACATGGCCGCCGTGACGTCACGTGCAAACCAGCAATTCTCTTTCTTTACTCTCTCGCCGTCAGTCAAAAATATATCTCACAAAATGAACAGCTCGGTACGACGAAAAACATGAGACATGACTGTGGAAGCCAGTGGAGCCTGTTAGAAAGCGAAAGGCAGCAAAAAAAGGAAGATGAAGAGGACCAAAAAAGAAAAAGATAGACAGAAAGTCGCCAAACACCACAAAAAATAGAGTGTTTTCACACACGTGGCCAGCATCTATGCAAATTTATTGTAACAAAAGAAATGGTTTGCATAAGAAAAGAGTTTAACTCCTAAAGGATTGGTTTGGGACAACAACATGGCCACCGTTTCATTGTTTTGGGACATCAATATGGCCAAACACTACAATATGGCCACATCAATATTTCCAAACACCACAAAAAAATAGAGCGTTTTCACTCACGCGGCCAGCATCCGTGCAAATTTATTGTAACAAAAGAAATGGTTTGCATAAGAAAAGAGTTTAACTCCTAAAGGATTGGTTTGGGACAACAACATGGCCACCGTTTCAGTGTTTTGGGACATCAAGATGGCCGCAGTGACGTCATGTGAAAACACTCTATATTGTTTGAAACCTCTAACGATAGAAAAAGAAAAAAACTTCCTCTTTTTCGAGAATTTTCTTTGCACTTTAACAAGGGAGAATACCGAGTTATTTATTTATTTATTATTTATTTTTTTGATGTTGGTTGAAAGCCGAAAACCAAATGCTAAGAAAAAGGAAAACCGCAAACCGCAAGAGATGAAACCGAAAAACGGCATATTTTCGATGCAAAAATGGCCGCAAAACCGAAATTTGGAGATTCGCAGTGCCTACCTTTTGACTCGCTAGCACTTCATTTGAATTTTTACTGAAACACTTACGTTTAAATTTCTACTTTGGACCAAACTGAAAAGGCTGTAATGTTCATCTGTATTCCTTCCGTTCATGTACAAAATACAGATCGATCCTCAGATTTAATAAGTCTAATATTGACAACAGCCATACGAACAGGGTTGGTCTGCCTGTGCTAAAGAGCAAGAACGTATCGGTATAGATTTTTCAGCTTAATTTTTCCTCCATTAGAAAAACAAGGTTGAAAGGCGAGGTGACTGTCGTCTGCCTCAGTAACTGACGTTTAACTTTTCGTTACTCAAAACTATCAAGGTTTTTATTGAGGCACGGCGCTACAGTTCGTACTCCACTCTAATGTGGCAAATTTTCGAATGAAAGTTATTATTTAATACTATTGGGCTGAATACTATTTCAATAGTATTGAGTCAGTAAAAGAGGCTTTAAAAACCTGGATCGGGTTGATCCGATCTGTTTTCTTGAAGCCGGTCTGTAAGACGTACCTTCTCAAAAGTTCCTCGAGGCATGCATTACAGAATCTGTGACCGCACCTTGTTTGAACAGGTTCCCTCAACGTAAATTTACAGATGAAACAAATCAAATCTCCCTCAACTTCATTGACAAACTCCTCGTCATAACCTGAAGATAACAGCATGTTGTGTGGTGCTTCCGCCATATTGCAAATATGCTCGACTAGACTCTTTAGAAAGTAAAACCTATGAGGCCAAATTTATAAGATGATCTAATATTTTTGCAGTGCGATTGCTCGAGCCAGGGCTCTTGGAAGAAGATTGTCCAATCACAATGTATATGTGCACTGAAAACAAAAGATTCTCAAGTTTTTTTTTGCAATCGGACCAATAAAATGCAAGGTTCAACTATGCAACCATTGAAAGCTTTAAAACAGTTTGACCTTACCTGATCTCTCAGCAAACAACCCTCAAATTTATGAGCCTAAATGGTCCGTTTGCGAAAAAACCTTGAGAATCTCTTGTTTTGAGAAATAGTTGTGATTGGACAATAAATTTTCTATGTGCCCCGGTCTTAGTAGTCGCACTGTAATCGTCAGCCACGTCTTACAACCTTGAGAGCCCTTGAGAATGTTATGTAAGGGTATGAGGGTGGGGAAAGAACAAACCCGGCTGCTTACTTCGACCTCCAATGTCAGCCAACCGGCCCATTAGACAGTATTTGCCACGGACTTCTAGCCCGTAATCTTGAGAGGACTGAAACTGTATCGGTTCATGAAATTTTAACTGTTAAACATTTTGGAAACATTTAAAAGCTAACTTCAAGAGTGTAGTGAGTCGAATGTCACCTCATCTGAGGATGCTTATGAAGTTAGACACCATGATCTTTCCATTTATATCTATAACAGTGACTTCATGCTAAAATATTAGTAAAAAAAAAAGTTCTATTTTATTACAAGCTCTTAAATTGCCTATCATCGGTTACCTGCCCAAATTTTGATGAGCCTGCAGATGTATTTCTTCCTCCACCTCCCCACTTTTTTATTCTTAATAACCTTTGTCTAAGTAACTTTAAACTAGTTTGTATCTTCATGTTATTCGCTCGGATGAAGCCTATATGTATTAGTTTGCTATATGAATCCAGATAAACATAATCTTATCTTGCCCACCTTGCTGATGCAAAGTTCGCTCTCCCCAATCTTCTACTTCGAGATTCAAAAATGGCAACTAGAATTTACGCAGGAACTACTACGTTCTTGCTTACCCCAAACACTCTGTGTGCTATTTATTCATTGCTGAGTAAGGGAAAGCGCGTACTTCTTAGTTGCGTTGTTTTAACCAATCTCATCCCTCTCGGCCGCTCCCTCCCCCCACATCATTATATGCGAATTCCACTTGAGAAGGTTTGGTTTTAGCAGTGGTTTTTAGGAAACCACTCCACTTAAGTTCTTTATTTAAAAATAAAAAGAAAGAAAAAGAATTCAACGCATTCACTTTTAAGTGACACCTTTCTTTTGGTCTTAGTTTCACTCAATGATCCACACACATTTAGCACCATCCTTTTTTTTTATTTCAGCCTTAAAATATCCTTTACAGATGTCTCCCGCAAAAAAACCCTTGCTACTAAAGTCAACGAGCCGTAATGGCCCATATTATAATTTTGTATAAGGATATACTGACTACAGCCCATTATTTAGAAACATGATTGAACAAAACGTTTCCCTAAAATGACTTGGAAATTTAGCACTTTTTACGGACAAAAATTTATTCGGTTAATTGTCAAGATTATGGCGCAGTTGCCACTCATCAAATTCTTAAATCAGATATGCGCCAAAGTAAGTATGAATGAAAGCCATATAAAGCTTGCAGTTAACAGCCGCTGGAACGGTGATGATGTCACCTGCTTTCAGGCTGAAAAAGCCGGCAGCGTGTACGGTTGTTCCCGGGGTTTGAGTCATGGTCACCGATTTGCCATTCACATCAACATAGATCCTTCCATAAGTGCTGTGGAAGTAGGTGTGCAGGTAGATATTGTACCGTCCAGTGATTGGTACAATCAGTTTTCCATCATGGTACTTCATGCCGCCCACAAGATGGCTGTTCGGGGCACTGACAGACCAGTCTTTGATGACTAGAGGATCAAAAAAAGTTATCTGAGATCTCAATCTTGGTATTTCCACTAACGTCTCCCTTCACACTGTCATGTTCTAATCTATGATTGCTGTTTATTGAGGTCTCTATTTCCCTTGATTAAAAATTTAATCTGTAATTTAAAAAAATTAATCAGCCAATTTCAATATTTTAGTGGACAAATTGGTCACAGTCTGTTGCCCTTTTTTTTTGTTATGACGTGCATTTTCTAGTTCCTAGTTTGCTCTTATTGCTTCATTTAACAATTGAATTATACAAGACCAATCCAAACACCCCTATTATAACACTGTTGTAATGTGTTATAACTCAATTGATGTTCTTCCCGAACTTTTAAATTAGTGGATACTCATATTATGGGGTGGGAGGTGTGGTAAGAAAGTTTGAATTTACTTTGATTGACATGATAGTTCACAACTTGCAAATGTAAAGCTTCGATTTGAGCAGATGGCTTGTCTGTATCCTGTAATAAAGTTAAACAAAGAGCAAGTATGAGTGGTGTGTTTGATTAGCCTTTGGCAATACTTGAGATAGCTAAAATCCTGAAATACTGTTCAATTTAATCTGCTGAAAAAAATCAGTATCATAATGTTTCATTACCCTGGGAGCAGTGGTTTCTCTAGGCCGGACGCTATGGTACAAAAAAATAGAAACGGCTGCGAGCAAGCGTTTGCTTCTCTGATCGAGCCGCCCTCCAGCCTGATGGACAAATAAATTACCTTTGAACAGGTAAAACCTGTTTTAAAACAAGTTAAGGCTCCCGCGCGTTTCCTTAGTATGTGTGATCAAATGGTGACAAGTAAAATTAGGGAATAATTTCACGCGCGTTTAGTCCAAATCCTAATAATTTCCCTAGCCTTAAGGTAACTTAACAAATTAAAGTTACCTACGAGAGTTACCAGAGTTAGCTCACTTCTCTCTTGGTTTTACTTGAAAGTCCCCTTCTGTTATTTTGATACGTGATATCGATTATGATTGGAATGTTTCGAAAATTCTTTTTACCAAACAAATATTACAAAATTTCGCTATTTCTTCAATTTTATCACCAAGACTCGTTTGTTAAGACTACTGGCGATGACCCTTTCACGGGGGGAGTTTTAAACTGTAACTATTATTTTTGCAACCCTCTTTACCCTAAACTGTATGATGTCGGCACAAGTGTCATGTTATGGAAACAGAAAAAAAGAATGAAGCTTAAGTTCACTGGAATTCAGCTGCACCGATTGCACAGGGAAAAAAAGAAGACATTTTAGCCGAGCTCCACCCGCGCGCAAAGCGCGCGCGCGTGAGCGGAGCCCCATAGCTAAGTAAATCTACCCATCGGAGTAAATTTGGTAATCACGTGACCGTACACCGCACGTCCGTCCGCACAACAGGGCAAATAATGTTTACTCTCACACTTTCTAGCTAGTTTGGGAGCCCAGGAGAAAACTGACTACTCATCAATGTTGTTATTGATTGACAGCTGTCAAAACAGGGTATCCGCTGACCAGTATCACCTGAACGTATCGCAGGCTCAGTTTCGACCCATTGGGGTCGAGGATTTTTTGAAGTTATCCGCTAACAAGTTATTAGTTTTCAAATAATCGCAAGTTCAAGTTGATTTTTTTAAAATTCAAATGAAATATGTTGTGTTTATGTCACTATGGCCTCGCGCTTTCAAACTGACCTCGGACGCAAAAATTCAGCCAGTTATTTAAAATTACAGGCGTGGGAGAACTTTTCTTACCATGGTTACGCTCTATGTCTCATTTTTATGCGCTGATTGGTCACAATTTGATAGGTGAGTTCATGTTTATGCAGCATCTTGAAACTTGTTTACTTTGACAGCTGAAGCTGACAGAGTTTTGTGTCAACTTGTGATGTTTTTAACTGTTTTTTTCTACTGGATGTACAAAATGAGCTACAGCTGCTTTCAAGAGTCTTCTGTTATTCATGGCTGGTTTGTTTTTTGGGTTTTTGGTTGAGAAATGCGTCGCTTGTCAAAGTTGGAAATCCGATTTCGGGTGGCATCGTTTTCGTTTTTCACCTTGCTGAATGCTTAATCTTGAGGGTTTAAAATCGATCGAATCTGGCCTTACTTGATAGCTTTCAGGAGCTGCATCTCGAATGGTAAGCCTGAGTAATTATTGTATTTGATATGTCTGTCTCTTTTATATCTAATTTCATGAAGTCGAGCACAGTTTATGCGGTTATGTTAGCCAGAAGAAAAATACAAACTAAACTCAACTTCATGATGGCCTCCTGCTCTGTCATAGGATAACGGAGTGGACTTGTCGGACCCCCTGTGAGTTCACTGAAAGCGAAAACGAAAATTGCAGTGAATTTCAAACACCGCAGGTATACAGTATATTTTAAAAGTCTCAGTCAAGGGACTGAGAAAATGTCAACCGATTTTTCAGTCTTTTTAGTACGTTTTCAAATTGACGCGAATAAAACCAATTTGTTTTAAATTG